TTTTATTAAATTTTAATTTTTAGAATGAATATAAAAAAATTTCAAAACTGATATAAAACTGAATGCTTCAAAAGTAGTAATATTAAAATTAGGCGCACATAATATATACTCCAAACTAGCAAAATTAATTGAAAAAAAGTTGTTGAGAAATTAGTCATTATAAAAATTAGCTTTTACAAAAAAAAAAAAAAAAGAGTTGTTGGAAAAGTTGTCGTTATAAAAAAGAGTTGTTTGAAAACTAGCCGTTATAAAAAAGAGTTGTTGGAAAACTAGCCGTTATACTCTATAGGAACTTCTATATATACTAGATGATGATAATGATATTGCATACAACTTCCTACATTCCACACAAGTTATATTGCGTATAACAATTTTCTTCCACACAATATCTCAAAATCCCCCTCCCAATTTTAATCCCTCATTTATAGAAGATGCAATGAACGACTTTATGGCTGAGCGAATCTATGATACCACGGGTTTGCAAATCATAAAGAGGTTGGATCGCTTGCAAAAACAAAGAAGAGATGCAAGTTCTAGTGGTAGATCTCAACGGCGAAGGTTTATCGATCGAGAGCATGATGTTGGACAACAACAGCTTTCCGATGACTATTTTGTCAAGGATCCGGTATTTACTGCTGAGCAGTTCCGTCGAAAATTTCGGATGCGAAAGATTTGTTTCTTCGCATTGTAGATGTTGTTCAAAATCATTCCGAATATTTCCAACAGAAACCTGATGCATCAGGAAAAATGGGCTTCACCACCATTCGAAAAGTTACTGTGGCAATTAGGCTATTAGCATACGGGGGAGCAGCTGACCACCTCGACGAATATCTAAGGATGAGTGAGTCTACTGCAATTGAATGTTTAGAAAAATTTTGTCAATGTATAATTGAAATTTTTCAGCCACGATATTTGAGAAGGCCCAACGAGGATGATGTTCAACGTTTACTTCAATTGCACAATGAACGTCATAGATTTCCTGGCATGCTTGGAAGCATTGATTGTATGCATTGGAAATGGAAAAAAATGTCCAGTTGAGTGGAGAGGTCGTTTCACTTCCGGCTATCATAGTAGTGCTCCCACCGTGGTACTTGAAGCAGTTGCATCTGCAGATTTATGGATATGGCATGTGTATTTTGGACTCGCTGGATCTAATAATGACATCAACATGCTCAATCAATCTCCTCTATTCAACGATATGTTAAACGGATACGCTCCTAATATTCAATCACATCAAATGACACTCAATACAGGAAGGGTTATTATCTAGCAGATGGTATATATCCAGAGTGGGCAACATTTGTGAAGAGTTTTACATCACCAGTGGATGATAAGAGGAGACTGTACAAAAAAATGCAATAGGCGGTAAGAAAAGATGTTGAACGTGCCTTTGGAGTGCTCCAATCTCGTTGGCATATCATACGTGAACCAGCTCGATCTTGGCATCGATCCAAACTTATAAATATAATGTACACTTGCATTATATTACAAAATATGATAGTAGAAGATGAGGGAGAGGAAGCAACAAACTGGTTTGATGATGAGGATACTACTCACTTTGCACATTCTCAAGGGGCAATCCTAAATATTCAACAATACATTCAAAGAACTGCTGAAATACGTGATCGTGAAACACACCAGCAACTACATTCAGATTTGGTCGAGCATATTTGGGGACGTTTTCGCCACATTGTTGATTTAAACTAATTTTATTAATTTGTCCTTTTTTTAGATGATTTCATTCTCTTTCATGTTATCTCGTAGTGAATTTCGAGTGAATTTTTCTTTCTCTCTTTGAAATTTATGTACCGAGTCATGGTGTGATTTAATAATAATTAATGTTTTTGTTATTGTTTACTTGTGTTTGTATTTTTTATTTTATAATTTTTTTATCTAAATACTAAGAAAATTATATATTTGGCATAATTATATTTAAATATAATAATTTTAGATAAATATATAGTAATAGTGAAATATTAGTGGAGTAGTAACAGAGGGGTAGTTATGGGTCCAAAATTATACAAGTGATGGGTGTAATATTGTTGGAATAAAAAGTTGAAAAAAGAAGAATGTGAGTGGAATGCTGATGTGGCAGTGTAGTTGGGTGTAATGTGTTTGGTTGATGGAGATGCTCTAAAGGTGAACTCTTTTTATGTGTTTTTTTTTTTGTTTAATTTTTTGGACCTTTTAAATGAAATAATTACTGGTGTTGTAAAATTTCTTAAGTTCGGGTGGCTTACTGGCACAGATTGTGTATAATGTCTAGAAATTAGACTTATTAACCATGTTATGAAAAAAAAAAAAAACGCACGAAAGTTGCACGGCACAGATGTTATATTTGTTTTTTCACAAAATAATATAAAGAGTAAAATTTCATACGTATTCTTTTAAAGCACATTTTTGCTTTGAGCCATGAAGAATGAATATATCCTCCTTTTTAAGTATGAACCAAAAAAAAAAAAAAAGAGCCTTGATTCATAGTGAAAGTATTGAAGAGAAGATAGATTTTGTTGATGAAAACAATAAAAAGGTGCCACAACTGGTGGTGGATGAAGGCGAAGCCGATGGAGGCGGCGGCTTCTATGCCACAACCGGTGGTGGATGAAGGCGAATGAAGAAGTGGAGGGTATAGAGCTCTAAGAATGAGAGCAGATAATGCCATCAAAAGAGGTTCTTAATTTATGGCCTAGTTTTCACTTTTCATGCTCTTTTGATTGCTATGATACATTGATGTTTTAAGTGGCTTTTATTATAGCATTTCATTTTTATTTTACAAAATTCTTATTAGTAATGTGTTTACCTATCGGGCGTTAATCGTGTGCATTAATATTATTGGAAATTAGAATTGTCGCACAGAAATGTTACATTAATGAAAAATTATTATTGAATGGTTTGTATAGAGTGAATAAATTCGGATTTTTTTTATTAACTAATAGTTGTTATGTAACCTTTGAATTCTTCGCAGTTCGCATAGTATGGCTTTGGCTGATCTGGTGAATACTGTTGCCTTGTTGGAATAAGTAAATGAATGAAGTACACTGAATACTTCTTTGATAGAAGAGAGAAGCTAGGGGTACACTTGCTCTTCTCAATTTTCTTTCTCTCCCCCTTCTTCATTATGGAGGTTGGGGGAGGTTCTACGTTATTTTCAGTTGTACATTAGTTCACATTTTTTGGTGTTTTTGCTCTTTCCTTGATCGAAAGTAATGGTCTCTTAATTTTGAGAGTCTCTGTTTCTTCTATTTTTTTGAAGTTTCAGTTCTTGTTTGAGAGAGTTCAGTTTTATTTTCGTATACTTTAGGTAGTAGTTTTTCAACAGATTTGATGGATATAGATTTATGGCAGTAGATGAAGAGGAACACGAGTTTAAAGATTAATATCGGATGAAATGACGATAGATCTGCAATTTTTAGGCACAAAATGATCTGAGATTCAGAGCCAGATCTGCAGTTTTAGTGTCGTTAAGTTTTAGTCCGATTATTCTTTGTCAGAATAAAGTTCTCTTTGTGTTTATATAAAATTTAGTAAATCTTCTCTATATTCAGTGGATGTTACTACAATTCCGTCAAATTAGTTCGATCTAACTTTGTACACAAGGATTGTATTACTGATTCTGTATTACTAATTCTTTTTATTTTATTTAATATAATGATTATCGTTTGACACAGTAAATATTTCTTTTCTCCGTATGTTTATAATTGATATATGGACTCAATGGTCAATAGGTTGAACTCACAAGTATCGGTCATAAAGTTGCAATTACGATTTAAAAATGAAGCCGTAAAAAAAAGAAGAAGGAAAATGGTGCCATCAACACAAAATCAGCACGATGTTGTTTAATTTATCCATTAATTTTTTGTATATGACAAGATTGATATTTAATTTCTTGACAATTTGTTTGAATGTGATTATATAAACACTCTTTTAAGTATATTTCAAAATAGGAAAATGACATTGCGGCTGGAAATTTCAGTATTGAGGATGAAGAAATTTGAGCAAGAATAGCAACAAGATGAAGAAATTAGATTTTAACAAACAGATCTCATATCTATCTATATACTATACTAAGACAAAAATCAGAGAGAGAAATCTAAAGTTAAGGAGCATCCTATGTAGCATTTTTTTAATTTTTTAGATATAAAAATGCACAAAACAAAACAATAAAAACTAAAAAAAAAAAAATGCAACTGAAGAAGTCCAAACCCTATATTGATTCGACCAAATCTCTACAAATCCGATAGACGGATCTTTTCCTCCTAAAAAAAACGCAACTAAAAAATAATTTTATATTAATAATTTATTAAAATAATTAAAAAAGTTAGGCCAACCTGAAACTTCTATAATTTAGCTTCAAATATGTAATTGTGTTAAAATACTATGGTGATGGGTTGATGTAGCGGGGCTAAGAAATCAAAAGTCACTTCGAAACAAGGAATAAAGGTCCTGATATCCAACTTTTTTTATTTTTTTAATTTTTCTTATTAAAAAATTAGATGGCCTCTACAACAAGTTAGGGTTGTTGTTTCTGTAGTAACCATTCTTTATAATAAACCTTTTCAAAAAAAATAAAATAAAATTCCTTATCATAATTTCTTAACCACCCTAGCCGACCTTTCCACCCCATACTACCAATGTAGTCTACCAAGAAATATTGTAAGATATATAATTATTTAATTCAAAGTTCATTTTATTTTTAATTTCTTAACAATCTTTTTTGCGTTAAATAAATTACCAGTGTATTCGTTTGGTAAAGTGTTGTCGATATTTGTGTTTTATATTTTTTAATAAATTCATTATATATTTTATAAAAATACAAAAATTAATACAAATATTAACATTTTTTTTATTTGTTTGTGTAGTAATGTTTATGTATATGTGCTCCCCGTCCATTGGACGGGTCTAACACCTAGTTTTGGGATATAAGAATATTAAGAAAACCTGCTTGGAGTACTGGAAACAAAAATGATATCATGATGAAGTTCCACCAACACATATAACATCACAGCTAAAAAAAAATAAAGGAAGAAAGCCTCCTTATATAAATATTTATATATATATGTACTTTCTTTACATACATGGAGAGTCAAGGAAAAAAGAATCAAAAAAATAAATAAATAAAAGAATTGTGTTTCTTCCATTTGTTTGATGACTAACAGGGATTATGGAAGGTTGTCAAGTGATTTTCAAAATCAGCCAAGCTGCTATTTTGACTACCCAGCAAAGAAATTAATAATGAAAAAGTATTTTTCTTTCTTTTTTTTTTTCTCTTTTTCTTTTTTACAATTCATATTCTCACTGTTACTGCAAGCAAAAAAGCCTGATCTTTCTCACAGTGTAAGGGAGTTTTTGCATTTCATCATCACAAAAATGATCAGCTTCTGCATTTGAGAGTGCCTGAAAATACGCGCTCAGTCAGCCTCGCTATATCTACATCTTCTTCTTCTTCTTCTTACATCCCACTATTATATTTATCATGCATGGGATTCAAAGGTTTATTCACAGGCAGTTTTCCCCCTCCATCCCTGGAAGTACTTTTGTTTCTTTAAATTGTCTGTGCCTAAACAGGTAAAAGGTCAAAAAACCAAAGCTAAAAGATGGAGAAAACCTTGAGAAGGTAAAGCACACACAAGTGTTGGTTTCATTTTTCCTAGTTGTCCTGAAGTATTCCCATGCTGACCGCCAAATGTACAACCTCTTCATTCTATATTTGGGATCATATGCATTGCCATGTGAGTTATTGCTGCAAATCTGCGCACAGGGAAGACATGTTAATCTCATCGATATAATGAGGTGGTACTCAATTAGATGCAAAACAATGAGATCATGTTTGAAAGTCTTTACCTCTAGAAAAACGGGATCTGCGAATAGTTTGCTGAATTTGACTATCTTGACTAGAGTCATTACCATGCTGCTGATATAGCAAAGGTCCTGATCTAACCAGCCCCTGTTGGTAATTATAGTCCTGAACATTTTTCAGATGGAGAAAATAGTTAGTCCTTCTGTAGACACACTAGTAAAAGATCCATTGCGCTTCAAAGTTTTGCGCTTGTGAGAAAGTCTCTTACCACTGAAAACTCCTGACTCTCAAACATATCAGCTGAATCGAAGGTTTCTAATCTTTGAGGCCTTAGACGTTGCTTGTGCATGGCACGAGCATTCTCATCCGTATCTCTGACATCATTCAATGTTCTGTTTGAGAAATCATCAGCCTCTTGGCCTTCTGAGTCCCAAGTGGTGTCAACTTGCAATAGGCTGGGTGGATCATGTGAAGTCAGCTTATGACTTCTTGAAGTGGCATTGCTGTATATCTTCCTCGACGCATCTTGTTTTCGCTTTCTTGCCCACAAAAAATTACTTGATGTTGGCATGTCAATAGGAACTGAGCGAATACTGTCATCGTTGGATTGTTCCGTCATTTGAGAAGCCTCTGACACTGTATCAGAAGGTTTCAGTGACATCCGAGATACAGTTGCTCCCTTCCCTTTCAGGATAGCGTTACCACCAGCATTGCTTCTTCGAGCAACTTGAATATTGGCCTCAAGTTCCTTTAAAATGTAGAGGGAAATACGTTACTATGAGCAATAGTTATTATCATAAATTTATGCACTACCAACATAGTATAAAACATGAATGCAACATTGTAGATGGATAAAGACCTCTGTTGGAACAACTTTGAAGAAACTGTTTGGTTCTTGAACACTTCTTCGGCTTCTTCTTGGATTTCTTGTTGCTCCAGAAGCTCGCACAGTGCTTCCAACTTTTTTCCTGTAAAACCAGTCACATAAGTTCAATAAAAGGATTCTTACATCCAAAAAAAAAAAAAAAAAAAAAAGCAGACAGAAGAAACTACAATGCCGAAAATTTAGCTATACTTTGTTTTTGGTCACAGATTTATGACTTGGATTAACTAGGTAACAAAGAGAATGAGATGCTTCACCTTTTGGCTTCCTCGCGGAATTTTGCATCAATCTCTTTATTAGGTGGGTACTTTGGCATGCTTGAAGGATCACATGCATAAGGCTTGGTATGGAAATACTGAACAAAATGAACATTCATTAGTTGTTTAAAAGTGTAAAGATAAAACACATCTGCATGAAAGATTTAGAAATAAAACAAAGTTGGATAAGAATTTCAAAGGCATACAGATAAAAACTTGATCAGCAACTGCCTACTTGCCCTAATAAATGACAGATTCAGCAAAATGAAAAATCAACTTACCTCTGACTGAAGGGCGGCTGAAGCAGTTCCACGTTTCTGAGGATCTATTGAAAGAAAATGTTCGATAAGTTTCACAGCAGACTTTGGGAATTCTTTACATCTTTCTCGGAGTGTACTTTCATAAGGTTGCTGAGGCTTGAACATGGTGGCAAGTGGAAGTCTGGACTGTTTCCAGTATTCATCGGGTGGAGAGCCGCAAAGTTTGAAGATTTTATGCAACTGTTCAACCTGCAGATCAAATGAGAGCTTCTGTTTTCAGAAATGAACATAGCAAAAAGGAACATTTTCAGGTCTTTTTAGGTGCTTACCTCGGTTCTCCCCTTGAGGAGAGGTCTTCCGATAAATAGTTCTGCGAAGACACAACCCATGCTCCATAGATCAACTGTTAGCCCATAATTTGTGGATCCTAACAATAGTTCAGGAGGTCTGTACCATAAAGTTACTACGCGACTGGTTAGAGGCGGCCTGTTCCTTCCATCACTAATGAAATTTGCCAGACCAAAGTCTCCTATCTTCAATACCCCTTCGTTATTCACTAAGATATTGGATGCTTTAATATCTCGATGCATGATCCCTTGCGAATGACAATGTTCTAGTCCACACAGAAGTTGTTGCATGTAGCATTTAATCTATACCATGAAAAGAAAAAGTATAGAAAAAGGGAAAGTAACTAACTATGCATTCATTTCATCTATGGAAAAGATTGGATACAAGCATAGATTATGAACTAACCTGTGATTCAGTAAACTTGACATCAGGGCAAGATAACAGACCAGAGAGATCGTGTTCCATATACTCGAAAACAAGGTATATGCTCGTCGATAATCGAGACGTGATAATGCCCTCCAGCTTCATTATATTGGGATGATTAAGTTTGCGAAGAATCATTATCTCTCGAGCCATAAATCTTACACTTTCTGGCTGGAAATTGTCAAATCGAACCTTCTTAAGAGCAACCATTTTACCAGTCTCCACATCACGCGCACGATACACACTACTATAAGTACCTTGTCCAATCTGAGCAGACAGAAAACACAAAAAGAAGTCCTTTGAGTTATGAAAAACCATTATAGTACTATCAAGGCATCCACAAAACAGAAAATTCCTCAATGCACTGTTAATTCTAATCAACAATAATTCAGCAGTTCTGGTTGAAGCTCCCTAAAATTCATAACCATCAGAATAATCTAGAGAGAGTAATTTGCATAAATAGATAGATAATCATACTTTTCCTAGGCAAATTTAAGTCTTGTGTTGGTAAATTGATCAAGTTAGTTTTCAACATATGCTGAAATGGGCATAAAAAATTCTTCCCTTATTTATTTTACCTTCTCAAGTCTCTCAAATGTATCGGACCTAAGAGGCACCCATCCTTCAATGGCTTCGCCGGCGACGGCTGTAAGCCAGGCCGGCCAGCCGGCGGCGACGTGTTCCCCTTCGGTTAATCGTCCAAATTTAAAACTAAAAGCAGCCCTTTTGGAGGCATTGCCATTCCCATTCTTCAAGGACTTGTTGGGATTAAAATTCCCATTCCCAGGTTGGCTATGATGATGATGATGATGATGGCGGGACTTGACGGATTCTTCTTCCCTCTCCTTTTCAGGTTCCTCTCTTATCTTTTCCAATGGTCCGAAACCCCCACCACTGTTGTGTATCTTATTGTTGTACGAGGAATCTAAGATACCGGAACCGGAACCATTTTGCCGGATAATCACTGAGGAATCGAAAGCAGGCGGCGACTTCTTCTTAGACCGGGCCTGTTTCGAGCTGATACAACCCATGACCCCCCAAAACCCATCAAACGAATCGATCGGAAAATAATAATGGGGTGGGGGAATGATTGCTATGAACCAATTCCCAGATCGACCGTTTGGATGGGGATGGATAATTGGGGTCAAAAAACAGGGAAAAAAAAAAAAGAAAAGAAATCTTTTTTCCTTATCCTTTTTTCGTGAGAAGAAGAGAATCAATGACCCCTACGTGGATGGACTCATTGGCTGTAAAGAACAGAAGTTTCCTCAAAAACAGAGCTTTTTTTCTCTTTTTTTTTGGTGGGTAGGAAATGTCAAACGAAAGAAAAAAAAAAAGAAATTTTTGTGTTGTAGGAGAGAGAAATCAAAGATCTTTGTCAATCATTGTACTGTTGGTTTTAATCATCTGCAAGTATTGCGGGATATGCGGAGGAACGATGTTGTCACCTCCGTGGCAAGCTTCGCGAATTCCTAGGAAGAAGAAGAACTAAGATTAAAAAAAAAACAAGAAAACAGAGTAGGTCCTAGATTCTGCATTATTGGCTTTAATATTTTCCCTTCTAATTCATCATATAGTCAGAATTTCAGTAATTGCAGAAGATTCTGGTTGAATGAAACCTTCTGAGATTTGTTCATTTGCTGCTTTAAGCTGCTGATGAAGAACACGGGAATAAGAGGGAAACAAAAAAAGAGGGAAAAGGTGAAACGGAACCGTTAGTTTTAATTCCCGATGGTTGGTTGGTTGGTTGGTTTAACTTGAAGAGGGCTGGATGGCCCAGTGGGCTGGGTGGACCATGAAGCTATATGCGAAATTTCGGACCAACTGCCCCCAACAACTCAAGTTTGGACATTTAATCTCACTTAAGGTTTCGTAGTAATCAAGGATTAGTTTTGAGATTAGGACAAACCTTGGTGGGACACTCCCGCCCAAAATCCCAATCATTAACTAACTAGAATGATTTCTTTATTACCACCCTACTTTTTGACCCCCAAACAAACATTTTACAAGAATCAGTCTCGAGAATGATTTAGCCAGGTTTAAGGTTTAAGGTGTAAATCGTAGTACTAAATTAGTTTAAGATAAAGATTCATAAATGTGACCGAAAAATATATTGTCACTGTCACAATCTAATACTCCCTCCGTTCCAAAATTATTGTCAAATTTGTGTTTTCATTTTTAGTTCAAATTGTACTAAAAGAGAAATTCCAAACTGGACATAATTGTGGGACGGAGGGAATAATTTTTTATTATTTCATAATTCATATACCGAAGAAAAATCAGGAACGTTGCAAGAAAATTTCTATTAAACCAAGTTTGGTGTTATGTAGTATCGCACTAGCAGTACAATTTTCAAGAAAAGCAGTGTTACATACAAACAGGGCAAGTTGAAACAGAGGTTGTTTGGAGGACAGAATAATACATCGTATTTTTCCCACCAAAAAAAAAGACCACTCGCCATGTGCTAAGAGACTCTAATATGTTTCATCATCTGCTACTGTTTTTGTAATTGTTACAACCAAAAACAAAATCAACCTTTGTCTGCTTCTTTTAGCTATGTGCCAGGCTGCAATCTTCTCTCCTCCTTTTACTTTTAGCTGAGTGCCTGAGTCAAAACAGGTATTTGACCTTTGCTATCAAAATCAACTTCTCTATGTACAGAGGGTTTTCGGGCCACGACCTTTTGTGGTTTCAACTGACCACTGGAGTTTGCATTGTTGTTTCTAGCGGATGGGATTTCATGGTTGTGTTTTCCTTCGTATGTAGTTATAACTGCTTTGGGGTCTGCTGATGCCCTTTCCACATGTTTGCGAACATTACATCCGGCAAATGTACATCTGTAGTAACTCCTGTGAACAAAAAAGGTGGAAGAAAATTATGATTGAAGCATTCTAAAGTGAACAACAGCGTATTGAAGAGTTTGAATTATACGATCCCACAAAAAAATTTCTTGTTTCCAGAAATAATATCCATCTTTCTCCCAAAAATCAAGATCTAAGACAATCTGGCAGGCAAAGGAAAGTTCTAGGCTCTAGTAAAATGACAGTCAGGAAGATAAATGCGGGAGAGAGAATGGTGTCAAGTTCATTATACGTAATGGGATTAAATATCCAGGGCTAAAGATAAAAGAACAACTATTTCTACATAAGCACAAGTTAGAAGAAAGACAACAACTCTTTCTTCGCAAGCACAAGTTAGAAAAACCACTCTCTTCCCTGCTCTTTCTTCTCAAGTCAATGAAAATCATTAAAGTATTAAACACACTGAATAGCAAAAAAACAACTGTAAGTACAATACTTTGGCTACTGAAAGAGAGAACGATACATAACAAATGAGAAGCTGATCTAAGGATATAGTCATGAGACAGCAATTCGGGAATACGCAGAGGTTAAGATAAGAGCAGAAACAACCAGTAAAGAAGTCAACACTACATTCTATTCTTACTAAGACAGAATAGCTACTATGATGAAAATCACAACATAAAACCAAAAAGCTGAAGACAATCATACATGTCAAAAACATTATAGTGATTACTCTTAGATAAGCACCTAACCTTGGATGAGGATTCCCCTTGACAACTTTCTGTCCATACTTCCGCCATTTGTATCCATCATCTAAAAGGTCAACTTCACTCCTCGTCTGTACAACTATTTTTGGCTCTGTTATTGTTTGATGAGATGGAGCTGGCAAACGAGCTTCAACCTCTATGTTCCTGAAAACATCACAGCAATAGATCTCAAGGTTAGCAGTTAGCAATGAAATTATTCCCCTTTCCCTTCAAAAGATTCGTCTACAGACTTGAAGGAAAGGCAATACCTCCTCTTAGCCTTTGGTTCATCTTCATTGTCCTCATCCACAGGTCCAGCAGTATTCTCTCTTTCCTCATGAACAACTGCGAGGGGTAGTTGGTCAAATGATCGCTGAGTAGGTGCAGCACTTGTCAAAGTCACCGCTTGAGAACTTGCAGCCTGGGTTGAGATATCCATTTCCGTCCGACCTTGCAAACCAATTTCAGGCTTTACCCGAGAGCCCGCGCTTCCCTCTGGACCAGAACCATCTTTACTTCTTGTATTTGGTGGAGGCTTGTCGTGATTATGTTGTCCTTTATACGTGATCTCAGTTACTTGACCATCACTTCCATGCTCAACCTTTTTCTTGACAGGACAATCTGGGTGAGTGCACTTATAATAACTTCGAGGATGTTCTTTTGATTTAACTATTTTCTGGCCATATTTCCTCCAGTTGTAACCATCACTACCTGGCTTATCAAAACCCACAGGAACAGATTTGGTATCCATTTGAGACGCTTCTGGTGGTGAAACCTTAAGCGGCTGAGGGTCAGCTTGCATTTGCAAAGTATGCACCTGTGGCTGTAAATTATCATTAGGCGGTGAGGATTTTGGAAACTCTGCTGCAGGCACTGTAGTCGGTGGAGCTGCCGAACTCTGAAAACCGCCTTGACTTTGAACAAAAGATTGTGATAGGGCAGCCTGAGCTGTAACATGTGCTAGAGCCTGCTGGTGAGACATCCCAAATGGGCTCTGCAAGCAATAAGAAAGACCATTTGTCAACCTAACATAATACTACAATCTGTCCAGGAACATGGTACTCCAAACATTAGAAAAAACTTTAACAACTACAGATACAATCAATCAAGGAACAGATTTTCTGATTGAAAAGCACGACAGTAAATCTTCCAAGGAATATCGTTCATCATTTGATACGCACAAAAACAATAGAAACAACTTACTCAAGTAAACCAAGCCCTCAAAGCCGTATTAAAAGCAATAAATTGATTTATGGAAACTGCCTACTAAAGATCACTCTAGCTAAATAAGGGAAAGTGATTCCTAACCAATTCAATCGAATTACCTGAAGTGGGGAAAGAAAACCAGGAGAATTAAGAAACCCAGAAGGACTCAACCCAGGAGGAACCATAAACAAAGGAGACTGCGCCACCATCAAACCCATAGGCCTATTCTGCTTATACCCAGAACCCTTATCATTTCCATCCCCAACACTTGCATCTCTGGAACCGTTATAATCACCAGCAGCTAAAAATCCAGTCTTTGCAAGCGGCGAATTCATGGCTCCCGCGAGCAACTGAGAGAAAGAACAGGAATTTGAATCCGGGGAGAAGATATTAGACAAAAGGGTCATCGGACCAGGGCTGTATCCCGGCATAGTCCCGCCGGTGAAAAGGGATTCAAAAGGAGCCCGTGGCGGAACAGTAATCGTCGGCCGTCGTCCAATTTTTGCAGCACCACTTTCATCTCTATCGATCTCAGTCTCACCCATTTCTCAGCTACCCTTTTTCAGACTTCACAAAACAATAATTGCTAGATGCAGAAAACTAATAAAGATCAATCATTTATGGAGGAAGAAGGAAGTAGGTAGGTTCCCCGGTAGTGAGAATCCAATCCAGTCCAATGATTTCTTCAATTTTTTTTCCAATTCAGTTTGAAATGAATCCCCAAAGTCTTCTTCTTGTAGAAAGAAGCTGATGGAGTAACAAAAGAAGTCCACCACTAGAAGAGGGATGATGTCCGAAAAACGGAAAATAAGTGAACAAAAAGGTTAAACAAGGCAACTTGACTTTTTTTGGATTGACAAATTGGAGTTCTTGATAAAACTGACGGGTCCCAAGATACCCCTTTCTGTACCCCCAAACACCCTTGAGAACTACAGTCGCCGTCTTCCTCCCTACCACTCTGATGGGGAAATTCAAGCAAGTATTTTAATTTAACAGCTTGTATTTTTGTTTTATTTAATAAATAAAATCTTTTTTTTTCCCCTCTTTTTCTTTTTTTTCTTAATCGTGTAAAGATCGTGACTCATGACATGAGTGTACACAATTTCAATTTTGCTTTTGATTATCATGGGTCCCTCATGGGCCAAAAATTCAACGGGGGCCACCACGATGATATTGGGACTTTTTTCGGTTTTACTACTCCCTCCATTTCAAAATAAGTGTCGTTTTAGCAAAATGGAGAAATTCCAAAATAAATGTCGTTCTCACATTTCAATGCACTTTTTGTCAAAATTTTCTAAAATTACCCTCAAAAGAGTTGATGTTATTGGTGGACAATTTTATAATGGGGTTGGTTGAGGATATTCAAATAATTTTATTACCTTATTTAAGAGTTTCTTAAACTATGTGCAAAGAGTAGGATGACATTTATTTTGGAATGAAGTGAATAATTTTTAATGTGTTTTTTAGTATTACATACAGTTGGAAACGTATACTGTATAAAGTGGTTAGTCAAAAAAAAAAAAATTTGTATAAAGTGGTTTGTTATAAGGAAGTATATTGATTATAAAATTTAAATATATAGGGAAAAAAAACTTACTGAAAAACCAAGCATAGTGATTACTTCATCCTTTTTAAAATGTGTGTTTGCTTGGGTTCCATAAATATTAAGAGTAAAAAGTGTATTTTAAACTTAATTAATAAGTAAATTGTATTGAAAATACAATAAGCAGCTGCGTACATTGAGATAGTGATATATTATAGAGATAAAGGTAATTTAGGACTAATAAAATAAAATTATGCATTGGGACATAAAATAGACAGATATTTTGACATAAATCAAAATAGAAACTGAACATACATTTCGAAAAGGAGGCGGTACAAATTTACAATGGTTTAAAATTCAGAGTAAAGTTTCCATTGATGTGAGACATTTATATACGACTACTATTTTATTATACAAAGTGAATAATGTTTATTCAAACCGTAATTTTAGTTTTATTCTAGATGTTTTGGTTGTGAAATTAATTAAAACATAGTACTTTCATTCAATGCAAAATACAATAATGCATTAGTTACTTCTACTTCAGCTTTAAAGTTTGTTGCTCTGTGAAAAGTCATAATGGAAGAAGGCTTGGTATTAATTCAAAACAATAGCGTGAAATCCAGAATACAGATCATAATTGAACCATTCTCGTTCGAATTGGTGCATTACATAGTCGTAGTGTAAATGTAAAAATGTGTTTTTAACTCTGTATTACAGTCTCTAAGGAGCAGTTCCTTAATGCCCTGGATCAAGGGCTAAGAAAATACTAGTAGTTCTTTATATGGTCTTTTTCCTGAGAAAGTGTAGATAAAATATGGCCAGATTTTTGTTTGGCTGTGCATTGCCATTTGCATTCCATTGCAACTGTCCAACAGTCCATAATTGACTTCAATTGTCATTATGGAGAGGGAAACTGTCTCAAATGTCATTTGGAAAGGGGAAATGCGATGTTTGTAACGTGTTTCGTGTGCGTGTGTGTTTTTAATCCAGAAATATTACATTAAAAAAAAAGTATATTGGAGACGTAATTAATAAATTACAAAACATAAAAAAGTCATGTAAAGACACCTCAAAATTGTAACCATTACCGTTCTTAGTAACATAAATTCGTAGGTTCTTTCTATAGCGACATGCTTGATGGAGTGACAATCAAACTCCAGATTGGATGGCATTGATGGATAAGAAGGTGGTGACTGGTGGGGCAATACCTAAATTTTGGAATTTTGGTCCTAATCTCAGCATTATCTTTTATTTCAACTCAGGTTTCAAAATTAAAAGTTAGTATTTTTCAATCTTTTGGATAATGTAATTGGACCATCCTCACTGTGGCTCTAAAGAAACATTGAAACAACTTCATGTGAGCAATGTATTGATCAGTCAAGAGATCACGAAAACTTTACAAAATTGTCATTGTTGATGCATTTAGATTTTCAGCAGTAACTGCTGCCTTCAATGCTTAACTTGATTGAACACTTCCCCTGCACTGCAATGACTATCTTGCAATTATTCCAGGCTGGCCGTGGGGTGACGGTGTTGCAAGTTGCAACAAAGACCAACTCATTCATTTGTACCACAAAGGAGAGTTTCAACTTTCAAGTATATATATATATATAGATCGGCTATAATCCAGTCGACTGAACGGTTCAGCCAAATTTAATAATCGTTGGATGATAAGGAATAATTAAGAACCATTATATTAAAACAAAGGTGTATTGTAAAAAAGTACTACCAATTGCACCTGATTATTTCAATGTGACATGTAACCGATCAACTAAATTGCATTAATAAGGGGAATTTTCTTTACTTGATAAACATAATAATTTTACCCAACCTTAACAACCCCTTTCCTTTGTAGATTTATTTTAACAATCTGAAAAATTAAGTTTATCTTTAATTCTGATGAAGACTATGACAAATTTTGCAATTGTCACTCCCAATTCCCAACACTACCCATATAATCTAGGGATCCCTATAATCTATTTTCTGTTTTTTTTTTTTTTTCTCATCAACAACACCACGACAACCAAAATAATATTTGGCCCTGGAGGTAGTGTTCTGGCCGAAAAAAAAGAAAAATCTCTTTCTCTCAATTTAGAACTCCTAGATACACTTTTTAATACTAGAATCTAGCATTGATTTTCAATTAAAGATTGGAACGAGATATCAATTTCTATTTCAAAATTCAGGCATAGATCTTAAATCTGAAGCACTCTTCTCAAATAAATTTTGCGGTAAATACAAAAAGAAAACCAAATAAAGGAACGGCCTAATTAAAAAATAATTATTGAAGTGAGGGAGCATTTGAGGAAATGTGTGATTTCATGGCTGACAAGTCTAGAAGTTATTAAAAAAGTTAATGTAATTATAAAAGTTAGATCATTTCTAGGTTGTATAATTAACATAGAGATAGTTTATGCAATCCAAAATTTTATTGGTCGCTGGAGGGCACAGTGAGGGATGCTAAAATCTCTTTTTTCTTGTAATATTTGGAGCTCACCGAAGGAGGAGATTGAATTTTTCTAATAAAAAATATTGCAAGCAGAACGGAAAAGGTAAATAATATGATATTGGCAAAAAAAAAAAAAAATTACCTACTCACCAGGTCAAAGCATTATTCTGGATTTGTTAAGATGTTTCTCATCCCATAATAAGTGATATGTCATATTTTGATTTGCTAGATTTTAACTGAATGGTTCAGTCAAAAACTAACAACTGAACTCTAGAATTTTCCATGTATACATATATTAAGAGAACAAGGGTGGTACTTGGCGAGCATCCCCCGATTTTATTAATTTTAAAAAAGAGATTACTCAGGCAGTGCTTAAGACTTACCTAAAGGAAAGAGTCTGTCGTACAAAGATTTACTAAAATCTCATAACAGCTCTGCTTCTAGTTCTTGGAGAATACTTTACAAAGATTGTACTATAATCCCATGAAATCTCTATTTAAATCTTTATCTAAGAGAAAGCCTTACAAAGGCTAAGCATGAACCCCATGACTTCTTTATGTTCCTTAGTTTAAATTATTTTCTATCTATTACATTACATTTAAAGCTATCAAATCCTTAAGTATGGAAAAAAACATTTATGTGATATATACTACTCCTCTTGTACTAAAAAATAGTTCAAATTAAACTGTAAAATTTATATTGTTCGTTTTTTTTTCCTTTTTGTGATGGAGATAATATAAACTAAGACATGTTATATTAGTTTTACATTATTACGAGTATAGTGGTATCTTTTTATCGTGCCATAGTCTCAGAAGTTAAAACCTCGTACATACCGTTTTACTATGCAAAACGCGTAGTAATGCAGTAGAATATAAAGCAATGGCAGACGCGTACGCCCATGTAGATGTGTCCGCCGCTCAATGATTTCAGGCACAACTATTTAAAAAGTTTCGGTAACACAATGGGTGCTGGTCTTCTTTCATAAGAAAATGTTGATAATATATGACCCATTAAAAGTTTGTTGGGCTGTGAATTGCAATTTGCAACCGTCCGACAGTCCAGGATTGACTTCAATTGCCGTTTGGAAAGGGAATGGAAGTATGGAACCCGTTTGGAAGGGGAATGGATGTGTGATTTCAATCTTTATATATTGATCTTGATGAATAATAGAATAGTACCCAAATGCTTTGACTCGAAAAGAATTTCTTCAAGATTTTCTTAGTCAAAAAGATGTTTGTTAAGAAAGTGTTGCTTAGGAGTATATTCCATTAGGATTGTCATTTCAACATAGCAAAAGTTGTTTCAGCAGATCTAATGTCCCTTCCTCAAATACTGTGTTACTCATTTAGGGGTTCTATTCGACAGCATTGGACATAAATGCATCCACATCAGGCTGCTTTCCATAAACTGACCTAGGAGGACTTGAATTCATAGGTTTGTCGAAATATTGAACATCAGATGAGCTCAGCTGGATATTGGTACTTACTCATACTTTTGTCTCCAGAAAGTATGTTGAGGAGACAGCAAGTCCTTCCACATCGTAAGTGCGTACAAGTCTCTGTCTTTTGCCAGGCGACTCAAGCCAACACAGCTCCAGATGAAATGATTTGGATTCTTGAACACACTTAGCCACATCACAGGGACATCCCATGTAAATGCCCCCGGGAAGTAAAGTCAACTGGTATCCGCCATCGAATGTTACTAAGTTGTTTGACACCTTACCCGTCCAGTGTACATTAGTAGTAACATCTCTCACATCTGATGTTGATGAAACATCCTGCATGCAACGATGAGCGAAACTAAGAAACTATTGTAAATAACATTTAAGACTTCGTACTACAGAAAGATTTATCCTTGGTAGTAATTTGTAAAGGTAGAAAAAATACTGCGGGGGAGACATTGAAGGTCAAAATAGTTGACGATGGCAGGTACACTTCCTGACCTTTCAGTAATAGATCCTTTAAAAAGTTAACAAAATATATATATATATATATATATATATATATTGAAGAATATAGTTCAACAACTGCAACGAACCTGAATTAGCTGACCATCTTTGTCAATTTCGAGTTCAGAAACCGTATCAGCTTCAGTTAGTGTTGCTCCATAGACACCACTGCGCTTTGTTATGGAATGTCCTCTCCATTTACCCAGATGAGGAGTAAGCCTGTTGATGTCATCCTAAAGCCAAGCATGTAATCCAGAAATACAAAGACAATTATTCTCAAAGACAAAGCTAGTTGGAGCAAGTATAAGTTCAATCCTTTTCATACGCTGGATGTACCTGAGAGTCATTGAAAGTGGGGGAAACAAGTGAAGTGCCACCTCTTTCTTCAAGGAAGACCAGAAGCATTTCCAGAATGCCTTTTGGATCCAGTATATGAAAAGCTCTTACTCGTCTATCTTTCTCTAGTGAATAAAGACAATTCTCACACACAACAGATGGCCGTCGAGATGGAAGCTTTAAATTTCTGTAAAAGATCAAACATGACCAAACAATAGAACAAATTTCAGCAAAAATCTTCATTTCACAATTAATTAGCTAAGTTCACCCGTTACAGATTTTTTTTCTTATTATCAGTAAGTATTTTGTTTCCGACACCAATTTACTGCTCTTCTTTTTTGTGATTAAACTTACGTATGCAGGCCATGCTTTCGCCAGGGACAAGCTGTATTCAAATAGGAAAGTGCTATTGTTTGGATTTCTTTGCTTATACCGACACCGTTGCATCTACCAATTTTTCATAAAATACGATGGCGAGAACCTACTTTTCATATAAGGAAGTTGACTTGAAATGAATAATGCATAATAATTTTAGCAAAAGCAGTGCTCTAAAATATATACATATGCATACAAATATGTAAATTCATGATCTTTGAAGATGAAAGCACTCACTTGGGTGATTCTTCTCCGGTGTCATCCTCACCAAGCACCCCCTGTCTTAATACAGTCTCCAACATGCCAGCTGTCTGATACCTCAAAGCAAATGCCCTCTCTCTTGGGAAGAAACCAATCTGCAAACTACTTTCAGTTCAACCTCATTACAAGAATAAAGCAAAACAGAATAGACACTAGTACTGACACGGCAGATCAATTAAGATACCAACAGAGATTATCAGGAGTCGAGGAGGCTCACCTGCTGATATTTGTCCACGGTGAACATGTTTGTCTCCTTGATCTTGTACTCGGACCATTCTGGTTCATCATACTTAGTTCCCGAAAACAACGTCGTTGATTGTGGTTGTTTAATGTATAACCTGACATATAAAGTACATTACGTTAGCTTGGCTAAAGATGAATCATTTGAAGATTTACTCAGAAGTTCCACTATTCTTGTCTCCTTTTTAAAGAACGCTCCAATTTCCACAAGCTAAACATGTGGCCTCCAAGAAGATAATACAACTTGGATAAAATTTATCAACTTTTTCAAACTCTATACACACTACACACTCAGTTCAAACTTAGATTTCAACAAGTTAAGGCTTTAACCACAGTATTAGCAGACTTGATTAGTTATGTTACAGAGTAAGATTATGCAAAATGACGAATTTCCTGTAACAGAATTTGTTCCAGAGCTTAATTGACTAAATAGTACACGAATTGAGTTAAATCAATGTGGCGAAACTGAAAGAGGAAGCTTACGTCTGAATCAAACTCACGAGTTCGTCTTCACCGTAAGAACTAGCAGCAAGCCTCGTGCTGATTTGATTCATCAACTTCCCCTTACCATCAAATTGCTGCAAATTGAAACAATAAACACAACCAAAACACCCCATTTCAGCAGGAAAAGCAAAAAGTGTAATTCCATTTTCACCTGGACTGAAAACTATCAGAAAATGTAAAAGGGTCGGGTGCATTTACATGGAAAGAGCCGGTCCAGTTGCCCAAATTGAGTTGTATGAATCGCTGAAGTGCGTCAATGCTCATGAATTCTTGGTCGGACTGCTGACTGTCTTCCAATTTGACACCATGGGATGAAGATGAAGATGAATCCTTCACAGAGCGAATAATGGAAGTCCGAATGGAGGTAAAGGGTTGAGATAACATCTTGAGGTTCCATGGATGCAATTTCCCGGAGAGAAATGGACTGGCCGGAGTCGTAGAAGAAGCCACTGAGACAGGGGAGCGGGCTGCTGCCATTGATAAAATAATAATTCCTTCTGTATTCGCGCAGAATAGATTTCTGGGCTTCTCGTTTTATCGACTAACTTATCAGTAGCAGAAAATATCCATAATCCGGTTCAAACGTTCAAAGTATTCAGCCAGATATTGGGATGAGAAACGACGCCCACTGGGTCGTTTAATATGTGGAAAATGCTGCGATTTTTTTAAAATTCATTTTTAAAAAAATGTTTTTTTTTTTCAAGAAACTTGTAAATCAAAGTGTCAAAATTACCCAGATACTCTATCTCAATTTGAAATGCTTCCTAAGAGTGGATCGTGGACTCGAAATTTTTGTTGGTACGATACATGAGGCAAATATATGAGTTTCTAATTTATTGTAACATGTTAGTAAGAAATATCAACAATATCATGTTATAATCATGGTTATAAAAATAGTAGAAATTTATCTAAATACAACTGTCCACCAGAGAGATAGATGAGGTTAAATTTTCTAATGAGTCTACAACAAATTTCGGCTCTTGATACATACGTTCCAATTCTACAATCCATGCCCTCAATAGTAATTTATGATAACCAACACATAATTTCGAATGATCGTAAATTTTAACAGAAAAGTTAAAATTGCAATAAATGATTCTGATTTATTGTTGAAAAATCGTTACTCATATTTTAAGTTTGAAATACTCATGCAAAATTGAGATGTGTAAATGGACTTGTCATGATCAAAAGGCCTGGTATTCGCATTAGGCCATATACTACATCCTTTCTTATTTTCTTGTCACAAAATCATACTCATTGAGAATTGAAATTTTAAATTCCAACAACACCACACTATTGCGAAATGGTTCCGAGTTCGATACAATAGATTCACTAAGAGGCTATCACCATTCACCACGATTGATACAGAACAGAGTAAATAATATACTGATATATAGTACTGCAAATTTATACATTTGCAGAATTAATTCAGTGCTTAATTAAGTCTCTATATTACTAGTCCAAGAAACCAAAACAGAGCCTCAATTCCAGCAACTAAGGCCTGAAGAAGAACAACCCGGCTGCCAGTTTTCATTCCGGCGGCGGCGCCATTGGAAGCGGGGGCGGGTGGCGGAGGAGGAGGAATAGTAACATTGATAGCCAGCTTCAAGCCATGGTAGCAATATCCGCCGCTGCTGAGAAAATAATAAGCTCTGGCCTCCTTCAGCTCGTAAACATCTCTGCCACCTCTGGTTAAGTTCTTCATGAACTCCTGATCATAGCATTTCTCGTAGCTGCTCTGATTCACTTCCAGTACGTTGTACCTGTACTTATCGAATCTGAAATCTGAATCAATTCAACAATTGAATATGTAAACGTTAGTACTTTGTACTAAGTATTGTCAAATTGGAAAAATTGTCTGGGAAAAAAAAAATCCAATGTACAGTAAAATTTAGAGAGTTGATTTGATTGATAGAAGAAGGTTAATTAGAAGGGATTTTGATTGGACTCACAGAGCCAATCTCCGACGAAGAACTGATACTGAGCAGCCCATTCGGTGTAGTTAACTCTGACATCATCCGTCCAGCCAAGCTTATCTCCGACGACCAGACGCTTCATACTCATCACTCTGCCACTCAAAACCGCCGCCGCCGCCGCAGCGAAAAGGACCCAAAATGCCAAACCTTTCATCATCATCATCAACATTGATTGATCCTGAAAAATGCTCCCTTTTTTGGTCAAATAAAAACGGACTTTGAAGTAGTATATTTATGGAGGGCTGAATTGTACTCCCAAATCAACCAGAAAAAAACAACACAAATGGTTTATTTTGTTGACTTGATACTAATGTACTAACATATTTATTGCGCTGATTCGGACTAATATCTTCCTTGTGAAATCAGCAATGAGAAACAAATGGCAATTAACTGCGGTGGCTGGCAGACTCATGCTTCAGGACCTGTATTTGTACAATATGTATGTTACTACTTTTTTCTTTTTCGGACAACAACCTGGGCAAAAGTGTACCTTTTTGATGTACTTCACTGCATTTCAATGTGCACCATTACCAACAAGCAGCAACATTAACGTGACCTTCAATGAAAATTCTGCCGTTACATGGCTGTGAAATAACTCAAAAGACGAAACAGCTCAAATACGAATACTATTGGTTCTATCCATACCTTCCTCCTTCAGGATTTAAGGAGTGAAGAATCCAATATCAATGAATAGTAAGTACATTCTGTATGAGTTGCGTATCAAGCGAAGCACTTACTTGACTTGCCTACAGAAGGATAACAAGCCTCTAAGTTGAATGTGAGTTGATGATAACAATTTCTAGTCCTTCGATTCCTTCCTCGTCAATTCTCTTAACAGACTCCTCAACAGACATTGCACATTGTTGAACCTCGATTTTCTGCAGTGTTGAGATGTTTGCGAAGTCAAGAGGAATCTCCTCAAGCTCCTTGCAATGTCGCATGACAAGCTGCTGAAGTTTGGGCAAGTGATCATCGGACGCGTTCCAGTGGACAATGTTTAGGGTATCCAATTTCAAGTACTTAAGATTGACAAACTCCCTTTCTACCATGTCCCAACTTGACCCTTCAAATGCTCTAGAAATCAGTTTCAGGACCTCCAAGTTAAGCAATCTACCAATCACTGAGATGTGGCCTCCAGGGCAAGCGGAAGTTTGACAGCGTCAATTTCTTTAAAGCGGAAGGGAAGTTCAGTACACCAGAGCTGAGAACCTTGCCGTAGTAGATTACTTTGAGAGACTGCAACTTGTTTAGGAAATCTAGAACAGGAAACTGAGTCTGAGAGGATTCGAAGACATATGTTGTTGGCCTCAAAAACACGCATTTTAACTTCCGAAGATGGGGAAACATCTGTCTCATGTTATGCATTGCTGGTCCACATTTAAAACATGGAAATGAAAGTGTTTCCAATCTATCAAACTGACAGGACCTTCCGTCCAGTGGCAAAGTGAAGATATGAAAATTACTGAAATGAATATGCCTCAACTTTTTCATTGTCCAAATGGTATCTGGTAGAACCACCTTCCCCTTCAAACCCTTCAAAATGAAAGTTTGCAAATTCTCAAGGTTGGCCAAAGATGGTGGAATAGACTCCATATCGCCAGAAACTGCCAAGAACCTCAATTCAACGAGCGATTCTATTCCATCTGCCAGAGAGCTACCCATATTAATGGATTCCAAATCCAACACCCTAAGACGTTCGTAATTGGAATTTGGAAGGAATGAAGGAGACATCATAGGGGCATCTAGGGTACATGTCGGTAGTGGCAAAGAAGAGTAAAGATCGGGCGAAAGGACCTGAAGGCCTTGATGCAACAAAGTGCTCTCGGTTCACACGAAAGCATTGTCTGTATTCCTCATATGTTGTAGAACTTGAAACATTCAAAGGCTCAAGCGGAATATCGTATTCTTGATTACCAAAAGCATGATAAGGTTCATCATCACAAGAAAATGGGTGAAAAAATTTGTCATTTTCAGCTTTCAACAAGCACAAATCACGTACTACATCATGAACTCTGCATGCTTTCATCTCACCATTTTATCCTCTTTTGTCCACTATTACCAGATTTCTGCCAACAAGATCCATTAAGTAGTTATCAGCAATATCCATTAAGCTCTTGGAATGCACTTCATGGACGAATCCTTCAGCAATCCATAAACACTTTAATCTCCAAACTGGAATGGTATTGTCCTCCGGGAATGCTCCAAAATAAAGCAAGCAAGCCTTCAGATGATCTGGTAAATGATCGTAGCTCAGTTCTAAGATTTTCTTGCATTGAGTTTCTGGATCATTAAGTACTCGTAAGCTCACGCTTTCAGAAGCTTGCTCCCACAGGTTTTGGTTCTTTCCACGTGTCCTCCCAATAAGACCAGCTATTGCACCAATAGCAAGAGCCAATCCTTTGCCATTTTTCGCAATTTGTTGTCCTACCCCTGACAATTCTTCAGGGCAGGCTTCTTGCTTAAATATCTTCATTTTTAACAACTCCCTCTTTTTATATTTCTGAGAAATGCAGCACCATGCACGAACATGGAAATGATACAAAACACTAGGACTGCTGAACACATTCCTGGCCAAAGTGGTCTTCCCAATTCCTGGCATTCCAACAATCGATACAACATTTCGCCGCAGTGCACCTCTAGTAAGTCGATCGACTATCTCCGCTTTCTGATCATTGAGGCCAACCATAACTTCCTGAAATTTTGTGGTAGTACCCCGTGACACAAAAGGCGTCAACCTCTCATCAGGAATGTTTTGAACTCTCTCATCGTTACTGGTATTCCCATCTAAATTCGCAATCAGTACTTTGATCTGCCCAATTTCTTCTTCCAGATGATATAGCCACATCACAGCCTTATCCACCTCCGACTTGGAGTCAACAACATGCTCTACCTGATAAAACCGCATCAACAAGCCGGGTATGAACATCTTTGTATTCCTGTTTCTCATTGCCCTGCGCACAAACATCCTCGAATCTCGATACTATGAACTCCAAATCCCTGTAAATGGCTTTGATTTCATTCCTGCACATCACTGCATCTTTATTATGGATAAGCAGCTTCCTTAATTTTTGCAAGAGGAACTTAATGAAGCACAGTCCCGGAATCTTGGGGAAATCATACTTTCGGAATTTGAAATAAATTCCTTTGAGCTGAGTCTTCAACAGATCACCAAGTAGTTCTCCTCTGCACAGGAAGACTGATAGAGAGATTGCGCTTCCTTATGAACTCCTTCAATGACTTCCAAAATCTGATATTCTGCTGACCCTTCAGAAATGGCTTTGCCATGATCATCCCCGGGAAGTACAAGGAGGGTGACATTACTCTTGATGAATATCTCAGCCTTGAGACACCAAATTTAATTTTCACAAATAAAATTGCAAACTCTCAGTATTGCTTTTTCGCCAGTTACTATGTTCTAAATATCTGGCCTCCATAAGAACATCTCTAATACGTATTCAAAAACTTCAGGACGTCCATATTATGCGTCTCTTGCATTTTGAGGAGGACACTATTCTTATGCATATATAATTTTTTTCTTTTAATTTTATTTTTATCACTTATTTCATTTTCTACCTAATCTATTATTTACATCTGAAGTGAAATTTTTCTCACACCTCTTTTGTTTACGATCTCCAACGCGGCCGCTTTTATCCCTTCATCTACAATTTTTGGCTGCTAATTCTCATCGGTGATAGCAAGTTGCATAAAAAAAAAAAAAAACCATCAAACAAAGAAACCCCCAAAAAAAAAATAAAAATTGTGAATATCAATCCGATTCCAACCAAAAATCAAACTAATCTATCCGGCTTAGTTGATTCAATTCTAATATTTCCCTGTCTAATCTATCCGGCTTGAATCTATTTGGCTCATCCCATGATTTAAAATCCTTCTAATTTTCACATTGGCTTTTTCTTTTCTTTTTTTCATTCTTCATAATCGACGTCAAACCTCTTTTTGTTGATGGCAGTATCATTTAGCGGTAGGATTTGGTAGTATCATTTTTTTAAAGAATTTTTAATTTTTTGGGTCATCCTTTATTATATATATAGAGAGAGCTCAAAAAAGAAGAAATCAACAATTTACATTCACAAAAAAATATATTCTATCTGTCCAACCAAAAAAAAAAAAAAGTTCACAATATCATAACTTGTGATTAGTACTGTTTTTGGTACAGTTTATAAACTACAATGTGAACTATATTTTTTTTGGACAGAGGGCCTATTTAATTTATAATATATATATACATATATACACACACAACCGATCAAGTATTATATGAATGAATAATTTAAAAACCAGCACCCCAATCATAGACTTTATCAAACTCCAGGTTATAGTCAGCACTGCTAATGAAAAAGCCATCTCTCCGAACAGACCAGAAACAGTTCCGGCCACGATCGTCGCCGCAATGCTTCTCGGCCAAGTGGCGGTTGAAAACGTAGATGCTGGCCTTCAATCCGCTCCACTGGGCGAGGCACACGAACTTGGTGGTATGGAAATAATTCAATCCGAAGTGGAACTTGAAAACTCCTCCTTTATACAGCGTATGGGAACCAAGGTCATCATCCGAGGAATGGCACTGCAACCCCAACGGAAGTGAATCGTCGATGTCATTCCTTATCTGAACCTGATACTTTTCCCCCCATGCCTCCACTTTTGGAGCTTGGAAAATGAAGAACAAGTAAACTCCGATTACCAGGGTTGAGATAATTAGGTTCTTCATTTTCATATGTTTCATTCACAACTTAATCTTTGCTTCTTTTTTTCTCTTTTTTCTGGTAGATGATTGAGAAGGTGTGTTTTTTATAGTAGGTGAAATCTAATGGAGTTTTCCTTTGTTTTTTTTTTTTGGTAAAGATGGTTTGAATCTCCGAGGTTGTCGGAAAACCAACATGATTTTTAGGGGGTATGTAATGGACAATAAGCATTCTACCTATAAAGCTTATGAAAATATTGAGGTACAAAATTTACGGTTTGTGTTGTTTTATACGCTACTAGAGAGAAAGAGCGGGTAGAAATTCTTTTGTCGCCGGTAATTATTTCTTCTTCATAAACCTCATTATTATGCGACGGAATTATCGAAATTAATTACTATAAAAAAAAACTTTGGTGTCAAAGTATTAAAATTGGTGATTTGCTCAATTGTTTTTGCCCTTAATAATGTGAATAAAGTTGACCATGCGAAAAATACTGGTTCTTTTTAATAAAAACTAACAAATTATAGAGTTTGGCCTTATCCTTTGTTTATTATCATTGCTTAACATAATCTTATTGGGAATTTGTTTCTTTTGAATGGAATAGACGAAGGGCTTTTAATGTTATCCGTGTAATAAAAATATGTTTTCTTACATGTGGACTTAAAATATATTTCGATCAAATTCTTAGTAAATTAGGCGCGTACCATTACAAAATGTTTTGGTAGAATTTATGTTGTAAGGAATATGATTTGGTGCTTTTTTTTTTCAATACTAATTTATGGGGAAGACCATTGGTGTCAATGAATGGAATATTTCTCCCTAATCTGCTAGTTTGCAGAAATTAACACTTTCATCGCAACTTAGATAGATTATAAATTCTCTTGGAAATCTAAATCTATTAGGCACTATTGATTTTTTCGACAAATATTTACATGATACATAATGTGATCGTAGACGAATTTTAATTCTTTATTTAATTAGTTGTTTCATATCTAAGAACCCTTTCAATATTTCCACAAATATTAAAACTTTCACGCAACCTATAAAAGGCTAAAACTAAAATCCATTTCAGAAGAATTCCCCTAATGTAAAAGGCTGTTTGATGGGGTGGAAAACCTCCTTGGCTTGAATGGCAAAAGATGGATCACCTAAGCCTTGTCATGTGGAAATGAAAAAGAAACGGCTCACTTGGAGCTCTGAGCATATTGTTTGATGTTCTAGCTGTTTCCATGTCACTCTCTACTCCACTGCTGTTTCTATGGCATTGGTTCGTTTGTTGAAAAGTGGAGCATAGGAAGATAGGAATAATGGCGTCGGCAGTCGGCTACCAAAAGGGTGCACAGATAGTAGATATTGAAGAAAACAATAAATTTCTCAATTCAAAAAGAAAAAAAATAAATTAAAAAACATCTCTTTATCATTGATTATAATTTCTTAAAGAAAAGGGAAAAAAAAAAGAAGAAGAAACAATTACATATAAGAGCCGCAGATTCAAAAGATGGCAAGGAAATCCAAGGACGCTTACCTTGAAGAGATGAGAAGAAAAGCACGAGAGATTGACAGCAGTAGAATTTGTTTGGGACAGAGTTATCTACTTTTGTCGCCCCTTAAAAATTTACCCGTCAAATTACAAAATATTAGATACAATTATCAAACAGGATATGTGTATCAAGAGCGTCAACGGAAAATTCTAACCCCAACTTAAATTTCACGTCTATACCAATGCAAAAGATACTGGGAACCAAATTCGTACATTGATACCAGTCATATGATGCAATAAGATGTAATAACCCACTCCATCCATCCTAGATTAAATAGTCTATTTAGTTGTATTATTTTTTTACTTTAGTTCAAGAAAGTGAACTATTTTTAGAGATATAGAAATACGATTTTATCTGAAAATGATTGTCCAAATTAAATTTTTTATTTTTAAATACAATATTAAATGTGAAATTCCAAACTAAAAAGTTATTATGGTCAAGAGAATACCCAACAGCCGGTTTCACCGTTTCAGTTGGTGGCTGCATTGGCAAGAGGGGCAGGCACAGGATGAGGAATGGTAACAATAACTGCCGCTACACTGTGAAAATTTGAAAATAGGAATCTCTGGTCTGATTTGACCATTTTTTGCTTTAAGATATAGTGATGACTAGTGATGTTTGGTCGCGCAATGCGCGACCCTGGCCCAATATATCTGTAGATCTTAGAAATGTTTGTATTTGAAAAAAAAATATTTTGTATTTGACCTGATATATTTTAGAAATTTTTGAAGAATTTAGAAATATTTTATAACTATGATCATAGAAATATTTGTATTTTGCATAAAAAGAAATTGTATTTGGTCCGGTACATTTTACAAATATTTGAAGATTTTAGAAATGTTTTATAAGTGTTACTTCTTAAATATAAATAAATTTGATCAAATATATGTCTTGAAGTAAATGCTAGACAAAATATGAAAGTATGCCAATAAGTTTAAATATTAGTAATATAATTTGTTGATGTTCTCCATTGGTTGTGCCAAATCAATACTTAGTTTTGAAGATTTATAATAGCTTTATAGTAAGCTTCCTCCCAAGGGTATACGCTTAATTGTTGGAACTATTTCTTTCAAAAGTTTATAGCTAGTAAAATCTCAAAAATATGATTTTGAAACTGGTTAATTGTTGAAACTGGTTGATCACAAATATGAGAATGAAAATAATGTAAATTTGCATAGGTCTCAAGTTATAGCAAAAAAGAACTCACATCACCATGGCAAATAAAGAAAAAAAAAAGAAATTAAAAGATAGCCTATTAAAATTGAAAAATTTATTTGTATAAAAACACAAATAAACGTAAAAACATCATTCCTTCCCTCTCCACCTCAAATTCATAAAACGCTTTCCCATAAATTAATTAGAAGAAGCGACATAAACGATTTATATGATGGGGAACTAAAAAAAGTCAAAAAATCAAATCCAAAAAAGTATATTCTTGAAAGCCCGAACACAAAAAAAAACGCGCTTCATTTGCAAATAAAATAATAATAATAATAATAATAATAATAATAATAATAATAATAATAATAATTGGTCAATTGGGAGTATAAAACAAAATCAAAAGCAATTAAACAAAGAAAAAACACACTTCATAACTGACCATATATAAAAAAAAAACCGAGACTCCATAATTAAAAGAAAAAACACTCTAATTGAATGAAATATAAAAAAGAAATTTAAAAAAAACCACATTTTTTAATAAAAACCCAATTAATGAATTCAATCCAAACATAACTAAAATCATACAAAAATTCTAGGCTAACTAACCATATAAGAAATCACATCATATTACCTGACAACGGCTACGGTAACTGTAACGGATGGACGCATAAAAATAATAGTAATAACACTATTCTTAAACGGAAAAAAAAAACAGAAAATAATAAAAGCCAAACAAATGATCTGTGGAAATAAAATCATTTAAATTTTAATACCTGTAATTACACCACTACAACGGCCGAAGCAAGATCAATGAGATTTTTTTTTTCCTTTGTATTTATATAGAGAGGTAAAGAGAATATTTTTTGAAGTCGAAATTTTATCCGATTAGGATGTAGTTGATCATCACTAATGAAAAGATTGAACATGCTAATTGGAATACAGTATATTTCACCACATATTCTCAATTGATGATTGATGAGAAATTTGTTTTTTTTTTTTTTATTGTGGAGAAGTGATTGATTAGGGAGTCCATTGTGGTAGAGATGGAGGTGAGAATTGGGGTTTTTATGAACCCATGGTTTTTTTTTTTTTTTGGCGAAAATAGGAGGTAGAGGTGGATTTGGACTGCATTTACCTTTTAAGTTTAGGAGATGTGAAAATAAAAATTTATTTTAAAAATATGATGTGAAAATGCCACATGGCAAATGGTGGTGCTTTCTCTTAAATGTGGTTTTTGTTTCTAATATAGTAAGATATACGTTGGTTTAGAATTATCTTGTAATTTACGTTGTACTATTAAAAAAGTGGACCGTCTACGGCTATATCCCATCGTAATCTAGTCAAAGTCATTTTTTAGCGTACATGAAAAAAAGTTTTACTCAACCCAACCCCCAATTTCCTGCGTTATGTTTTCTTTATTTTCTCCCTCCCTTCTTCATCATCACCAATTCACTATTGACTATTCATCATTTACCGCTTCTTTAAAACAAATCCGAAATTTCCACGCATACACGAACATCTTTGTATCATTTCTTCGTCTCAAAATGATTGACCATTTTAAATTAAGTACAATTTTAACTAAAAAATAAAAATAAAATATCCAAAATGAACAATGATTTCAGGATGAAGAGAATATAAGGTTCCTAAATTTTTTTCCGCTTCTTTCAAATGCTCTAATATTATTATTTATTTACGTAACTAATCTTTTTAATATTCTTATATGAATATATTTATTTAACTAATTCACTCAAAATTTCGTTATTTCATGGTAAAGCACCAACAATAATATATACAGAGGGGTAGCGCAATTGGTTGAGGCTTTGGCATCATTCCCGGGAGATCCGAGTTCGAACCCCACTAGTAACACTTTCATGAGTTTGTACAGGTTTCCAGCTTGCATCGCCAGTACGTTTTTCAAATGCCAGATTGAGGCATGCGCGTGCGGAGTCTTTCCCATAGCAGTACTATCCCCTTCTCTGTTGTTTCAAAAAATAGTTTCAATGTGTTCAATGTTAATTACATATTTCCTCTGTTCTAAAACTATTGTCAAATTTGAGTTTTTATTTTTAGAATATTTTATACTATAAATAAAAAAATAAATTAAACAATAATTTTGGGACGAAGTGAACACTATATAATATATATTATAGTCGGTATAGTTAGACTGCATGGTATAAGGAAAAGCACTAGTATTCGGATCCATTACAAAAAGAACAACACGATCAAGTTGTATTTGGATTATAAAAAAAGGCAAATATAAAGTGCCCCATCAATATCATATATCTATATGAAATATGTGCTCAAAAATACTTTCACAACAATATATATTTTTTATAAAAAAAGGGGCACTTTTATACAAAAATACAAGCTCTGTTCCAAAATGATTGTTTTACTTCTTACTATATAAGAAACAAAAATCACACTTTAAAGAGCTATTCTTTAATTGGCACGTGGCATTTCCACCTCATTAATTAGTATTAATTGGTATTAAGAAATTAACAGATTTCCATAATGCCCTCCAGAATGCACACCACGTGCTCTTCTGTTTTCTTCCCTCTTTCAAATTCTCACTCCTCCATTACAGTACAGAAGAGTAAATTATATTACTTCTTATTCCACATCTGATGAGATTGCTCTTCAGCTCCTTTCATTTTCAATTCTTCTTCCAAAATCTTGCACGTTCTCATAATCAAAATGCCATCGTCCACCGTCGGTAAACTGCCGCTTCCACCACCACCCCGCCTTGCTCGGGCACCTCCGTCGCAAACCATTTTCTCCCGTGCCAGAGCCCAGATCGCCACTTCCATCTATTTTAACATAGAATGGGAAACAAACCTTCTATAGGCATCTATTGTAACAGAATTCAATTGAATCCTACCTTAATTCATAAGCTTTCATTGATTTCTTCAATTGAATCTCATTTTCAATTCATTTCTTTCGATTTGGTTACTTTTCCAAGTATGGGAATGGATTACTCAGTTCCGAAACTTCAGAGGTCGTCGCAAATGAGCTCGGAGTTTCTATACTTGGACACTTTGGTGAATGCTCATGGCGCCATTGACAATAGTGTTATGCACCAACAACACCCACGTGGCAGTAGCACCGGCAACGAAAGCAGTACTGCGAATTCGAGAAAATTTGACTCGCCGGAGCTCCGCCCTTCGCCGCCGCTTTACGGTCACAGCAATATTAGGTGAAATTACAGTAATGGTGATGTAGGGTCCGTCACACAGCAATGTTAGGCAAAAAATAAAATAACTCTTCCAGTACCGGAATATTTTGGGTAATATTTTGGGCTTAGGGTCCAGTAAGTGAATACAGTCCAAATAGAAATGTTTTCATCGGCTGATGTTTGACCGAAAGGAAAACAATAGTATTTTGTATAGAGCCCACTCTTTTTTTTTTTAGAGTAGAAGTAATAGTATTTTGTACTGAGGTCAAACTCTTCCGGCAATACAGTCCTACTAATTTATCTCACTTTTTACAATAGGACTACGCACCATGATCGCACTAATTTATATGGTGGTGAGTTCTTTTTTTTTTTATCCCACTTTTGTATAGTATTTTGTATGATTTTTGTATGATTTTGTATTGGGTGGGAAGGAATGATGTTCCTTTCAAACAGCCCTATGATTGTCACGTGACAGGCGGATAGTACTAAATTGCCTTTTTGTCTAACCATAATTAAGTTACTATAAAAACTCCCCTTTCAAACACCTCCTATGATTGCCACGTGACATGAGAAAAGTATTAAATTGTCCTTTTGTCTAACCATAACTAAATTACTAAATCCCCCTTTGCACTTTACGTGACACGTTTTTTTTTTTTAATTTTTTCTTTATGTTTCATTCAATTAGAGTGGTTTTCTTTTCTTAATTATGGAGTCTAAATTGAATTGATCAATTATGTTTTTGTTACAAAGTGTCAATTTTGTTTTAAGCGTATACCCTTCGGATGAAGCTTATTACAAAGCTATTAAAAATCTCTAAAACTAAGTATTGATTTGGCACGACCAATGGTGAACATCAATATCATCTTACTAATATTTAAATTTATTAGGATACTTTTATATTTTGTCTAACATTACTTCAACACATATATTCGATTAAGTCTATTTATATTTAATAAGTAACACTTATAAAACATTTCTAAAACATACATGGCGAAATACAATTTCTTTTTTTGTGAAATACAAATATTTCTATGATCACACTTATAAAACATTTCTAAATCCTTCAAACATTTCTAAAATATATAGCTCCAAATACAAAATTTTATTTTTTTTCAAATATAAACATTTCTAAGATCTACAGATAGACTGGGCCAGAGTCGCGCATTACGCGACCAGACATCACTAGTATTACAATAAAAAAAGAACAGGTGTTTCGAGATAGCTAGCTAGGGAGAACATAAGTTAATATAAAATTGACGCTCTTTTAAGGGGGAAAAAACTTCTCTTTACATTTCAGTAAAAATTACATAATCTTTACATTTATTGTTAGCATATACATACTAATATATATGAAAAGAAAAAACTTTATTCATCATGTTATTTACTTTAAACTCCCTCCGTTTCGGGAAAAAAGGGTAGTCGATCTATTATACTGTTTTAAGTAAACAGAATAAATTATTTTTATGAAACGGAAGGATCATGTGATATAGGATGCACAACCGTAACCACCCTAAGAAAAAAAAAATATTAAACCTTCCAGCTTTGCATCTTTACCGGCGTTGCGTTTTGAACCTTTGCGTCCTTGACAAAAAGCCCATCTTTCTGGACAAACCAATAACATGTGCGATCTGGCTCAAAAGTGCTGCCACAATATTGGCCTTTGAGATCAGGATTGAAGATAGGGGTCTTTTCCATATGGAAGTTAGCCCACCAAAACCAGCAATAGATTCTGGTCTTCCCAATGACGGGCTCCCGGAAATGGTAATGGCTATGATTCCTGAATCCGAAAGTCGCGAAACCGTAATCTTCCTCCTCCGAAACGCAATGAGTCTGAATGGGCTTAGGGTCGTTGATAGAGTTGAATACGTAGACGTCGTATGTCTTGCGCTTGAAACTGAAAGCCTTCACTTGGAAGGCCTGGTACAAGGACACTGAGATTAATACCATCAATATTATTGAATAGGATGTCTTCATGATTACAAAATATCGATGACTACTATTAATTAGTCTCAGTGTTGTAAGACAAGTTTGAATTTCTAAGTGATTAATCCTTGGGATTTTTATATCCCATTTTTAGCTCAGATTAGTGAATGGTAACCCGGATGTTGTGAGGTTTGCTTGATAACGTATGTATATTAAAAGCCAAAACCCCCCGGCTTTATAGTTCATAAATTGCCCATTCATTCATTTTCTTCATGTTGCAAAACTAATTTCATCCTCACAAAAAAATGATTAAAATAAGTTTTCTAAAAGTTTATCATGTCTCTAGAAATGATTCAACTTATTAGATACGATAAACTCATCATCCAATATCCGCGGGAGGATTTTCGACTATTGATTTCACAATCCGGCCAACTCGCAATGGAAATAAATAAGAAAAATTAATTGAAAAAATTTAATGCAATGGAAATAATATACACAGAAATGCTCCCTCCATTTTTTATTATAAAGAATTTTGATTTGTTCTAAATTCCATTTAGTATGTTTTTCTAATTGAAAATGAAATTTTAAAAATGTATTTTCACATTTATTATATTCTCTCAATTATTATAAAATTTTTATAATTCAATTTCAATTAGAATAACAGTAATATTATAATTTCTCTGTCCTAAAATAATTGTCCAGTTTGGATATTCTATTTTATTTTAAATTATACAAAAAATAAAAAATTTAAACTGGACAATGGCAGAGGGAGCAGCAGACATTAATTGAACCAAAGCTATATTTTATGAGTAGTGATAAGTACAAGGAAAAAATAACAAAGAAAAATGACAACGAATGATGTGTCAAGATCTTAATTATGCCATAACCTTAAATGCATAAACCATGGTTGAAAAGTTTTAAAAATGGATGAGTGAGGTGATTTCCTTGTAATTATTTCTTGTCATTTTTTTCTTGTATCAATCATTATCCATAATTTATATGGCAGCAAATCTTCCAAATACATAGCGAAATGTCATCTCTTTTCTATTTTTTATTTGTCACTCACTGAAAACAAATTATTTTTCTAACTTATAAAATGCAATTAAACATCACAAATTCACAACAGTCCATTGGGCCACTAATTAGACCACCAGAATGCTGATGACCCATTTACTTTGGCCCTGTTCCGAAGGGAATGCGACGTCGCTTTTTTCTCTTACCACCACCAGAAGCTCAAAAATCGAATTGCTTTCATCGGCATTCTCTGGCTTTTCTGATCAACTTCCGTCGGCCTCTGCTACGCCCTAAATCGTTCCCCCACCCTTCACGTTCAATTTATCTCCGGATGTTTCTGCCAGCCTTCAGGCTTTCTCTACCTTCAGCAGCTTTGAAGCTTCTCATCCGCAGCTCCCTCCCAATTTTGGCGCCATTTCAATCGCCGCTTCATCTTTCGCCGGAGAATTGACTCGGCCATTTCTGACTAGCGAGAAGCCGAAAAAATTGGTCAGTGCATTCTGATTATTCTTACCTCTCTGTATTTTTTCATTCTATGCTTAATCCGAATGAATTGTTTTGCTTTCTGAAGTCTGTTAGCTGAAATATCTTGTGTTGGCTTTAGTAGATGAGATTTCTCTCTGCGGATTGCTTCTATGTACTGTTGTTTTTCCTTGACCTTTAGAAGACTTAGAGCAAGCAACGTTTTAGATTACTGGGATTAAGTTTTCTGTTTGATCCTTTTGTTCGTCATTTTAATGCGTAACTATCCTCTTTCTTAAAAGTTAAAACTACGAACCTGTTAAGCAAAATCATTGCGATCACGGTCCTCTATTTAATTGTCTTCAAGAGGATGAAGATGCAATTTCATCATTTGGTTTATGCGTTTCGGTCTTGTTAATATCTTCTTTGCAGTCTAACCTCCATTGAAGAACATTAGAAAAATGTTCATTTCAGTTCTGGCATTTAAAGATGGTCTTGAACTTAATGCCACCAGGAAAGGTTAATTGCAAGTACGGTTAAGTTATTAGGTGGAGGGGTTTTTGGGTTAAACACCACCTAGCATGGCGCATAAGGATATATGACCATGTCCTCAAATCTGAGACGATGTTAGGAAAAAAGAACGATTGAGTGTATCATGCAATCTCTAAGAAAGCATAAAAAGGGCCTACAGGGAATCTTGACAATCATTAGATTATGGCACAATAAGTAACACTCCATGAGAAGTGAGAAATGAAAGGGATGAGGCCTGTCTTGATAATTCTACATCGGTGCTTCTCTCAAGCAGTGAAAACCTTCTCTTTCAAAAAATGATAACCTCAAATACAGGATTTCCACAGGGGATTAAAACCTCCTTTATGTCATGAGACAAGGGAAACTTTTTTCAAAGCAAGTGGTTGAGACCTTAAAAATGTGGCCGAGAAACACAAGCAAAGAGTGGAAAAGAACTAGTCTCACAATTATATTAGAATGGTGAACTGATCAAAGAAAAAGAACCATGAACGATTTTCTTGTGACTAGTCCTGTGGGAACATACTGGGTATGTTGTTGTTGTTGTTGTCCAGTGGGACTTATCTTTTCATTGTTTAGGAACCAACTGAGATTTCCAAAACTTCTGAAAGAATTAATGAGATTTTAGATGTGTGGAGAAAGTAGCATAGGAGAATGAGGTGAAGGTTGTCGTGAACAATGCGGCTAGTAAAAAGACAGCTGGGAAACTGTTAATGGAGAAACAAAAATATTATATTGAATTCCTTACAAAGTTACAATGATACATCATTACAACGACAATAAAAAACGTTAGTATTTGCTTTTTTTTCCACAAACAAAATGTTGATGACGTTTGTAATAAATGATCAAATGGTTCAAAAAAAAAAAGAAAGAAAGAAGAAGATATGTTACAATATTGGAATGATCAATGAAACCTAGATGAAGTGCACCCTAATCATGCTCAGACACAAGGTTCTTGAAAATTGGTCTCTCACATTTTATAAAGTGGATATTGTTGGTCTGACCGTTCCAGACTATATGAACAAAGCAGCTTGATTTTCTCAGGTATAAGAGTGAAAATTGAGAGGATGTTGTATATGTTGATTTTCTGTTGCTGTTGGTAAGAGAGCAAGAGGGACCATGTTTCTTTATTTGATAAGCATGTAACCAATAAGTAGTTTGTAAATGTATTGGACTAATTTCTCATTTGTGTTGGGGTTTGGTTTAATAAACACAGCATTATTGGATGGTTTCAGGTGGTCCACCTGCTACAATTGAGTATTGATCTTGTTGCTTGATTACTTGTTTTTGAGATTTAGTATTGTAGTTGATTCGGATGCAATTCTTCTTTTCTTTTTCCAGCCAGATGATATTTCCTTGAAGGTTTTGGAAGGGAACTCCCTTTCAGATGCTTTTAGATATGACATCTCTTCGCTCTGGTGGATTTCTTGATCCTGGGTGGGAGCATGGAATTGCTCAAGATGAGAAAAAGAAGAAAGTTAGATGCAATTATTGTGGGAAGGTAGTTAGTGGTGGTATTTACCGGCTGAAGCAGCATTTAGCACGGGTTTCTGGAGAGGTTACTTACTGTGAGAAGGCCCCAGATGAGGTACGTCACAAAATGAGAGAAAACCTTGATGGTTCCCGTTTTAGTAAAAAACTGCGGCAAATGGAATATGAAGAACAATCATACTTGAATTTTCATGGTAATGACGACATCGATGAGGAAGATCAAATTGGGCATAAGAATAAAGGGAAGAATGTGGTAAGTGACAAGGGTTTGGTGATAAACATGACTCCGCTCCGGTCCTTAGGGTATGTTGACCCTGGATGGGAGCATGGAGTTCCTCAAGATGATCGGAAAAAGAAGGTGAAATGCAATTACTGTGGCAAAATAGTCAGTGGCGGGATCAACAGATTCAAGCAGCACCTTGCTCGAATCCCTGGAGAAGTCGCCCCTTGTAAAAGTGCTCCTGAAGAAGTATACTTCAAGATAAAAGAAAATATGAAATGGCATCGTACTGGGAGGAGACACCGGCAACCAGATACTAAGGAGTTTTCAGCTTTATACATGAATTCGGATAACGAGGAAGAAGAAGAAGATGAAGAAGAAGCTGCACCAGTGCATCACATGAGCACTGAAAAAAGTTCAGGCCGAGAGAAAAGATCAGGAAGTGATGTGAGGTTGGCTGTCAAGGGGATGTTTTCTGCCACCAGTTCGGAACCTCCATCAAAGAGACCAAGATTTGATGTCACTGCCCTAAAGACTCCGAAAACTCAGACACAATCTTCCGGCAAGCCCCTGAAAGCATGTTCCAGCAAGAAGTCCCGCAGGGATGTTGTATCTGCTATCTGTAAATTCTTCCATCATGCTGGAATTCCGGTACAAGCTGCAAATTCCCCATATTTTCATAAAATGCTGGAGGCAGTTGGGCATTATGGACCAGATTTGGTTGGTCCTTCAAGCAGAGTTTTGTCTGGTCGATTTTTGCAGGATGAAATTTTTACTATAAAAAACTACCTTGCTGAATACAGGGCTTCATGGGCTGTTACCGGTTGTTCTATTTTGGCTGACAGTTGGCGAGACACACAGGGTAGGACATTAATCAATATTTTGGTTTCTTGTCCTCGGGGGGTGTATTTTGTTTGTTCAGTTGATGCTTCAAATGTTGTCGACGATGCAACATATTTGTTTAAATTGCTTGACAAAGTGATCGAAGATATGGGTGAGGAAAATGTCATCCAGGCAAGTGTTTTGCTTTAGATTGTGGCTTTATTTGGTACTTACTTCATTCTGCGTTTACTTCCTGATGCCAATATTGCAGTTGAAACCCATCCCCAGTAGACCATTTCGTCTTCCTTACTGAAAAATGGTATTGCAGGTAATTACCCAAAACACTCCCACTTATCAGGCAGCTGGAAAGATGCTTGAAGAGAAGAGAAGGAATCTATTCTGGGCCCCCTGTGCTTCCCACTGCATTGACCAAATGCTTGAAGACTTTACTAAAATAAAGTGGGTAGGCGAATGCCTGGAGAAAGCTCAAAAAATCACAAAGTTTATCTATAACCGTATGTGGTTATTAAGTCTTATGAAAAAAGAATTTACGGGAGGACAAGAACTTTTGAAGCCATCTGTTACCAAGTATGCATCAAGTTTCTCTACTTTGCAAAGTTTGTTTGACCATAGGGTTGGTCTTAAAAAGATGTTTATGTGCAACAAATGGCATTCGTCTCGGTATTCAAAATCAGATGATGGCAAAGAAGTGGAGAAACTTGTATTAAATGCTTCTTTTTGGAAGAGGGTACAGTATGTGAAAAAATCAGTTGAGCCCGTGGTTGATGTGCTTCTGAAGATTAATGGAGACGAACGCCTTTCAGTCCCATTCATTTATAATTGCATGTTTAGGGCAAAGATGGATATCAAAGATAACCATGGTGATGATGCGCGTAAATATACCCCATTCTGGAATGTCATAGACTGTCACTGGAATAGTTTGTCTCACCACCCGCTTTATTTGGCTGCATATTTCCTGAATCCAGCATATCATTATCGTGCCGATTTTGTCCCGGTATGACATGGTGCATTTCTTGGAATTCATCTAAACTTGAAGTTGTCTTGTTCTTTCTTTTGAACCGTGTGCACCATCCTTGTAGCATCCAGACGTCATGCGAGGATTAACTGCATGCATTGTTAGGCTTGAACCAGACAATACAAAAAGAATTTCGGCATCCATGCAGGTAGCAAATTTGGGAAGTTGTTTGTTGTTGGCTCATTCTGTTTGATATTTTTCTTCTAAGTGACGCTTGGTTTTGCTTCAAGGATGATTTCACCTATGTATTTGATGTTACATTCCAGATCTCTGACTTTGACGCTGCAAAAGCTGATTTTGGAACGGACTTGGCGATCAGTACAAGAGTGGAGCTTGATCCAGGTTACATTTATGGTTTCTGTCAGGATGAAATGGCAGTCTTGATTTATTTATCCAAATATTTTAACAAGGTTTGCCGAACTAGTATCTTCTTTTTCAGCTGCATGGTGGCAACAACATGGGATAAATTGCTTGGAGTTGCAAAGAATAGCAGTCAGAATACTTAGTCAAACTTGCTCCTCTTTTGGTTGTGAGCATAGCTGGAGCATGTTTGACAAGATGTACAGCCGAAGGCACAACCACACTGCACAGAGAAGATTGAATGACATCATTTATGTGCACTATAACTTGAGACTCAGAGAACGCCAGATTCGAAAAAGAAGCGGTGACTCCATTCCCCTTGAGAGCATTTTAGACGAAACCTTGTTGTATGACTGGATTGTGGAAGCAGAGAAGCAATCCATACAGGAGGATGAGGTATGTACTATTTCGTTTTCCTACCAGGATTTCAAACTTCGTCCAACCCATTGCATGCATCAATAAAATGGTTCTGATTTTTGGTGACTTCTTTTAAGTGCGAAGCTAGTCTTATTCATCTCTCAATAATGCATTGCAAGCCCTTCATATTACCTGAAAATTTGGCATTGGTTTCTATTTGAGTTGATAATCAACAAAGTTAAAACCTTTCTTTTCTCTATTGCATTTTTTCTCAGGAAATAAGTTTTAGTGATATGGAGCATGTTGAAACACACGAGAATGAGTTGGATTACGAGGATGGCAGCGCAGAGTTCAGAAAGGGATCCTTGGAGATGCTAACTGTGGCAGATATCGTCGACCCTTTGGACATCACTCCTGCTAATACGTTTACAGGCAGTGACGATGAGGCTGAGATGGATTTCTTGGATGATAACTTAAGTGATTGACTGTTTGTGGGAGTTTGGTAGGTAAACTTATGCTGGGTAAGTATGATTAATTGTAGAGTGGTGGATTCGATTCTTGGCCACAATTCAACTCTACAGCCTGTTGTTAGTCGACGCATGATAGTTTTGTGACTAGGTTTTACCTTTTTTTCGTGTCATCATTTCTTTCCTTGGGTAAATAGGAGAAAGAGTTCGTCGAACTGCTAATACCGTATTGTATATATCAATGAATTAATGTCTGTTTGTTCAACCATTACCAAACTCATCTCTTCTGGTACACTACATTTTGTTCAAACTGTACAGTCACCATTACCTCTCTTGGAATTTCGTTTATCAGAAAGCACATGACAATCCCGACAGATTAAAAAAACATTTATCTTATTCAAGTTCTGATTTGATACATCAACAAGCACTTTCTAGTGCAGGAATCAGAATACAAGCCAAATCAAAGAAAACTAGACCAAAAAACATGAATCAAAAAAGCATCAAAACGAATCAGAAAGTACTGGTGCCAGATTACCATGTCAAGAAAACGAGAGTTCACATGCTGGAGACACTTTGGATGACATTAATACCTCTTCGAGTGAACTTAACTTTACCTTGACATCAATCCTGCGTACATCAACTCTTTTCAACACCAAAGCATGATTAACAATGAACCTTAACATTCCCTTGTCATCTTGATGGCCTTGATATTCTTTATATGACACTCGCGTGAGACTAGATAACAAGCATCTGGAAACACTGGTTGGATCCTTCCATATGTCGCATTCTGAGGCATAACGTTGCAGCGTCTCAATGTGGAGTTCATCCAATGCGGCACAATGATCAATCAAATCCATGAGACTTCGGAAATTACAGCCGGCAAACTTAATAAACAATTTGGTCAGTCTCTCGAAATCTCGCGACAGATTGTTGGTGGCTACTGCAAAGCCTGCCTTCAAGTAGCACGATAACCTCAGATCTTCGCCCTATCAAAAGCTCGAATTGGGCAGGCAGTTAAAGACCAGATGTCAAGAGTCACTCCATCCAATGAGTGCATCTCTTCCGCGGAAACAACCTCCATAGACCCCAAATCATCAACATATACGTACTCAAGTGCAGGCGTAACGATTTCCAGCTTGGAATAAACCTTACCGCGGCATTTATGAACATAACAGAGGCGTTTAAGGCTACTAAGGGAAGAGATTGTACAAACTTCCATGTTATCATCGAGATTCCTGTGGATTTCAAGAGATTCAAGCACGGGACAACCAGATACAAGCCGGCGAAAAGACTCGCCCGATTCATAGTTAACTCTTCTTAGCAACAATCTAGTAAGTTTTGGGAGACAAACCACAGGGGGGAACTTTAAGGAGAAAAAGTCCATCTAAACTCAGAACCTCAAGCGTCTTGCAAGTATAAAGTTCAACTGGTAGGTTAATTGTATAGTATTTAGGATACTCATCGTCATCTCCATTTGATGGGAACAAAAGCAAATCGAGAACTCGGAACATTTCGAGCCATTGCAGTATTGACACAATTGGTAACATTAATCCATGGGTAGCTTCGGTCACTTACTTTCAGACGAAACCGGTCCATGGAGACCTGAGCATTCTGATGATGGGACAAAACCGTGTTAACGAAAACCACAAATTTCGTAACACGACGAGTTTTGCTTCCGGCAAGCCACGATTCATCGTCAAAACAAAAAAGCTGGTTAATTTAGTCCAGTGACGCCTCCAACGTTTCGTCGCTAAAACAGAATCCGTGGGACAGAAGGAGAGGATGTGGTAAATGATTTCTGCGGGTAAATCACTAATCCGATCGACTCGGATCGAATCGCCACCACCATTTCCCGGTTTCCGCAATTTCATTGACCTTGTGACCACCATTCTGATTAGATCTCTCAGTTTGAATGCCCCCTTTTGTTCTGTTTCTCTCTCTCCCAAATGAAAACCTAATCGCTGGGAAAGGCGAGCTAGTATAAATAATAATCCACTAACAAAGTTCGTACTGGGTTAGCCCAACATGATTAAGTCTAGGTACAATGCTTTCTCCGTAAATCATGCAATTAAATATCTAAATTACAAACATTTGGCTTAATCTGTTCTTGTCAACATACTCACAGACTTTGGAATTCCAACATCAATCTCAAGTTGTTTAACCTGGCAAACAAATTTTCAGGTCAAACTGACTTCAATAGACAAACAAGATATTTGTGGGAAATGAAAAAAAGTGGAAAAGGTTGAATCTTGCTCCACGAATGAGTAATGACTATGGAAAAATCATCTAAAAATGAGACTTTCTCAGCTTCCGATACACTACAAGTGTAGAAGAAAGGCATCCCACACTGCTGCAACGGCGAAAAGTGTCGGTACCATAATCTGACCTTTAAAGGAGGATAGTAGACTTGAAGAAGCACTCTTCTTTGGCGAGGCTGATGGCGGAGGCGGTGCTTTTTCGACGTGGACTTCGAATTTCATGCCGCTGTAGCAGAAACCCTTTCCACTGATGAAATAGTAAGTCCTGGTCACGTTGAGTGGAACCACATCTCGCCCTGCTCCAGTCGTCCAGTTGTGAAGAGGATGGTCAGAGTTGCAATTCTCATAATCAGTCTTGTTTACCTCGAGCACATTTTGCTGGTTCCTATCGTATACAAAAACTGGAGACAAAAAGAAAGTATCATAAGCAAACATGTGCTAACAATTACAGATTAACAAATACAAACAATTGTCAACTTCAAACTTAATTTTTCCAACGGCTTTCACAGGTAGGTTAGCTTTCATTAGTTAAATGAAATTCAAATATAATAAAAAACAATTTCGGGTGCAGAAATCCCAGTGAGCAAACATGCAAATGAAATGTATAACTTAAAAGGAACACTATTAGTGAGAGCGTTATGCACGGAGTCAATCAGTAGCAATGCTGTATAATCAATAGATTCAAAGGTTAAAGTCATCTTCCGTTAATCAACTAAGGCAGTTAATTGATGCAACCATAGTTTAATGATTTCACATTTTCTGAGGAAAGAAAAGAAAACCACAAAAAATTTGAACTCGTATTTCATTATCGTAAATAAGTGGACATCCTAATAGAGAGAAGACTAAATGCTGTTATATCAGATCCTCTTTGTCAGGCTTACCCTGATGCACAAGGAAGAAAGAGTCAGATGGAAATGGAATGGGACTTTAAAAAGTCAGCATTACTGCTTTGAGTTTTTAACTAAGGGGCTCTATTTGAACCTCACTTTTATTCCCTCTCAATTGTTAATGCTTACTTTTGAAATTTCAACAAACAAATTGATCTCACAAGATGCTCAGATTTCTAACGAGATATTTCCTGAGATCTATGTTTCCACCAAACATGCCATTCCTCTTACAAGAAACTGAAATTAGAATTTCATATAAAGCATCTTTATTGTTTGTTACAGAGAAGAAATGGATACAGGGCATACTGATAAAGCAAACTTTTCTCCAACCAAAGTAAAACGAGAAAGTAGGTAATAAATCCAGGATGAATTAGGAAAATGAAAGCTAAAACGGACAATCCCTGTAAAACAATCCATCTTCATTAAGCAAATAAAACCTCTAAATTGTGAATATCTTGTAATGAAATTAATTATCATAAACCAGATCGGACAACAGTGTGACAACATTAGCCGGTGATTTTAAACAATATGCGAGAGATCAAACGACTGATAAGAAATGAGGCAACATTCCTTTTCTCAAGAGAATCTCTTAGTACAAAGTTCCTACCAAGACAGACTAACTAAAGTCAAAGCTCTTAACTCTCAAGATCTTACTTTTCTTTCTTACAATCCCTGTTAAACTCACAAAAACAACAATGCATCTAAGTTCAATCATCATTAAAAGAGGGAAAATAAAGGAAGCAAAACTTTTCAAAAACATGCATGCAGATAGATGCCAAAATGCCACAGATTGCTAAACCAAATTAGTTCAATGAATCAAACAAAATGTTCAAACTCAGCATGAACAGTGAAAGTAAACCCAGAAAGCATCAATCTTTACAGCCGTTTTCAACTCCAAAAAAAGAAAGACTAGATCTGAAAAGGGCAAAAGAAGATTAATTGATCAACTTACAAAGCCAATCACCATTGTAGAAATGCTTGTCTCTTGCCCAGATAGTATAGTTAATATTAGGAGCCCATCCACCCAACCCAGATCCCACAATGTACCGAACCGATGCAACTTCCGGCACCATGATTAACAACACGGCAGCAGTTAGAGCCAGAGCCGCCGTAGGCCACCCCATTGTCCTCCTTCTCGAGCTCAACTCCATTACTTTCTTCCTCTCTCACTTCTCTTAAGGAAAAAGATTCTATCTTTTTTCCACTTTCACACTACAAAGAAGATATATCTGCTGATATATATAGTACTACTGGAACCAGTGAAACTGCTTATCTTTTTGAAGAAGGATTGAGAGAGAGTTCTAGGTGTGGGGCTATGAGGTCCCTACTTTTGTATGGGTTATATAATGCTATATGGATCTATCTAGACGCCGCAAATTAATTTTTTAATTCTGAACCTCTAGGCTATTGGCTATTTTTATTTTTGAAAAAAAAAAAAAGAGGAAATGAATAACAATTGTTTGTGACTATGTTATTATAGTTTGAATGTGAGTTTTTAAGGCAAGGTTCAAACTTCAAACGTTAAGGAGAGAAGAAAGAACCTATTCAACACCAGCTCATCTGGTGTCAGTGGACTCAGTGGGCATATGTGTTCTTTGCAGGGTTGCAGGTCTCTTTCGTTCCTATATGTCCGCTCCAAACAAGTAAACGATTTAAGAACAAAACAAAAAAAAAAAAGGGTTTGGATTAAAAATGGAAAATTTGGTGGAGAATAAGACCAGGAAGAAAAACATTACTTAAGGGACCGAATAATTTCAATTTGAAGATTGAGAAAGACAACCATGCAAAAATATAAATTGTTAGGAACACCCATTTCTCCTTGAAAACGCTATGAGAGACTAGTTACCAAACGAGTTCTCGCTCCGTCTTGAAATTATTATACAGTTTAGATCTCCATTTTTAGTAAAAAAAAATATTAAAATTAAAAATATAAATCTGACAATAATTTTCGGACAAAGGGAGTGAAAAACACAGCTTTACGATGATATGAAATAAACACAACAAATCTCACTATATAAGATGGGTTACATGAATTATATACAAATCTTAATCGACAGAAAGTTAACATTATTACTAATCGGAGTGTCAATTAGGTTTATTAAAATCTTGTATGAGGAACATCTAGGTAGGCAATCATGCACAATTTCAGGCTGAATAAATGCGAATTTTTTTTATACTTCTTATGTTTAAAAAATAAAAGATCAAATTAAATTTTAAATTTAAATTAAGAATAGTATAAATTTCAAAATTCAATGTTAACTTTTTTAGAGAGTATATCCTAGTGAAAAAAATCATTGCCCAAAGGAATGGTTGAGCTGAGCAGCTAGAAAAAAAAAAAAAAAAAAATCCAGCTGGAGGAACCCAAGAAACACGTTAGTGGAGGTTTAATTAGTTATTTTTTCAACTAACTGTCTACTGCTTTACAGCTTTTGTAAGATTTGTCTCGTGGCCTTCAATTCAGCAACAAATTCAGGCACGCGGTATGGTATTGGCTTCTCTCTTTCGTCTTTTTTTTTTTTCCCCCTCGGATGCATATAAAAATCCAATTTCAAATTACCCTCCTAAAATTTTTAATTAAGTTTTGGGCTTGAGTGCAGTATTATCAGTTTCTTCTTTTATGGCTATACCACAAAATTTCAAACGGGGTTCATAGTTCATACAACGAGATTCCAACAAACCCTCTCAATTCATTCTCAGAAGTCGGAAATACGTAATTTTCTTCTAAAATTGTATATTACTGAGACTTTGTCCTTAAATTATTGTTCAGTTTGGATTCTGATTTTCTGATTCAAAATTATACCGAACATAAAATATTAAAGGTCGGACTCTATTCATTTTATCACTTGGACCAATAAATATTGTGGAGTTAGAATTTTAGGTAGGCCAGTGGTAAGTAAAAAATTTCTAATCACCCTCCTCCCATCAACTTCTATCATGGTAAAAGAAACAACGCTCAATCAAAGGTTGGTCCCAACCCGTAAACCTAACCTCCAGAAATGCAGAACGTTCCAAATTTGGCATTTTTCAAAAACCCAAAAAAAATAATAATAATAATAAAATAAAATTGACCCGTTTTGTTGTTATCCACTTCCAATCAATTTCAGTATTCATTTGTCTGGCAAAAAGTGTGAATGCCATGTTTTCCTACAGGCTACAGCCATTTTTGTTCATAGCTAGCAGATTTGAAAAAATTGACCTCCCAAAAGACTCATACTACAGCAGTTTATAACGTTATAAGCTGAAAAAAGGATATATCATCAAGGCCCCCCAACCCAAGTACTAGTAGTATTTTTAAGTAAATATTCTGGTCTGGATGTCGGAGTAAATGATGATGATGATGAAAGGGGCATATGTAGTTTTTTTGCCATGTGCTGAGGCATCATCATATTGCTTTGCCATTGACGACAGTAAGGCACACCTCCATGTGATTATGACTTAAGAAATGATCATATTATTAGGGTGAATCCCCTTTTTGGCTCTTCTTCACGCCTGACGCCTTCATCATGTTTCCTTTTGGGTTCATTGCCTATTGCATGATTTGATTAAACAGAGAGAGATACGATGTTTGTTGCCTACTGAATGAGGTATACCGAATGCAAAATGAACAACTAACCTTCACTACGATTAAATCTTATATGCAAATGCAACAGTTGTACAATATAAGACGGTACATAAAAGAAAAAAATTGAAACTTTAGATATCAAATCAAATGTACAAAGATGGTTTCTTTAGATTAACGCAATGTACTTTGTCACGGCCCAAGAATGCTTTGGTAAGAACAAGTTAGTGCCCACTGCCCGCACAAGTCACAAGCTTGGGCTTTGGAAATCCAAATATAGAAAAGCTACTGACTATTGAGTCTAGCCCGGCGCACTCAACGGGATATGGAAATGGAAATATTGTGCTAGCAGATACTCCCTTTCGGTTTTTAACATAAACCATTTTCATTTTATCATAGTTTTTATTTAATATGTATTTTTAATTAAAAAATTTTTTAAAATATATATTCACGTTTGTTGTGTTCCTTTAATTGTTCAGAAATATCTTTTAGGTTTTTTGTGAATTAAAAAAGTGTAAAAATACGCTAAATTAAAATAACTTATATTAAAGACGAGAGGAACTTGTAGATACACACATGGTCATGTTAATCCTGGTCTCACAGGATATATATATATATATATATATATATGGGAGCGGCTAGAGTCCCGTTACGGGACGGTTCCGTTTTAGGATAATAACTGTAGGATTAATTAGACTAATTAATAACCGTAGGATTAAAATGAGGGTGCATCAAAAATAAATACACCTAAATCCACATGATTAAACAGAAAAAATTTAAGAAAATAGTCAATTTTGCTCAAAACTTCAAGTGTCTGGCCAATTTTGACCCAAAAGATTTTTTGAAAACTAAATATCTAAGTTTCAATTTCTAGCCAATTGACAAAAATTCAGTTAGATTTAATACCTCTGCTAACTTTTCGTTAATTTGTACGGTTTTTTTTATTAGAAAAAGTTTTCCCGGACCCCATAATTTTGACATCTTTACCCCGATGATTGTAGTTGTTTTAAAATATACCTATAGAATTTTCAAAATCAATAAAATAAAATAAAATTAATAAAACATTATTTTTAAAAAATTTAAATTTATTTTTTTAAAAAACTATTTCTTTCTTTTTTTTACCCAAGTCCATCACTATAAAATTTTCATCCAATATTTTATCAATTACAATGAAAATATTTATTTTCTAACAAATTAATATTAAATAAAATAATACTAAATTAATTAAAAATTGAAATCACAACTAATAAAATAATATAATATTAATAAAAAAAATTATTTTTAAAAAATCAAAATTTAATTTTTTAAAAAAACTTTTGACGTACTTTTTAAACTCCAGCCCATAGCTGTAGAATTTTCATTCTATTTCATCCTACATTTTGTAGATTCTACAATTTTTCGTTAGAATCTACTAATAGGTAAATATAACTCACAAAAATTTCATAAATTAAAACATATCCAAAATAAGAAATTGAATTAGAATAAAATCTTAAATTTTAACTTAATTATTCATTTTATCAGAACTTGTCGTAAAATTAATATTTTTACTTTATTCTAAGCGCACCAAATTAAAAATTATATCAAAATTTGTGCAACGAAGGTACATTTATTTTTTAAAAAAATTTTATTTGAGTTTGAAAAATTAAACTTTTTAACTTTTTATTAATTTAATATTTATTTTAATTCGTAATTATTTTTATGAATATAATTATATTAATATTTGTATTAATATTTTATTCAATATTAATTTTTTTGAAAAATAAATATTTTTTATTCCGAAAATACCCTATTGACTTAAATATAAAGATGGTCAAACTCTTGGAATAACGATGGTCAAAGTCAAACTCTTGGAATAGTACTAAAGAACAAAAAAAGTTACAAATAAAAATATAACGAACTATTTTAGCCAAATGTTAATTTATAAGACTACAATGTGCATTTAGCCTAATATAAAAGACCATGATACCAAAAGAGTAATTAGTTTGAGAAATTGATGATACCAAAAGAGTAATTTGTTTGAGAAATTGTTGAAAGTTTCTCACCCCATGATTATATGTTATATCCTCAATATTGATCCCCATGATTATATGTTATATCATCAATATTGATTGATTAAAGATAGAACGATACGGTTCTGTAAAATTGACCAACGGGACTCTAGATTTTCCTTATATATATGTATATATATACCTTGCAAATTCAAGCCTATAGCATAAATGAAAAAAAAAAAGAAAAAAAAAAGCTCATCTCTTCCAGCAATAATCTATACATTTACGTTAACTATGAGAAATTCAGGGAGATTAATATCGTACAGGCCCTAACCATTCTATTAAGAGTTTTCCCCCCAAAGTCCCAAACATAGAAAATGCTAGCCAAGTTGCCAACTAGCCTATAAGATGGAACCAGCACCCGACTTCACATTTCATAATCGAATGCTTCTGAACCCAGAAATCCACAAGGGTAGATAGTTTAGTTTACATCAGCTAAGATACTCTCAAGTCTCAACCCAACCTACTAGTCTAATCTTCTCAATAGATACTCAATCTGCACTTCCTTTGTCAATGGCATTATCCAATCGTCATACAGGTCAGCTACAAGGCATGGATTTATTTTGAAGCCAGTATGATTCTCATTTTCTCCAGCACCCAGGGTCACCTCTTGCCCGTAGGTTCTGGTTTTTATCTCTACTCTTCTCTTTATTACCTCTTCAACATCCGGGTAAGTTAACAACGCCATTAGTCGGTTTCTATCCTGAAAATTGGAGTTCAATAAAAGCAGCTGAGTTTAAAACAAAGACCCAAAGCCAACAAGCCTTCAAGTTTTCTTAGAGAGTTGAGATTGTACCTGTGAGAGAATCGCAGCGTTGTAAACTTCTGGTGATGCTTGGTACTTTGCTTCAGCAACAAATTTACCATAGTGGATTCTCTTTGACAAGGCCTGGTAATGATACAAATAGAGCGCTAAGATATACATTGGTACCCCCAACCAGTTCTTATCTAGTCTTTCACAAACAGGAACTAATTCTGACTGGAGAGAACTATACCTGCAAGCAAATGGTGTCACATACTGCTGCCGATCCATAGTTACCATCATCACCTTCTTTAACTAATCTTGGAAGAAGATCTCGGAAGTACATATCCCAAATCTTACGATTGATATTTATGGAATCACCGGCTGCATGCAGAACCTAAATGAACATTAACAGAAATGTAACATTTAGAATCACTGCTCAAGAAGTCATGATAATTGCTAGCACCAAACAAGTCAAATAGAGATAAGTAAAATTAATCACAGTTGATTATTTTTGCATTCCATGGTCCATTGAAAGATGGGGAAAATTTCTCTCTGTTGTAAAAGGTTAAACAAACATTATGCATTGACAAGGGAAGTTAACAAACCCAAAAAGCATTAGGGGACTTCTGAAATTGAAAGTGCATTCATATTGATATAAAACCTAAGAACTTACTTGTGGATATTGCAAAGGCGGCAACATAGGATCAGGCAAATCATTTGGGAAGAAAGGATGCTCGTCTGGGCATTTATATCTTCCAACCTAGATACCAGAAGGCCATCAGATAACAGTATTATAAAAACACAATCAGATAATTTCTGTCATTTTTCTACTGTTGTTCATTAAAATCAAGTATCATACCTTAGCATGAAGCTTTTCGGTTTCTTTCATCATATATTCGATCAAAGAACCTATAAATCCATCCATAGCAAAAGCATCGGGATCATAAGTCACCCCATTGAAACAATATTGTGCCCTCTCCAAAAGATTGAATATGATGCTATCCTCCTGTCGGATCAAACTGTTTCTTATACCGTCCAGGGTATAAATGTTAGTCTCATCAACCCTCTTTTTCATTTGGTATCTGAAACAAGTGAATTGATGGAGCAACATCAGAATATAAAGTACGGCAGAACCACTTAAGCAATAGAGCCATACAATCCATAGCATTCTTCAACTGGAAAACAGCTTGTCAGCATGTCGCAGCAGCAGAGAAAAGGGTTGCAGTAATCTAAGTGTAAAATGTAAAACGCATTAACCAGCAGTACTATTTATCCCAAGCTTGCTGATAATAACTGTTCAACCCCAACTTCAAAACAGTGATTCAAAGTCAGGTTTGATTCTGATTTGGGTTTATACAGCATGAGTTCCAATAGTATAAAATGACAGAATTACAGCAGGCAAGTAGATGTTTAAAAAATAGTGTTGGACCAGAAAGATGATCGCAGACCGAAACTTCCCACTTGTATCTGTTTGAGGCTGCGTGTAGGTTGAAAAGGATTGACAACCAAAGGCAAACTGAATACCAAATCTAGCCTTACATTCAGATGACGGGTAGGTGACATACACATTAAAATACTTGCTTCAGAAAAAACTACTAAGAAATTCAACATGAGCTACCTCATAACCACAAAATTTCACATTCTTTTGCCCAATGCATTCAACTCCAGAAAGTGAAAATTTTCTGGAAACTGAATTTCAAGTCAATGAAGAACAGGTTAAACAGAACTACAGAAGCTTTGTAATAAATTCAAATCAAATCCTCTCTCATAGAAATAACCATAGGCTCCACTTCTGCAAATTCAGAAAGAAGCTGTACAAACGGGTACGGGTCTCAGAAAGAGCATTCTTCAATCCACCAACCCCAAATCTTTCCACCGCTTATAATAAAACATAAAAAAACCCCACACCAAAAGAAACGGCAACAGCAACCCCCACCAACCAATCGAAAACAAACAAAATCATATGTGACCCAACAAATGAATCAAGCCAGGAATCAATATTTTCTTAAATAAAACGAACCCAGAAGGTAAAGATAGAATCTTTATACCCAATTGGAATAGCAACGGCCTGGACGGCAGGAATGCCATGCTTCGGAGTACCCCAGGTGACAAATTGAGAACGGAGGCAATTCCATCTGGAGCTCTGTGCCGGAAAAGGGACAACGGGTTTGGCTAATTTGTTGGGTGAAGGGGATAAAAGAGCAGGACATGATGCCAGTTTCAACAGTTTCGACTCCATTGCTTTCAGAAAGAAATAAAACACACAACCAAAAGGGCTGAATTTGCAGCAGATATAATCAAAAATCAGGCAAGATTACAAAACCCAGCTGAGTATTTCCTCGGAAGTGTCGACTAATCGAAGAAAGGAGAAAGGAGATGGAAGGAAAGAAGAGAGAATGCGGTGACGAGGACGCCACTTGGTAGCGAAGTTTGGTGGAGTCCTTTTGGGTGGAGGAGGTGGTCACAAAACGTATATTGATGTACACGCGGGTGTTTTTCGCTATTTATTAAGGGGAAGAAAAAAAAAAAAAAAAAAAAAGGGATAGGGGTTAGGTGATGATGGTGAAGAATTGTAATAAAAACGTAAAAATCATCAATCACCAAAAGGTTAGGTAGTGTGGGAAGTATGATGGGATGTGTTAGAGGGTTTCTAAATGTGGATAAGTTTTTACACCCTTTCATTACGTTTCTTCGCGCTACATTTCTTATGGAGAATGAACAATTATTTTAACACGAATGAGAATGAGTTTGAATATGTGATGTTACAAAGCGTTATGGTGATCTTGATGGTATTTTAGAATATATTTCATAGTTTTAATGTTTTTATTTTATTTGAACATATGATGTTACAAAGCGTTAGGATGATCTTAATGACATTTTAACATATATTTCACAGTTTTAATGTTTTTATTTTATTTTATATCAAATACTACGTCTCTCACACAAGCTATTCATGAGCGGTATACAAGTTATTAACGTGGATATGTTTATTGTTTGTTAGTCTTCCCCATGATCAATGTCATTAAGAGATACTCCTTCCGTTTCATAATTATTGTCTAATTTGAATTTTTATTTTTAGTTCAAATTGTATTAAATGTGAAATTTTAAACTGGACAATAATTTTGGGACATAGGGAGTATATTTTTGCTTTAGGCACTAATCTGAGTTGATGTTTTCCTACATAGTCAGGCCATAGATTAGCTGGATCGAGGAGTTGTGAGTTTTCCTGATGTGCAATCAGTATGATCTTTGATACAAATGCGGTTGCTTAAAAATAAATTAAAAAAGAAATCGGCCAAGCCAATATCTATATATATATATATATATTTTCACTTTCTTTTCTTTTGAAATCTTTTTTTTTTTTTTGGTTGTTCTGGTTACTCTCTCAAGGATTTTCTAGTTTGTAATTTATTTTAGTTAATTAGTATCCTTGCTTCATCTCAAAAAAATTCATCCGCAAACGTGTACTATTACAATTTGTGAATTGCATATCATTTTTAATACAATTAATGAAACATAATGTGAAATATTTTTGTGGGATTAGAGAGTATTTATTAATTAACGGTTCTATTTTTTTTTTTTTTTTGCAAGGTGAAAATTAGATTTTATTTTATATTTCCCGAGTGGAAACTAGGTAGAACCGTTCGTAACTGAAATCAGTGCGTTATACCAAATTGAAACTTGGACGGATTTAACGTACCAAACTCCAACAACAAATCAAATCTAATGGAGTATGCACCTCCAACGAACTCTCTCACCAACTCCTAACTAAGAACAAGTCCTTCTTGTTTTTGGCTTTTCACTTTGGAGTTCGTTAGCTAGCTGTCTTAATCTTAACTATACTAAAGAGAGAAAAGAAAGAAATGTTAAAGGGGTATTTTTCTAACTTGGTAAAAGGAATATATTTATGGAAATACTACTCATAGCTTTTTATGGGGACAGACGGTGCATTTTCAAGGAAAAATGAAAAGTTAGGTCAATCGGAGGCCACGTCTACTCTTCTCAAATACAAGTCCCATCCGACGTTTTTATTTAATGATTACGTACTAATGTCCCCGTCAAGAAAAGAAAATAATTTTCAAGCAAGCAATACAGAAACTTCTATAGAATCAAGTTTTTCTTTTGAAATGAATGCGTTTGTCCCGCGGATGGACATTGGACAATTTCAATACAGCTAATAATTTCGGGCCAAAAAAATCTTAGTGTCACACACACTCATATTTAAAGTACTCCTTCCGTCCCATGTCCAGTTTGAGTTTTCATTTCTAGTTCAAATTGTACTAAAAGTGAAATTTCAAACTGAATAATAATTTTGGAACAGAGGGAGTATATAATTGTTGTAACGTTAAGAATTATGGAGACGGTGTATTTTGTGAAATAATCTTACTAACATAACGCATGCAATTAACTGGTGGCGACATATCCTTTGGTTAAATAGTGAATGTAATTAGGAACATGCGGTAAGAAATTTACGTTCAATTAAATGAGTAGTAGTAAGATTCCAAAGTTTCCTTGCACCTTAAATTATTGGATGTGGCCAGGCTTACAAATGGTAATAGTATCAATAACATTATGAAATGATGATATACTTCAATAAAAAGGATCGGGTGTAGGCTTTCTAGGACGGATATATAGTTTAGAAAAGTCTAAAAAACAAACGTTAGGACAGTTGAAAGCCATGTCTATACTCTTTTTCCAAATACAACACAGGGTTTGATTCGTCAGCGATTGTGCCAATTAAACTAATGAAACACAAAGATAAGTACTAGCGTGTAATGTAACAATAAAGACAGTAAAATTCAATAATGACATATAATAGTAAATAATAAAAATATAAAATTATTAAATCCTATCCTTTAAATTATAATTATATCTTGCTTATTCTCTTTCAAAATTATTATCTAATTTAGATTTTTTTACTTTTAATACAATTTAAAAAAAATAAAAATTCAAACTTAACAAAATAATATCATCATTTTTATTTTCGAAAAATAAAATTATTACTGCTACGTCATTTTCCCAAATACAACTCCGCCCCAATAGAAACTTCTGCACATTATTAATCCATATTCCTTTTAAAAAAAAAACCACCCAAATTATTAGAAACTTCTATGGATTCATAATCCAAATCCAATCAAAAACTAGCTCTACCAACTTTCAAATAAAGGGGAAAAAAAAAAGTCAGCAATATCTTTTTAGTGGGGCACAGGCAAAACTTTCGCTTACGTTTGGCAATGCGTAATTGCAAACTTAGTAACAAATCGAAAACTGCAGGCCAGTTTTCTGTTTGACATATCGACCTTCAACTGTTCAACATTCAAATCATTTCTTGAATTAACCGAACAAAAATAATCAATTAATTAAATACTACTCCCTATATTTTGAAAAAATAATTCACATGTTTATTTTTAAATGTAAAAACACTAATGAATTTGCGACATGGAAGGGATACTTTGCAGTTCTTTTAAAAAATATACTCCCTCCGGTTCTTAATATAAATCATTTTGATTTGTATTAGGTTTCACCAATACGCATCTCTAAGATATATGAAAGAAATTTTGATCCAAAACACGTGTCGTTCAATGAAGATACTAATAGATATCTAAGTAACTTTTTGTAGTAATCTGGTTAATATATTTTTACATTTATCCCATGTTAGTTTTTACTTACTTTAAAAATTATACTTTTAAATATTTACTTTTTCATTTCACTCGATAAAAAAAAATAAAAAAATTATCGAGTGAAAAATTTCGCCGGCCATCTTGGGACAGAAAAATGTCGCCGGCCATCCAGATTTTATCCGGCGCCGTTGCCCCGCTGGCCGGCCCATGCCGCTTCGAATGCTCAAATCTGGCAAATTCCCCATGATTAACCGTCGTCTTCTCCACTTCGAATGCTCATACTTCTTTCCGTTCGAATATTCTGTTTTTTTATACCGACGGTATCAATCCGGCCTGAATTCATGAACACTGCCCGGCAACTTTGCCCCCAAACTCATGGATATGTGTGTGCCGGCCTGAAAGAACTTGGGAAAAGCAACAAGAGGACGAAAAGTACACCAAAATTCCAAATTCCTTCTTGGTTGGGACAGCAACCTGTATGGCCGACGGCTTCATTGTCACTGCTGGTTGGCAAAATCCCATCAAAATCCCAACTCATTTGTTGGCAATTTTCCCAACTCATCGTCTGTAACTTTGGTTCACATCATTCTGTATATATATATATATATATATATATATATATATATGTCATCGTTGGTGCACAATCACTCTCACAGTCACAAATGAACTCACGCACACAGATATAGAAACAAATTGAGGGGGAAGGTTCCTGACGAAGTTGTTTCAAACATGCCTCTTGGCTTTGGTCGCTGCTCAACGTCTTGCTTGGACACTGATTCTGAGATTTCATCTGAGGAATTGGCTGAATTTGGACTTTAAAATGATCTAATTACTTCAGATTCTGAGAACAATAACTCTTCTTCAAGTTGGCATGTAAGTTAGTTTTGTATTGTTAAATGCATTTTGAATCATTTGGAATCACGTTTTTTTTTTTAACAAAAAAGATTTAGTTTAAAGAAACAATCTCTATTTGAACAAATCATTGAATGAGTTTGAGCACCGACAGACCGAGAGGTGCTTCATCGAGAGCAATAGCCCACGTTGATGACATGGTAAAGTGTTCCTCATGAGAATTGTCAAACCAAGCTTGCTGGTGAATTAAGATCTTTTATTTGTCTATATCATGGTGCTAACTCTGGTTAATTTATAGCGCTCTTGATTAATATGCTTGAATGTTTCTTAGAAGTAGAAGAATTTTGATCAACCGAAGTTCTTTTTTCAGCAGTTAGCTGTAGTCATGCAGATGATGTTTATTGTGCGTATCGATATTAATCTTATGATATAAGAGTGTCGGTTAAACTTAAGCGAAAATAATTCCAAATCGTTGCATATTTTGTAATGACAACCAATTAAAGCATCGGCATATCGCTCTCGCAAGTAATATTGTCGGATCCGAATCAGAAGACGAATCTATGAAGTTATAGGGTCACTGGAGCATTAGGTCAACCCGTTAGCCCGGAACAAAAAATCGGATTAGAGTGATATGACATAATATATAATTTTAAAATTTAAAATATATAAAATATGTAAAATCTAAAGTTATTAGTATTAATTTATTAATTTTTTGTTAAAATATAAATAAATTTTAACAAGTTAAAAGCAAGATAAGACAAAAAGATTAATTTAAGGTTCCCAGTTTTTTCGACGGAGAGGGCAATTTTGGCACCAACCAATGACTAAGTTGATGCAATCAATGAGCACATGCTGGCACAACTTAGTGGGGAAGCAAAGATATATTACAATTATGATTGCATAGAAGAGACACCAAAGTCAATAAATCCTGAGGACGATGAGGTTTACACATAAGAATTTTTCAATGCCATAGAGTGTTCACGAATGCCAAATCACAAGATATCACTTAAGGTCAGAGTCCCGATCATGCTTCTTCAGAATCTTGATCAGCCAAGTAGCTTGTGTAATTGTACCAGGTTACCGGTCAACAATTTGAGGGAACGAGTTATTTAGGCTACTATTACATCTGGTGCTAATATTGGTCGCAAATGTTTCATTCCGCGTATGGATATTAGTCCGATTGACGAGAGGATACTGGTTAAATTAAGATGGAGACAGTTCTCGGTTGTAGCATGTTTTGTTATGGTGATCAATAAGAGTCAAAGATAGTCGTTATTTCATGTTGACTTATTTCTCCATCATCCAGTTTTCACCTATAGACAAGTTTACGTTGCTTTCTCCAGAGTAAAGTACAGAAAGGTTTGAAAATAATTATTTGAAATAAGCAGGGAGAACTTTGCAGTGAAACAACGAATATTGTTTACAAAGAAGCTCATGAGAATGTTTGATGCTGTCATCATTTATTTTTTTCAAGTTCTTTCTTTATTATTGATGTCACAATTTTTTTGTAATATAATATATCTGTTCATTGAAATACTTTTAAAGAATCAAATCTGTCTCAACCGTGCAACGCAAGGGCACAATACTATACGAAAAAAACCTTAAAAATATATCCTAATAATCAAGATAGTACAACAGATGTGAAAATATATTTTTAAAGTTTTTTTGTCAATTAAAAATAAATATTAAGTGAAATCTAAAACAAATCAAAATTCTTTATATTAAGGAAGAGAGGGAGTACGAGACAACACATTTAGTGGTGTGTCATCATCTTCATTTGACTAAATAAACACCAAGGAATCTTGACTATAATCTTTCCGTTCAGCTCACGATGACGATAGCAGGATTAATGAAAATTAGGAAACTATCACGTAATCCTTGATTCGTGTAATTTATTTCTGAATGTGCATGTTATAAAATTATATTTGCTACATTTTAAGATGATTATTCACTTTTAATTTTCAATAAAATATGGTAATAAAATAAAATATTCAAACTCAACAATTATTTTGAGGTAGAGTGCTATTTCTGATCAAATCTATATATAAGATATTAAGGTTTTAATAAAATTTAGTTTAAACTTGTGCTTGTAAATAAGATTGGAAGGAGTATAATTATAAGAACTCTCTCTATTTCGAAAAATCGTAAGTCTACATTATAGTTTGTGAATTGCATTAAAAACAATATAATCGACAAATTACAGTATAAATTATTTTTTCTGGGACGGAAGAAGTCCAAGTTAGTACGTGCATGGAGTATTAATTAGGTTGTTATGCATATACGAAAATGAAGAAGAGGAGACCGAAAAATACTCTACAACTTGTTCATTTACATGCTAGATGGGAGATGGCAAATTCTGATGCATCGTTGTGATAGTAAGATTGTGTTTTGAGAAATTTGACAATTTCACAATGTTATTATTTTCCCCATACTTTAAAGTGATAGATACGATTTTGCCAAATACACCCATCATTTGGTGGAACTTGAAGTGGACAAGTGATTACAGGTGAAGATGATTAATCTAATTCTTGTACTGCATACAAAACTTACAAACTGATCAAACCACAAAGTTAACGGAAATGATTACACAATTAATATTATTTTTGTCCCCGAAAATTGTAAATTATTTTTCTGAAACCTCTCCTTCCCGACTTAAATTGAGTTAAACAGATAGAATACACAGGTTTAAGTTAACCTAAATACTTAAGGCCGCTGAGCTACTACTTACATACAAGTCCTTTCTGAATCGAAAAAGACACAATTGGCTTTGTTTCCAGATTTTGGAGATTGAAGAGTCGAAAGACCCAAAGTCCCAACCTTCTTATTTAATATCGAAACATAAATAAAAGTACAAAAAAAAAAAAGAAAAAAAAAGAAATGATACTAAAATTTCAAACTATGCTTAAATTAAAAAGACTAAACCACAGGAAACGTCCTATATATTAGGGCAAAAAATTATTTTCCTCCCACACATTTTAAAGCGCTCATTTTTGTCCCATTTTATCCAAAAAAATGCGTTTACGAAAATAATTTTTTGTCCAAATATACAACGTTTTCTGTGGTTTAGTCAATTAAAAATTCCGTCGAGAAATAGTTATGCGAGCGTGTCAAGGCAGATGTTTTCAGATAAACTATACCTACATTTGAAAGACGAGTGAGATGCAGGTATTCGCGCCAACCGGAACCCCAAGATGGATCTCCGCCAGAAGATTCTTCGAACGAATTCTCTCAGACCTCCATAACTGCAAGGAGTTAACCCGGTTAAAACAAGTCTTAGCAATCGTATTCAAATCCAGTCTCCATCGGGACAATGTAATCGGGACCAAACTCATTTCCGCTTTCGCTCATTGCCGACAGATGGATTCTGCTGTTTATATCTTTGATCATATCGAAACGCCTGATGTTCTTGCTTATAATGTCATGATTAAAGCCCACCTTGGAAATTCCCAGCCGCTTCAAGCCTTTGGGATTTTCTCAAAAATGCAGAACTCTGGTGTTCGACCCAATATTTTCACTTGCCCGTTTCTGTTGAAGGCCAATTTCGGGTTTGAATTCGTGGCCGCGGTTCATGCCCTTATCGAAAAATATGGTTTTTGGGGGGATATTTTTGCTCCCAACTCGTTAATTGAAGCCTATTCACAGTGTGGTTCAGTGGGTGTTTCTGCGGCCCGGAAGTTGTTCGGTTTTACAGGGCAGAGAGATAATGTAACATGGAATTGCATGATCAGTGGGTTAGTGAAAGCCAGTAGATTGAGAGAGGCCCGGATTCTGTTCGATGAAATGCCTCATAGAGACATTGTGAGTTGGAATACGATGTTGGATGGTTACGTTAAGCTTGGAGAACTGGGTGGGGCTTCCGAGCTGTTTGATAATATGCCGGAGAGGGATTGTGTGTCGTGGTCAACAATGGTTTTGGGTTATAGCAGAGCAGGGGACATGGAAAGGGCTAGATGTTTGTTTGACAAAATGCCTGTCAAGAATATGGTTGCATGGACTATACTTATATCTGCTTATGTTGAGAAGGGCTTTGCAAAGGAGGCTATGGGATTGTATGATCAAATGGCTGCGACTGATGTGAAACCTGATGAAGGAGCTATTACCAGTATTTTAGGTGCATGCGCAGAATCTGGCATGCTTGGATTGGGAAATCGAGTTCATGATTTTGTCAAGACAAGTAGGTATAATTGCAGCATGCGGGTGTCTAACGCTCTAATTAACATGTACGTAAAATGTGGGAGATTGGATGACGCTTTGAATGTTTTCCGTGGGATGAAAGAAAAGAATTCAGTAACATGGAGTACCATGATCCATGGGTTGGGCATACATGGTTATGGAGAGCAGGCTCTCCAACTTTTTTCTAGAATGATACAAAAAGGATTTGCGCCAAATAAAGTCACATTTATTGGTCTCATGTGCGCTTGTAGCCATGCAGGTTTGGTTGATGACGGTATTCACTATTTTGATGCCATGCAGAGAGATTATGGCCTTAACCCTGAAATTGCACATTATGGCTGCATGATTGACCTTCTTGGTCGTGGAGGTCGTCTGAAGGAAGCTTTCAGGCTTGTTCTTAGCATGCCAATGAAACCAAATGAAGTAATTTGGGGTGCACTTTTGGCTGCCTGTAGAAAGCATGATGCGGTTACCATTGGAGAAGAGGAACTTCAGCAACTAGTTCAACAGGGCTTAACAGATGATGGAAACTTATCCATCTTATCAGACATTTATGCAGCTGCGGGAGACTGGTCTGGTATGGCAAATGCAAGATTGTATATGAAGAATACATGCCGTGAAAAAAAGCCTTCTGGCACCAGTTCAATCGAGTTGGAGAATGAATACCATCATTTTACCATGATGGATGTACGCCACCCTAAATCTGATCTGATATATCAGATTCTTGGTGCATTGAGTCAACATATGAGAAAAGCTGGTAGTTTCTCTGTCGGTTTTGGGTGATAATTTTTACAGGATGCCATCCCTTTGTCCATATGTTCTAATGATGATTGATATTACCATCAAATATTTGCCGCGAGATCTGTGGCAGAGAGCCCTATTTCGCTAAAGCCCTTTTCCTGGTATGCGTACGTCTTTACTTATGTATATGAGTTGTTTTATGATTAGTCTTAATCTTTGTCTTCGTGAGTTTTGAAATATATTCTCACAAATTTTAACATGTTAATTTGCTGGAAGCAAAATGGCATCCACAAATGATTGAAATTGATTACAGGCTGAATAATGATGGTAGTAGTTCTCTTCAAAAGGCAGAAGTAGTTTAGTGAAGAATTGATAAAAGCTGTATGTATCATGTATGTGTTGGAATTTAGTGACAAAATTTCCTGTCCATGCTGCTTGCAGTACTTACCTGTTGATTATGTGGAAAACAATAATTGGCTGAAAAGGTGACACATCATCTCCATAGTTCCTGAAACTATTGAAAAAATGGATCCAAATTTTATGTGCCACAAACTATAAATAAACAAACAAAATGCTCTGCGAAACCTTAGCCACTATGCAGTTTGTTTCAGCAAAAAGTCTCCCGACGTGGAGTATTGTAATTGGTGGATTCAATCCTAGCTGTAAAGTCATATCCATTGGCCCATACTTTTGAAGCTAAAAGTGTAAAGCATCATACGTGGACGGATTGGTTCATTTGATCTTGTGGTGCAAATATGATCTCCCACAACACATATAAGAAGTTTCAAACAGCCCCCTTTAGCAAATATTGTGTAGCAACTTAGATCAACTAAACAAGAGAGTCGCCAAGAACCATGCATGCCCCCTTTCTCTCCTCAAATTCCTTAGCAGGAACAACAGAGATTGTTCCTTCTATTGGAGCAAGAGTTCCTACCATCGCAGGCAGAAAGTTACCCAAACATCAATATAAGAAAGTTGGCAGTCCATTTTCCATTTCTTGTAAGTTCTAGCTATACTTTTGTTCTTGAGCTACTTTACATTTTTGCATTTGGTAATCTCCAATGTGATTCTGCAGTTGGTATTCAGATTCAAGGTTCAGATTAAAGAATTTAATCCCTCTGTCATTCTCTAACTGAACCTTAAGTCTAAAGTTCAGCTATTCATCTAATTAATAATGGTTGTATACGTAATCTTGATGGATAGTCATATGGTTTGTGATCTGCAGGCTGCCAATTGGGTTCTAAATCACCTTCACCTGAGGATGAGAATAGAACTTTGGTTAATGCTGATTGGCGATCATTCAGAGCAAGGTTAGTAGCTGGAGAAAAAGCATTTAGACCAGTAGAAGCCACTCCAGTGGTTGATCTGGATACTGCAGTGGATCAGCCTCCTTTAATCACCATTGGAGACAAATGGGCACATATTCTACATGAACCAGAGAAAGGTTGCTTACTAATTGCCACTGAAAAGCTTGATGGGGTGCACATATTCGAAAGAACAGTAATTCTGCTACTAGCAACTGGTCCAGTAGGTCCAGTTGGGATCATACTCAACAGACCATCACTCATGTCAATCAAAGAAATGAGATCATCATCAGCTTTAGATGCCGTTGGCACATTTTCTGACAGGCCATTGTTCTTTGGAGGGCCATTGGAAGAAGGGTTTTTCTTGGTAAGCCCTGAAAGTGGGAATGAAGGCGTCGGAAAGAGTGGAGTGTTTGAAGAAGTAATGAAGGGATTGTACTGTGGGACAAAATCAGTTGTGGGTTGTGCAGCAGAAATGGTGAAGAGGAATGTGGTCGAGGCTGGGGATTTCAGCTTCTTTGATGGTTATTGTGCTTGGGAGAAAGAGCAACTGAGGGAGGAGATAAGGTCTGGGTATTGGACCGTAGCCGCATGTAGCCCAAGTGTAGTGGGTTTAGCTAGCGCTGGAAGCGTTGGGCTGTGGGAAGAAATCCTTGGCCTTATGGGGCCTAAAAGAGTTTGGTAACGACCAAGAGAAATCAGTCCACTGCCTTGAGAATTAAATCCTCACTGTTTTATAATTTTCTGTACAGTTTTCCACATTATTGTAGAAATGTGATCATATCAAACTTATAATTGCATTTTAACTTCGATTTTTTTTTTATGTATTGACAGAGTGCCATGACTACATATGATCTCTGTTTTCAATTTCAAAGCGCTTCTTGATGATTTTCTCATACTTTAGTTTTGGATCTCTTCCTCATTGCTTGACTTTTCCATGTGTGTTTTCGATTCTAATGAGGTGGTATCTGGTACAGGCAGTATTTAACTTGCTGATGCTAACCTTTGATGAACTGCTTAGATTATTATTACTACTATTATGTTTCTCTTTAATCTCTTTAACAATTAAGAAGATCTAGATAAAGAAAGTGAATAAGGCATTAAGGCTACAGCAGCCTAGCCTTAATAAAATAGTAATAAAATGATTGACAACATGGAATTTTAAATTTCTCCAATAGCGAGGTCTTTGAATAATGTTAATTATTATTTCGTGGGCGAATATTAAAATTTTATGAGCTTCTGGTTCGGTGAGAAGATTCTTGTGACAGCGACCAGTGGCCGGAACAAAAAGAAAGCAGGACGCAATTGTAATATCATTATCAAGTCAATAACACTGATACGTGTTTTTTTCCCCCTCCTAAATGCTTTCTTTCATTTTTGCATCTACATTATATATTTACACAACCCTAATCATGATACATCAAAATTTTTTTGGCTTGATTTCAAAAAGGAAAAAAAATCGTATGTTACCTCGTTTGAAACATATAGTTGTACAAACTTTGGGCTGCGAAGATGTGTATTAGTCCAGTTTTCTCTTGATAGATTATTTTGTATTTTTGATAAGATTGTGTCTTGGATTGATTGAAGTGGTCTAGCTCTTGGCTTTGTCTAGACACTTGTGTTTTCTGTATGGAGTTTGTACTTCTTTTCTTCATATAATGGAATGAATACAATCTTTATTCCAAAAAAAAAACATATAATTGTACAAATTTATGTGATATATATTCATTATGATAAAGTTTTATTCATTGTGAATTCTGTAACTCTCACCTACACATTAAAATTGCAAGAGACTCTATGTGAATATTAACCGTGTGACGTATGGTGATTACGAATTATCATCAAGCGATATTTTTATGATATAATCATCCTGCAAATAATTTTTTTATTAATATATTACACACCCAAAGTTCAAAATTACTACTCCCTTTTTTTTTTTTAATATGTCTTTCTGGAGAAATCATCAAAATCAAGAGTACATTAATTAATGTAATTAAAATACAAAAATACCTTTATTATTGTCTATCCAATTCATCACAAACCAATAGAACTTCATTATAAATACTGTTTCATTTCCAATGCAAGGATAATAATTGGTAAAAAGTGGTTAAATATGCATCGATTTGTGAAAACGACATATATTTAAAAAAATTCACCAAATCCTAAAACGACATATATTTCAAAATACAGGGAGTATTATTTTAATTAATTTGAACTCGAGTGAAGTAAATATTTTTTCGGGAGATAAAACTCACCTTAATCCCAATAAGTGTTATCATTAGGTAAAGACTTTTGACGCAAGTATATATGAACTTTTTAATACGGGAGCCACATGAAATGGAGCATTGAAATACACGTAAACATAGCTGGATTTGTGAACTAAATTTGAGAAACAACGAATTTGAAAACACCAAATCCATTCCATGTATTAACATATCAGATTGGGACTTCAATCTTGCCGACATCTTTTCTCGCTTTTATTACTAATTTTTGGATCAATCGTCATTTTTTTTTTAATTATTAACTTTTCTTTTCACATGGCTTAACCCTCAAGTAAAACATAAGCATGATTTTGTTGGACGTAGTCTGGTAATTTAAATGCAGTTTCATTTACTTTCCCAAAGAAAAAAAAAGTTAGGCAAAAACCTAATGAAGGTGATTAACACCATAAACCAATGTCAATGAAACATTAAGGATGAAAGTAACATTTTTTCGGTAAATTTGCATGACTGAAACCTTGCTCTTATTTGTTTGAAAAAAATGATTTTACCGCAACTCCCAATAACTTCTTTACATTTACAATCAACCCACACACAAAAAGGGCTTTTTCTAAATTGGCATCAAGACATATTGCTTTACTTCATTCTATTTCCCTGTCGAAGTTCTAATTAATAATACTAAACTGGCATTTAAAACTCAGATTTACGTAGTTTCGTTCAATTAATTTTAGTAAAGTTTTCCATTTTAAAATTGGTTCAGAAAAGAAAGAAAAAATAAAAAATCTAAATCTAACGCCAAAATGAATGGAAATAAGGTCAAGGATTCGGGATTACATAACTGCGTGTTGCCTTTTCTTTTCTTTCTTTTTTTTTTTTTTTGCACAAAGCCACAACAATCACGTTGTACAATATTATAAAGCTTGCAAAGTCTTTTTTTTTTTTTTTTTGGTCTATTTTGAAAATCTTGCAACGTTAATAATGATTAACCAAAACGATGAACTTAATAACATTGAGAAAAAACATCTTATGACGAACAAAAGCATCAAATAATCAGAGAATGACACGATCTGTTTGACCCGATAAGTAATCTTACAAAGTTTAGGCTCGAATATGTACATCACAACATATATTTATTTTACGATATTATACAAACCATATTTCAGTGGAAGGAAGGTAATACTGGAAATTGGATAATTAGCTTACCAGTTACCTCAACCCTCAAGGGTAAAATAATATTTACCCCTCAATTAAAAAGAAATGGACCAATACAATAGTGAGATAAGAGTCGCCCAAATTAAAAAAGAGTACTATATGTTTTTACACGATAAAATCTTGCAAAGCTTGTCCCTGTCAATTCTTTTTAAACACCAAACCTACTCTCTCCTTCGCCACAAATGAGAATCAACTTCACCCATGGAGATCCCTCCTCCCCACTCCCTTCCACCGCACGTGTTTCTCAACCGCTCCGGCTCCCACTTTGTCGTACGCTTTGTACCGTCCGTCATTCTCCCGCAACATTCATCCGGCGCGTGGATTCTGTACCCAAAAAAAAAAAGAAAAGGAAAAAAAAAAGAAAAGGAATTGATGATGAATGATGTCAGGATCAGTTGATGCTTTTAGGAAACTGTCCCAGTTGGGGGGGAGGTTAATTGTCCCGTTTCTCCCTACTCTACTCACAAAGATCAGATGTTGTTGTTGTTCTTAATATATTAATTTTAACGAAAAAACTAAAAAGAAAAGACTTTTCTTACAAATTATTTTAATTTATTCTCTCAGTTTGTGTTGTGGAAGAAGATTGGGACTGGAGAGAGAGAGAGAGAGAGAGAGAGAGAGAGAGAGAGAGAGAGAAGAATCTTGATGAAATGCCCCCCACCCTCATTCCTCAAAGACATAATTTTTATCATTTTTTCATGCATATGAATGAGATATTCTAGATTGAAGAAGATTCTTTGTAAATACTCTTCTTCCTAGAGAACCCATTGATTTTTTTCCTCTTGGAGATTGAGAAAAAACAAATATATAGGGCTTGTAGGGGAAGAAATTCCAGTAGTTGCAACAGGAAGAGGAAGAGAAGTGGCTGGGTTTATTATGGCCTTACAGCCCACAAGTTGACAAATTTGAAGTCATTTTTTCTTTGGAAAGACTTCTCATTTGGGATTTGGGCACGCAGCACTCACTCCAACTTTTTTTTTTTTATTTTTTTTTACTTTAACACAGAGAGATCTTATCTCCATAGTGTACTATTTTGATTGATTGGATTGATTTAACCAAAAGTGGTCCTTCTGTAAAGATGATTATATGAGTTTCTGAGCTTTTTCTTTGGGAATTCATTCACAATTACTGTTGATTCTTTTCCTTTCCTTTTCCTTTCTTTTATGGGTCTTGGTTAACAGAGAGATTCCTATTTTTTTTTTTTTTTTGGTGCTTGTGGAGTGAGTCAAGTCATTCTTACTTCTTTTGGTTGCCACTATCAAAGTCTTCTTACCAAGTTTTGTTTTTCTTTTTTGAGTCTTCTCTTCGTCAATCGGCCATGGATGACCCTCTTGCTATGTTTTCTGCTCGGTGAAGACTTTTTTCATCAATTTAGCTTCAAAAGTGGTAGAGCCTGGGATCCTGCAAAAAAAAGGTAATCCTCATTATATCTCCGTACAAATTTGTTGCCATTTGACGTAATTTTCTTCTTTCCTTCTTTTTTTTTTTATAATAATTTTTCTGTTGTGGGATATTTTTTTTCTAAATCTTCTTTGGGTCCGTTTGAATTCCGCAATTTCCTGACTATCAAACTCTTATGGATTATGTTGGGGATTTTTATTCAAGTTCTGGCCTTGTTCCTGAAGTCTACATGGTGTTCATGTTAATCATTACTGGTATCAGCATTGATTATTCAATATCATTTTTTGGATATATTATTCCTGCTATCTACATATTAGCTATAAACAAAAAAAAAATTCTTTACATTCTTCAACAAATTATCTATCTCTAACCCGAAACTCTTCTCTGTCTTGTTCTCCGGCAAGTGAAAGCAGGGTCATTTATGGATATTTGCAAACCCAAAAATGATTTTCACTAGTGAAAAATCTATCTTGCGTCCGTAAACCTCCCAAAGCCCGTAAATGACATGTGAGGACATATCTTGTGTCCCTTTTCTCCGTCTGCAATTCCTAGATGCCCAAGAGAGGATAGTTTGGTTTACACTAGTGATCTGAAATTAAAAACTGATTGAGCTGTATGTCTTGATTCAGGATTTTAAAATTTCTGATCCTGTCCTTCATTGATTGCAAAATAGCCAAAAGGACAAATGAGATCCTTTGGAAGCCCAATGAACGATTAATGCAAGACAGAATGTGAATCCTTATCAGCAGCAGGAGTATTTTTTGTTGTTTTTTGCATGGATTTTTGCTTGTGTGCTGAGGGAATTAATTGTCTTTGAATAATAATGAAATTTTCTGTTTAAATCATCACATGTTCTTACGACCCGAATGTTTGTCACTGGTGCCGTGGAAGTTAGTGGTATAGAGCTTGTTGCACATTGTACACACGAAGACCCTGCCATCAATTTCTGCAGCCAATCAATGTTGCAAGTTTCACTTGAGCATCAATAACTATTGTGCTACCTCTTTGTTTCCCACTGAAGTTAATCTTGTATTTTACAATGTTGGTTGCAGGAATGGGAGCAGAAATTCATCCCAAAAGGGATTCAAATGGATATTATTCCATTTGGGGTCTACATCAAGATGCCAAAAATGATATTTGGTCAGTGTACCAGGAAAATAGGCCTCAGAAAAATGGTCAGTGTTTAGAGACAACTTTGCCATGGAATCTGAAGCTTGATGGCTCGCTTGAATATGACAAGGAAAAAATGAAGCAAACTATTCTGAGGCATGAATCAACCTTCCGGCACCAGGTACATGATCTTCTGTACAATGAAGAATTAATCTCAATGTTGCCCCTTGTTTAAGGGTTGAAGTGGCAAACTTGTATGCTTTCAGGACTAGAACATTTGTAAACAAGTAGGGTTCATCACTTCCTTTCTTTTATCTTGTAAAATTTCTCAGCACTGTGTTCACCATGTATAGTGTATCTTGACATTTCAGCTCCAAGAACTCCACCGGCTCTATGGGAAGCAAATGGAGCTTATGAATGTCTTTAGAAGAAGTAATGTACAGCATCTTCGACTTCAGGAAGAAGCATCAAGTTTGAGTCACTTTCCATCTCAGATATCTTTTGAAAATCCTAAGCGTGGGTGGCATGACTCAGATGTTCCTTCAATGAAGTTGGTGTTTGGTCAATCTTCTCAATCAGAGTCTAGCTGCAAACAGTCTTTCCCTGGTGTAAGTAATGGGAAAAACATGATGCCTTTTGCCGCCAGAGATTATGGAAGTTCAAAAGTTATGGAACCTCCAAGCTCGAACGGAACCTTAACCCGTAGAGAAGTTATTGACCTAGAGATTCCAGCTGATGCATGCATGCATAATGAAGCAACATACTCAAGAGAAGTTCTTCGTGAAGTGCCTGGAAGCGAGAGTAACTTGACCACCTTCACTAAGGATAATCTACTTAGCAAAGGTGTAAAAACATCCTTTTTCAATGCTCTAACTGATCACCATAATAGTGATGTTTCAAGATCTTCTTCTTTGTCCTTGAGAAAAAAAGATGAGCTGGCCGACCTGAATGACCCAATCCTGGTTAATGATAGCTCTGATTCAGATTCTGCTGATAATCCTATTGGCTTGAGTAGCAGTTGGGGCAACAAAAAAAGTGAAGATAAATCTGCAACTCCAGATTCAGTTCTCAATCCTATGTGGAAGAATAAGAGTCTAAGTTCCAAAGGGAATAATAACAGTGGAACTTTCGTCATGAGTGTGGAGTCTATGAATGAAATGGACAGAAAAGAGCGATGGACTTGTGACTTCAGTTCCAGTAAGAATTACTTGGATGCGTCTTGTCTCTTTTTTCGCTAATTATTTGAGAAACAAACTGGAATCTTTTCTTACCATATTAAGCAGCAATGCATTGATGCTTAGTTTTCCTTCAGTTTCAAATTCTTTCATCATTCTCTCCTATTTTTCACCTATGTGGAGTTTCCCTGTAGCACTTCATTTTGCAATCATCAATGATGCATTTCCACCAGCTCTGTTTGACGGTGAAAATGAAGTTGGCTAACATAAGTCAATCTTGGTTTGATGTAATACACCACGAAAGAAGCCGACTCCATGTTTTGTGAACTGTAGCAGTTAATTAAACATCATCTGGAGTGCTATTCGATTGATTTTTTATTTTTAAAATCTTGTTAAGACTACTCTTTATTGGTGTTATTTAATGAGTAGAATAAGGGAGATATTTGCAATAGTGCAAGAGTTTTTATGTTTGATATGTAACTTATTAGTTTCTTTCACTCTTTCCCTTTGCAGAGATATTGAAACCAGAGAGCTTCTCCATGAACAGAGATGTCTATTCCAGGCATTCATCTGTAGCTTTTCAATCATATAAACATGAGCCTGAGAAACGGAATCAAATGACTTCTTCCGAACAGGTCTGGACTGGTCAGCGAACGAAAAGGAAACTTTTTGGTGTAGATATCTTTGAAGTGAATGATGAATCGTTGGTTATGGGGATGACCATGAGGCATAATGCTGATAAAATCAATGAACTTGGTTCTAAGCGACCAGTTAATGATGTCAAATCTGGTTTTGATTCAAGTACAGGTTCATTTCATAGCTCCATACGTGAAGTGCCTTATCAAAATGGTCTCTCCCTTGGTTCACAATTGAATTCCAAGCATGCACAGGGAAATCCATTGGCCAATTGCCAGCTTATCAACAACACAACCATTTCTGACTTTGTTGTGAAGAAATCTGCATCTGTAGATCTTGTGAAATCTGTTGACAGTGGTGAGCATTTAGAATTGAAGCTGGCCAAGGTCCCAAGAATAGCAACGGATAGATCTAATATCTTTCAAGATGCTTTTGCTGCTGAGTATAACATTCTGCCTGCAGACTGTCAAAGAAAGCAGAATGTTTTGGACGACTTGTCACTTCGCCCAAGGGAAACAAGAACTTGTGCAGGACAGTCGAGAGCAGATAAGAACTATTATCACTTGAATTTGGATTCCTTGCAGAATTGCTCTCAACAGTTTTTCAAGAATAGCACTTCAGTGTCCTCTGAGAAATTAATTCAAAAACCGGAAAAGGTGTCTCCTGTTTTGGGTCATGACATAAATGATACTGAAGGTAATTTACATTGTTCTACCTTAATGCTAAAAGATTCTTCCAATAGCCTTGAGGAAAGAGTCTCAGAGGATTCCCAGCTGATCAATAATGCTGCAGATGCATCACTGGAAAATTTTGTTCCCCGACATGATTCAGCAGGCAAGTGCCTCCGATTAGCAGAATCATTAAGTAATATTGACTTAAATGTAACCTTAACTGAAGAGGAGTCTCCATCATCACCCTCTCCTCCTACAGTGAAACTGACTGTTACCAAGGTAGACTTGGAAGTTCCAATAGTACCTGATAAACAAATTGACTTGTCAGATGGTTCAAAGGAACATTGTGAAGAGATAATGAAGTTTGCAGCCGAGGCTATAGTTGCAATCTCAATGTCTGTTGGAGAAGTTACTGTTGACGAAGCAACTTCTGAATCTATGCAAGAAAAACCAGATGGGTGCCTCCAATGGTTTGTGGATGTGGTCTCAACTTATGAGGGTCAAGACCAGAACAACATGAATGAAGTTAACTTGAATGTGAACGATGATTTCATCGTGGAGTTGATTCCAGATGGTATGGATGAATTTGAGTACATGACACTTAAGCTGGAGGATGTAAAGGTTGATGACTGCTTTCCTAAATACTCAGTACCACTTCTGGAGAATCAGGAGGATGAAGAAACAAAAGTTACTACATTGTCAAGACGGCCGCGACGAGGGCAAAGGGGGAGGCAGCGTAAGGACTTTCAACGGGATGTACTTCCAAGTCTCATTTCCTTGTCAAAGCTCGAGGTAACTGAGGATATTCAGACATTTGAAGAACTGCTCAAGTCTAGTGGTTTAACTTGGCAGTCAAGTTTGTCAAGAAGAGGTAATGCAAAGACTTCAAGGGGAAGAAGGCGTTCAGGAGCGACATCTTCCACTCAAGTAAAAGAGACAGTGTGCTCTCCATTAGAAGATAAACCTGTTTCTCGAGAAGTACAAGCCGAGGATAAAACACTAGTTGGATGGGGAAAGAGGACGAGGCGTTTGCCAAGGCAAAGAAGTGTAAATGGTCCTACTGCTATTCTTTGAAGCAATACTAACTTGCCTAGAATGTTGTATAGGTAAACAGATTAGTTCCATCATAAGAGTGAAATATTGCAGCAGTGACATTCTTGCTAGGATTCTTGATTTTACATACTCTGAAACCTTTCTGAGCTTTGCTGTTCAAGTTTTAGTAGTGAACTCGCTCCGTAGGTTGTAATAGATTGGATCATGTGTCTCATTTTCGTATCACAACTAAGTTTAATTAGCTTGTTTTAACTACATATCTCAAGTCTCAACTGCTAACTGAAGACATTATGCCATTTTTCAGTAAAATGAGCCAAAGGAAAATCTGTAGCTGGAATGCTCTTATATTTCCGGGAATCGGCAACTTGGTCAGCCTAAACTGGTGCAAAAAAACAAAAAAAACAAAGAAGGAAAAAAAGAGAAGGTCCTACCGGGAGTCGAACCCAGGTCGCTGGATTCAAAGTCCAGAGTGCTAACCACTACACCATAGAACCAAACTCGCAGATAAACCACAATCCAAAGAGGTCCCACCGGGAGTCGAACCCAGGTCGCTGGATTCAAAGTCCAGAGTGCTAACCACTACACCATGGAACCTCTTGATGGCAATCTTTGTTGAAAAGCACAATTTGTCACTGTTTAACAGCCAATTGCGGCACACAACACTAGGAATTTTGTCATTTCTACCGGTAATTCATCAAATTCCCCAAACACACTGTCCGTGTCATCAAACTGCTCAGAATTAGGCCCGTTTTATATAGCAGAAATGGAGAATCATCATCATCATCATTGCTAAGTGTCCATTCATCTTCCTTCATAGTAGTTAAGAGGACAGGCAGTGATAGAGAATTATGGAAGATCAAGTCAACGGGAAACCCCTCTACGATGTTGTGATCTTCGGAGCTTCGGGCTTCACCGGAAAGTATGTCGTTCGGGAAGCTCTGAAATTCCTCCACACACCTTCTTCCCCGCTCAAATCACTTGCTTTAGCCGGCCGGAATCCATCCAAAGTAGCCCAGTCACTGGAATGGGCCGCCCACCCGAACCCACCTCCGGATATTCCCATCCTCACCGCCGACACCTCCGATCCTGCATCCCTCCGTAGACTAGCGGCCCAGACCAAGATCATTCTGGACTGCGTCGGGCCGTTCCGTCTCTACGGGGAGCCGGTTGTGGCGGCTTGTGTGGAGTCCGGCTGCGATTATTTAGACATTTGTGGGGAGCCGGAGTTTATGGAGCGGATGGAGGCGGGTTACCACGAGAAAGCGGTTGACAAGGGGTCTTTGGTGGTTTCTGCGTGTGGGTTCGACTCTGTTCCGGCTGAATTAGGATTGATGTTCAATTCAAGGCAGTGGGACCCGCCGGCGGTGCCCAACAGCGTGGAAGCTTACTTGAGTCTGGAGTCTGATAAGAATGTAGTTGGGAATATCGGGACGTATGAATCTGCAGTGCTTGGGGTAGCTAATATGTCCCAATTGCAGGAATTGAGGCGATCCAGGCCCAGAAGGCCTCGTCCTGTGGTAAGAATTAACTGTTGAATTTTGGTTCATGTACTCTTCTTGTATCTTGGAAAGCTTTATTTGCTTAACTTTTTGGTTCAGTGTTTAAGGTTTTCGGATAACCTAGGAATTTGATGGTAAAAAAAACTGTAGGGTTAATATAAGATCAGTTATTCTGAATTGCAATTTAGACATACCCAATTACACAATCTTGTTGAGTTTGAGGAATGCTGTTTCTGGAATTATTCTTGTTGTGGAACATGTGTTTTCATCTGAAAGAATGCTTGTGTTCACAGGAATTTAGTTATAGTTAGGACAGGAACTTTAGTTACTTTTTTGCATGCAAAGATCATTGCACTTGTATTTGTTTGTGATTTGATATTTTGTTTCCCTGTCATCTTTAGATTCCTGGACCTCCTCCACCGAAAGGCTCGCTAATTGAGCACCAGAAGAAGTTGAACCTTTGGGCTGTCAAGTTACCATCAGCCGATTCAATTGTTGTCCGGAGAACATTGGCGAGTCTGACAGAAAATCCACGAGGGTTACCGGGTGTCAATGAAAGTGCCGAGCAGGTTGAAAAGAGGGAGAATTTCTGGTCAACTGTGAAACCAGCTCATTTTGGTGTGAAGATGGGGTCTAAATCGCTATTGAGTATCTTTCGGATCATTGCAGTTGGGATGTTCATCGGTCTCCTTGGCAATTTTTCGTTTGGTAGGAAGCTATTGCTGAAATTTCCGTCATTTTTTAGCCTAGGGTGGTTTAAGAAAGAGGGTCCAACCGAGGAGGAAGTTGCCAGTGCTACATTCAAAATGTGGTTTGTTGGGCGTGGATTCAGTGACAGCCGTCTTGCCGCGGATGGAAACAATAAGCCTGATATGGAGGTTGTTACCAGAGTAATGGGACCTGAGATCGGCTATTTGACAACTCCAATTATCCTGGTTCAATGTGCCCTTATTCTACTGAATCAGCGTGAAAGTTTACCAATAGGTGGAGTTTTGACACCAGCAATGGTCTTTGGTGCCACAGATCTTCAAGATAGGCTCCAGAATAATGGCATATCTTTCAGTGTGATTTCGAAAAATTCCCTTCAAGCCTAAGGGCATAGTTTGTTCAAATGTTTTTGTATTACAGTGGCGGAACGCTATGTTTTCTGGGTTTTGGCCTTGGATTTTATCTTTGCTAAGTCAATCAATTTGAGACAATACTTCAACTCAAGTTGTGTTCTTGCTGATTATGAAAACTCCCGCCAGCTTGAAAATGACCAAATCCATACCACTCAAATTAAAAGTTGGATTGGGTAGAAGAAGGTAATGTTGCGAGGTTCACAAAGATGATATATTTAATGATAATAATACCATGATTCACACTACCCATTTTGTGTTTTAACTTTAAACTTTAGTCCCTTTCAATCTCCAAGACATTAATTACAGTTTTAGAAGACATTTTAAGATATTTTTGATTATTTTCAGAATAAGAAAAGCGCAAGTAAATCTCCAAGAGGAAAAAGAAAAAAGTTGAATCAGCAAATAGATTTGGTAGAAAGATTTGAGAATTGAGATTAAATCCCAAGGCGCATACACATCCTTGGCCGGAGTAACGGCCATGGCAACCTGCAAAAACCTAGTTAGCTTATCAAATCTTGCCACCCCTTTCTCTTCCCTCCCTCCTTCATTCTCTTCTCCCCGCGGTTTCTTCACCTCCATCAAGCTGGGCCTGCATAGAAGGGCTTCCTCGATGCGTTGCTACGGTTGCAATTCTGCCGGAGCAATTGCTCTGGACATGTCGGATTCAGTCTTGGATGTGCCGGAAGATTCTTTTCGAGACACCGTGGAAGAGTTTCTGACCGGAAGCAGCCACCACCACGACGACAACGTTGCCAGGTTCATGAAAATGGAGCGGAAACCGATAACAATCGAATCCGTTCCTAGTGGAGACCGTTGGTTCCCGTACTTGGACAAGTTTAAGGCATCCAATGGTGAGTATTTGAGCAGTGGGGAAGTGTTGGAGGCGTTAGAACCTTATATTATGGTTGCCCGGAAAGAGAGGTTCCGGAAAGCGGTGAAGAAACGAAGCTATTCCGTGAGCTTGGTGGTTGAGGGGCTCGCCGATTTTGGGAATGTTTCTGCAGCGTTTAGGTCCGCCGACGCCTTGGGATTTCAGTCTGTCCACGTCGTGTCATGTGACAGCTCAAAAAGGTGCAACCAGGCCTGAGGTGAAACTAATTTCAGTTTAAGTTTCCGTTCCTTTACCGAAATCCTTATCCTGATTGTCAAAAACTTGATTCATGGATGCTACTGTTGTTCTTCATTTTCAATGGAATCTCATGAACTGAACACTGTTTTGATCGAAAAAATTATTCTTTGATGCTTATTTTGAACCATTTTATGTACTTCACTCTTGATTATCTAGGAAGGTTGAAAATGTAACTAATGTGGATTATGTTGAAGAAACAGGGCTAAGAAATTGGAACTGAGATTTTTTTGGTATTCGAACATATCAGCGGCTTTGCCTGCCCCTTTAGTTAGATTTGCTTTTATTCCTAGTTTTGTTTGTATAATCTTAAGATCAGATTCTAGGACCTTAACAGTTTTCTTTTTTATTATTCTGCTTATTGTGCTACATTACTCATAGTCGGGACTCCATTCAGGTATAGAGACAATCGTCATGTTAGCATGGGGGCTGAGAAATGGTTGGATATTGAAGTCTGGAACTCCACGAAGGATTGCTTCAAAGTTTTGAAATCACGTGGTTTCAGGATAGCTACTACGCATTTGGGAATTGATGCGGTATTTGCATGATTTTTCTTACATCTAGTTCGTTATTCTAAATATGATGATGTTGTTGTATGACTCTGGTGGTTTGGCGCTTCCTTATAGGTCTCCATTTATGATATGGACTGGTCATACCCAACAGCAATAGTTGTTGGAAATGAGCACAGGTAATCATTCCATTGTCCTGTTCCGTGGTTTGCAAATTGGCTTTTTTCCATGCTCTATTGTTTCCCTGCATTTTCCCCACGGGATTTGATCTTTTCTTTGTCCGTGTGACATTATAATTGCAGTGGAATAAGCCAGGAGGCTCTTGAATTGTCAGACTTGCATTGCAGTATTCCAATGAATGGCATGGTGGACTCTTTCAATGTTTCGGTTGCTGCTGGTATTCTGATGCACCAAGCTGTTTGTGATAGGACTTCCCGCCTGGTAGTGATTCTTTTCTACTGCATCTTGTAATTTTGAGATATCACAAAGTAGCTGTAACTAAAGAAGTGCTTTATGTGATTTATCTTTATACATGTGCTATTATCTTTTCCATTTTCTGAAAAATTGGTTACACATTCATGTCACTAGATTTTCATTTAAACTTGCATGCTTGAACCGTTGAACGTAAGCTATCAGAAGTTCCTTAAGTTTTACTTCTTGAATGAGCTTGCTATATTGCATTATGAAGTGACTAATACTCTCGTCTTTACGTCATAGGGCTGTCATGGGGATCTGACATTTGAAGAACGCCAGATCTTGCTTGCGGAGTTCTTTTTGCGCCATAACCTGATCTCAACTCAAATTGCAGATGAATATGCTAGACGGAAGCTGGACCAACCAGTGTCAAAGCTCTGAATAATCAAAAGTTTTGTGTCGAGTGGTAAACTTCAGACTCATGAAACCTTCAAAAGTGTAACCAAATTGCTTAGAACAAACCTAAACCAGTCCCATGTTGCCATAAGGAGTAAAATGTGGCTTCTTTGGGTTGCCGAACCAGACAAAGTTGCGATTAACTTCTTCTCTTAGTCTTTCTATGGTTGAAGGCCTACGAAAGTAAGATTGGTAGTATTTAGATTATAGATATTTTTGTCTGTCCGCGCATAGATCAAAACTACATCATTTGTAGTAAATTTCAATGTAATATAGTGTTACCTAGAAAGACTGGCATTGTTAGCCTCATAGAAACAACTTTGTTTCAACACTTGATATCCAGGGTTTTAATTGTTTCTTTTGCCTGCTTCTTCTCTTTTCTCTGATGCTTTTTCTATGGTGTCCAGCGCCTTTTTATTCACAAGTTTGGAGATGCATTATAGAATCCCTTCCTTCTTGTACCTTGATTATTTGGTATGCGTTTTAGTCCAAATGTTGTTATAAAAGCAAGATCAACATAAAGGCTCAGAGGGGTTCTACCTGCATTTAAGTAAATCATGTGGCCTGGGAAGAGGCCATCCCCTTGTATGGTCAAACCGTATGAAATATGTAGTAGTACTACACAAGTTGCTTCCAAATGTTTGAAGTTTAACTTGATCAACTAGTATATTATCACACACGAAGTGAGAAAGGATTATCAGGTTATGTGTCTGCTGGACAAATGATTCATAATCTAACACAAACGGAACACGAATTGCTAATCGATTATACATATAACCAACATAAAAGATCTGAAGGCTTGAACCCGGGAACTCTAGCACAGCAGAGCTTCGATGCAGTTCGCTTCAGACCTTCTGGAGGTTTTTGAGGCAACTCGGAATCAAAACGCTTCCAAATTCGGCACACACTGCATTCATAGAATCATTGTGGAGGTACCAAACATTCATGAACGAGCTTCTTACATTCCTGGACATGATCTTTTACTCTTTAAGAACAACACCATCTGGAATTTGGCTGTGTGAATCTCCTCCTGTACCAGAACCAGTTTGTGTAGCTTCCCCATTGAGGCTTAAAGCAGAACATTCACGAACCAGCATCTTACATTCTTCGGAATAATCTTTAAGAAGAACTCCATCTCGAGTTTGGCCTCCGTCATTCAGGCCATCATAAAACAGCTTAAGCGCATCTTTTGTGGAAACAGAACGCACTGATTCGTGCAGGCTCTGGAATCTGCGTCTTTTCTCCTCTGTTTCAACCAATTTCTGTTTCAAATCGTCAGGTAGACGAGCAAGGGCACTTGTAACACCTCTAACAAGACCCCAGCTTTGGCCGGCGAAGACAGATTCCTTAAACCCCAAATTGAACCCTTCTTGTGCCGCTGCTTCTTTCCCGGCCATCAGGCCTTCCCGATATCCTAGCCGGTGGAATTCCTGTTGCCGCCTCTGCCACTGTCTTTCCATATCATCTCCACCGTCATCGTCCCACAAATCATCCCCGTCGATATCACGTGGATTACGAGTTTCATCTTTCGAAATGGATTGAGGATCTGATTCTGTTTTAGGCATCTTCATAACATCAGAATAGATCTCCTCGCCTATGCTTCCTTCCATCGATAGAACCGAAAATATCCGGCAGAAGTGACAGGTTAACCGGAACGTCGATTGTAGCAGAGATTCGCCGGGAAAGTTTCCCGAGCAGCGGCAACTTGATGCGGCGGAGGATGAAAGCCGAATTCAGATGTGTTTAGTTAGTGTGGGCCGTTTTATATAGTAGTTGTAGAATTCGAATCGGTTTTGGAAAGTTGGGATGTCCATGGATAAAATATTTAGTGGGCTGGGTCCTGTCAACCCATTTCTTAAAGGAGCTCCAAGGTTTTCCTTGCGCATTTTTTATTTTTGAAATGAGATACCGTTGCAATTGTTGAATTTAAAACGGGCACCTAATAATACTGTAATAGTATATTACTTGCAATACCTTAATTTTATACGCAAAAAAAGTAAAAACTAAAAAGGGTGCATAATAACATATTTCTCGCAATACGTTAATTTTTATATATAAAAAAACATATTGGATTAGTGTTGAAAGCCCACTATTGAAACACAACAGTGTTTGTCAAATGATATAAAAACATAGTACTACTTCCGTCTCACAAAAATAGTCCACATTGAGTGTTGAGTTTTGTAATGTTTTTAGTACGAATTTAAAAACTCAATGTGAACTATTTTGTGGGACAAAGGGAGTATTAGATTAAGGTTGAAAGCCCACTATTGAAACAATCGTGTTTATCAAATGAAAGTTTTAAACTGGACAATAGTTTCGTGTGACAAGAGAGAAAAAAGTAAACACCAAACATTACTGAAATGGTAAGTGATAACAGAAATAAAGGCAATCTTTAGACTGATTTCATTGCTTAAGAACTAACAAGGAACAAAACCAAAGGTTGTAAGCTATATTTGTGGGCGATTAACACCAAAAGATTATAGAACTACTTTTTACTTTTTCCTTTTCGTTTGTAGAAATAAGTGTCTTAGTAAAAATATGTGTAGGATTGATGATCGACCCTTGACTATTTCTGCCCCATGAAATTAATTGGTGAATTGAAAACATTAAAAATTGGTTATATTTTTCCTTTTATTTTATTAAGTCATAACGAAAAAAAAAAAGAAAAAAGAAAATGAGTAGGTAACCACTACAATGACGAGTTATAGGAATGGATTTTATTGAGGAAGCAAAAGTTAGCCCTTCCCAAATTTTGATTACACTATGCAATCACCTTCATGAATACCCTGAATATATTAAAGTTTAATGAAGAAAATAAAACCCAAAAAAGGAGCAAATTGTAACTATGTAAGTACACAAATGAACTTGTTTGGTTCCCTTTCAGCGGATAATTTAACAGGAACCAGGAAAGAGAAAAAAAATAGAAATGTCCTATACCTTCCACTGGTTACTAACGCGGATCGCCACTAAATTTACAAAATGAGGTGAAGTAAATAATATACATACGAGCTTGACGTAAAAACATCTCCTACTCGATCAAAGAAGACGTATCAGTTGTTTGTATTGTCGCCTTTGTGTTATTCTGCAAACTCAAACCTTCCCCTTGCTTATTCGAATGTATGGTACGAAGAAACTCTTCGATCTTAGCTTTAAGCTCAACATCTGGAATCAGCATGTCCGCGGTAAGATGAGAACGGTTGAAGGGGTCCGTCTGCGGTCCAAACCAGTAAAAATTAATAACAGAATTTCGTGTCGACAGGACTTAACAAAGCAAAGGGTTTAGGAAAGTACAGCATCACTTAAAAGATGTCTCTGAATGACTGGTCGATCAATGGTAATCCTTGAAGACGGTAAAATGACAGGATCCCTCATTAAGGTGTACTGCAACACAACAAACCAAATGCGAGAATAACATTAAGCATTTCTAATTAAAGATGCACAAAACACATCCTGCATAGAAACCAAAGAGAAGAAAAACAAGTAACAAGGTTCTAGCCACATCAAAACGCTTCATCTTACTTGAATTGGGTCAAGGAATTCTTCAGGTATCTCCCCTAGAGCTGCTTCAGCATCCATGGCCTCGGTCGCTGCAACTTTAGCCTTTTCACCAAGGTTCGTGAATTCACGTATGATCCTCGCGTCTTCACCAATTCTTCGTAGAACATCAGCTGCGGCACTAAATAACTGGGACAAAAAGATACCATGTTCTTAGAAATGACAACTATTACAATACCGCTGAAAAAGAATACAGGATCTTTTGAAACGTAAACAGAATACCTGCTCATTATAAGATCTACCATCTTTTGTAATGGCTATTGGGAAAACATTCTCAGTATCTCCTCTAGCCAAGTTCACGTATATGTTCACGATCTACAAAATTAAAAGGATATCACTAGAATTTCATATATATTCTGTGTCAATCAGATAAATAAATGATAATGTTTGCTCATTTCATTAAACCCTATAGACAAGAAAAATACAAAGGACCAGAATTGATCTGAAGACCATTCTCCTGTCCCCTAATTTTGCACATATCTCTCAATCCAATGATGAAAAAATGTGAACAATATGGTCTAGGCATGGAAAGTAACGGAGGGGCTGGAAAGTAAGTATTAAGTATTTACGGTAACCTGCATAGGGTCTCTACTGGACACCATACACATAACTTTATTCGAAATTAAAAATCAAGGTAGAGAAATCGGGGAATCAACTCCATTAAGGAGGTCATAGATAGAGAAGCTTTAGGCTACTTCTTGCATAAATGAGAAGCTTTTTGGTTGCTTCTACCCTAATTACATCTGTCCCCACCCCGGACAAAGTAAATAATCACACACAAGTAATGACACTTTTCCGGGAAAGATTGATCAGGTAACTGTGTAAATTAATAACTAATACTTAGATACTTGCTACCAGTGCTACCTGCTTAAGTAACTGCTTTGGACGAAATTCGTATTTTTCAGGATCTTTCAAAGTAAGAGATTTCCTCTGAGGTCCCACAAGCTGTAACAGAAAATAATTCAACATGCTGGCAACCCTTTCAACCTGGAAAAAGAATGACAATTAGGGGATTTCGAAATTTCCATCTCTGTATTATAAATTAAAAAGTTAGAGAAAAGAAGATACCATCTCTGGCAGTAGAAAAGGAGCTGTAATCTGCTCTGAAGTAAAAGCCAACATACTAACATCTTCATTGGCCAACTTCATATCAATCCGGATGATCTGGAAACAATTTAAAGTTTTAGTTCCCAACTATCAGAAGTAATAGAAACAACATGTGATAAGTTCTGAACCCACATTCTCCTGAGAGTGGAATTGTCTAGTCCTTTCCTGCCTCTCTTGAGCCGGTCTTTGCTCCCATTCCGCTGTATTAGACATCTCAGCTTCCAATTCTTTCATTTCGAGAATTTTGTTGAGACTTTCATCCAAAAGATAAATACTATCATTAATCAAAAAGTTTAAGAAGTTCAAATAGACTCCCTTCTCCTCCTCCTTAGCAATCTGTGAAAGCAAACAAGTGAAGTCTTATTTTCTTTTCTTTTTTGGTAAATGAATTATGGAGGCAAATGGAAGATAATTTAGAACTGAGACATACCTGTCTCCAAGCATTTCTGTGACTTGGAACCTGCCATAGGTACTCAAGAAGCTCTGCTATATTATGGCGGATGTTAAACTTGTCATAGAACTGCATATGTCACCAAAAGAAAGAAAATTAGGAGTAAATAATGGACGTAGTAACATAACAAATTAACAAAAAACTCATCACTCAAGCAGATGCAGTTAACAGCATAGAATGCACAATGACTATTAAAGATCTTTTCTAATGCGCTTTCAGGAAGGTATAAAACAGAGAAAAATTCTAAAACTAGTTTCAGTATTTTGAAGTGGCAGTGATAACCAATTTTGAGTTTGCTCTGAAATGCAGAACTAGACAAGAAAGAATAAGTAATAAAGTACCAAGAGAAAGCTTTTAAGAATTATTTGAGGGATCAACTTCCAAAATTCCCAAATAACAGGAGTCAATCTCACAACTTTAAGCAAATTAAAGAAAGCCATTAAGTGAAAACAAAGAACAAAGAAGCATATACTGGGACTTGTAATTGGTCAAGGCCTTAAGGACCAAGCTGGCAGAAAGAGACATAAAGCCCAGGCAACAGCGAAATTCAACAAAAACATCCAAAAGGATAAATCTTCAAATCATCATATGAGATAACACTCGTCAGCAAATATCCTATGACATGACATCACATTTTGCTAGCAAAAAGAAAGAAACGATCACCTGAGTGTGAGAGCCTGTAAATTCAATGTCAACATAGAGCTTGAGAAGATTCCGAACTAGATACTCTAGAGATAGTTGGTGCCCTTCAAAGAGTGTAGCTGTTGCTGATGACCCACTTTATATATAACCAGCAAAAACAATCCATTAATTATCAGTGAATCAGCATCATAAATTAATCATCATTTTTATTTGTAATGATGCTGATGATATTACCTTCCGCGCGGCATCCAGCAATTGAGTACTTCAACCATCTTTGCTCTTAGATAAGGATTTCTTATGAACTCAGGACTTGCCATGAACATTATGATGAAGTTCATGAAATCATCCTGCCAGAAAATAGGAAATATAAATGCTGTTTTCTTTCTATTGAGGGAAGGGGGGCTGCCCCAAAAATACATCAAAACCAAAAGAAAACTTTACTATACCAGCACGGCCCCATCCAAGGCTCTGGGAATTCTAGAAGCAAATATTAGCAACTCCATTGCGTCTTCCACAAAATGTTCTGGCATGGATGCAAAATGCATTGGACAAGTTGATGGCAGAGGCATTTTAAATCCTCCTACGAGGCCAACCAACCAGACCAACATAAGCCGGTAGAAGGATAGTGCACGCTGAATAAGACCGCCATCCTAATTGGAACAGACACAATCATAGAACTTCATTATATTAAAAACAAGTCACGGCCCAAATACCTACCCAATGAGAACAATTAGTTCAAATGCGAGGGTGGATATTCACATGTTTGAAAGAGCAAAAACAAACATAAAGGTCAGACATACCCTCAGTATCTGAGCTTCATAGCATAACTTCTCCTGTGTATATAACTCAATTTCTTTCTCAAGGCCATCTATAGCTTGTTGCATTTGTGGTGAAGGTAATTGCCCATGCGAGGCTTTCAAGGAAGATAACTTATCTTCCATTCTTGAAATGTCCTGAAAGAATTTGACGAGATGAGAAACCACTAAAAAATGCAAAGCAGCTAAGCAGGCAGAGAAAAATAAGAGAGAGATGAGAGGTCGATTACATCATGAGCTAACTAATTTGTGCTTAACATTGGTGCATAATCGGAGAAATCTAATGAGACCTCAGCACATTTCCATTTCAATGCGCATAAAGGAAAGGGAGATCGCCGCTTCTAGTTAAAGAACTACGATTGTTTTTAGAAGACCAGTAACGCTTGAACTCTACTTACTCTGTTTATAAAAGCTTCATGAATAACTAGGATGGCAACTGAAGGGATTTCTATTTCCCAAAAGAGAATTCAACACATCTTCCTCCGTCAAAAAACTATAAGCCTAAATTGTTCATGCAAAGAATTGAAATGAAACAAAAACAGTCAACCACCAAATTACTATAGTTATCTTCACTTAGCTAAAAGAATTGGAGCACTACCTGAACAAGATGCTTGAAATCCGAAAATGCTTTTATCAAACCCAAATTGAGAACCCTTGCTGTCATGAAGAAACATTCACAAATGAATGGAAATTTAGCATTTTCAGGGCCTCCACCAGCATTAATATTAGAACTTGTAGCTTCCTGTGAATGGAGCAAACGGTTCTCGACATCCTTATCCTGATTGTTTCTGCTTAACCATTCAGAAACTTCTTCGGATGATGCATGAAGTGCAGTCAACTCTCTATTACAATAGGAATACCAATTCTGTCAAAATACAAAATCTACAATAGAAAATCATTAACAGGAGGGAGTTTCAAATGAGCTGAGACCTTAATTCCAATCGTGTGCCATTAAATACATATTTAGGATCAATTTTGTCTCTCTTCGTCAAATTAGCATCTAAAAATGGTTCACATAGTCGCAGCATTACAGCACTAAGGTTTACAAACATCCCTGGACTGGCAACAGATATTGCATCAACCTGCGACAAGAATATCACTTTCGAAGTTAATATGGATAACATAATGCAATTAGTACGGGATTCCCTGGAGAAAGGTCTCTAAATACACTTTGTGCTTACATATCAGATAGACAATTCCACTGCCAAGAGGAAACTATATCCGAAAGGATGAACAACATTAGGGGAGAAATTCTAGTTAGTTACCTGAATATGAGCTCGAGAAGCATTTTTGTTGATCACTGTAGCTAGATATTGAAGAACATTCTCACGAGTGCTTGTATTTTTTAGAAGACACTTGAGCACCTCTGTCAAACCATCATAAAGATTGTTTATAACAGTTTTGATGGTTGTGAACGAAGACAAAAGATCAGCTGGCCGACGATTAGATGAATCTGAGAAGCACTGTTGCCTGATATTTTACAATTGGCAAAAACATAAATCACTAACCAAAATGGCTTACAAGAATATGTGGAACCTTCACAATATCAGGAAAGTAAGCAACTAAAGGATTGATTGTAGAAGCACAAAGACGCCAATGACATTGAAGTGAAGTAGTTGCTACGGCTAATGGACCGTGAAAGCACGTATTTCTCAAGCTCAAATGATAGCAGACCCACACAAGTTGGATTGGCGTCAACATAGAGTAAGAGTATACAGCTAAAATTACAACATCCTACCCAATTACGATTACATCAATCGATATGGTGATGCATATAAATTAGGAGATAATGAAATTCACTCACCCAACATCAGGTACACTCCTGAAGATAGTGGGATCAGTTATGGCACTAACATGAAAGAAAGGTCCCAGAATGCTAGTCATCTCAATCACTCTCCCATTGATATACATGGTATTCGGTATCCACCAAGGATGATTCACCAGTGCTTTAGCTCCCACCGGAAAATTAATCAACATGAGTAAAGCCCTAAGGGGCTGCTGAAAATTCCCCAAAGCTGAAACCTTGAGCACATAACCTCTTAAATCCTCATACAACTGCTTCATAATAGGCTCCAAACTATCATAATCTCCTTCCTTAAAGAACTCTTCCAAAAAGCCAGGCGGACTAGACGTGCCTCCACTGTTACCAAACGCATCAACGCCCGTTGATACCTCAGATAATACCAAAGGAAGCAAAGGCGATTCCTTTGAATTGCTTCTAGAATCCCAATTCGGGAACATATCCGGAGTTCCAAGGTGTAACCTACAGTAAGAAGCAGCCAACTTCTTGGATTGTTTCACCACTGATTCCATCTCAGACCTAACATTCTTATCCTTCATTGACGCAATCTTTCTGCCCTCCTCGTGTGCTCGACGGTAACAATTAACCAGATACTGAAACGGCGGCTCCGCCTGCACAAAATTCCCGGACAAACGATCGACGAGAACCCGCTCCATCAAATCCCGGCTTAATCTCAAATCCCTACCCTCACTGAGAATTTCAGCTGCCGTCATTTCCAAGTAAACAACCCTTGAATCGCTTTCCATGGAATCGACTAAAGTAACCAGAAAAATCTTCCGGAGAATAATATCCTCGATTTCCTCCGGCGTCCTCTGGGGTTTCGCCGTCGCCATCCTGTTTGACTGTGACCGGAAGAGGGGGGGGAAAACTTCGGGTTAGACAAAAAAAACCTTTTCAGTTGGGTTTTGTGATTTTGTAAAGTCCTCTGAATAAAATTACCTCACTTTTCTATTTATTCCGACCACCGAACGAACTTCCGATCCGATGATATCAGAAGTTTGGAGGAGTACCACGTACGATTGAATCCTAAAATAAAAGAGTTTGAGAATGACAATATATAATCTGAAATGAAAGTAGAGATGGAAAGTGAGACAAACAAGTGAGAAAAGTAATTTTAGTTTTTCTTTTTTTCTTTTTTTATATTTGTTACAACTTAGAATTCTTCCCCCCCCCCCTTCTTGGTAGCCTTTGCTGGTATTCTAGAATTTACCAGATTATTTATGGTGCAAAGGGCAAAAATTAAGAGAGACTTTTTAGTTTTCAGTGCATTTGTTGATGTCAGAATTGGCAATTAACTTCTCACATAACCAATAAAGTAACCACTGCTTCTAATTAGGTTACAACCTCTCTTATTGCACCTAAAAAAATAAAGTACTTTTGAGTTTAGATTAACTTTAAAACAACTCAATTTGTAAATGTAATAGCCAGTTTGAAAGATAACTAGACACTGTTTGCGCTTATGTACATCAATAACCTCATTATCTCTGCCAAACAAGTCAATCCAAATTTCACCCAAAAAAAAAAAAATCACTTGAAAAAATATTCACATAATGATTTCTTATGATAAATTTTATAATTGGTTCATTGGGATTTAGAAATCAAAATCAGTAGGAAGAGTATAATCTTCCATAATCATTCATCTTAATGATACAAATCTTGTAAATCTCATTTTGGTAAAAAATTTTGGATCATACTTGTACTTACTATAACATAATAATGGTTCTTAGAGTCACTTGGCGTTTTGGAACTATCATGTTATTTGCTGAGCACTTGATCTATTTTCGGACCCCTTTCCTAATATACTCCTTCCGGTACTTATTATAAGGTATTTTGATTTTGTCCTAAGTTTTATCTAGGATGTCTTTTTAATTGAAATAAAAATTATAAAAATATCTCATAATAATGAGGAGAACATAAAGATTGTGAAAATATATTTTTAAGATTTTTTTCCAATTAAAAAAATATCATAAATTAAAATTAGGACGAAATTAAAATGTCTTTTAATAATGACCGGAGGGAGTATGTATTAGTGAAAACAATATCAATTTTCCATAATAATTACAAGAATTATAGCATTACATAGAGATAAAAAAAAAATATTGTAAGGTAAATAATCTTGTGACATCAATAAAAGAATGAAATCAATCATGTCATCAATGAATCAATGACATGATACTCTTTAAATTGCAAGATATATTTATCGTACTTTTTTGGTTAAAAAAATTGTAACAACTCTTATTTTGGTGGAGTAACATATATACTTGTATGTTTTCATGTACATGCAAAACATCATCATTTAACCCTTTCATTTACATTCAAGATGGCTGCAGAAAACAACTATGAATAATGCTCCTGATGAGCTTTTAATCATTTACAAAACTTTCACATGTGGTTTCTGTTTATGAAAAAACAAACAGAACCACACATACAAACACACTAACTATAAAACTCCCAAGGAAAAAAGAAAATGTAAAAAAATGCAACTCATGAGAACCATGTGGGGGAAAAAAATAAAAAAAAAAATCCACAATTTATTAATCAGAGAGGCTATCAATTCCCCCATCATCATTTGGCTGAGGGGTGAAGCTGCTGTTGTTAACATTTACAGGGCCAAATAACAGCTCCAGGCAGAATGCCGGACCGCAAATTGATCTTCCTTTCATCCCAAGTTTGTCCAAATCCGATGCAGAAAACTGCATTTCAGATACAGATGTTATGATGTTTGCAAACATACACATGACAATGTTGCTGGAACATATTCAAGAAGATTGAGCGAAGCAATCTGAAATGGCTTCAAGTATACCTGTAATACACTGCCCGTGATAAAGGCTGTATTGAAGCAGGCGTAGAAGAGTCGCCCGCCAATTAGCTTTTCGTAGATTATAATGCGTGTATCTCCAGTGACCTTCATAAGTTCGTGTAAATCATTACCACTGTAACTTTCACATGTAATCCAAGTCCACATAAAAGTTTAATTTTATTTCAAGTTTAGGTCCTGGATGTTTCTTTTGACCTTTTAGATTGAAGTTATTAAACCATCCAAAGAGTGCCGATTTCTGCATCCTTACTTTTCTTCATTCTAAGAACTTTTGTTTATTTGACACATCCCATAGTATGAAGAGAAAGGTGCTATGTGATTCAAAATTTTACCTTCACTGGTTGATCATAATAGTAGTCCAGGCAGGTTTTGTTGTAAAGTGTAGAACTTTCTGTATCCATTTGCGCTACCAAATGAGCTTCCGGCTCGCCTTCTTTTATTTCATCATCGTCATCATCATTTTCAACAAAGGAGTAGTAGTATCGTGTACTATCTGTTTGCTGGTAACCTTTTTTAATCTCGCGGCACCAAACCTTGGACACTTCTGTGTACTGATGAAACTGCTGGTCTGGATTCTGTTTCAAGGAGATGTGATTAGCTTTCTTTTTCCCGCCAATAAGAATTGGAAAAATTTTGATTGTCAACATGATGGGAAAATAATATGCCTTGCCTTTTGCAATTCAGAGACCACAGCGCAGACAGAATAAACATTTTTTGTGTCATAGAGTCTTATTCTGAGTAGGTCTCTGCTGACTGGCTTAGGCAATTTCACCTCAGGAGGATTTTTAAGTCCTTCAGGAAATGAAAGTAGTTTTTCCCAGTAGCCAACATAACGGCGTTGGCTTGGTATGGAGACCTGTTCAACGCAACAATAATACAGGTTATCAATCTTCCAAAGCATACCTGTTCAAAAGCAAAGTTAATAAATGTGTAATGTTCCTCAATCTCTATTAAAAACCACCGTTAGTTACCCCTTCATTGTTCGTGGTTCGCTTCTCTGCATACAACTGCATAGCCTTCTCAGCTGACATGCCCATGTAAACTAAGTAGGCAGACACCATCAAGCCTGTTCGACCCTTTCCTGCCTGCAGATTCCAAACAGTCCACATGCATAAAGCAAAAGCTCATACGAGAAACAGTTAAAAAGTGACATTTTGTGCCGAATGTGTGTGGCTCTCCTCTTTGAATTCCAGAATGCTCAAAGGCAGCGAGTAAAGAGATAATGGCAAAGTTTCGATATTATCATTAGGTTCCAGTTTGTGCAGGTTCAGAAAACAATGACTAAACAGACAAGGAATAAATGAAGTGCAAGATAACAAGGTTGCCTTAAAATAACCAAAGAAGTGGAAATAACTTTGAAAATATTGGAGATGTAGAAAACCAAAGGTAAATATTGTCACACACCATGCAATGGATAACTGCGACATTTTTAGGATCTTGTGATAGCCATGAATACACATCTTCACAGAGTTCTTTGATCATCGAGAGAGGTGGGACATGGTTGTCATCAAACGGACATCTAACCAGACGACCATGAAAATGTGCGGGATCATAAGCTTCTTCCGTGCATAAGTTATATACCTGTCACAAAATTTTACACATGTCATGCACAGTGGTAATCCTTGTTATGGTAATCACTAAGGTTTTATTGGCAAGAATGTTGAATGGACAGAACAAGAAGCATATTGGAAATTTAGTAACAAGCTAAAGTGACTGCGATTAAGTTCTTAACAAAGATACTGATCTTAAGTTCTTAACTACAGAAGACATCCATTTACCAATGCTTCTTAGTTGCAGATGATATCAGGCTTTCAGCCTTCAATATCGTTACACACAACATACTATTGCCTTCCAACTTAATAGTTAACTTATGACTGAACTCCTCCAGATTACACATCAGAACAGCTTCAGGCACTGCATTGATCCTGAGATTGGAACATAAGGGTTCTAAAACTTTCAGCTCATACTACGAATCCGATTATACTGATCCACTGGTTCCAAGAAACAAGAGGCTAATATAAACTAGCTTAACGCAAATTATCAACTAGATGAAAACTAATCATTCCATGCATTTAAAATAAGGAAAAAAAAAATTCTGACACCATTCAGAGATGAAGCACCAAAATGATCCAATTCTGGTAATTCAAACCTTATATTGGCCCGGATGCCGCATATCCAATACAGACTTCACCTGCCACAAAGGGTTTCGATACACAGATCGCATGCGTTCTGCAGGAAACGACATTGCCAGTATTCTATCTGTAATGTATGTCATATCCAAATCATAACCCCCAACTATCATTCTCCTCCTTTTCTTCGATACGAGCTTACGTATATAAAAACTTGTCGAAATAAGATTGATCATTCGGTGCTGTACCAGGAGAAACCCCCTGAGTCCCGTCTTATGCGGCTCCGTTTTTGAGAAGCTTAACCCCATTTTATCTGCAGCAAAAGAAAGCATCGTGTCATTATTATTCTGACCTTAAAGTATGTATCTTGGAACAATGATTTGACATGAATCACCAAGATTTTATTATGGAAATGTTAATCAGAAAGAAAACAATCTTACCAAATCAAATTGAATATAAGGCTACAGGCAGAATCATTCGCGTTAAAGGTCTCATGAAATTGCTGCATAGGCAAAAGTGACGTGGTCCAAGAATCGAAGAGAAAATGATCCTTGGACCCAAAAGAAATGCAGGAAAATGAAACCCAGAAACTGGTTTTGATTGTGGAAGTAGCTTTTGGGGGTGCAAGAAGACGAGACACTGGAGGCTTCCATGTCAAAGATTCCAAAGAAATAGGCTGTTTCCTTGTGATACGCATTCAAATATGTAACTTTCAGTTTTCCTAAAATAGGAACCAAGTCTTCTTAGCCACAGATGTTCGGACATCCCCCCACGTTTTCAGTAAAAAGTCACCTTAATAACAGGAACTTATTTGCTCGATCTCTAGTAAAATGTTCAACTCACATTATACAACATTCAATATTCCTTTTTAAAAACCCAAAAAATTGTTTCCTTTATTGCAAGTATAGAAAAATGTCAAAGATTTCTTCAATTTATTCTTCGGAAATCAACACCGCCAGCATTTGTAAAAAAAACTAGGACTACTAAATGCAGATGTAGAAGTTTGACCAGAACAATCTCTTGTTCTCTACCAAGACAATGCTGCTGATTTCAGACCTATTCTAGGTGATCATGGGGTCTGATTGACAGGAAAAATGCTGCACATTGCCGGAGCATATGCTCGCCACGGCTACCTCCACTTTCTGGGGCCTCATCATATGTTGCATCCCTAATCTTTGCTTTGTAACGTCGCCAAGCGAATTGTATATTCACAGCTGCCCAAGTTCTCCAGTTTGATGAGTAATACCTTGCTTTTTGCTTAAGGTTCTTGTTAGCAAAATGAGACCTGAAGTGATCCGTGATATACCGAAAATCATCAGCATCAAGAGCATAAGCTTCTGCTGGTTCTATGCAAGTAAATGTCGCTGACGAAGCTGGAAAGATATCTGAAATTGGGCGGCGAAGACACCACAAGAGCAGCTCATCACCTAGAAAGCTTCCTGGTTCCAATGTGCTATCAGCCACTCTGTCCTGGGCGAGGCTTTGGCTCCGTCTAAGGCAGCCCTTTACAATGAAGATCATCCTTGTCACTGGATCTCCTTCCTGAATTATCTGGGATTCGAGATAGAGTGTACTTTGATCAAACTGGATTTGTTAATGCAGCAAATGAACATGCAATCATTTGCCCGTAGAATACACCAAAGAGAACTGAATCTGCTGCCAAGATTAATGCAAACCTTCTCATCTTTGGAATAGACAAGTGGCTTCACACGGTCACAGATGTTGTCCAGTATAAGATCATCCAAATGGCAGAACAAAGGTACCTACTCCACACAAACCATTTAAAAGCATTTTAGTACTTAGCATCTGAGCAAAGCATTTGATGTCCGGGCCAAGTTTTACTACTTTCACGATCAACAGGTTTTGTTATTCTGATTACATGCTCATTCTTATCAAGATAGTAGTTTTCCCCTCAACAGATTCTTCGATAAAGAAATGATAAAGTGTAACCTTTGTGATCAGATCAAGGCAGAGATAGCGCTTAATATCCCTCCGTAAGCCCTCAGGTAAGTCTCTGATGAATTCCATCTCATTTTGCCCTGCCATGCAATTCCACTGTTGATTGTGTCCTCGCACTCTTTGCTTCAAATAAGTTGGCAGTTGCCTGCGTCTCATCCACCATTCTATGTCTCGACATCTAAGCTGCATGTTTCTTCTTCTTTGCATTACAGCTTGCAAAAACACCTTGAACAAGAAAACGTGTGAAGTTTAAGTATTCAGTACCAGGTTGATGCGCTGAAGCAACAGTAAAACAAGTGGTTTTATGATAATCTGTTACCTGTATATTTCCAATCAGCATAGTGAAGAGAAGTAAGCCCCCTAGGACCATTAGAATAGAGAATATTACTTCTGAACATCGGCTTGTAGGTTCAAGATTGTTCCCCATTGTGCTACAGGTGAGAAAGGTTGGATTAGTGTAAACCAAAAATTTACATTTTGGCATTCAACTAGAGCCTGAAGAACCTGAGTGAGCATTGCAGGGAGGGAGAGAAAGGGTCAAAATTTGTTTACCTAAGAGCCATGAGCCCCCAAAGGTTTGAATAGAGGATCTTAGTCATGACAGAATCCATGGAGAAGAGTGACACTGCCAATTGGTAGAGACCATATCGAAATGGTCCATCAGCATCCAAACAGATTGATTTCAGATATGTTGACGAGGCATTACGAGTGAACACAGTATCCTTCGATGCAAAGAAACAGAATTGGCGTGCGCAGGACAGTGTTTGGTTGGAGTATTTCTTATTTCTGTAACACTGCTCTGATAAGCATGATGCCGCACGCTGTAAAGCAAGAATGTACCAGCATCCTCCCGATACCTGAAAAGATCATGATCAGAGTTGACCCCGGAAGATGGCTAAAATGAAGAAGCTAATTTCGGAATCTAGCTTCCTATAATGATATGATCACCTACATGGGACGCAAGGAAATAAGCGACAAGATTAATGCAGAAACCCCACCAAATGCTGCCAAAGATGTAACCTGTAACTTTTCTCATTCTCTGCATAAGACTAAAGCTGTGATAGACCTTAGGTAGAAACTGTAGCAAGAATATCACTTGTAGCATTGACATTGTGAATTGGATTCTGTCCTCCTTCCGTAATTTTGGGACGAAATAGAGATAGACAATCTGCCGGCAAATATAGTTAGATAACAATGAAGGCAGCACGTCAGTAAGGAAACTAATATCAGCTATTAGCAACATTTTGAGCTTTACTCATATCAGGTTCAGGTCTTACCATGATAAATACATGTTGGTGTATAATTTGTGACACGACAAAAACCAGAATCAAAATATTGTGCATAAGGTCAACACAAACACGAAACACGATCCGATTATTAACATTTATAATCAAAAAACTACGATAACAACTTTCGTATGATCTCTAATATGTCACCGTTGCCATGGCCATATAATATAAGTGCATAGATAAAACAACATTTTCAAGTACCTGAGGAAGTGGCAATATCACAAAAAAGTCTAACCAGAATCCCCTCACCGATCTCAGATAGTGAAAGGCCACCGCACGGGGGTCCCACACAAGCTTCCCGCAACCAACAGCCATGGTCTTCTTTGACACGTAAGCCAGCCGAAACTGAAGGAGGGCGTGCCACGTGTGCACGAGGTCAACGCATGACCTAACCAAGGCGACAACTGTCACGAACCGACCGTCAACGTCAATGCAAGGCTGGTTTCCACCGCCGCCGCCCCCACGGATAGACACGGCAAAGAAGAACAGAGGATCGACGGCCAGGGCAATGCCGCGGTCCAGTAAAATAAACCGGTTCCATTTCTTCACCGTGGCGCAACGAGGGTCCAGTACTCTGCCCAAGAGCCCGGTTCTCCGTTTGTCGGAGGAATGGGAGAAGCGGTGGTTGATCGGAAATAGAGACGAACCCGCCGAGGCCTCCAGTTCCGGCCGGTGATCCTGGTCGCAAGTGGTGGAGTGAAAAACAGGGACACCCACCTGAGTACAAGCATAACATTCCGGTGGGTTTTCGTTAACGCTGTCAACTTCAAAATTCCAGCAGAACTTGACCCCCTGTAATAATTTTGCAATCCACCTGAGAAAACAGAGCATGCATTCTGATCAAATCATTAAAAGAAGATATATGGAATATGATCAATTGGGTAAAACTCTAAACAAAAAACTGACATTGGGAATGACAAAATGGAGCAGAGAAATTGGAGTATGGTACTGAGATGGGTACAAAGTGATCAGGGAGGAAGTAGCTATCACGGCGGTGGCCGCTGATAAAATTCATTTTTCTCGGATTTCTGCTGAATAGATCAGGTGTACATTTGTTTGTGGGGCCGATGGATATTGCGTTGGTTGCCAAGTGCCAGGAAATAATGTTTTTACAATTCGCAATTGCATGCATGATTCAATTGGATTATATGCCAAATGTGAATTTGGAGTTCTGATTCATTTAGCCAAATTGTTAGTATTTTCTTTTTTTTTTAATTATTAAAAGTATGTGGTGCTAGACACATAAATCGGATTTTATTTCATGATGAGAAAGATCGACTCAATGAATACACTTACACTCCTCAAAAACTAACTCCTCAATGAGATATTGTGTTGTTGGTATTACGTTAATTGCCAAAAACGATTTAGAAGGAAAACAAAAAAAAAAAAAAAGGGACAAAAAAACGAGCTAATCCTAATTGACTCATGATCATGATGAAAACCAATTACAATTAGGAATAGTTATACCAGGAATCAGAATCCCCGTAAAAAATCATGTACTATTATATAAGGATCCACTCCTTATAGTCAAGGGATTCCTAATAGTCAAGGGGGTATAATACAAGAATCGAATAGGATTTAGAATTAGGCATTTCTGGTTTTAGATTGTGCTATATAAAAAAGACATATACTATGTGTTTTGGGATTATTCTTCAGTATTATCTCCTTTAATTAAAGATGTCACTTTTCCCCGTTTTGCTTCAACCCTCCTCCGGCAGTAACGACACAGCCGCCGGAGATTGGCTGCAAAATTCGAGCTTCACTGCCGACGCCGGCGCCCTGAACAACGCCGTTCCTTCTCCAAACCAACAAATTCAGCTCGAAGATTCATCTTCATCATCAGGCGAAGATGAAAGGGCCCACAAAAACAGAGTGAAAGTCAGTGGTCCACAGTACGAACTGGTAATAAACTCGTCCGCTTCGGATCGAGGCTCTCACAGTGATGATGGTGATGATGATGAAGAAACAGGGAAGAGGAGGAGAAATAAAAACAGGCGTAAAAAAAAGAAAAAGAGGAAGATGGAATCATCATCTGCAACCCACTTGTTTCCTAGGAAGCCTGATTCTCAAATCTGGGCTTCTTCTTCAACCACTAGCTCTACTAATAATGCCAAAGATTACTATTTTGATTCTCGCGGTGACCGCGATAATCTGGCATTCGGTAGTCTGTACAGGATGGATGTTGCTCGCTACAATCTTCACAATACTAAAAAAACATCTGATTTCAGTTCTCATAGATTGGGTCACAGGAACTCTGTTTTTGATGGTGATCAAGATCTTCAGGGATTGGATTCTAAACTTAGATTGGGAGGAAGGTATTGGTCTGCACAGTATGCTGCCTTAGAGCGAAATAGAAACTTGAAGCGAATCCGGGTTTTTCCACCCGAGGAGAAGAATGTGTCTAGAAGAACTTGTTCTGATTTCATCTCTTTACTGGATGATGGAGAATCTGATCATTTGGGGGCTAATTTTGTTGAGGAATCATGGGAAGATGAGGTACTTCGCCGGACTAAAGAATATAAAATAAACTGACTAGAGAAAAGCCACATGATGCAAAACTTTGGTTAGCCTTTGCTGATTTTCAAGACAGGGTTGCTGGTATGCAGCCCCAAAAGGGTGCGCGTTCACAGACCCTTGAAAAAAAGATTAGTATTTTGGAGAAAGCAGCTGAACTGAATCCAGAGAATGAAGATCTGTTGCTTTCTCTGTTGAAAGCTTATCAGGGTCGAGATGGCACTGATGTTCTGATCAGCAGATGGGAAAAGGTACTTGTCCAAAATCCCGGGAGTTACAGATTGTGGAGGAAATTTCTGCGGGTTGTTCAGGGTGAATTCTCTAGGTTTAAGGTATCTGAGATGAGAAAATTTTATGCTAATGCTGTCCGAGCATTATCTGGTGAATGCAGCAAGATGTACGCGCAGGTTCACCGAGATACTAGTAATCAGTACCTTCTTGATCTTGAGCTTGGTTTAGTAGACATATCTTTGTGCCTTTGCCGATTTGAATGGCAGGCTGGCTACCGCGAGTTGGCTACCGCTCTGTTCCAGGCAGAGATTGAGTACTCTTTGTTTTGTCCTTCTTTGCTTCTCAGTGAGCAAAGTAAGAGAAGACTGTTTGAACACTTCTGGAACAGCAATGGTGCAAGAGTTGGAGAAGATGGTGCTCTTGGTTGGGCCACCTGGCTGGCAAAAGAGGAGGAACAAAGGGCAAAGTTTAGAAGTGAGGAATTATCTCATGAAGTTGAAGGTGGTGGTTGGACTGGTTGGTCAGAGATGCCATCCAAAACTCAGGAAGGGAGAGAAATTCTTGAGAACGGCGTGGCTGATGATATGGTTGTTGAGGATTTTGATGATGTTTTGCCTACAAAGGAAGATGAAAATGATGATGACACTGAGACTTTGTTGAATGAACTACGCATTGTTGCAGCAGCAGATGCTAATATTGATGCTAACGACGTTAACACATGGACTAGTTGGTCGAAAGAAGAGTTAGCTAGGGATTGCAATCAGTGGATGCCCGTTCGCGCAGAGATTACTGCAGCTGCGTCAGCTCATGGTGGTGACGCCAAAGATGATGAGCAACTTCTTAGAGTGATTGTGTACGATGATGTGGCTGATTATGTGTTCTCGTTGATTTCTGAGAAAGCGCGATTATCTCTAGTCTCACAGTTTATTGAATTTTTTGGTGGAAGAATATCGCAATGGGCTTGCTCCAATAGTATGAGCTGGATTGAGAGTGTTAGGAGTTTAGAGGCATTTCCACAAACTATACTCTATATGCTAAGAAGAGTACAAGATGTGATGTCTGAAAAGGGAAGATATCCAATTGGAATACCTTAAAAGCAGTTTGAGTGAGAGCTCCGTTAGGTCGAATATGATGAAGTTTGTTCGAAATGTTATCTTGCTCTGTTTGATAGCTTTCCCTCAAAATTATATTTTAGAAGAAGCTGTTCTCATTAGCGAAGAGCTTTCAAAATCAGAAATGAAATCTTCCCAACCACATGTCACTCCATGTAGGTCTTTGGCAAAAAGTCTCTTAAAACAAAACCGGCAAGATATATTGATATGTGGTGCCTACGCACAACGGGAAGCAGCTTATGGGAACCTTGATCGTGCTAGAGAGATTTTTGACATGGCATTATCATCTATCGAGCAACCTCCAAAGGATGTTCAGTCCAATGTTTCTCTTTTGTATCTCTGGTATGCTGAAATGGAGATTGCCAATAAATCGGTAGACAATTCAGAATCATCTTCTCGAGCTATGCACATTCTTTCGTGTTCGGGTTGTGGAGTCAAGTATAATCCTTATAGAAGTCGACCATCCAATTTACAACAACTCAGAGCACGACAAGGGTTTAAAGAACAAATAAGAATGTTGAGTTCGCAATGGGCATGCGGTAGGATAGATGATTCCTCGTGTGCTCTCATCTATTCTGCTGCTTTATTTGAAGAACTGACGACGGGTCCAGCTGCCGCTATTGAGATTCTGGAAGAAGTTCTCTCCATGGTTCTTCCAGAAAGGAGGCGACATAGTCATCAACTTGAAGTTTTGTTCAACTATTACCTAAAGATACTTTGTCAATATCACCAGGAAATGATGTTTGGAAATACGTGGGAGGCTATTAGCAAAGGACTACAAATGTATCCCCTCAACCCTCACTTGTATGCTACATTGGCCGAATTCACTCATATCCACACTTCACCAAATAAAATGCGGTGGATTCTTGATGAATATGTTGGCAAGAAATCATCTTTAGTTGCTTGTTTCTTCTCGTAAGCGTATGAGATGAGCAAAGGAGGTTCCCAACATAGGATACGTGCAATATTTGAAAGAGCTCTAGATAGCGGTAAGTTCTGTGACTCAGTGTTGCTTTGGCGGTGGTACATTGGCTATGAAAGCAATATAACAAAAGACTTGCAAGCCGCAAGAAGAGTCTTTGTTCGGGCTATTCATACTTGCCCATGGTCAAAAGTACTATGGTTGGATGGGTTTATTAGTCTTAGTCCAGCACTAACCGCAAAAGAGTTGTCAAATCTCCAAGAAGTCATGAGGGATTCTTTTGCAAGTGGAAATGGAAATGTAATTTTGCATTCAGTGTCAAAGTATGTAGTAATCTTGTGTGGTGTGGTTTTGACTATTGAATCTCTTTGATATTGTGAATTAAATTAAAGTTCTACTCTCTTTGTAAATAATTATAATAGTCTATATATGTATTCATAGTTCTTTTGTGAAAGACAAATGAATTTCTTTATTGGTTAAGTATTTAATCATTGTTTATACTAGAATCTCTATTCTTATTGATTCATACAAAGAAATTAGATAATAGACGATTGTTCATTGTATCAAGCCTCTTGTGCAACCATTGAGGCAAAATCAAACTCAATCGACCTAGGTTGTCTTGAACTCAACTATCTTACTTTCAATCATTAAACTAGAACTCAAACTTTTTTCCACTTTAACATTTAACTAGATGCTTGGCCCGGGCATCTGTCCGGGCGCCCCTCTACTTTAATTTTGTGTTAATAGATAAATGAATTCTTAATTTGAAAAAAATAAAATAGCTACACATTTGTTTTTTTTTTCCTTTTTTTAGCCAAAAATAAAAATAAAAATAAAAAAATCATCTGCCAAAGGAAAAAAAATATTGAAAAGTACAACGATACAGAAATCATACAAAAGAATGTGGAGTAATAAAGGGGATAAGTTTATGGGCAAATTTAAATGCTATTTTAATTTGATTGATAAATGATAAATGTTAGGAATTAAAATTGTGTAGCTATTTTTGTAAAGTAGCTTTTGTTTTTCCGGATAAGAATTTTTTTTTCTTTTAAAAAGGGATGACACGTGCCAGAATGGTTAATGCAATATGGTACATTTGGAGCCAAAAATTTTTAATAACAAATTGCCACATCAACATCTTGTATTCTGCTTTAATAGGGTAAAAGGGATGTATGCATATGTACACATGTAGAATATATAAGATAAAAGATGATAATGAATATTAATTAATTATTTAATATTATGCACTTTAGAGATAAGCAATAAGTTAGATTTATTGCTTAAACTTTTAAACTAGACTCAATTTGTTTACACTTCAATATGTGTATATGTGCACATGTAGAAGAACACATTATTTATCATTGTCTAGAGTATAAGAATAATGTCTAAACTTGATTTTATTTGTCCACATTATTTGTTTAAACTTGTAACGGTATAAGAATTCTTATAATGTATAATACATTATTTTGGAGTCGACATGTAATTAATGTGGATTTATTTTGAGACATTACTTATTTTGTTTTATTACACTTTTATAGTTCAACGTAATGTTGGGAAAAGTTGCAAAAAAGAATATTGAAAAATTATGACATGACAAGTAATTATGTTCACAATAGTGTAAAACTATAGTGTATGCTTTAAGAGAAAATAATAATGAATATTAATAAATCATTTACGTTTACTACTATGCACTTTAGAAATAAGCAATTAAATAGATTTTATTGCTTAAATTTTGTATTACGGTTTTCAGTACTTTGTGTGATTAAAAGGCTTGTTTTTCACTATCAAACATGCTTAATGAACGTTTATCTTATAACTAAATAATTTCCATTAATTAAATAATTTAAAAATGAACTCATATTGTGAAACAAATACTAGAAATCTAAACAGAATAAAGATTTGGAGGCATTTCACATTGTGATGCCTATTGTTTACTTTATGGTTCAACCGTTCATGTTCAAGGGAGAATGAGCAGATAGTGGACAATAGAAGCAAGATGAATCAATTAAAAGAGTTTACAACTATAATAAATTGATGTGACAAATTTTACCTTTTTCTTCATATATATCAAATTTTAAATAAATTCTTGTGAGGCAATGAAACTTCATTATGTGGTTTGTCCATAAACTAGCTCAAACTCAAGAAGACTGCTTTCTCATGTTGTCTATATATATTGATCCAAAATGGTTTTTGCATACACGATGCGAAATTAGAAATTCAGTCAAAATGTATAGTAAAAAACAAATTATTACCCCTTCGTATAAACAATTTTATAATTTTACGTATGATTAAAAAAAATCTCAACTAAATACATGCCTCCGGTGAAACAGAGATAGATTAGTTATATAAGATTTTTTTTTAAATTTTTTAAAATGGTGGTGGTGGTTATGAGGATTGTTGATATAGATTACTTACAAATGGTGGATCGGGTTACATGGTTATGTGATGGTGATGTGGATTGTTGTGATGAGTTTTCAATTGACAGAGGTCACTTTGTGTAGTTTTTTGGAGATGCGTGACTAATATTAAGTGTCACTTTTTTACTGATTTTTTAACATTTCTTAGTTGTAGTTTGTAACATAAAATGATTTAAATTTTTATTTTTATTTTTGGACAAAGATAAAAACTTTTCATTTCAAAGCTAATCACAAAAACTGTACAGACCTATCATCTCAACTATTATATTTTTACACCAAACTAACACCAATACTTGAAAGAAACCGTATATCATTGTTACTACCACGTCTACAATGGTTTTGAACTTTCCAAGTGACTTCCTTTACAACTTTTTTAAACCTGTCTTGAACTTGCAATGCCTTCTGTCCAAATTTTCTGGCATTCCTCTCTGTCCAAAGGTTATAAACAACAACATCCACTGTGGCAAAAAGCACTCTCTGTCTGACTAGTTTAAACCTCCATACTTTGAGCAAGCTGTTCACCCAAGACCTAAGAGTCTTTATCCTAACCTTCAACCCCAGCCACTGCAGCAGTTGCCTCATCAACTCCTTTGCATAGTTGCAACTGAAAAACAGATGATCAACATCTTCTGTACTTTGTCCACACAACTCACATCTAATTAGAGTGTTAATCAAATTCATCTTTTACAGCCTATCCTGCGTAAGGAGCCTATTCTTCATGGCCAGCCAACACACAAAACTATGTTTAGGTACTGCATAAGGACTCCAAACAACTCTTGCTCCCCTGAACTTTTCCTGTCTCCCTAACAACCATTTATACCCACTTTGAGCTGAATAAGGTTTATCCCCATTCCCTGTCCATTCACCATTTAGAACTCCTCCTTTCAGCTGATCTTTTATCATCATCATTTTCTTCCAATGCTAACTTGTATCACTTGTTGGGTTTTTATTGATTTTTTAACATTTCTTAGTTGTAGTTTGTAACACAAAATGGTTTGAATTTTGTTTAATTACAATAATTATATACGTTGATACTTCTAATTCAGACTTTAACAATATTATTTTAAAATTATTATCTCAGTCTCTCGGGTGTCAACTTATTTTGGTTCGGTTTTTTCCCCCTCAAAATGAATTTGAAAGAAAGACTAGACTTTACAATTTTTTTACAAAATTAAAAAAACTATATTTTATAATTCTTTTCATAAATTCATGAAAACAGATAAATAATTTAATTTTTACTAATTAGAATTTGTATAAATTTGCATTGAAAAACATTATGTGGGTAAAGTACTAGTTTTTGTTTAGGAAAAAGAAATGTGGTGCATGAAAGAGATCCCAATTCCCACCTAAATTAATAACACCTCTATCTCAAAAAAAATAAAATAAAAATAGAAGTTTAGTTTTAGAAATGTAAATCTTAAAATTGAATTTATGAAATTGGTATAACCTAAAATTGGTTATTAAATTGATAAACGGTTATGAAATATTGTTCAATTTTCATATTAATTTTTTAATTTGTAAGATTAAATCATCTAACTTTTATATTAGTTTCTCAAATTGGACTATTTTTCTGAGACGGCTGTAGTATAAGCCAATTTTAATTTTCAAACTCGCAAATATATATATATATATATAGAAGCGATATATTATTTCAAAAACTACCAATATATTAGTAATTTTACATAATTTTGTTTCTCCTTTGTTCCGTTAGCAAGGAACTTAGCTAGTAATTTTAATTTCGCAAATATCTTCCTAAGAAACTGATTTAGGAATGGGGATAGCAACAAAAAAACTTCACAAACTATGTCTCAAATACTATTCCCCCTTCGAGTTTTCTCATAAGACAACCCCTTATGAAGATGTAAAAATGCCTCACTTTGATGTCATAAATGAAAAATAATAAGCAAAATGACAAAAATGCCCCTTTAATTTATGAATTTTGAGGATAACCATTTTATAATTACTTTTTCATACCTGCTATTCTTTTCAAAGATATCCAAAATTACAACCATTATGTTAGTTATTGATAGTAATCATATTTTCAAGTATGACAGATTTCTGCTTGTTTATTTTCTGCTTTTTTAGGTTAATATTTTGTAGAGTTTCTGACTGACTGTGCATGTGTAAATTGTGGTACTTTCCACTGTCTTTGATTTTTTTATTTTTTTTTTTTGGGGTTTTATCTATGTTTTAAGTTTTTCATACATATACTCTATAATAGTACACACATTTAAAAGTCATAGACATGTGAGTTAATTTATAGATTTTAATTTCTGCATTCCTCCATTTAAAATATTGCAAAAACTATTTTGGTTTTAAGTCATTTCACACTCATATAGACTATTGACCTTAACTTTATGAAAGTCAAGAGAGATTTTTATCCTTATAAGAAAAGGCGCTTTGTCTTTAGGATTTTTGGTCCTTAATGAGATAGTAGTGTGTGGTGGTCACTTACCAACAAAACAAATAAAGTTCTCTTTATCACCTGATCTCTTCATGTGTGCAAGTTTTTTTTCTCTATTAATGATTTGGAATCCATTGTAAAATACTATCTACTTGCGCCTTAACAATGTTTGTTTTCAATCTCAACTTTCATCTCACAAAACACTGACCATATTGACTCTCATAATTTATTAAATCGTTATACTGCCGTTTGGATACAAGTTTGTAAAACTAAGATGGAAACTTTGTGTACAAATCTCCTGACGTAGATTATTTATGGAATCGGAAGAAATGCAACTAGTTTACCATAAGCATAAAGATCTTGCATCTATTTTTGGTTTCACTCAAGATGATCATGCGGCCTGATTGACATGAAAATCGCAGCATATTGCCTGAGCCGACTGTCGGAATTTCTCCCGTTTTCGTTTCCATGATGATTCACTTCCGGAGGTCTCGTTCTCAGCCGATGATGTCTCCAAGCTAGCTGTATTTTGACAGCAGCCCAGGTTCTCCAATTGGATGAATAATACCTAGCTGTTCGTTTCAGCCTTTCATTGTTGAACTTGTAGCGGAAGTGATCGGTAATGTAGCGGAGATCATTCGCATTCAGGCCGAACGCTTCTGTGGGTTCGATACAGGTGAATGTCGCGAAGGAAGCCGGAAGTCTGTCGATGAAAGGGCGGCGAAGGCACCATGAAAGGAGCTCGTCTCCTAGAAAGCCTCCTGGTCCCAGTATACTTGTGCCTATGATCCCTTTACTAAGGTTTTGTGAACTCTTAACACGTCCTCGTACTATGAAGACAATTCTCTGCACTGCATCCCCTTCCCTTATAATCTGTTCATCACAGAACCAAAAAAAATGAGGGGATAACAGAAATGTTGATACATTTTGGGACGGAAAGAATATTTTGAGTATCCTATTGTGGAGTTAATGTATATTTATTCATACCTTCTCATCTTTGCAGAATACAAGTGGAGTAACGCGATCACATATATTATCGAGAATCAAATCATCCAGGCTCTGGAACAGAGGACCCTGAAACACAAAATTCAAAATTGAATCAACAGATGAAGAAAAATGCATTATCACCTGGAAATTTTTACTCTCTTTTTTGGGAGGATTTTCGTTGTGTTAATTAATGTACCTTTTTAACCAAGTCTAGACATAGGAATCGCTTGATGTCCCTTCTAAGTCCTTCAGGAAGATCTTTAATCAGTTCCCTTTCGTCTTCTCCACCCATAGTTCTCCATCTTTGACGTTCATAATAACGAACTCTTTGCCTCAGTTGAGATGGCAATTGTCTCCTCTTCATCCACCACTCCATATCCCGACATCTTATTTGCATTGTCCTCTTTCTTGCCATCACCGCGTGCAAGAACACCTTTAAATTACAGCAAAAGCTTGAATCAGTCAATTAATGAAATATTCCATCAAACCAAAGTAAGTAGAATCTTGCTGAACTCGCGCGTTTGTATTTTGACACGGAGGGATCGAGTATGGTAATTTAATTAGAGAATTAAGACTACTACTGTGATTTTATGCAGTTGTAAGCACTAACTCTAACCTGAATATTTCCAATCAATAAGGTGAAAAGCATTAAGCCACTAAGCACAATGGATATACTGAAGATTACTTCCAGCCAATTGCTTGTGGGTTCTAAAGCATTCCCAAAGGTACTGCCAATAAAAAAAGGTGAACTATTAATTTGGGACGGAGGGAGGAAGTAGCATATTTTAAGCCTGTTTTCATTGTTCATTGTATTACCTTAAGCTCATTAGTCCCCAGAAGATTGGATATAGTATCTTAACGGCCACTGAATTGCTAGAAATGACTGGAAGAGCCCATTTGTAAATCCCATATCTGTAAGGTCCATTAATATCTAAGCACAGTGGCACTGTGACCGTGGCTGTTGAATTTCCGCCACATGAATCGCCTGAGGTGGCCCCCGTTGACAGAAACTGATAGCACAACTCATCTGAGCAAGCCAAGGAGAAATTGCATGTGCTTTTTCTCTCACACTGCTGCCTGATGCATGATGCCACCCGCTGTATAGAAAGAATGTACCAGCATCCTCCAGCAACCTATTTTATCAGAAAACTGACAATGTGAGAAAAATGGTTGCCAACTCCTTGGGCTGAAGTCTATCCCAAAATGATTGTCCGGTTCGTTGTAAATTTTCAGCAAACGGGATAATCATTTTAGGACGGCGAGACTGCTTAGTTGGCGGGCGAACTTACATGAGAAGCAATGAAATAAGCAATGAGATTAAGGCCAAAACCCCACCAAATAGTACCAAAAACGTAGCCTGTAACTTTCTGCATTCTTCTCATTAGGCTGATGCTGTGATAAACTTTAGGCAAGAATTGAAACATGAAAATCAGGAGTAATATCGTCATTATCAGCTTTATCTCTTCTTCCCTTATCAGTCGTGGCACCACCAACCAAAATACTGCCTGTTTTTTATACCAAAAATGGAAACAGAAATGATTATTGCCTTTAAATCTTCAAAATTTGCCTTTCCTTAAGTTAATGTGGTCAGGTGAGTGCAATTAATTAACTGGCAATTAAATCCGTTAAACTAAAATATGTTCTATCCATCCCAAAGTAACATAATAAAACTGGATGGATAATTATTTTGAGACGGAGTGAGTGTAAAACTAGTTCACACTATTCACAGAGGAAGAATTGCAATTGAGTGGGTACAAAGTACAAACTAGGTGGGGATATATCATGTTCATGCAAACCCCAATCATAGAAGAAAGATGAAATCGTCTGAATTATTTTGTGTGAATGATATGATGATAAAAGGTGACGCTGACATATGAAATTCCGTATGCGTCTGAAAAACTCTTTCAGCGTTTACTGCAAAAATTGCCTGCCTTTCTAACTTTAGCCAATAGAAATGACGACGAAACAGCAACAAATCTTAACCAGAAAAACAATCCGTTAAAAACCCTCCTCTGCATAAACATCAAATCTCGTAGCCCATCATTGCAATGGTAATATTACATGTGATGATATTGACCCTTTTGTCAGACTTTTTCTTTTTTTTTTCCCCCCTTCCTTCACCAATCAAATAATCATATACATCATGTTACCATGCAGTATTAATAATTTTGTCTTCTTTTGACATGTAGCATTTTACAGTATCAATTTACAACGTTCCAAATCCACCCCATGACTTTTTGACACCACGAGTTTCACCTGTCAGGTAAATTTTTTTATAATTTTTCTTCTCTTCGACTGAAATAATTAAGAGTTCTCTATTTATTAAACTAATTAAAATAACATAACATATCTCAAACATTTTCAATCAACCAGCAAGAGTATCAAAGTAACCATAAGGACAATAACAAAAATCTAGTCAATCTTTAACATTGACGGGTAAGTAATTTAACACATTCGTAACCTATTATGCGCGACAAAACTAATTCGTGAATATAAGTTTTGTCACTTTGCTTATCATTTCTCCCAGTAACATTATCAAAAAAACTCAGTAAAAAAAAAAAAGACGTAGTAGTAAAAACTTTCGAAGATGAAACATCATGAAGAAGAAAGAGTAGTTAGTATAGATGGGGGAAACCAACAAACCTGGGGAACGGGAAGAATGACGAAAGCATCGAACCAGAAGCCTTTCAGGGAGCGGACGTAATGGGAAGCGATGGAGCGCGCGTCCCACACGAGTTTCCCACATCCAACAACCAAGGATTCTCGGGACACGTAAGCCAACCGGAACTGCAGCCACAGGTGGCAGAGGTGGACGGCGTCGACGCATGTCCGGAGCACGGTGACGATGGCGGCTAACCCGCCGTCCATGTAAAGGCACGGCGAGCCGCCGCGGCCGATGGACAGCGCGTAGAAGAACAAAGGATCGATGGCCAACGCCATGCCACGCGCCAGCAAGAACGCCCTGTTCCACGACTGGACTCGCTCGCTCCGCGGGTCCAGCACCCGCCCGAATATCCACGTCGGGTACCCGCCCGACGCAGTGGCCCCGGACCTCTTCTTAAGCGACGACGACGACTGGGAGGGACGGTTACGGATAGGGATTAAGGAAGAACCGGCAGAAGCCTCCCATTGCGGCTGGTGGGCCCGGTCGCAGCTGGTGGAGTGGAAAACCGGAACGCCCACCTGAGTACAGGCGTAGCATTCCGCCGGGTTCGGGATTGGGCTGTCGTCGCCGCCGCCATCATCGCCGCCGTTGCTGTTTTCCGATTGAGCTGATCGTCGCCTGAATATTCCAAACCACCTGAAAAAAAAACAAAAAACAGAGCAATTCAACAAACACTACTAATTAACTTTGAGTACCTCTCTCTAGTTTAGTTAAAATTTCCAACTAAGTCAGCCCAGTTATAACATGAATAAATTAATCCATCAGAAGTAGACCAAAATCTGAATTCAAATGGGGGAGAACCTGGAGATAGGAGAGTGGAGGTCTGGAGTGGAAGACATGATTGGAGTAGGAGGGTAACCATGGAGAGAAGAGATTAAGAAAAAAAAGAGGAAGACTACTACAGAAGAGGAGGAGGAGGATGGTGGAGCCTGGTGGCCGGAAAATAATAATAAGAAGGAAATTAAGGAAGTGGGGATGAATGATACAGTGTTAAATTACATATATTATGGGAGGTTCACCATGAGATTGGTGATGAGTGAAGGAAATGGTTCCGTGGATGAATTAATTTTTATAAGATATGGGGAAAAAATAATGGCACGTGAAAGAGAAGAGAATCAAAGATTCAAAAGAACAATTCTTGAAAAAGCACAGCAGGAGAAGTCTGGAGTGTGTGTGTGTGTGTCTTTGGGACTTCAACACAGAACAGAATTCATAAGTATGGGATATTCGGCTCAAATTGGCTCTAACATCAGCCTTTGAGGCGTTTTTTTTTGGTTCTGCGGTGTCTTTCCTGTTTTAGTGGGGTCTGAGGCCTTTGAGAAATCCAGCTCAGCTGGCATCTATGCGGGAGCCTGGGGACCATTTTTAGTTACCGTACATCTCTCTAGAACATAGCTTCCAAACGAACGAGGAAATGATTTGTCATTTTTTTAGATACACACACCACATTTCTTCTTCGTGCTCATCTTGTTATCTGAATCGGGTTGACGACATGTATCGCATTCAGACTAATGAAATTTACTTTTTGTGTTAAGATTATATGGGTGTTTTTTTGTTCAAAATATTGATTTTAACTCTATTCTGTCTATTCAGATATTATAAATAGGTAAAAGCATTAAAAATAAATAAAATAAGTGAAAGTATTTTTTCAATCCATGTTACATGTCAATATCCTAGTTCTAAGTTTTGATAATGAGTAAACTGGTCCAGGATAGTAATTTACTACATGTAACAAGTGATCATTGTTGATTTTGACGGTTGATGTGGTACTGTTACCGTGAATTCTTGACTTTAGAAAAGGGTTATATTTTCCATTTTGTTTAAGCATCGATTGGTGATTAATTAGGACAATCATATAAATTGATTGAAGTGAACCTGTTCAAACAGTAAATTTTAAATCATTTAATAATTTTAAGAATCATGTACCTTACATCTACAAGTTGGTCCTGAAGTGTGGCAGTATATATAGTACTCTTTTTTGTTCATGTCTTTTTTTTTTTTTCTTTTTTTTTTTCCTGTGTTCAAAGTTCAATTGGTAAGACATCCAAATGGTAGTGCTAGAGCAGGATTCAAGTAAATTTGCTCCATCGGTAATTTCTTTTTTCCTATTGAAAGCTTGCAATGATTGCTTTGTGAAAACGATAATAACTGATAAGCGAGTCTACATTGAATAGAAAAATGCACGTACGTCAAAACCACTAGTTTAGTTGATTAGAAGTTTTACACTCGAAATCAATACTAATAATATTATAAAGTGTATGTATTTATACAAGTGCCGAGCTAGCTAGATAAATTAGTTTAAATTTCTATCTTAATTCTGATTAAATGATATTATTCAAAACTCTCACATGTTCCCAGTGGATTATAACAGTGTAATTCTATGTTCTCTTACTCTTATCAACGCCAACATACTTATTTGGGCTGACTGTTGCCGCTACGATCACAAACCGATCACTGGTTTATCAATTACATTTTTTAAAATTCGTTTGTCAAAAAAAAAAAAGTTAACATCCTGTGAGTACTAAAAATTAGCACAAATCATACATTAAAATGTGAGTTTTTTTTTTAAGACGGAGAGAATATTGTATTATAAGGTTAGTGATATTGCCAAAACAATTATTAGTTTCTAAAATGATTTTTTACGTTGTTTCATAAATTGCCTTTAACTACCCGCAACTCCCAAGCCCCAATCCCAACTAATTTACCAATTTTCTCACCCTTATCCTATCCAACAATTTAACATAATTATTCCTTTTGTGCACTTGTTTTAATCATTTGATATTGTTGGTTTCAATTGTACTCACTACTGATCCCAATTTCAAGCATAAAACTATAGTGATTATTTCAAGCATGAAGTTTTGAAACAGAGGAGTCTTCAGTTTTTGTATTAGTGTTTTCAAAGAAGAGTTCAAACTCTCAGTAGTATTTTTACCTCAAGATCTTATCATCTTACTAGTTGCTCGATGAATTTGAAAACATTTATTTGAAGCAATAATCTTTATCTAGTGTTGCAAAGTTGGAGTCCAACTCTTAAAAAACCCTACGGGATTTTGATCAACGACAACACATTATAAGAAAATGTTCAATAAGAAGTTGATTTTGTTGCTCGAAAGGTTAACCAACAATCCATCCATGAAGTTTGTCTTTAGTTTGAACAATAGGGCTTGTGTTGTCTATTTATTACTGTAGACTTGAAATTATAAGTTTTGCTATAGATTAGTTTCTCTTTGAATTCATTGTTAATAGTTTTGAGAAATTAGTGGTAAGGTTTAGGAAAAAGGTGGCAGGAGGCGGGAGGAGAGTGGTGTTCCGGGACAAACAAAAGGGGTAGAAATTGAGTGATGAATTAAAAGGATATTTTTGTCTTTCTAACAACAAATTTGTTTTGGATGCTATTATTTGTCTTGGCAGTATCATTACCCATATTATAATCATCCAATATCATAAAACACTGTGTTTAAATTGCACTCACGACAATTTATTAATCCAATAAAGATGAAAGAACAAATTAATTATTTTATCAGTCAGAAAATAATTGTCTTGTTGAAAATTTTACGTTCAGCATAATATACTAAAAATAAAAATTTAAATTGAATAATTATTTCATAACGAATAGGGTGCACACAATTTTAATCCAATAATATAGACCTTCACCGTATAAACCTAAGGGTAGTAATCCATCAAAACAAATATTTAAAGTCCTCGTGATTATATATAATATGTCCTGTGTTGTCTTATCCCAATGAATTATTATCGCCGAAAACCAACAGAATTATCAACCATGATTAGATCTAATGTTTTGAAACCTAACCAATTTTAGCAACCCAGTAACCAAAAAGAAATATGAAAACGAAGGCAGTGGACAATTTATATGGAAGTATGAAAATGAAAAGACTACCTGATAACAAAGCTAGCTAATAATTGGCCTAAGTATGCAGTCGACCAATTCCCCTAGTTGGGTGAATGTGTGAAGTTTAGTTTCATGAGTATATACCGAAATCTTTCTTCTCTACCGAAATAATTGCACAATTTAAAATTTTCATTTTTAACATAAATAATACTAAAATTAGATATTTAAATATGACAATTATTTTAAAATGGAAGTCGGAGGAAGTACTTTATTAGTTAATGACATTTCTTTTGAGTAATGATAAACATTTCATTTCACTAACAAATAAAGTCACAAACTTACAATTCAAAACACAAAACTAATCACTTAACTATTACTGTACATACTGTGCGTAAATTAATGACGCTTTAAGACGTAATAACTTTAAACTCTTAGGCTCGTTATCAAGTTGAACTTAAACTTTATCTATAAACTAACTTGATAAATTAGGTTCTCTCTCCATCGAATTCCTGATAAAATTTGTTAGACTTTCAAATATTGAGCTTTTAGGCCTGGATTTTATTTTTATTTATTTATTTATTTATTTTTTTAAAAAAACTCACAATTCAACTCTGACATTGGGCTCTTTAATTAATTAGGTGTTGTTTTATCTGATGACCAAATTTCGAATAGATTGCAACTTTGTATTCGGCGCTATTTTCTCTTTGAATCGAATTCTGACTATGTTTGACTGTGTATTTTCGACCACATTTATTTAAGTATTTTCCTTTTTGGTTTCTTCTTTACAAAGCAATCGGATTAGCTAATACTTCCTCTTATCTTAATCACAAGACATAACGTCCATGACATAGCCGTCGTGTTAATTTGTGCTTTATAATTAAGAGTGTATCGCGAAAACGTTGCATGTGCATTTAGAAGGTCTACACAGAATAAGAAAGACTGATTCTTCAATTCTACGTTCGATTAGTATTGCTTCCGAAATCTAAAACACGTGCGCTGGAATCGATCAGGAGCAAGGTCTACTTGCAAACGAAGTAATACTTTGTTCGACAACAACTTTAAACAATCAGCAGAAATGCACGTACTTACGTAAAATAAATTAATTACAAAGTCTCACACTCATGCCGTACGCGCGCGTAGCTTCTGGCTTTGGTCTTCCTAAATCAATAACGTAGGTAGAATAAAAGAATACTAGTACTAATAGTCTTCAATCATGCAGGATCAGAAACATAGAAATTATTAATATAGTACCTGAAACTTGAGATGTTGCTGTTCAGAGCCAAGAAGAAGTCGATCTTCAGTTTGACATCTGAGAAACGGCGCCAGAAAGGAGACATTCAACCCAAATTAATTATTTCTACTAATCAAGCAGAGATCGAGGTTTATCTACTCTCATATATATATATATATATAACCTAAGCTAGCTGAGAAGATTTGCTGCCTTTCTGGGTTCAGCATCCAAATAAGCAGCAAACCCTGATCACATACTTGGTGTGTGTGTGTGTGTGTGTCAGGTAGGGAGGGAGAGGATAGGAAAATATCAAATGGGAGGTAAAGTATCAGAGGATGAAGTTTATTAATGAATGGGGGTGTTGAATGTTTGGCTTAGGTTTTACATATTCAACAATATTGACAAATGACAAAATGAAATTGTAGTAAGTGGAGAAGTTGGGAAGAAAGATGTGGGGAAGCTTCCTGCAGGTGTTTACAACAAACAAACAATCCACTATATATATATATATATATATATATATATATATATATATATATATTTATATGTTTCTTTTGTTTTTGGAACTTCCTTTCTCTGTGGAAGCCTCTCGTGTGAACTCTATTCCCCAATTTTATCCGTGGACCATTAAAGATATACTAGTAAAGTTCCACGTACAGTTTGGCTCTCAAAAAACTCTTATATGAACATTCTTTTAATTTATCGGCACAAATATATTTAAAAAATAAAAACATAAAAAATGCACTCTATTTCACCCCTCTGTTTCAATTTCATAATCCATTTTGTTAAAATTAAAATAGTTCAATAAAACAAGTTGGTCTTTAAAGTGCACTCTTTTTGGTGCATTAGGCATTTAGGCTTAGTGTCATTAGAAGTTATTGTCCTAAATTGTAGTACCTTTTGGAAAGCAAAGCACTCCTCATTAAAAAAAAAAGGTTTAGGTTCATCGATCTTTAATAATTATATTGACTTTAATCTACTTAATAGAGTCCATAAATCACAAGCTGCGGAAGTATGTAGAAAAAACTTGTCTAATAGATATACATTATCCTTCTGTCTAGGAATGATTGTTCATTTCAAATTTTCATTTATAGTACAAATTATATTTAAATTAAAAATCTAAATCAGATAATCATTTTAAGACGAATGATATGTGACAATTAATATATTCATATAATATTCTCGCCATTTTATATAAGTTGTCTTGTTTCAACAATGGAGGGAATGGACTGTAATTAATTTCTCAAAGTACGATGTTCATCTGGGAATTATTAATGCCAAATTAAGCAAAATTGTCAATTAGCGCCTAGAGGGGAACACATCACATTTCTTCCTGGAATAAGCAGAAGTGAAAAATATTGTTGAAAACAACCCTTTATGGAGTAGATGAAAAAGTTAGAGAGACATCGTATCTACATTTCTACAACTTTAATTAACCAATCATCTTGTCTTTGTTCTTTTCTTTGGGAAAGAATAGAAAATTAGAAATGCATACAAATTTCTTAGTATTTGATTATTTCAAACAAAAAAAATACGATAAATTGAACAATCATTTTGAAACAGAAAACACATGTACATTATAGTTTGACGGGGGAGAGGATAGAAGAACTAACCATGCGCACCACAGGATCATATCCTCACACTCATTTCTTTTTGATAGTAGTCATATACTAATATTCTGATACTCATTATAACAAAAGAAAGATCAAAAAACCAAAGGACCCCATTCAAATATTTCAGAAAAACCCACTTGTCCACATATAGATGTAGTATGGTTGGAAGAAAACTGCGTCTGAGGAATTAATTAGCTGAGGCAAGTTGATGGTATTTGAACTAGAATACTACTACTATTATACAGTCTATAATCTTCGTGGTCCTCTTGTATGTACGATGAAAAGGTTTTCTAAGCAAAATAAAATATCACTATCCATTTCCCACTTGGTTTTTTGCTTTATTCTCAACCTTAGCTTATTTTATGTCACATCTTTTTCGTATATACATTCTTAGGGAGATTTGAAACCCTTGCTTTGCTTCTGAAAGTTGCTTGACCCGAAAACTTACCCTTTTTAATTGACGGGTGCGTTTGCATTCTTGCTAGTCGTTTTGTTTATTTATTTATTTATTTGTATTATTTATTTACTCCCCGGCCGTTGCATGTAGTGTTTAATTTCTACAATTATTTTGTCAAACAATTGAACTTGAGACTTGTTTCTTTCATCAAAGAAATAAAATTGATAATTAGTATACGCATAATGCTTCATCCATTTTAAGCAGTTGATGAGAAACTTAATTCAGAGTGCTAGTATTTTAAAAGTATTTCAACTGCCTTGATTCAGCCGTGAGTCGCCCCTCAACTTGAGTTTCGAAAAATTGGTCGAAAATGAAACTTCAAATCACCGAGATCGGTCCATTATTGGAAGCTTCCAAAGCTGTCTTTCTCCCAAAATCGGCAAATCCGACCCTTCTCTCTTTCGCTTTCTTTCCTTTTTTTTTTTTTTTACTTTTTTATTTTTATTTATCCTTTACTTTTCTTGGGTATGGTTTTTTTTTTTTTAACCGAAACCTATAAATTTTAAGATAATTTAATAGTTTACGAACAATTCTTTGTTAGACCTGGATAAGCTTCATCAGTATATAAATGTAAAACGGGAAATAAAAATATTACTTCATTAACTAAGTGTTACGTGATTTGCTTACAATAGTAGTATTATATTTACATACTCGGGCAAGAAATTATCTCTGCTCTTCATCTTTACACGTTACATTGTTTACGTTCATGATAGATTTTTATTATTATCTCTCATTTCGTTGCAAAATGATTGTTTGATTTCAATTTTATATTTAGTATAAATTAACATTTAAACATAATGATTATTTTGAAATAGAAAATATTATAAATATGCTCAAAATTTAGCGATGAGTTTCGACCGTTTACTCTTACTACACATGCCCTAATACTCATCGAAGTACACGTACATTTGTATGGTCTCTAGCCCTCTCTATCAACACGTACAATTTTTTGATTGAGACCCGGCCACAAAAATAACAGAAATTTGATATATTTAATTCAACTAATTGTTAATTGAGTATTCTTGTCAGACTGTCACAAGTTGTTTAAACTTTAAAGATGAAATATAAATCTACATCGTACCTTTTTGTTAGTATATGATTAATTGCGCCTTGAATAACGTTGTACAAAAATACAATTGAACACTAGAAACGGGTTAATCTATCAAAACAATTAATGATTTAACTCATCCTGCCGATTTTGTGGTTTCTATTTATTAAAATGAATTATTATTGTAGAGAAAACAAAAAACATAAGTAGGAAGACATAACATGATAATGACTTTGAAAGGCTGATGCAATGCAGTAATGATATCTTAACAAATATTATCCATCATTTTTTTTATACTGGTTATTCATACACTACAGAATACTGTGAAATGGCAACGGATCCAGTGTTGTGTTTTAGATTAAATAAATAAAAATTCCAAAAATATTGTTATGATCCAACAGATTATAGCGTCTTAGGAAATCTTCATATTCTCACGGTCGACAATCAGTTATGAAACAGGCGCTCTGAAAACAAGTTATAAGTTCACGATCGATGAGTTAATTTTGTCTCTAAAATACTTGAGCTAGTCCATCAAGCACTTTCTAAGATCTTGGATCAATTTCTCCCGTGCTGACTATCCATTTCAACAATATAAGGGAGTTGGGAGGGTGTTAGAAAATAGAGCTAAAGTACAAATAGCTTCATTTTATCGGTTGGGGATTTATAATTTCTATCAACTACCAAAATAATCCAAGAACTAATGTATACAAAGTTGTTTCTATTTTTAACATATTCTCTCTTTCTATAACTAATGTTTTTTAATTCCTCCATCTATTATCTTATTGCGTAAATTCCATCTATTAATGCAACATCGGACACCATGCATGCCATAATCATCGACTGCCACATATGTATCTCAGGGATACTGGTTTAATTTATAGTGTAGTTCAAAGTAAAAGAAAACATTATTTCCATCTCGTAGCAATAATTACTTTGATAAACTAAAACAGTCTATTAAAAGTAAATTATCAAAATAGAAAATTATAAAGATATCACAATAAATGTGAACGCAACTGAAACATGCATCAAAACAACAAGTCTGAGATATGCTGACTATTGCTGATTGGTGAAGATGGGTTTTGGCCAGTTCCTGAGTTCCCTGCCGTTCCACGTATACAAAACTTATAATCGGGTGGCATTGACTGATTGAGGTCCTGGGAAGTTACGTATTAACGTAGTCTAACCCTCATAATAATATTCTAATATAAAGAAATTCGGACAAAAATTCTTAGAAATTAATGTAGGAGCTGACAAAGAAGTTACAGTGGATTTTCGTGATGCAGTGGGGTCTTCTTGGTTCTTGCCAGCCGAAAGCCGTCACCTTCCTAAATCCGTACACTATTCTGGAACCGTTCGTACATTTTCTTCATCAGAGATTTTTTGAGAATGCATTACTAAGTTATTTGCAAGTTGCAATTTCACTGGACCCTGCCACTTCGACTAAAAAAAGGAGGCTCTCTTTGTTTGGTTTTTCGGATGGTTTTTTTAGATTATTTTAATAATAATTGTCTTATCCCAATATTTTTTTTTATATTTTTAATATATTTTTTTACATTTCTAATACAAAAAATACCTAAAAATATACATTCAAAAACGAAATAAACGTACCCTAAATTGGGCCTGGGCTAAATGTTTTACCAAAGCTCGTTGTCACCTTTAGTTCTTCCTTCTTGAATATAGCGTGATGAAAATCATTAAACCTAAAACATGTACGTGGATATAAAAGTGTTGGTATTTAGAATGGCGCATTAGTAAAAATAAAAGATTAATTAATTTTTTTGTTTTTGGAGTGGTATTGCCGACTTTTATGGGTGAACTTAATAACGTTCAATTTGTCTAAAAAATAGTTAATATTGAATTTTAAAGATTGTACTCTGACTATTTTTTTTTTTTTTTGAAACAGATAGAGTGCATAATGAATAGTTCTAACTCATTGAATTCGGTTATTGAATGAGAAGATAAACCGTGGTTCAATGATAAGTCGAGGGTTTACCAGGAGATTATCAGGAATAACATAAGGCCCGATACGGTACAGTAATAAGTTCTAACAAAAGGCCCGATAAAGTGTCCACTTAATCTGGGCTCTGGCCCTTAAAACTTTTTTCATTTCGAAATGGATTTTAAGAAAGTAATAGAAACAATAAGACGTGGCGGAAGCAAAGAGAAAAAATAAACGCACGCAAACTGTTTTCTTCTCTGATTCACACACACACACACAGTATCTATCATCTCTCATATCTCAGGTCCCAAAACCCAGTCGGTCCTCATCAATCATCACTGACTCATCTTGTCTTTTTTCAAGCTGACTGTTTCGTCGGCCGCTCAGCTCCTCGTCGGCGTTGTTTCCGTTGATCGGTGAGTATGATTTTCTTCTTCGTCCTTGATTCTGTTTAGAATCAGATCAATCTATTTACCTGAAATATACCGGTCGATTTGTTATGCTAGCAAAGCCTACACTACTTGTTGACCCCTAGGTTTCCATTTCGGCAGCTGTAGTGTGGATTTAGCTAGCCGTGAATCCAGTGAATCATTGAAAATCCAGATTATTTTGCATCTTTCTGTTTTTTTTTTTTTTTTTAAAATAAACTTCATTTTAGGTTTTCCGTACCACTTTTCTATCTACAGTGTGTGTATGGGCGGATGATTGAGGATTGGGCGTTTTCATTTTCTGCTTTTGCTATTTTAATTTGGTCGTGCCATGAATTATTAAGGTTACGTGCGTACAGAAACACACGCACACACACAGCTCTTTAGCTCAGTGGTTGGCAACTATCTGTTAGCTATTGAGATATGCAATTTACAAGTACCTTTATTCAGCCATTTGCGTAGATAGTATTGATTTTATTGCTCAAGGCAGCTTTAACTGAGTGGTAATTTAAATGGCTGTGTTTACTGGGGTCGGCACAATTATAAGACATGGCTCTGGAGAACTTTCAATCTGTGTAAAAGGATTCATGAAGTAGGACGCTTTTGAATAATATTTATAAGTTGTGCCTCAGAAAAGTTTCGCATTAGTGGTGTGTATTATTACTTCTTTTCCGAATGAAATGGCAAAGTGCTTTAGTTTTAAACTAATGCTATCTATGCTTCCTCTTTTCTTTTTTTTTCCTTTTTGGGGGTGTCGGGGTTCAATCTCCAGTGTTTCATTTACAGTTTTGTGGATTGTTTGACCTGAATTACTTTTTCTGCAGGTTACTGTGCTCTCCTTGTGGAATCGTCGAATATGGGATTGTTAATCTTGAGTGATGATTTGTAGTCATTTTACTCGGGCTCAGCCAAAATGTGGAGTTTTGCATCCAATTGTATCGCAGGAAGCATTGGTTTGAAGAACGAAACTCCGAAGCCACCCCAGGATGCAATAGATTACTCTGATGATGAAGCTTCTTCAACTGCTAGCGGGGAGGAAGGTTTGGATTGCCCCATATGCTGCGAGTCCTTCAACATTGTGGAGAATGTTCCTTATGTGTTATGGTGTGGGCATACACTTTGTAAAAACTGTATCTTGGCACTACAATGGGCCGTTGTGAAATTTCCGACTTTGCCTCTCCAGCTTCCGCTCTTTATCTCTTGTCCATGGTGCAATCTGTTATCGCTCCGCCTAGTTTACAAGGGAAACCTCAAGTTCCCCAGGAAAAATTTCTTTCTTCTCTGGATGCTTGAAAGCATGAATGGTGATCGGATGAGGTCTCGCTCGGCCTTCTGTGGGGATACACCGTCTGTTTGGTCTACCAGTGGGAGAGCATTGCCAAACAATGCAAGTCAAACCAGTGTTTGCAGAGGGCATAACCCGGGACCATCTGGATCAAATCACAGTGATAGTAATGTTAATAGTTTCATTGCAGCAGAGAGACTGCGTGCTTCAGTTCAGAAATCCCTGCTCTTCTTCGTTCATTTGACAGCTAAGTTCCCATTGGTCATCATTTTCCTTCTAATCACCTTATACGCCATCCCAGCCAGTGCTGCCATCCTGGCCTTGTACATACTCATTACCCTTGTGTTTGCTCTTCCTTCGTTTATGATTCTCTATTTTGCATACCCAAGTTTGGATTGGCTAGTTAGGGAAATCATCACTTGATGGCGCATGGTGCAAGGATTGGATTTCTCTTTGGATCTTTTGGAAATTGTCTCCAGTTAACTTGATTCCTGCCACCTCTAGTATAACTTCTTTCATCATGCCAAGAAGCTCTTGTTTCTAGCAATGTCCTTGTAGTGTTTGTTATCCTTATCATCCTTAGTATTCGTTGGTGCACGAAGTGGGTTGAGGTGATATTTTGTTTATAATCAGTGCTGTTTTATCCAGCAGAAACCTCAAATTGAAAATTGTATTGCTTGTTCTCCTTGAACTTATTTGTGATCAAGGTTGCTGATTTGTAAATTAAATGGAATGTCGTACGTATTTGTGTAATGCGATTCTTCTGGAGCTCTCTATCTAGGATAACTTTTATACTTTTGCCATTTAGTTTTAGCATTCTACCGGTAAGTAATGAAATTCAAACTTGTAGTAGTGGCCGGTGCCAGTAAACTTACAAGAACTGTTTTGAAAAGTTCATGCTTCATAGTGGAAAAATCCAGAAAGTTCCTGCTATGTCAATCTGAAAATTTATCATATCCACAGAAAAAGCCCAAGACCCCAAGTGGATGCTACATTAGGATTGTACACGTGTCACGTATTTAGCCCTGAAATGGCCTTTGTCCGGATGCAACAAATGTTGGTGGTTCAAAATAGAATCTTGGTAGTAAAAACTATAAAACGTTAACCACAACTGAGCAGCACTGTTTTCAGTTTCTTCTTCAACCTGAAAGACATTTTTGAGTTGCTTCATTGGGGAGGTAATAGCCGGAGTTCGATTTCGAACAGAAATGGAGGCAGCGGTAAAGTTGCTCTCTCCTAAGCCTTCTGCTATTCTGCATCACTCGTCAATTGTAGAACCGAATTCTAGTAGTTTCCTCAGTGGGTTACCTGTAAAAGGCTTATCTTTGAAACTCAAACCTAGAAAAATCAAGAACATCAATTTCGTAGTTGCATCAGCAGATGCCAACGCAATCAGCAGCAGTGGCGGAGGAAGGTTCTACCTCAACTTCACTGGGTTCCCTTTTCCACTTGGTCCTTTTCTGAATAGGCAGACTATTAGAACAGAGGTTAGTCATTTTTCACATTTCCTGCTACTTAAGGTCTTTTTGATAATAGCTGTGATACCTATGGTTCACATTTTGAGTTTATTTGGATTTGAATTGTGGGATATTCGTGCATGAATTGCTCCAACCGAAGAAATAACATACTAAAATTGCTGAATCATACATGAATTGCTCAATAAGATGTGTGTTTTAAAGTTTTCTGAAGTTTTAGTGTACTGGCATTGCCGACTAAATATGTCACTTACTCAACCTCAGGTTGTGAAAGACAGCATATGGCTGTTCGAACAAGAACAAGCATTAGGTTTCAGCAGTGTCTCCACAAATATCCGAATGACTGTGATCAAGCTTAAATCTGGGGGATTGTGGGTTCATGCACCAATTGCTCCAACGGAAGAATGCATTCAGGTACTTGACATTTGCCTACTGAATTGGTAGTTACTAGCTTTGGGTTGTTTCTTACCTGCTAACACTATGCCTCATTAGAAGCTTCTCTGTTATTCTCATTTCCAAATTAAATCTTATGGTTCCAATTTCCAAATCAGTTCTTTTCAAAGGTTTTCTTTTAAAGACGAGCACAGTTTGCCTTAAACGGCCACAGAAGCTGAATAATGAATGAACCAAAGTATGTGAATGAAGTGATAGGGTGCAATATGATGATATTTTCAATTGTTGAATTCATGTTTCATCCTGTCTTCTGCAACTATTGTTTAAATATGCTACCAATGCTTTCTGATTGATCTTTGTTTTTCCTATTTCCAGCTTGTGAAGGAATTAGGAGCTCCCGTTGAATACATTGTTCTGCCTACATTCGCCTATGAGCATAAAATATTTGTTGGTCCTTTCTCCAGAAAATTTCCTTCCGCTCAGGTGTGGGTGGCCCCAAGGCAGTGGAGTTGGCCTTTGAACTTGCCTCTGGAGTTTTTTGGAATTTTCCGTGCCGAAACATTGGAAAATGATGACCTGTCAACACCTTGGGCTGATGAAATCGAACAGAAAGTTCTTAGCTCGCCTGAAGTTGGTATTGTAATATTCCTTACTGTTAATTTTCTTCTGCTGCCATGTGCAATATCAATATTTTGAATTTATTCTCGTGGATCTCCAGGAATTGGACCTTACGTAGAGGTAGCATTCTATCATAAGCGATCAAGAACTTTACTAGTGACAGATGCTGTAATATTTGTCCCGAGGCAGCCTCCTGCGTGTATTAGCAAAGACTCCTTGTTAGCATCTGCTAAAAATGGTTTGGCTGTCAAAGTTCTCAGCAAAGGAAGGGAAGTGCCAGATGAGCCTGTGGTTGATAACAAGCAGAACCGACAAAAAGGTCTTCCATGTTTACAATTAAAGTGGTTTTAATGCATTAGATCATCAGGATATTAGTTTTCAGATTAAGGCTTGGATACCGAATACTTGCAATCCTCGGATTGCTTTTCTCATAAAGTGGATCGGCAATGCAGGTTGGGAAAGAATGGTCCTCCAAATATTATTTCTGGGTCCATCTAACCTCTTAGAGCCCAATGCCAGCTTTGCACAAATGTCACAAAAGTTGATTGTTTCACCCATTGTGAAGACACTGGTGTTCAGCAAAGTTCCTGAGAAGGTCAGTGGCCTAAACAGAAAGTATCTTAGTTATGCTCTGTAAATAGGTATCTGCTATTATAGAATTTGATCATTTTCAAGTTCTAACTATTGACTACTCTATCGGTAATATCTTTTAAAATGATAGAACAATTGATATCCCAAAAAAAAAAAAAAAGATAGAATTATTGACTCTCACAAATGTAGGTCTATTGAGTTCTGAACAGCATGAACTCAAGGATACATGGAGAAAAGTATAACCCTTTATGTTTTGGAACATAACGCAAAAGTGCAGATTTTGAGACTCACTTAGAGCTTCCCAGAGATCATGTATTTTACTGGACTTAAAAATATAGTGTTCTCATTCAAAGTACTTCAAGTTGCTTAATTTGAGCATTGCTTTAAAACAGGTTAGAGATTGGATCGATAGCATAGTCCGGGACTGGAAGTTCAAGAGAATAATCCCTGCTCATTTTGCGGCTCCCGTAAATGCTAGCAGGTCAGATTTCTTAGCAGCATTTGCATTTCTGGATGACCTTTTAGGCGAACGCTATATTACTCGGCCTTCGCTTTCCCTTCTCTTCACATCACTACTGGGGAAAGCAGCAAGTTACTTCCCTCCAGATGATATGAGGACTTTATCTTCCCTGGACGATTTCCTAGTTTCCGTTGGAGCAGTGAAGAAGACCGTCTCAGGGCGCAAAAGAACATCAAAACTCATATGATCATCACACAAAGTATATTGTACGTACCATGATATACCACTTCTTACAGAGGACTTCTACAAAAGCCATTCCGCTAATACATATTTTACACTTGTTTTCCTTCACTATCTTAATAGAAAATGAGATATAGTTATTGGATGTTGTGAACTTACTGCAGTAAACGTCGTACAATCCTTCGTTAAGTTGGGGTGGGGCGAATTGATTTCAGTGTTTTTCTTACGTTTTGTGATGGTAACTGTGATTAGACTTGGGCCAAGGGTAGTAGATAGGAGTTGGCATTTCTTGGTCAAAGAAATGAGTAGGTTGGAAGTGTTAAAAAGAAAATGGTTCATTCTCAACAAGAAGATGTACATTCTTTCTTTAATATCACCTAACCTATGGGCTGAGGTCTGCTTGGGGCGTTGTTGATTAAAGGTTCTTTCTAGATGGAGACTGACTACCCAAACAGAAGCTGCCATCAATGGGAAATGAGGCCACTCACATCCCGTTTTTCTTCTTTATATATATCAATTTTAAGAAATACTACGTAATGTTATGATATTCTTTTTTTCCATATTTTTTTTTTCCCATAATGAGGAAGCCTGACGGCTTAGTACATAGACCCCTTTCTACTGGGTAAGGCTGTGGTTTCAGCTTTCAAAATATCTACTACTTGTGGAGGTGTTGGCAAAATTTGTCTTCCGAATGAGTATGAAAAACTAAATTTTACCAAAGCATCTGCCGCTCTATTCTGACTTCGACCGGCATGTAGTACTAGTACTTGTCACCCGAGGTCTAGTAGACCTCTGATTCTGCAAAATACATGACTATTTATATGAGCGGTGTCCCTATAAGACAAAAGATGCACTGCTTCGATACTGTCTAATTCCAACATTACGTTTCTAAAGCCGAGTTTCCAGACTATTTGTAGGGCAAAAAACGTGCCTCAGAGCTCGGCCTCTAAGATGCTACAAAATCCTAACTTGACTGCAAAACCTATCATCCACTCCCCTTTACTTGTTCTAAACAGGCCCCCAACAGCAGTTTTCTTTGTTATGTCCGACATGGCGCCATCGTTGTTTACTTTAATAAAGTTGTGGGGAGGTGGCTGCCAGGGTTGATGTTGCGCGATGGATTTGCTATGGCCTCCGTTTTGGGCAGAGATCTTGTATGCTCGACAAACTTCCTTCACCATGGCTCTTATAAGGCTTTTTAGGGCACCCGTGCTAGTGATGTGTTCACTAAAGATTTTCTCATTCCTGGATGTCCACAATCTCCAGCAAGAAACCGCAAACCAAACGGACCACTGTACACCATCCTGCAAAATAGCCAAATTAAGATTAGTGAAAATCCATTTATTCCAATCAGTCTCATACCAAAAATTTGGTCCCAGATTCGCATTGCTATTGCGCCACAATTCACTACTTCTACTACTGTATCTACATTAGGAAAGAAATATACCACTGATTTGTCTTGACTAATCGTCTGCCTGAAGCCAAACAGAAAGCAGCCAATGTCTTCCTCACCTCCTGCACTTGTTCTCGGATGACCTTAGCAAATAAAATAAGATCGTTCGTGAAAAGCAACTGTAAGAGAGAGGCTCTGTTGCGGTCGAAAAGAAGTGGCTTCCAATTCCGGTTTGCGACTTCAATGTTAATCACCTATGAAAGTCTCTCCATACATAAAACAAAAATATACGGCAATACCGGATCACCTTGTCACACCCCTCTACTCGGTTGAAATTCTTCCCCCAACATCCCGTCCCACAAAATCTGAGTAGAGCCTGTTTCAAGTGAGCTTAAGATCACAGACATAAGCATTTCCAGGATGGCTGCATCGTCCAAGGTCTCTTTAATGAAGCTCCATTTGATTTTATCGTAATCTTTCACTAAGTCGACTTTGATGGCCATCCAACCTCTTCTCCTTGTTGTTCCCCTCATTGTATGGATTGCCTCCTGTGTGATCACAATGTTTTCGATGATACTCCTTCCTGGCACAAAACTAGACTGTGTAGGCAACACCAATTTAGACATTACTTTACTCAACCTGTTGGCGACAACTTTAGAAATTATCTTTATTGACACGTTAATCAAACTGATCGGCCGTAGGTTCTTAAAACTCTTCGGCTTCTTGACCTTTGGCAACAGTACTACAATAGCCTTGTTGATTCGCCTATCCACTTCCCTCATGAGAAAGGAATTCCGAACCATCCTGCAAACCATGTCACCAATCAAATCCCAATTATGCTGAAAGAAACTCGCCGAGTACCCATCGATTCCACAAGCTTTGAACTCATGCATTTCAAACACAGCCTCCCTTACTTCCTTGTCCTCCAGCTGTTTGGAGAGAGCTACACTTTCAGAAGTACTCAACGAAGGGAATTGACCACAAATTCTGTAGGGAGTTTGGTTGCTATCTAAAGTATTGTAGACTTCTTTAAAATAGGCAGTATCCTCTTCACCCAACTTTGAAGGATCAGCACACCAATCACCATTCTCCAGCCTTATAGCTTGTATCTTGGACTTAGGCAACCGTTTTTTGTGGACTGCGTAGAAGTAATGAGTGTTTCGGTTGCCTTGCACCATCCATATTGCCCGAGAATTTTGAAATTAGCTCTTCATGGGTTACAATTTCTTCGTATTCCTCTCCCAATCCCTGCTCTAGATTCTTCAAAGATTTGGACTGATAAAAAGCAAGAACATTTTGCAGCCCCTCAAGACGAGCCATCACCCTGTTCTTTCTCTTATTTAAGTCCCCATAAACGTTGTACTTCCAATCATCCAGCTGGGTCGTTAACTTCTGTAGTGCCTCGGGGAGTTGTAAGTCTGCGTCCCAATTTTGTGAAAGCCATGCGTTCCACCCGTCGTGTGCTTCCCATGCGCTCCAGTACTTAAAAAACTTCCTACCATTCTGCTTCTCATTTTTCGTTTTGAATTTGACAAGCAGCGGGGAATGATCTGAAACTATGCGCGGAAGATGCTTGACTGATGTATTAGTGAATATCTCTTGCCATTTTTCATTGGCGAGAGCACGATCAATTCGTTTATGAACTAAACCCCTTTTCCACGAAAATCTGGATCCAGGGTAACCCAAATCAGCCAGGGCATTTCTTTCGATCCATTCCCTAAGACAGCCATGAGATCTACGCCCGCCCGTTTTATCTTACTCATGCGTATAGGCGTTAAAATCGCCTAAAAATTATCCAAAGAACTGCCGTGGTACCTGCAAAAATGGACAAGTTTTCCCACAGTGTACGACGTGTCAGCGATTGAGGGCTATCGTACACTGCAGTAACATGACACATGGCATTATCGTTACATATAATTTTTGCATTCAGGAATTGCCAATCATTATGCAAAATCTCAAGCGAAACCAGGTCATGCCATAGCAACCATATACCCCCCCATAACCAGCCGATTCAATCCTATGAGAATTAGACTTTCCTATTTCCTTGATTACACGGTCGGCATCAGGGCCGCTTATTCTAGGCTAAAAAACAACTATAATTTGAGTCTTATACCTATTAATCATATCTTTTAATGCACTGATTGTCTTTAGATTAGAAATGCATTGACAATTCTAAGCTAGGATACGTTTATCCATTAAAAAAAAATTAGAGAGGGGGATGGAGCTTACCTGCCGGAATCCGGCATCCGCTCCTCGTCAAAATCAGACCAGTGGTCAGTCGCCACCACTAAATGTTGGTCCTCCTCCGTTATATTAGTTCCCTAATCCTCCTCCATGAAAACGACAGGTTGGTCAGGATGGCTTTTCCTTGTTCCACCTCTGACTTGCAGTTTAGGTTTGAGGTGGAAACAATGGTTTAGATCCGGTGGCTTTCTTTCCTTTGGATCCATCGTGGAGCTATCTAAGCTAATGGGTGTTGATGGGTTGGGTGAATCGGTTTTCCAACGTGGATTCGGATGTTTAATGATAATTGCAGAGTGTTTCGATGTTTCGCCGAAGGGATTTTGAGTAGAGATTGGGGCGACAGTTTAGGAAACTTCAGTCATCGAATTGTTGTTCTTTTGATTTTTTTCTGGACTCTGTTTTACTGATACTCTTTGTTGGTCCAGTGGTGGGTTGCTTGAAGTGGAACAAAGGGCCTGTCCATGTTGATCTAATGGTGGGTTGCTTGAGGTGGAACAAAGGGCCTGGTCATGTTGGGTTTAGGGACTCCTTTCAGTTAATGGGCTAGTAGTCTAGTCATCATGGGCTGATTTCTTTGTCCAGACCTTATCCTGGGTTGCTAATTCAGCCTTCCGTTTCGTGGACATATTAGCTGGGGTCTGGGCCTTGGGTATGTTAGCACTTGGGTTTTTCCTTTACCTTGGTACCTTACCTACAGAGAAACCAACAGAGGGGTTAAAGTCAGTGGTAATTTTGGGGACAGTGTTTACCTGAGTCAGTCCTCCAGTCTGTCGTGGCTGTAAATCCGGTGCTTCTTGTACTAGGCCGGCTAGTGGTGCAAATGGATTTGCCAGTGATTGCCGTGGTCTGTGACTTCTTTGGTTCTGGAAGCCTCCAGAGTTAACCACAAATGATCCTCAAAAAACCGGTCTCCTGCCCCTCTTTTGTGCGTAACTCCACTCGCCAAGATTAGGGGTGGGTTTGGGTTATATCGGAATTCATGCTGTCCCATCCCTGTTCTCAGATACCGTTGGTGGTGGACCTTCCCCTTCCTCCAGACCGTTGGTGGCGGTAGGGATCGACTGTGCACCGTTGCTCCCTTGTGCCCCGTCGGATTCCGACGATTTTGCCGTCGAATCTAAGCATTCATTCGTTACATGCCCGTATTTCTCACAGGTAAAACATATTTTTCTGAGATCTTCGTACTCGACATTAAGGGCCTTCCCGTCGATTTTCAATTTTCCGATCAGAGGCTTTGTCAAATCGAGTTCAACCACCGCCCCGGTGTATCTCCCCCATTTCGTCATTAACATATTCCGATCTACTTTCAGATACCTATCCAACGGCCTCATGATATTCCAGAGTAGATCTTCGTGAAAATAGTGGACCGGTAATCTCGGAATTCTAATCCATGCTGCTACTGCCTACAAATTCTCTGCTTTGGGATCAAAATCGATTTTTCACAGGAGAACAATTATATAGTGATCTACAATCATCCAAGGTCCATTTAGCAGGGCATTGTGATAGTCATCCTTATGTGAGAGTCTGATAACGTGATATCCATCTATTGAATCCATCAGGTGGATTTCTCCCTTGGGCCTCTAGACTGCCATACACCTTTTTTTTTATCGCCGCGAACGTGAAATTCCTCCCCAGAGGACGGACCACAATTGAGTATGACATGGCTTGCTCTATAATCCTCTTGACCCGGTCGGCAAAGTTAATTGTCGGCTTGCCATCTTCAAAAAAATAGGATACATCTTCCGGCGTAGTTGTTAATTTCTCTAAATGGAACCCATTGTGTTTTCGGGGTTGTTCCTCTTGCAACAATGTTTCCTTAAAAGAGGGCATTCCAGTACGCAACTGGTCAATCTCAGTTGCTTGACTTTCACCATTCTGTTGATACACTCCTCCCTCCTCGATGATCAGAGGCTGAGAGAGGAGTGGGTCACCCGTATCCATGGGGCGGAGTTCCTCCACCTCCATTTCCAAGGGTAGGGGTTAAGATTACCAACAGTTATTGTAACAGTTAATCGAGAGAAACTAGAGATAGAAAGAGAGAATGATAAAAGTGTGGTATAATATTATGATATTCTCTACCTCCCAATACAGTGAATCACATAATCCTATTATATTTGATATTGTACGAGTCAGATAACTGTTGTAGAGATCCTTCCTCCTAGCCCAGCACTTCTCAAGCCCAATACACAAGATTCAAATGGGGTTCCACTCTAAAATCAATTGGTAATAGAGGGAGTAACCCACTAGACTTATATATCGAGTTTGGAGCTCTCCCACCACCGATGTGGGATTGGGTCTCCACCCAACAAACCTTCCTTCAAACACAAAGACCACACACTTGGGCCTTCCCTTCAACGACAATCCAACTTAGTCAAACTAGGACAACACGCCACACTATCCATACATCAATTGGGCTAGAACCGTGGCTCTGATACCAATTGTAGGGATCCTTCCTCCTAGCCCAACACTCCTCAAGCCCAATACACAAGGTTCAAATGGGGTTCCGCTCTAAAACCAATTGGTAATAGAGAGTAACCCACTAGACTTATATATCGAGTTTGGAGCTTTCCCACCACCGATGTGGGATTGGGTTTGCACCTAACAAACCTTCCCTCAAACACAAAGACCACACACTTGGGCCTTCCCTTCAACAACAATCCAACTTAGTCAAACTGGGAGGACACGCCACACTACCCATACATCAATTGGGCTAGAACCGTGGTTTTGATACCAGTTGTAGGGATCCTTCCTCCTAACCAGCACTCCTCAAGTCCAATACACAAGGCTCAAATGGGGTCCCACTCTAAAACCAATTGGTAATAGAGAGTAACCCACTAGAATTATATATTGGGCTTGGAGCTCTCCCACTACCAATTTGGGATTGGGTTTGCACCCAACAATAATAAATTACCTTATGGTTGTGTTAAAAATGTCTCTTGTCAATCAGTTATATAATAACCATAAAGTCCACAATCTATCACCATCCAGAAGAGTAAGAGTAAGAGACTTACCATGTCCCAACGTGTGACGCACACACACACATTAGAGGACACCCTTTAAGTTTCAAACTTTCAATGGTTTACTAATTTTTCAACAAACCACAAAAAAAAAAAAAAAACTTGACCAACCCTCATGATGTCTTACTTGTGGTCCAACTAATATCATTAGCAGGCAGCTGAAATAATATAATTACCCTAAACCCTTCTAATATGCAAAAGTGATAATCTTTATGATGATTTCTTCCTCTTCCCCCCCCCCTTCTCTAGGCTGTTTGATTGAGCGTGTGACAAATGCTAATGTAACATAATGTTAGCAAACAAACACATCCGGCGGAGAATACTGCCTTTATGGGGTGGGTACCCGGGAGAAGGGGACTAAGGTATCATCCACCAGCTGAAAAGGAGAGAATCCAAAGTGTTTCAGTCCCTTATGTATTAAACTATTAATCCCTTGTGTGGAAAAAAGGGGTTGGTAGTCATTTTGGAAGCATAAAAGTTACATTAGAAGTTGAGCCACACAGAACACAATATACAATATAAATCCAACTATAGATATGCAATGGCACTTTCATTGTATAGTTTTTTTTTGTGTGTGTGAATGAGAAACCCCCCACAAATGCAGGGCAATCTGCTGACAAATTCATTGTTTGCTGCGTAAAAGAAGTGTCATCAAATTAGTTTGTGTCGACTCGCATGCTTAAAGATTCATTCCATATCGTGTGCATTTTTATTGAGTATGATGATTTTGAACTTGCTAATGAGTTCTACAAGATGTATTTATGAATGTGTTGGTGTTAGAGATTTTTATTCAATCCGTTGGACTAGCTAGATCTTTGGTGGAGAGACAAGTTTTCGCCTTTTCGGACAAGCCTCAAGATTTTGGTGAATGAATCTATTTTTGAGACGAAAAAATATTATTTATAATTTCATCACATTTTACTCTTTAATATAAGTTGGAATACAATTAAAAATGTACAAATTCATCATTTTTTTAATTTTTTTTTTTTTAGGAATGGTTGCTTTCTATAGATAAATCATTTTTAAATCTTATTTGCCCCATGCATGAACCAGGGAATTGTTTCTTACTCATTTCATTTGCTTTCTGCATTTGTTTTTCCCTATTCATAGCTTTTTCCGGTGCCAGCCAAAAGAAATTATTTTCCCTATCAGTATTTTTTTTTTTTTGGTGCATGTGAAAAGAGAAAGCAAAGTCGGCAAAGGCGGTGGGGTTTTACTTCCTTCCCTTCCATGCTTTTCAGGATCCAGAATTTTTGAGAGCTGTGTAAAACTTGAGCGTGTGTTGAAAGTAAGAATGATTACATTCTTTTTTAGGGTCACACAAAATTATGATTTATGTACTCATTTTAGAAGTCGATATTGAACCTCACTGTTTATTACGAGTATGCATTTCTCCAACGCCCCTGGGAGCCCTATGCTATATGAAAAAAAAAAAAAAAAAAAAAAACACACACACACACACACACACTAAGGTGAGCGATCAATAAGGTTGTTGGTTCGGAGATTTTGTGATGAACATTGGTCTTTACATCATAATTGGCTCAGATGTTGTTACTGAAAGTTCTAATGGTTAAATCAAACCGTGATTGAAACCATATGTAATTTATACTTTTCAACCGTAGAGTTTTTTTTTTTTTTTTTAATTTAATGTGGTATACACGGCACTATGGCAGTCCTCATCATTGAATGATTGCATTTTTTTGGTCTTAAAATCATACTCCAAGCGAGTAAACTACTTAGTTCATGATCATACGCATCCAGATATGTATGCTTATACGAATTGAACGGTCTGTTCTACAAACTAAAGGAGCCATTGACGTTGACAAACACGACAAACCATTGACCGAAGAAGCAAAGGCTAACTAGCTCTGGCAATTAAGGTTAACCTTGTTTGGTATAGAAAGTAAAGCCATCCTTTTGACATTGGCATTTGGCACTCCAAAACTTTGGTATATATATTATTCTGGCCCTATTGACATAATTTTCCGACTTGAATTTTCATTTTTAGTGTAAATTATATTACAAGTATATATTTAAATAGAACAATCATTTTTTTAACAGAAAAAAGTTAATAATATTTGATCAATTCACTAAGATTGTGCAAAAGTAAAGATTTATTAATGATAAGTTACGGCTGCAATAGTAATGAGATAAACGGATGATTTTGGCATGTATAACATGATACTTTGTAGTAAATGTTTCACAAAAATAATTTGTGTTATAAATTTCACGATGCTTGGTTTTTTTCCCCTTTACAATGTGGCTTATTATTACTAGGGTCAATATGTCAAAATTTTCTATTCACGAAATGATAGCAACCTTTTTTTTCTTTTTTTAATTCTATAAAGGAAAAAAAAACTATTAGTTAGCCATTATTATTTTATGTATCTATATAAAATGTATTTTGAGCTTTTTGTTTTTGTGGGAAAATAAATTTAAAAAAGATGTGCCCAAGTCCAAATATAAAAGAATCGTAATTAAGAAATCTTACTTAGAAGATAAATCCCGTCATTATCACGCGATACTTACTAAAAAAAGGATCTTGATTAACCCGGATTACGTCGTCACTCTGTCAGTCATTTCACCCTTTTCCGTTTTCTCGGAACAACAAAACATACGTAAAAAAATACAAAACGCGCAAACTCACACGAAAAGCCCCTCTCTCAAGCGATAAAAAGAAAAACCCCAGAGAGATAATCAAATCAAAATCTCCCCCAAAAGGCGAGCTTTTTTTTTTCTTTTCTTCTTCCCATTTTCCTTTTCTTTTTTCCCCTTACCTTTTTCCCTCTGAGGTTGGGGAGTGGAAAAAAATGGAAAGAAGTCATTGCCTGCACGATCCCTGCGGCTGAAAAAAGAGGCTAAATATTATTCAAAAAGAGGTTCGCTGGACTTCTTCTTCGTCAAATTTGGTTTCAGTTTTTTTTGCTGCCTTGGCTTCGTCGTTACGGAGGAAGGGGGGAACTTTTTTTAAAGGAAGAACAGAGGTACGCGTATTTTTCGGGTTTGAATCGATCAATAAATTATGTGGGATGTATTTTTCTTCGGAATGACGATATGGGTTTGGTCTATTTCATGTTTCGGGAAATTGGATTTTGCTGATGTATTTTATTGATTGTTTCATGGTTGGAGATAATGCTAAATTAATCAACGAACTGCTTTTGTGATTGTTCTGGAGCCGGTTTAGTTTTGCATTTAGGTGTTTTTTGAGCTGGTTTGGTGGCTTCGGTTTTTCTTGGTACGGGTCGAATTCCATAGATTTGCATTTGTTTTTTGTATGCTTACCTCTTTGTTTTATTGTTTTGTATGTTTAGTTGAATTTGTTGAGGGAAATTCATTTGAGGAAGGGAATGATGGTGAAAAAGTTGGGTTTGATATGATGGGTGTAAAGGTTTACTGCAGAATTAATTTTCATTTCTTTTCAAATGTGGAATTCGGGACTTTTCCTGTTGTCTTTTAATGTACCTTAAAGCGGAAAGAGATGCTCTTCTGATAGGTACTTGCCATCTGAAGTCTCCTAATTTGGTATTTGATAATCTGGTTGATCTCGTAGACTATGATTGTTGAACTGTATTATTGATAAGGCATGGAAACCAATTGGTAGGATGTTTTAGCTCTGGGGTTTCTGCATATCTGGTTAGTATGCCCGTGACTATGTGTATGCTTCGCCTGTGTTGAAATTTCACAAAGCTATTTTCTTCTCTGTATCGTCTTTAAAAAACTTCGTTCTGTTGAAAAGGAATTAAAATATTTATCTGGCGGAAACGTGAAGGTGATAATAGCATTTAGTCTATTTGGCTGTTAGTTACCCAACTACCTTTGTAGGTCAACTTTGAACCAACTGGGGTTATGAGTTGCGGGTTATGATCTTGGAGACATTAGATTTCAAAACCTTGGGATGATATTAGATATTCTGTACAATAAGCAGGGGAATATTGATCAATGTCCTTTTATTGAATTTGTTCTCAAAACACTTAGAATTGCTGTAAGTCATGCACTTTTAGTTATGTTGTTGGCGTGACTCTTTCTGAACTTTCCATTTTGTAAGTTTTGACACACTTCATTTTCTCTGCAGGGTGGTTTAATAGATTTTGTTTTGAATGGCCGACGATAATATCAATTTGATAGACGCTGAAGGAAAAAGTGAAATAAATGGCTATAGCTCAGGAGCAGCCTCCGAAGGGAAATCAAGCTCTCATGGTATTGAATCTGCTGGTCTTTCTGAGGACCACAATGTATCTTCTGTTTCAGGCCAGGGAGCTATCAACCGGAGGAGGTTTTCTACTGGTAAACCAAGTCCTAAAGCTAGATTTGAAAAAATTGTCCCCCATTATCTGAGAGCTTCAACTGGTTCTTGTCACGACTTCTGCAAATATGGTCGAAAGCATGCATTTGAAGAGAAAGAAAGTCGTCCATGGCGGAAAAGAATTATTAAAGCTCAACCAACCGAGCAGAATTCTGTTGGGGCTGTAGCTTTGGGGCAGGGGAAAAAGGCTACAGTGCTGAAACACACATGGCCTCATATGAGACAGAATCCTGCCTTAGCTGCACCGTTGGGTGAGAAAAAGAAAGCAAAGGTGGTCAAAGAAATTACATCGCCTCGTGTGGCACAGAACCCTGCAGTGATTGGCCCTTTGGGTGAGAAGAGGAAGGCAGAGGTTGTCATGGAAATTACTTTGCCTCAATTGACACAGAATCCTGCAGTCATTGCGCCTTTGGGTGTGAGGAAGAAGGAAATAGTGCATAAGGAAATGACATCGCCTGAGAGGAAACAAAATCCTTTGGGGACTGCATCTTTGGATGCAGGGAAGACAGCAAGAATGCGTAAGCAAATGGCATCACCTGATAGGAAACAGAATCCTCCTTTGATGGAGAAAAAGAAGGCCACAGTCAAGCCAATAACATCACCTGATCGAATATCTGTTTTGTCGCACAAGGCTTCTCCTACGGCAATCAAGTCAGAAGGGCACCGCGAAATTTTCAAGAAAAAGGTAATATCACCTTCCAAGAAGGTCGAAGCTTCTTCGGAAGATTTATCATCTCGTAAGAACTCAAAAGTTGAGAAGAGGATGAGCAAATCTTCCAACCAGCGATCTCCTGTTGTACACCCTCCTCCAGTGAAGCCATTATCTGCTTCGCACTCATTAGGCTCTGTCAAGAGAACAGGAAAAGCTGAAAAGACAACAAAAAGTGTTTCTCCGAGAAATTCTCCTACTGTTATGCGTCGAACACCAATGCCAAAATCATCTTTGTATGTTCGCCCTTCGGAGGAGGGTTCATTGGTACGAGGCAAAGGAAGAGATAATGTTGCAACAACCAAGAATATGGTAGCTGCTAAAGCATCTGCAAAGAAAGTAACGGCACTTCCTATTGCTTCGTCAACCTCTACAGTCACAAAACATGTAGCTTTGAAAAAGAAGAAAAAGAATATTTCAGAACCAGTGCCTTCTTTGTCAGATCAACACAGCACACTGAAGGCAGAGATGGGGGAACCTGAGGATGAGAATGTCCCTGAGAAAACTTTGCATGTTATTGTTACAGAAGAACCTGAAAGTAAACTTTCTGGATCTACCGGAGATGATAAAGTCGTTCCACCACTTTCACCTGAATCATTTCCATCGCCTGGATCATCGTCCACATCTCAATCTTCATCTTTGTCACCAACAGAAGATGGAGACAGCAAAGAAAAATCGGAAGTAGAGATTGAGAATGGAGAAGACGTGAAAGAAGAAATCGAGAGTGGACTAGAAGTCGAAGAAATTGATGAAAGTGATAGTTCTGATGAACAAGACGAGGTGGAAGAGGAAGAGGAGATGGAAGAGGGTGAGGAAGAAGATGGAGAATTTTCGTCAGAGGAGGGTGAGGAAGAAGATGGGGAATATTTGATGGAGGGTGAGGAAGAGGATTTGGAGGGCAAGGATGGACATGCTCACGAAGAAGAAGTTGATGAAGTCATCTTTGACAAAGGAGGAAAAGCAAACAATGACATCAAAGGGGTTGTAGGAAACGGAGGGAAGACACTGCGAAAGGGTATTGTTACTGCTGGGTCTAAGGATGCCATACCAGTGAAAATTAAGTTTAGAAGGGGTAGGGTTGTGGATCTTCAGTCTGAAAGTAGTGGTCCTAGGAGACTTCGATTTCGCCGGGCAAGAGTGATGGATGAAAACCGCGATCATACGAGTGAAATAAAGAGGAGAAGTTTCAAGAAGAAAGGAGCCGATGGTGACGAAAGTGTTCCCAACCCCAGTGATGAAAAAGTTGTTCTGAGGCACCAAGATGCTCAGGGAAAGAAAGACGCACAAGGCTTGTTCAACAATGTCATCGAAGAAACAGCAAGCAAGCTTGTCGAGAGCAGGAAAAGTAAGGTTAAAGCCTTGGTTGGTGCTTTTGAAACAGTCATCTCCCTGCAAGATACTAAACCTTCTTCACAAACAGTCAGCTGATGGCAGTAAGACTTTTTTTTGTTCATCACACTGTGAAATGTAAAGAAAAAGTTGAAGCATACTAAAAGAAACTTATACAATAGTTGGAGTGAATGTCTTTGTTTGAGGTTGGAAAGTTGGAGTGATCTGATCGGCTTGGAGGCACCCTTCTGATGCTAATCTCGACGAATTCCAGTACCCATTTTCTGACAAGGGTACTTCTGGTGTCTGAATGCTGTCAAAAGTAAAGCATTCCAGATGAGTGATTATAGTGATGAATTTAACTACATATAAAGGTTAGTTAGGAGCAACCATTCTTGGATGACTAATAAGTTCTTTGTTCTGTTGTCGCAAGGATTGATGGTTTCTGTACATTGTTTGACTGATAGTGTCATTGTTCTTTCATCTCTTTATCTGTTTAGAGTCTTTGGTTGTTTGACGTTGGGTTTTCCCATCTTGTTCGTTTTCTTGGAGAATGTAACATGTTGATTCAAGCCGATACATGTATCCGGAATGCTGCAGTGTCTCATAACTTGATTCCAGTTTAAAGATTGCTCTTGCCTTTTCGTCTTCTTTCCCTTGGATAATGTTACCGGTATCGTATCAACATAATAACACCATTCATTACACCCAAACACCGGGGGAAAAAAAGCAAAAAAAAAAAGAAGAAAGGCAGTCATTAATTATTTCTACATACAAAGATTTGAGCATCTAAAAGGTTCAAAGAGAACTACTACCTCCTCCAGTTTAGTTCAAGTTTGAGCCTTTATAATTAGGGTTTGGCACGATATCTTCATTGCCTTGGGCTGGCGAGAGCCCAGAATTTATATTAGGCCAGGCTCCACCGACTTCTTGTGAAACGCGAAATCCCCACCGCGGTGTCTTTCTGGATTCTTTCGTAGTAGTAGGGTGTATGATTGATTATGATATGATACCGTGGATGTGATTAATTGGATTACTATTTAAATTTTTCTGTCTCTTTAGTTTTTTTATTAGGATACATGCTTCTTAGTTCTTACCTTAATTATTTGTCGGCTGCTTTCGATTGGATTGGGAAATTTGGGTTTTAAGGTTTGAGTTGATTTTGATGTCCCCTTTGTTGACGGATATGGCTAAAGAGGAAGCTAAATATCATGTGGTATCAATGGAAAAATCGAAAGTGTATTGTGTAGAGGATGTGGGATTTTGATGGAGGCTGATGTGACTGAGGTGTGTGAAGAGTGCGTTTATGTTGAGATGGCTGCTCGGATGACTGTGGGTTGTGGTCCTCAATGTCGAAGCTGCGTAAATCAATTGTATTCACTTTCAAGCAGAGTCCAGCGGTGTACGGTCTGAGTTCATTCAGACATATGAACCCGACCCAGAAGTAATTAATGTTGAGTTCACTGTTTACAAGGAGGTTCTCAGTAGTACAATTCTTAACGAGTCCTGTATTGTCAAGTTTTGCGTTGATGAAATATTGTGTGAACCTTGCCCTGAGGTGAAGTTTTCTGAAATACTGTGTGAACCTTGCCCTAAGGTAAAGGTGTGTGATTTTTGCTATAGGGAGCTTCAGCCTGACCATGATCAGTTAGGGATTGTTGTGCAGCTAAGGCAGAATGTCTCTCACAGAAGAACCTTTTTCCACTTGGAGCAGCTCATTCGCAAGCATGGTGCTGCCGTTGACTGTGTTAGAATCAAAGCAGGTGGATCAGGGATTGGACTTCATCTTTCCTAACCAAGCTCATGCCTTCAAGTTTGTGGACTTTTTGGCCTCAGTTATTCCAATTAAGTATGATTACGTGAGCAACTGTGCTCTCCCTGTCACCATTTGTCCTATTTGTCCTGATGATCTCATCTATTTGTCCTGCAGGAAATCTAGGAAAAAATCACACCGTTGATTATATGGAAGCTAATTAAACTAGCTCTTCTAATCATCAACCACCTTCCTTTTCTTCTTTTGTCCCCAGAACATATACCATATTAACAATCACCTTCCTCTGGTTCTCATCCTCTTTATCATGTGGTCCAACCTTACCTATATATCTTACGGACATTGAATTACATGACCATTAGCCATAGAAATCTGAACGAAACATGAATCTTGGTAATTCATCATAAATAAGAGTTTCCTACTCCCTCCGATCCTTATTGTAATTAAGGCATCTTTTAAATTGGATATCTTTTGAATTGTAATTAAGGCATTTTAATTTTGTCCTAAATTTTACTTAGGATATCTTTTGAATTGGAAAAAAAAACATTAAAAATATATTTTCATATTCATTGTATTCTTCTAATTATTAGAAAAATTTTTATTTTATCAGAAAGATATCTTAGATGAAACTTAAGACAAATCAAAATGCACTGTAATAAGAACTAAAGGGAGAATACAATTAATGGAGCCTTCGGTTTTTTTTTTTTTTTTTTTGGGACAAAGCTCCAGTTATCTCAATTACGCGCGAAATGAAAGATTCCGATTTCGAATTCTGCATAGAATTCAATGTCACAGTTGTCGTCTTCTGATCAACTCATTTCGTTAGTTAAGAGGAAGCCGGATAGATTACTCCTTGATTAGTAGTATGTAATTATACTTGGATGAGGGTTTATGAAAATTTGGGCGCTCAGGTTGAAAGTTTCAATTATGAAGAGTTTATTCCAACATTTACAATGTTTTGTCTAATTTCGCTTGGATAAAGACACTGCCTCTTGGGAATTGAATGACGGTGGCTAGGTTGGTGTCTTTTCTGATAATAGATCAGAAGTCGATTTTCACCAGGAATTATAATGAGGGTTTTACTCACATTTAAATGGGGTCACATATGGTGATTTTTTTTATAAAAAAAATTAAGGGTCTGTTTGATAAAAATTAGTGCTTAATTATGAATACTTGATGCTGAAATAAAATTGTTGAATCCTTAACTCTGAATGCTTAACTTTTAAATTTTAATGTCTGAAACAAAATGCTTAATGAGCTATTCTTGTTTGATAAAAATACCAATATGAATATTGAATTGTGTACATTTTACCAATTTATCCTTTTATAATTTTTTAAAATTTCTTTATTGTAAAATATTTTTTCCCTAACTATGCAGTAATTATGTTCATTATTCATAAAATACATAATATAAAATTAATATATATTGTAAAATGGAGAACTAAAATACTCATGACATTTTTCTTAATAAAATGAATGAGCCAAATTATAAAGTATTAAAATTTTTACATCTTTGAAAATAAATTAAAAGAGGAAAAGCCAAACACATATGTATGAAATAAATTAAGATTTTTACGGGTGAAAACAATGAGACTTTATTTAATCAAAACGAACTCTTAAAATATTTAAAAATTATTTAATTAGTGTATTGAATAATACAATATTCATGTGTAATGTTGGAATTCAGTAATAAAGATTTTTTTAAAAAAAAGATAAATGAGAGTAATTAGCAATAAACATTAAGTTAGATTTTACTGCTTAAAATTTGTATTGGAGTTTTAGCAGTGTTTAATCAAATAAGTGAACTACTTTTTAGTTACCAAACGTGTTTAATTTAAAAATCACTTAAACCAAAGATTTTAAGTAATAATTCAAGTTATCAAACAGACTCTAAGACACTGCCTCTAATGTATTTAAGGATTTATGTTCGTCAAATTAACATGATTATTTTTTGTGATGGAAAAAATTATATGGTTACTAAAAACAGTACTCTGTTAAAATGAATGGTTTTATAAACTTCCACAAACAAGCACGCTTAAAATGGGGTTTGATGGACAACCACGTTTTTTGAATTTTTACAAGAAATTCCAAAATGGAGCTTAATTTCGGAATGGAGGTAATAGAAGCGATTCTTATACTGTACACCTTAGTTCACCATATATGGTGCATGGTGCATTGGTCTAATTAATAAAATTTATTCAAATAATAAATAATTAATTAAAATACTACTAGAATAAAATTAGTCAATCCTCTTTAAATATTTAGTACTTATATATCGTAAAAAGAGTATTAAGGTTTTGGAAGGCAAAGGTTTTCGCTTTCCCGATGTGGTATTGGTAAAAAAGTCTCATGAAGCTGAGCTGGCTAGGAAAGGAGGGAATCCCCGCCGGTGGGTTTTGAAACGCCTTGACATTGAAGTTGATGATGAAGAGAGGACGAGGGATTTTTGGAGGAAGTGGACGAGAATAGTGACATTTGGTCTGATTATAACTTCTATAAGAATAAGGAGTACATTCCACCAAAGGTGGTATCTGTTGGGAAGAAGAAGATAAGAGTTCATGAGTGATTTTGGGATAGGGCTACCTTCTTTTCCAGAGGCGCAGTTGATTGATGAGGTCGAAAGCTAAGAATTTTTAGTGTCAAATATAGATTTTATGTAATTCCCTATATCGGTTAATTTGCCTTTAGAGAGGTTAACTTCTTTTCTTTAACAGAGTTTTGTTGGTGCATTGTCCTACTTGCTTGGATGAACTAACTAGAACCATATGTTCACTTTTGCATCCTACTTTACAAACCATTTTTGAGCCGGAAAACCATAAAGAAAGCTGTGAGAAATACCTTTCCTTTTATAAGGTCTCTACAGGGGATCTTCATAAACATCCCACTCCCGCTGGAGGTTTTCATGATTCCAACTTACCAGCCACAGGGTACATATCATAAATGTAGTAAAAAAATTACTACATAACTTAAATTAAACAAGTTCAACCACAACAACAACAATTCAATAACTTCATAATATTTTATAATAATTGGAAGAACATATAATAAATATGAAAATATCTTTTTAAGATTTATTATTTTTAATCACAAGAATATACGAAATGAAATTTAAAACAAACCAAACCGCCTTATTATATAATAAGAGTACCTAAACAAGAATTAAAGAATAAATATTATGTATTAATTTTTTTTTTAAAAAAGAAATTTAAATAATTATGAAAAATAAGCCCTTTTATTTGGGTGGTTTTGGTTTGGTTTAATATTTTTTAGCAGCAATCCCTTTTCCTCATATGTCATATCTAATCATCGGCCTTCTATCTCTGCCTCAAAGTTTCTTTCTTCCATTACAAACCAATTATAACATACAAATTCAAGCTAAACATGAGCAAATTGTCTTTTTAAGAAATTTTTTGAAAAAGTACACACTCTCAAAAAGGACGACCAACTTAAGTTACGATCCCACAAGAGTGTTGTAATTCTATGAGCTAACTGGCAAGACAGAGCAAATTTAGTTCAGACACAAAACTTAACGTTGAATTGCAAAATTATGGCAGCATTTAACCTAACAACATACACACCATGATCAATCCAGCTCTTCTTCTTTCGGGTTACTTTCTCAGTTGAAGATCTGTCCATTCCGCGAATGGAATGGTGGTAATAGCGGAACTGAGGAATGCTCTTGCCCACCGAAATATAACTTTTATATTCAATTCTCAAGCTCTATCTTCCTCGTTCATGATTATCCTAGCTAATTGATACGATCACCTTGCAATTCATGACGATCATAATTAATTACTCCTCTCAAATCTCAATATGAAATGCAGATCTAATCCTAGCAGCGTATCAATAGCCTGTAGGGATGAATATGCGAGGTTAAAATACATGGCTAAGGTTAAAAGAGATTTGCTTCTTGAAATAACTAATTTGTCTCAAATTCAGATTAGTCAGAGCATTAACTTCAAATACAAATGTATAATAGGTCAAAAGAACATTGTCCAAACCAAGATATTTGGGAATCAAGTAAGGCTGTCAACGAGCCGATCGAATTAGGTCCCAAATTGTTTTGCATATCTTGATATGACATTAATTGCAGCATTCTTCCTACCAAATTTATAATCCATCATCCTAAGAAATATGTACTAAAGCGTTTTTCATTCTCTCTTTGTGAAACTTGATCTCACATCTCAAACAAGAAAGATTACTTTCAAATGTACTCCCTCCGTTCTAAAATAAGTGTTATCTTATAATTTGTACATTGTTTAACAAAACATTAAATATGATAGCTAAATTACTAGAATATTCACAACTATCCCCATTAAAGTAAATGCTCACCAATAATATTATTTCTTCTGAGGGTATGTTTGGAAATTTTTAACAAAAAATACATTGAAATCCGAAAACGACACTTATTTTGGAATTTCTCTATTTTGCTAAAGACGCTTATTTTGGAATGGAGGGAATATAAAAGCACCGACATACAAAGCAAGACAGATCACTAAATTCATACCATTATTAATTACTCCAGATTACACCAAAATGCAAATTACGTCACGCAAGTGATAAAAATGAGGAAACGATCGTAGTTATTAAGTCACGCATTCTGACAGGAGTTAAATAACTAATAAAAAAATTCAATGAATGGTAGTTATTAATTCTAAATGCAAATAGCACTTCATACTATATTTTAGCACGAAATTGCTTAGTAGATACTAAAAGAAAAGCCATAAAGCTGGAAGCTAAATAATTAACTTTAAGTTTACAAATTACAATCTCTTTGTAGAATAGAAGAATTTCTTTCCCCCTTTTGTGGAGAACCATAAAATATGGAGAATTATGAGATAACATTGAGGGAGCACATACATACTAAGCTTATACTAAGAGCACATTGAATTACATGACCAATAACTAGCCATAGAAATCATGAGTCTTGGTAAATTATAAGAGATAGTTTACTCTCCAATTACTGGAAGTTACAATCATCTTACTTATTCCTTATGTCCTAAAATTATTGTATAGTTTGGATTTTTATTTTTAGTTTAATTTGTACTAAAAATACAAATTTAAATTGAACAATAATTTTAGGACGGAAGGATGACCTACGACAGATTACAAAATGAAAGATTTAGATTTGGTTGGTTCTATGCGGAATTCATGTCACAATTGAGTTCTTATATATGATCAACTCATTTGGTTAGATTACTCCTTATTAATAATCTTATGTAATTATACTTGGATGAGATTTTACCCAAATTTGGGGCGCTCAAGTTGAAAGTTTCAATTATAAAGAGTTTATTGCAACAATTTACAATTTCTTGTCTAACTTCGTTTGGATAACTAAAACACATTGGCTTCGATGTAGTTAAGGGCTTATTATGTTCGTTAAATCAACTTAACTCTTTAGTAATGGACCCAATTATTTTTGGTTACTAAAAACCGAATTCTATTAGAAGGAATGGACTTAGAAACCCCCACAAGCGAACACACTGAACCTTCATACATTGATGCGGCCATGCGGGGGTTGATTAACAACCACGCTTTTTTGCAAGGAGGTCCAAACTATATTGATTTGGCTCCATTCATTTGATTCAGTGCACAAACTATACTTTCAATCAATTTTAAAGAAATGTTAACTCTCCTCTGATGTTTATTGAAATATTTTCTTTCCCTAGTCTTATTCAAATCATACCACGTCTTAGACGTGACCAATATTATTAAATTTTATTTAAAATATTTTCCTCTAATAGTCTCTTTCATATCATAATAAGAGTCCGAAGCAAGTTATATGAATAAGACATTGTTATATAATCATACTGATCAACCATACTAAAACCAATTGTCTTTGACATAATGTCTTCAAAAATTACCATTCATGATGCTAGTTTTGTCTTTTTAAAAACCTTTTCGAGATCTAAAAATAGTTTAACGATTCATTCGGTATCACGTTCATTGTAGACTTAAAAAATAGGACAGGACGAATAGTATTTGTACTACTTTTTAATTTTTAAGAGCTCGGTGACAAAAATCTAAAGCTGCTTAAAATTTTTGGTTGATTTTCCCAAAGATGAGAACCTCCTGAGGAGAGTATTTTAAAAAAAGCCAAATTTTCTTGGACCAATAACAAATGACGAACCTTGAAAGCAAAACCTGAACAAATCCTCCGTAGCTGTTTTTTACGATGAATTTCCCAAATTCCGCTTGCCAATTTCAGCAAAGGACCAATCCTCACTTGCCAACACACACTTGGGCCCCCACTAAAATATTATCCTAATTAGTCCTTGCTTTGCGAAACGGCACAGTACATTACCCATATCTTGTCTGTACTTTTTTTCACTCGTCACTCCTGCTGTCATTTTTATCGATTTTTATTTCTTTTCTTTTTTTGGGCACAATCAAAATGATTTTCTTGTTCTTCTTTTTCTTCTAGATATGGCGGAACCGCAAAGGTTTCTTTCCTTCTTTACTGCTTGAATTCCTGCAAATCGATTTCTTCACAGCTCCGACAAGGGGAAGGGGGAGGGTGGTGAAGGATTGAGTTACTGACTCCAGTCAATTTTTTTAAAAATCTTTTTGGAAGTTGAATAAATTAGTTCCTGTTCTGGGCGTGTTTTTTTTTTTTTTTTTCCAGGTAATTTCTTGTTTTTGGGTTATTCGTCCATGACATTTTTTTCCTAATCTCCGTGCAAATATTTCATCTGCATCTTTCTTCTTCTTCTTCATGCAGGTAGAATTTGAGCTGGGAATTTCGAAGTTAAGGGCTGAGCACCGCTTTTGTGCTGAGGTAAGACTTTTTTTAGGTCTTGATTTGTAGTTAATTGTGATCTACTGCAGTTGGTGGTTTTGGCTGTGTTTTAGGGCACAATCAATCTAATTACTGTCGTTCAATGAAGGATTGAAATGGGGTTTTACTATTTTTAAGTTGAAGATTAGGGCTCAATGAATTAAATATTTGTTTTGGAACCAATGCAGATTCTGTTGACTCCTGTGTTAATACTTATGTGGTGGAAGCCGATTTTAGCTCTTCCTGTACTTGAGAGTTGAACTTACTAGATGAATTCGGCTCTGTGCCTTCTCAGTACAATGCTCATGGTTTCTTTGACCTTTTTTGGGCCTTAATATGTTGGACTTTGTTCTTCTTGTAAGCTTAAGTTTTGAATGGGATCATCCTTGTGTATCGTACATGTGTTAAAATTTTTTAGAACTACTGAGGAGGTGCTGGTGTATGTCACTTCCTTTACCTCAATGACTATGACATTGATGCTCTATTAAGAGCCAGATTAAAGTGAATGCCATTACGTAGTTATGAGTTGCTTTCTCGTGACATCTCAAAAGTATGATTTCTAAAAGTGAAAACAGTGTTGTCCTGTTTTGAATTCTCTCTGGAGGTTCACTCTTGAAGTGCTTGCCTGTTTTGAATTTTCTCTGGAGGTTCACTCTTGAAGTGCTTGTTTACCTTACTCCTTTGTGCATTTATCTCACCATGTGGAAAGGTTAAATGAAATATTTATTGTTGTTTTCCATCACATCACGTATTGATTTGAAGTTTGTATGTATGAAGCCCTCTTTGAGAGTTTCGTTTCTAGTTTTAAAGGTCTTCCACTTTTCCTTTTAGTCTATGTTAATAATTCTCTATATTTTGAAAGCTGCACTGGTGCGTCTAAAGACTTGAGGTTTCTTAACACATCTGTCTAATCATATTTGGGATGTTTTTCTCTCCCTTTTAAATTGTAGGAAAACAAATATGAGTTCCATCTTCTGTGTTTCTATGGGGTTAGAGACTTGGAATGAAACTGATATGTCGGGCATCTTTTGAAACGTGGTTCATCGTATTGACCTTTGATTCACAGTTGAATCTACTAACTCTCCCTTGATAGATTTAGCTAGTGATAAGTTCTTCATCGAGCTTAATAACTAGTGAGAGTATTTTCTTTTTTTTTTTTTTGGTTCTGACTTAACCGGTTTATTTGATGTACCAGCATATATTGGGTTTTACTTGATAAAATCACTGCTTATCTGGCTGAGGCTTATCATAGAATGTTGCTCAATTTTGCAGCGGGGCCAGGTGTATTCATGTTTGGTGCTCTTGCTTAGTCAATATAATGATCATTACCAAACAGTACAGATGCATACACTCAGCGAGTTGTATGTGCACAAAAGGACATCTAAGTGAGGAAATAATATTCCTAATCTTTCAGCAGCTTAATTGGAACCCTAAGCTCATCGCAACTCTTTCTTGTGTCTGTAAATGGTTTGATGACCTTGCTAAGAGAGTTCTTTGGAAAGAGTTTTGTAAAACTAGAGCCCCCAAAATGATGCTTGATCTGCAAACTGGTGGGAGTCATAGTGTTGATGGTAACTGGAGGGCTCTAGGAAAGTTGCTCATCTACTGTTCTGGATGCACCAAGGGTGGATTGTTTAACAACATTCACATTCCTGGACACTTTGTTTTTAGGACACGATTTTCTAGGACATCAGGAAAGAGTTTCTTGTTGCCGCAGTGCCGAACAGATGTCCTGTATGTATCTGATCCCTGTGAGCATCTTGACCAAGGGGATGAGGGAGACATTGGATTTTTCAGGGGAGTTTTTAAATCTTTTGCCACATCAAAGGTCCGTAAGATGCTCATCAAAAGGGAAGCTCCCCTACATCCAACAGAGGTGTGCCCTTACTGTAAGGCAAAGTTGTGGAGCATGCTGCAAGCAAAGTTGGTACCGGCAAGTGCTAGTTGTAGGTTGGGTGCATATGAGGACTGCATTGAGTATTATGTGTGTCTGAATGGTCACGTGCTTGGAATATGTACACTCTTACCGCTGTCTGATTCTGAAGAAGCATCTGAGCCGGAATGAATGAGTGGAACCAAGGTATTTCTCTCAATTTTCTTCGTTCCACTTCCAACTGTAAGCTGCTAGTGATTTCCTTATTGTGTTTGATTTTGATATTCCATAAGTTCTGGGAAGGTGGGAACTTTCGGAGGATTTGATGTTGCTTGGTTAAGTCAAATCACTTTGACTGTAATTTCCTTTATGTAATGAATGTGTGAATCTGCTTCTGATTTTTTGCTCTGGCTCGAATTGTACGCGCACTGATGTATGTGACCTTTGTTTATTTTCCCACTATCCAGGCAACCAAACTTGAAAACTTGGAGACGTAAGTTTCAGGGAAACTCAACATGCCACCCCCAATCAGAGACATCGCCCACATGGAATTGAGGAGTGAGGGAGAGATAGAGAGAGATGTATTTTTGTCTAGCTTCCTTGGGTCCCGAGAAAAACCAAAAAAAAAAAAAGAAGAAAAAATTAGATGCAGTGCAGATATGTTCTGTACTACATTTTAGGGCTTCTTGCTGGCACCTTGCAACATGAAGAAGCTATTTCTAACCATAGCCATTGTTCACCTCATCATGAACATTGTCATTCTGTACATTACTATGTTATATTACGGAAAAACATGCACCATTAATTATACTCAAGAAATTAGCTATTATCCTGTTTATCAGCAATTCTGCAGTTTGTTCCCTGTAAGGAAAATCCTACGTACTGTGTTTTCCATGTGACCTGTGAGCTAAAAGACGGCTATCATTGCCCAAACTCTCTTCTATTTGCCAAGTGTAATGAGTATGCATTTTGTTTTTCCGGGTTCTTTTAAGCTTTGCCTGCTTTGTAATTTGTATCTTATATGGTGAGCATTTCTGTTGTTGTGGGATAGGGTCATAGGGAAGAGGGAGAGACGTGGAAACAAATTTTTCAAATTAGAATGGAGGATTGAGTTTTACTTTGTTACATGGATCATATTTCCTGTTTCAGATGAATCTATATATATATATATATATATTAAGTTTTAACTAAAGAACTCTCAAATAGTCATTTAGGGTTGATCCATGTTACAAAATATTTACTTGTTCATCTTATTTAGCTATCACAAAGAAATATACAAAAAGTGAACTATTTTTTATCTTTTCGGCATAGGGGGGAATTCATAAAGTGAACCATTTTTCACTTCAGGGAAGGAGACATTATAATAAGTAGTACTATTTTGTAATTTATGTCGTAAGAAAAGGGCAAAAGAAGCATTGCAAGACAGAAAATGCATACTCATTGACAGGAACAGAACAAAACTATTTCCCTCCCTTTACCTCTCCTCCTTGTGCCGGTCTCTCTTCACACCACGGTGGCGCCGCCATTCTCCCCTCCCGTCTCCATCACTATTCGCTACTTTTCCACCGTCGATAAGGCAGCAAAGCAATTCCCTTTGAACTCCGGCACGCTCCGATTGAATGAGGGGAAGGTGACTGTAACAAGCTGGTAAACCTCGTACCTTTCTGTTCTTCAAAATTGAAAGCTTAACTGTTGTCTTCAGGGTACTCCTGTTTCAGTGTGAACACTTCAATCAATGATTGCCCTTAATATATTTTGATGTTGGATGTATCACTAGCCTTTTGCTTTCCAAGTTATTAAAGCTTTGCAGTATTTAATTGGGGTATTCGGGTTGTTGTAAATTGTTGATAAATTTTGTTTTTTCTTTTAAATTAATATGGTTAATTATTCTGACTGATATTCGTGTAATATGTTGTGCTCCCTGATTTGTGATGTTGTATGCCTCTTTTATGCCTTAATTTTTCTACTCTTGGTTTAATACTTGTTTTTCATAGTATTGTGCTTTGTCTGATTGGGAGTTTATTGGATGATAAGAATTTGGCTAGATTTCAAATCCAGAAAGCTAATTCTCGTGCCTGTAAGTATTTATTTCTTTCGGAACTCTCAACTTTTTAAAAGTGCATTGAAAGAGGATGTGAGGACTGAGGAGGAGCAGGACACTGGCATTTTTTATGGTGTTTTAAGGGGAGGGGGGTTCTGTAGAGAAGGTGGTGGTCTTTGTTTGGGTCTTTTGGGGGGGAGGGGGGGTGAGGGGGAGAGATACCAAAAAAGAGTTAAGCTGAGGTTGTCCATGCATTATTTGCCATACGTACCAGGATTTGTGCCTAACTATGGGTATACGAATTGAAGTTTTGCTTGTAATAAACTCATTGATGAAAGTGATGAGAAATTTCTATCTTCATTGTTCTTGGTGTTAATTTGGTGGTGATGAATGTGGCTGGGGAGCCGCCATGAACAAGGGAGAAAGAAGAAGTATTCTGTTCTTTAGGCCATTTAGAGGTTGTGGTGGCAGGTGATGATGTTCTAGTTAAATTGGGTATTGGGTGGATTGTTTTAAATTAAAATGCCTTGCTATTTGATAATGGTTCTGATATATTTTTGCAATCGATTAGTATAAGATAAGCCTGTGTATGCTAGGCCTTAATGGCCAAATCTTGCCTGGTTCCCTCCGTTGAAAGAAGTTTCTGTGCACCAGGACCTTCAGAATGCCTAATCCTAAAACTATCAGTTGTTCTCCAGATCATGGTCTAACGAAGGTTCAGAGAACCATCAAGGGGTTTTCAATTTGATCCATTGTAAGAAAAATGGGTAAGAATGCAGTAACATCAAGAGAACAGTCTACTGGGAAGAAAAATGGTGGCGTAAACATAAAGTCCATGCTGAAGATAGACCACTTAAAAAGCCTTTCTACTTGGGCCAGTAGTGAAGTTTGCATACCTTCACTGGGGGCTTTTTTTGGCCAGCGTTTGGCAACCACTGCTGAAGCCTTGGGTGTACCTCCTGACCCTTCACTGTTTCCATGCCAAAGGTGTGAATCTCTCCTTCAACCTGGTTGCAGTTGTACAGTTCGGGTTGTAAAGATCAAAGCAAAAGCAAAGCGGAAGAATAGATTATGCACCCAGAACAGCGTAGTTTACAAGTGTCATTTCTGCTCACATGAAAATCGAAAGAGAGGAACTCCGAAAGGCCATATGAAGAAGTTATGTCCACCGAAGCCAAAACTGCAATCCAAATCAAAGCTCACAAGCTATGCTCCAGTAAAGTGTTTGGAACCAGAGGTTAAATTAATAAGCAAAGATGATCTGATGTCCATGAAGGATCAGCATCCCTCATCAGCAATAACTAGCAGTGATCAAGCTGACAGTTGTCCTGTGATGAGCAATGATGATCCTCTGTCCAAGAATGGTGTGCATCCCTTATCAGTGATAATCAGCAATGATCAAGCAGTCAGTTGTCCTGTGATGAGCAATGATGATCCAGTGTCCAAAATTGGTGTGGATCTCTCATCAGCGGTAACCCGCATTGATCAAGCAGTGATTTGTACTGCAATGAGCAAAGATGATCAAATGTCCAAGAAGGATGAGCATCCCTCATCAGCGATATTAATCAATGATCGAGCAGTCAGTTGTACTGACATGATCAAAGATGAAATGTCCAAAAAAGATGAGCATTACTCACCCGCGATGACCAGCAATGATCAAGCAGCAGTTAGCTGTCCTGCAACTCCAACAACAAAAATCACTACTTTGCTGGACTCAGCAAAAAAGAAAAGGAATAGGTCAAAGTCCAAGAAAGCCGCTGAACCTGAAAGCAGTTCAGTAGCTATCGATGCTGGAAAATCTGGCACTACATCAAGAAAGAGGAGGAGGAAGACTTGGACTAGTTTGAAGGAAATTGCCGAGCGCAATGAGCAGAATTATAGCCTTAATTTGGCCAACTTGTCCATCCCATTCCATTTGTAATGTAAACATTTTTGTAAGAAGTATCAAATTGTTACAAGGAAGCTCTTATAGATTACACAGCATTTTAATGTTAGAATTCTCAATTTTGCAGCTTTTCCGTATGATTGGATTTAGATAGTAATTTGTTTCTCCACTCTAATATGTTGCTCGTTTTCTTGAATGTTTTCCACTTATTTTATGCGTGTAAATTTCATTTCGACATCTAATTATTGAGATATTCTATATTTCATTCTTTAGTAAACCGTCACACTGTCCAAGTACTAATCTTGATAAGAATAATTATTACGTATTACTTACTGTAAGGGCTGCAGTTCCCCCAATATATATGCTCTTAAATGTTGGTGTTTAATTTTCATCAAAGCTTCTCCTGGACGTTATTTTCAAAACAAATGAAACGGTGTCGCCTCAACGGCAAATGAAGTGGCCAGGACAGTGATTAAGAGCAGCACACGAACAGAAGAACCAACTTTAAACTGGCGTCGTCTCAAAATCACCCTTTACAATTTTCTATTCGCTTTTCCCCGCCATTTGTTTCTCTCTCTACTCCATTGGTCAATTCAATTCTTCCCTTCTCTCTCTAGGGCTGTCTCCTTCCCAAAATTCAAATCCAACACAGAAGCCCTAACTTCGCACAATTCTGACTCTACAGTATTGATTAGTGCTTGCGAATGAATGCTGAGATTGTAGGATTAAGGTTTTGAGTGCTTCGATTTTATGGCTCGTTATTCAACTTTTGGTGGCAGTGATGGTACCGGTGCCGGTGCCGGTGCCGGTACCGGTACCGGTATTCCTGTCGGCATAAGCCTTTCGAATTCAGTCCACTCAGAAGTCGCGTCTTGCTTGCCGCTGCCATCTCTTCCAGTATTCTGCGGCGCGCTTGATCAAGAACTCCGGCTGTTTGATGAGCAGCAGAGCGCTGGTTCGAGATCGTGCAACCGAAGGGACGTTGTTAAACACGCTGGCAAGATTGCTGAGCTGCTTCGCGACTGTGACGTTTCTTATTTGTAAGTCCTTCATTGCTCATTTGTTTCCGAAGCAAAAGCTGAAGTTATCGTTGGAGTATTTAGTTTAGTGATACTCGTTTTACTTGCATTATTAGTCGTTCATGCTGGAAGTGCTGGCTTGTGTTTCAGCCGTTTCTACTCTATTGTAGAAAGTGAAATGAATAGTTAATTGTTGCTTTGGCAGTGCTGAATTTCTTTACCAAATTTCATTCTAAGTTCTTTGAGCGCTTTTTCACGACTTTGCTTCCTTGACTGGATCAGAATTTACCAACTAAACATTTTTGAACTTGAATAGTATTTATGGTCTCCTTGTACCTGTGTAGCTATATATAGAATGTAATGCCTGGAAAGGGTGGGATAGGGAAACCGTTGTGCTTGAGATACGTGGAATTTTCAGTTTATAAATTTTTTTTTTTATATATATATATATATATAAAACCAATGTGCTAGTTATAAATGCTTACCATTGCATTTAATGTGTGACTCAGTTGTTTAGCGGGTGAAGGGACTAATATTGATCAACAATGTGCTGAAATTGTAACTAGGAACTACGACATGTCTAGAAAGCCTCAGGGATTACTTAATTTCTTGGGAACACCAAAACCTAGCTCTCTATGATAAAAAGGTAAAGAGAAACAGTCATTTACAAGAGAAAGATGCTGGTGTCCACAATTAAATGTGAAGAAATAAAGATGACAGTTATTGCTGCTAATAGTCAAGTTACACATTAACCGCCCCTCCTCCTTTCCTAAAAAAAGCCCAAAGTTGATTTTCTCCTTGTTTGGCACTTGTACATTGTACTTACAGTTTGTTCTTCAACAGAAATCTTAGACCTGATGTGTTTCCTCAACCTTATGGTATGGCGGGACATCACGAACTTTGCAATGAAGTTTTAAGATATAATTCTGAAGCGTTTAACTGCCTCGCTCCAGGTAAATCGGGTCTCCCAGCTTTAACTCCCTCTTAAATGGTTTTGGCATCTGAACTACAATAATAGGACAAAGTTGCATGGATTCAGAGAAACATTATCTTTTCCTCATCTGTAGTTTACCTTTTCTCTTTGGTGTTTTACTTGTTTTACTTCTATTCCAGAGAATTATCAGGAATGATTTAAAGATGTATAGATTTTGCCAACATTTCATGTTTTTTATTAATAGTAGTGGTTTTTGAGTCTTCCAAGGCTAGCATACTGTAGTCGTCATGAGGATGTGTTCTGAAAACTATAATTTTTAGCTTATTATTTATTGCATTTTTTCAAGTTTTTCAGGTCCTTCAAATGAACCAGTTCCCAACGGTAATTTCGCTGAATCTATACCTCCTGAGATGAATGTATCTTTCCCTGACAAGTTCGACGGAGACACTTCTGAAAATCAGAGTCACCAGCACACTGATGAAGGAAATCTTAGCCATCAGCATGATCATGTCACAGCAAGTGTAAGATTCTATTCTGCCCATATTATCTTAAGATCCTTTTCCACTTCGGTGTGTTGATTGCTCTGTAATAAAATTGCAGGATGAGACTAATCATTCCAGAAAACCTAAGGTCAGGAAGAAAGTAAAAGACAGTCTATCACCAACTATGCCTGATACTATTCAATGTCAAGGTATAGCTTTTAAGGTTAAAATTCCATTCTGTCTCCTCATATTGACAAATTTCTGAGCATGAGTTCTTTCTATAGAAGCTGTCATTCGGAGCTTCTGTGAAGTATTGGAGGATGTCTGCAGCAGATCAGAGATTCTCAGTGATGATCGGGAAGAACCTGAATGGTTACCATTGACTTTTGGTGATCTTAAAGTTGTCGTTAGTGAAATTATTTCCATTCGAGCAAAAAAGTTACTTCATTTGGTTCCCATAGACGCTCTTTCAAGGTTGTTGAGGGTTTTAGATCATCAGATTCATCGAGCAGAGGGTTTGTCTATTGATGAATGTGATCATGTAAGATTCACTATCTTTATCTTCATATTCTTGCATTGATTGACGTCTCTGTGTTTTTTTAACTTATGAAATTCAGTCTTTTTATTTTTGCTCTTATACAACTCTTCTCTTGCTGTTGCTTGAACTACATTTCTCATTCTTTTTTTTTTCACCTTTCATCTCTAACAATCTTGTTGTGCTTCACACTGTGAGGGATGTGTCGAAGTTTTCCTATGTTTTGATCATTTTCTGTATTTTTCTTCAGTCAGATTCTGAAGTGATGACATCTATTTGGGTTGCTTTGGAATCCATTCATGCGGCATTAGGAGTTATGGCCAATGTCGACATGCCTAAACAAATTTATAAAGAAGAGGTCTGTAACTTTGACCTGAGAGTACCGTGCCAATGTGCTAATAGTTTGTTCTGCTGCAGTTGCCAACATTTCAGACAAAATTGGGAATTGAGCTTTACATGTGCATTCTTGTTCATGGTTTATAGATTATGTTTAATGCTTGTTTAAATCATTGCATTCTGCTTTTTCCAGATCATTGAAAGGATTGTGGAGTTCTCTAGGCATCAGATCATGGATATTATGTCAGCTTGTGATGCATCATACCGTGCATTGCATAAACAAAATGATAATGGTGCTCTTGAAGGTAGTTATTCGGTGTCTTTATATGTATAGATTGTTCTTTCTTTCAAATGATGTGTGGCATTTGGCTTGTTAGTATTTTCCATCCATGGAAGTGATATATGTTTTGCTAAACTCTACCTCTCCTGGGATGCATCATTCCGTTTCTATTTTCTGGTTGTCTCCCAAGGCCAAGAAGAGTGAATTTATTCTTCGACCTCATTGAAGTTAGAAGGGGAACTGAACATGTGTTACAAACATACCTTGTATACATCTGGTCAACCCCTGGGTTCATGTACATCTGTTTTTTTCTTATTCTTTTATAATTTCTTATCTTTACTCAGATGATGAAGATGAAGAAGATGATGAGGAGTTTGGTTCAGCTACCAAAAAAAGGCGCACTACAAGGAATGTCAAAGTGCGAAAATCAGCTACCAACAAGTATGATTTCTTTTTAATCCTTGGCCTTAACATTCAGGTATAGTTTGGTTAATCTGGGATGTGAGTTTTGATTATAGAGCAATGATTCAATTTTCAGGGCATCTGCTGCTGTCAATGGTATACTGCAGAAGCTTTGTACCATTATTGGGTTTCTTGAGGATTTATTATCAATTGAGCGACTTTCAGACAGTTGTATCCTCCAGCTCATCAGGACTAGTTTTACAACCCTTTTAGTGGACAATATCCATCTCTTGCAGCTCAAAGCTATCAGTTTGATTAGCGGGGTAATGCGTCCACATTTTGCAATATCCATTTTACACTACAATGGAGTATTGACTTCTTTGTTGAACTCTGTTTAACTCACTATGTTGGATATCCAGATATTTCATTCCTACGTTCCGCATCGTGCATATGTGATGGACGAAGCAGTGCAAGTTCTCTTGAAGTTGCCATTCTCAAAACGTGTGCCAAGGACTTATCATCTTCCTGATGAAGAGCAAAGGCAGATTCAGATAATCACTGCATTGCTGATTCAAATAATTCACTGCAGTGCTGATCTACCTGAAGTTTTAAGGCAATCAACTGGAGTTCCTTCTCTGGAAGTCTTTGTTGATGCCAACTATCCTCCTAAATGTCATGAGGCTATCACAGAATCTTGCTGTCTTTTTTGGAGTCGAATTCTTCAGCGGCTTACCGGGTCCAAAAATCAGGATTCTTCAGAGTTGAAGTTGATGATTGAAAATCTTGTTGTTGATTTGCTTGCTACTCTAAATCTCCCTGAGTTTCCTGCTTCTGCTACAATTTTGGAGGTACCTATAATTTTATATGCATATTTTTGGAAGCTCAAAATGTATGTACACTAATAGCTTCTTCTGGGCAGGTTCTTTGTGTCCTCCTCCTTCAGAATGCTGGATTAAAATCAAAGGATATTGCTGCCCGTTCTATGGCCATTGATCTACTTGGTATTATAGCTGCCCGGTTAAAGCGTGATGCTGTACTTTGCAGGAACGAAAAGTTTTGGATTGTTCACCAATTAATAGATGCTGAGAATTTATATCCTACCGATGCATGTTCTGTTTGTTTGGATTCAAGGATAGACAAGCAACATTATGCTTGTCAAGGATGTCAAAGACTATTTCATGTTGACTGCCTTGCAGTAGGCGGGGATGTGGGTTCTATTCAGAGTTCTTTCTGTCATATCTGTATTTGCACCAAACAGCTTCATGTGTTAAAATCATACATAGAAGCCCAGGGCAAGGGCGATGAGAAAATGAACCGTAAAGTTGAGTCTTCCTGCAGTTCCGAAGTTACAAATTTAGAGATTCTTCAACAAATGCTTCTTAATTACCTTCAAGATTCTGGTTCTTCGTACTCAAATCTTTTTACTCGGTGGTATGTTGCTAACTCAAATTTTGTTTGTGTTAATTTACCTGGCTAGTCAAAATTGTAATTGAGTACCAAATGTAGGTTCTATCTCTGCCTATGGTTGAAAGATGACCCGAATTCTCAAGAGAAATTTCTCTATCATCTCTCAAGATTGAAGTCAAAAGCCATTCTGCGTGATTCTAGTACTGTTTCACCATTTTTGCGAAGGGATGCCGTGAAGAAGATTACTTTGGCATTGGGGCAAAATAGTTCTTTCTCAAGAGGATTTGAGAAGATTCTTCAATTGCTTCTGGTTTGTGAAATCATAGCTTTGAATTGAATTCTTATCTATTAGAATATCTTTCCTTATGATTTCTTTTCTCCAGGCAAGTCTTCGAGAAAACTCTCCTGTGATTCGTTCAAGGGCACTGCGAGCAGTAAGTTTTTAGACATGTTACCCTTTTTAATAAAATTTGTTCCTTCTCATGAATTATTCAGTTTCTTTTGTTGTTAACTGAATGATACCAGGTCAGCATAATTGTTGAAGCTGATCCAGAAGTGTTGGGTGATAAACTTGTTCAAGCAGCAGTTGAAGGGAGGTTTTGTGATTCTGCTATATCTGTTCGAGAAGCTGCCCTTGAAATTGTTGGAAAGCATATTGCTTCGCATCCTAATGTTGGTTTGAAGGTATTGACTTAATATTTGTTCTAAAATTGATGAAACATGGACATTATGTATGGGCTGTCTATTTTGTCCTGACTGGGTATTTGTTCAGTATTTTGAGAAGGTGGCAGAAAGAGTTAAGGACACAGGAGTAAGTGTGAGAAAACGTGCTATCAAAATCATCCGGGACATGTGCACGTCAAACCCCAATTTTCCGGAATTTGCGTCTGCTTGCATTGAGATTCTTTCCCGTGTTAATGATGAAGAATCCAGCGTACAGGTAAATGTCAAGATAATAAAACAAGCCTGATTTTAGGGCTTGATGTTTCCTGGCACCTGTAGTATTATTTTTCTTTTACTGTCCCGGTTGTTGGAATTTAATGAAGCCTTGAATAAGAATTTTACATATGTGGTTATGTAGAAATCTTCTTTATGAGCTCAGTGTTTAGTGATATTCAGATGATTGCTGTCATTCTGTGATGGATCTTAATTGGAATTTTGGAGACTCATCTTAGGTTTGCTGTGTTTTCTGTGTTGGTTTCTTTATCCTATAATTTGCTACTTTTGTCGGCTATCAGGCTTTATCCTCTGGTGTTTGATATGTATTTTGGCTTTTGTATCGTTTTGTTAAATTAGATTATTGATTGGTGGTTAGGAGTTTTAGATTCATGTAATGAAGTATGTTTGTTGCTAGTGTTTTATTTTGATACTAGATCTTTTGGTGGGACATTTTTACCGATAGTAGACACATTTTACCTTGCAGACAAGGCTCATATGTTTTATTTTTTAATTCTCTGCCTACAGGATCTTGTATGCAAGACATTTTTTGAGTTTTGGTTTGAGGAAACTTCGGGTGCACAGAGTCATCATTATGGAGATGGAAGCTCTGTTCCGTTAGAAGTGGCCAAGAAAACTGAGCAGATAGTTGAGATACTGAGAAAGATGCGTGGTTATCAACTTTTGGTAGCTGTCATTAAGCGTAACATAGCCCTTGATTTCTTTCCACAGTCTGCTAAAGCTGCTGGTATCAACCCTGTCTCCCTTGCTTCGGTGCGTCGTCGATGTGAGCTTATGTGTAAGTGCCTGCTGGAGAAAATATTACAGGTTGGGAGTTTTCTTCTTATCAGCTTCTGTATTATGTATACCAATAGGTTCTTGTAACTATATTCAACCATTAGATAAAAGTCTCCTTTTGTCTTTAGGTAACCGAAATAAATAATGAGGAGACAGATGTCAGCATGCTCCCGTATGTCCTGCTCTTGCATGCCTTCTGTCTGGTTGATCCTGTGTTATGTGCACCGTCATCTGATCCTTCGCAGTTCGTTGTCACTCTGCAGCCATATTTGAAATCTCAGGTTATCAGTGTTCTATTCCAGTTCTGATAAGCAGTGGCAATATCTATTTTGCATTTTGTACTTTTGTTTTCCTCCCTGAGTTTCTCTCTAGCTTTTTTGAATTTTTTAGTGGAATATCTGTAATCTTGAACCACGTAAGAATAATGTACTACTCTATTGTGCAGATGGGAAACAGGGGACAAATTGAAAACAGATGAATAGGCAAACTCTAGCTGTAGGGTTTTAAGAAGACAGTCTTTCAAAGCTTCAAAAGCTTAAATTTTATTTAAATCAGAGAAAAGAACGTGAATAATAAAGCTGCAGAACTTCTCTATCGAGAGAGATTCTGATTATTCCTGTAGGCTTACAAATTTCCTAAAATTTAGGACTAAATCTGACGTTAAATAAAATACTTAATTAAAAGGAAATTACTTATACTAATAATTTGTTAATATGAAAGCTATTTCTTAAATCTTCCTGCATCATGTGCACAAATTCTTCATCCTCTGAATGTATTGCAAAATCTGACTTCGAATGCAATGTGGTCTTATAAGCTGAGACGCAGTAGTCGGATTGTAGAAGTTTATTAATATTGATAAAGTAGTATATTTTATTTTTGCAGGAGCTCATAGTTCAGCTTTATATGTTTATGAGGAACATAATCTGTTCCCTATTTAACTGTGTTTGGTTTCTGAAATATATACTGATTTGATACTTTTAATAGAGATAACTCTCAGTTTTTAGATTGTGAAGACTAAACACAATATGGCGAAACTTTAAATGAACGAGATGGTTAGGGAGAAATTGAAATAGCAAAGAAAATTGTATCTAAGTATCTTTTGCGATGAACTTCATACATAGAACTGTAGAAGCATATTCATGCACTCTAGAATTAGTATGGGAGCAAGCCATTGTACATGACAGTTGTCCTGACATGGGTTGAAATTGAATTTTAAGTGATCTGATGCTGCAGTCGTGCTGAATTGAATGGCTAACTGACAGTTGAATACAAAGGAAGTTATAGCAGTATTCCATTAACATTGTAGCCAAGGTCATAAAGTATCTCAAGCATTTAGAGACCTTCTTTTGAAAGTCAGATATGTCATCTGTTTTGTTGTTTCTGTTAGCATGTTTCTTCTTCTATGCAAACTACCTCAAAAGCTGTGTTGTTCATTTACATGCTTGGATTAGTTTCTACACAAGTGGTCTGATACATCATGTTCTTACAATTTTGTGTCTCTCCTTGTTTGTTGATGGGTTTCAAGACATGAAATATTGTATTGAAAAATAGGGATTTCTGTGATTATCTTCATTCTTCTCACATTTGCTAGTTGAATGTTTTATGCATAAAGAAATCTTATGTGGACTTCCTGATTTATTTCTATTTTCTAGCGTAGCATAGTTGTGAAAAGGGGATTTTTATTCATTACATTTTCTTACAGGCTGATACTCGAGTTTCTGCCCAGTTACTGGAGAGCATCATCTTTATAATTGATTCTGTTTTGCCTTTGCTTCGCAAACTTCCTCCAAGTGTTGTTGAAGAACTCGAACAAGATTTGAAGCAAATGATTGTCCGACATTCTTTCCTGAGTGTTGTTCATGCTTGCATCAAGTAATTTCTCGCTTGAACTTGTTCTAAAACTCCTTAATCTTAACGGCCTGATGCTGTCATCAATTTAGTTTTTCCTGAAATGCGTTGTTTTATACTATGTTATTGATCAGAAATGTGACATTTTTTTGAGCTGAAAAACTGCCTTTTGTTTTGATAAGATTTGACTCTTTATACCTTAGCAAGTCCCATCCATATCTTTGAATGTCCCTTGTTATCCTACTAGTTGCACATTCAGACTTTCTTTTGAACAGCTAGATATTTGTTTTGTGCCTTTTAATGGGCTTTATTGGCTAAACAATGTCATATTGATTTCTCTTCCAAATGCTTTAGGATAGAAGTCTGCAGATGCAGCAATATTTTCTTTGCTCTTCGATTATTTAAAAGATCTGTCTCTCTGATAATTTTACCTTGGGAATACTGAAAAATTTAAGCACAGTAGTATTAATATATTTCTGCATTTAACCTATTTAGTGTTGAATAGTTTACAATATGTATAAGTCACGGCTGGCTATGATGGACCTAGAATTGTGTTTGCAGGATTTTGTCTTGAAAATGGTAGAGTTGTTAGTGCAAGTAATGTCGAGTTTATTTGTTAAGTGGTTATTTACCCTAGTTACATTTCTTTTTCATATTTTCATGGCATTCATCTCCGTGTTCATGGTTGATTAACACTATGCATCAGAAGCCTCATCATACTTGGATGATTTTATTCGAACAATGAAGTTTGTAAGGCCTTTGAAGTAGTTTCACTTTGTTGTGCATCTTGTAGGTGCTTGTGCTCTTTAAATAAAGTGTCAGGGAAAGGTGCAAACGTGGTTGAGTATCTTATTCAGCTATTCTACAAACGTCTCGATGGCTTGGGGTTAGAGCACAAGCAGGTTGGTGGAACATGAATTTTTCCAATCAGAGATCACAAGTTTGGTCTTTCTTTGAAGGAAATGTAGAAAACATTTCTTCGTTGCGTACTTGTGTTATGCTTGCCTTATATACATAGTATTGTTGTCCAATCGCGCTGGATAAGCATACTTATTTTATCCTTGTTTCTTTGATCCCAGCAAGTAGCACGTTCACTTTTCTGTCTTGGGTTGCTGATACGATACGGGTTCCCTTTGCTTAATGCAACCGGTTCCAGCTACAAAAGTATAGCTGTTGAGAGTAGCTTGAACTTGTTTAAAAAATATCTTCAGGCTGAGGACTTTGTCATCAAGGCTAGAGCACTGCAGGTAAGCTACCTTGAAAAGTTTCTAGAATTTGGCCCCTAATTGCTGTCAATCTGCTCCTGAGCATATTTCATTTTTACTCGTTTTGTTGTTAATTCCAACTTTTGAATCTACTTCAGGCCTTAGGCTATGTATTGATAGCTCAGCCTGAGTGCATGTTAGACAAGGATGTTGCGAAAATTCTGGAGGCTACACTCTCTTCCAGTACGGATGCTCGTCTCAAGGTAATGTTACTTCATATCTATCTATCCTATGAAGCTGAATACCTTCCTTTTTTCCCCCCATGCGAACTAGGGATGTGGCACCCTGGAGGGCATAAATTTCTTTTTTTAATCTGATGGAAAGGACAAGATGTGAAGTTGATTACATATGAGCTGTTTCTTGGTCAGATGCAATCATTACAAAATGTGTACGAGTATCTTCTTGACTCGGAAGCTCAGCTGGAGGCTGATAAATCCAGTGCTGTAGAAGATATGACGGATGGTGGCCAGAGTGTACCGGTAGCTGCAGGCGCAGGTGATACTAATATTTGTGGTGGAATAGTTCAGTTGTACTGGGATCTAATCCTTGGGAGGTGTTTGGATGTGAATGAACAAGTACGCCAATCTGCTTTGAAGGCAAGTTTATGCATTTTTTATTAAGAACATGAACAGTAGGCTTGGTTCGTCAAAGAATATGTTTGGAGTTTGGATTTAATTGGTTTAGCTACTCAAGGTCACGTTTTCTTTTTTGGCATTATGCAAAATTCTAATGTAGTTTTCCTATTTGTTTCGTCTAACAGATTGTCGAAGTTGTTCTGCGTCAAGGTCTTGTTCATCCTATTACATGTGTGCCTTATCTCATAGCACTTGAAACAGATCCTCAGGAGGCAAATTCAAAGCTTGCTAATCATTTGCTGATGAACATGAATGAGAAGTATGCTGTGAGATTATTATTATTATTATTATTTCTTTGGGTTTTAAAACACATTAAAGCAATGACTGGAGCTTATTTACAGGTACCCAGCTTTCTTTGAAAGCCGTCTTGGAGATGGTCTTCAAATGTCATTTATGTTCATGCAATGCTTAAATCAAAATTCTAGAGCTGATTTGGGCCCAAAGTCTGTATCTAAACTCTCTAGTAATGTTAAAGGAAAATCAGATAGTGGCTCGTTCGCCAATGCAAAGCTTGGGGTTTCGCGAATTTACAAGCTCATTCGTGGTAATCGGGTTTCAAGAAACAAGTTTATGGCCTCAATTGTGCGGAAATTTGATATGCCAAGCTGGAATGACTCGGCGATTCCTTTTCTAAGGTATTACTACTTCTGGTATTGTTTATGATGTTGATCTATCTCATGAGAGCAATGAAGCTAAATAAGTTTTTGTTTTGTCAGATACTGCACGGAAATTCTGTCATTACTTCCTTTCACACTACCTGATGAGCCTCTTTATCTAATCTACTCTATTAATCGAGTTATACAAGTTCGAGCTGGGATACTTGAGGCAAATATGAAAGCCTCATTGAATCTCTTGCAAGGGAAAGTGATCGAAATTAGTCCAAATGGAGACATTCAGCCCAAGCCACCATTATTGGATGACAACAATAATTGTAGTGAAGCAGCAGATTTGAATCAAAGAGCCTTGGAAGACTTAAATGTGGAAGGATTACCTAGACATGCATCAGTGGATTCAGAAATGCCAGACGTCACTGTGGGCAATTCTGTTTGTACACCTGTATTTGATCAGCAAAAGGTTCAGGTGCGTCGTTCTTTTGGCGCTAAAAACATCAATTGACACTTTAATTGCATCCTGATTGTTTTACTGGCAAAATTTTCTGGTGTAAATTAAGTACTTTGTAGATAACCAGTTGGTGAAGGGACTGATAGCACACGAGAGAGCATGGAGCCATAGATAATGCTCTTTTTTTCTGGCTTTGAAAAATTAGCGCACTAGGGGACTTTTTCTTTTAGAAGTTTTATAAAATGTTCAGGTTGATATGTCTCAATTTTTGTTGTTTGAATGGCTTGATACATTAGATTTTATTATCCAATCCCACTAATGGAAATGAAGGCTAAGTTGATGTGTGCTTATATATTTTAGTTTACTGTCTCCCCTCTCTGCAAGTCAACATTTTTTATCTAAATATTAGTCTTTTCATGGGTCATTTATTTCTTTTTTCTATTATTGCTTATACCTGGTTTGTGGGTTTCTGTTTACTACCTCAGGCAGATTGCCTTGCTGCCAGTGCCTTGCAACTGCTTTTGAAGCTTAAGAGGCATCTGAAAATTGTATACAGTCTAGATGACACCCGTTGCCAGGTATCTTTCTTCATTGTTAAGTTCTTTCAATCTGTTGCTTCTTAATTTAGGTTGTTCCATTGGAAAAGTTGTTGAATCTCTTTTCTTTCCAGGCGTTTTCCCCAAATGAACCTCCTAAACCAGGAGAGTTTCTCTCCAGGCAGAACATACCTTTCAACATTAGTGACATGAACATTGATCAGCCTAGTAACTACGAGGAGTTTCTACAGAGATACCAGGTATTTCCACCATGATTATACTTCTTTATCCCCTTCAATACATGATCATGCCATGCAGATTGTTATCCACTCCATTATTGACTGTTGCAGAAGTCAGGCCTTCATTATTTTTTTTGTTTTTCCTGGCTGTGGCTTATTTTTGGGCTTCAGTTTTTATATTGTGAGTTTCAAGGTAATCTGTATCTTTGGGTTGCCTTTAAAAATTCAAAACAATGAGTATCGTACTTGGTGGATTGTATCTGCATCTACTTTATGATCAGTGTCTGCCTACACCGTACCCTATAAAGCACGATGGTTAATTATCTGGATTTGATGGATTGTTCACCACATGATACGCTCGCGTTCATTCATTTCAAAAGCTGTTATGGTTTTTAACAACTTTTTACTTTGTGGGGTACTTTCACAGAATTTAGTAACATTATCACGTGGCAGGACTTTAAAAATGCTTTGAAAGAAGATACGGTTGATTATTCAACTTATACTGCACATATCAAGAAGAAGCGCCCACCTTCAAGAAGAGGTGGAAGGTCAGGTCGTGCATATGTTGGAGATGATGAGGATGATGAAAATGATGACGATTGGGGAAGTGGAATGAAGAGGGTAAATAGCAGCGGAAGAAAAGTGTACAACAGTAGAAGTAGACAGCGGTTGTAAATAGATATAGTTGAAGCTAACATATGTACAGAATGGTAAGAAGAAGGTGATACAAGAAAGAAATGGCCAAAGAATCGGAGATCTGACTTTTGGAACAGAATCTGAAGGAAAAAACTATGTGGCCAGATCATAAACTTGCTGGGACAAAGTGAAGCTTTCGCGATGTTCGTGTAACATTAGGCTGATTGTATTGGTGTTCCCATTTTCCCGAACAGAGCTATTCATTTTAGGTCTAATGGAATAATGCCATTCTGATTAGCAGGTAGAGTAGTACTTGTGACCATTCTGAGGGGGAAATGGTGAAAATTAAATGTCTGTACGTTGTGGTGTAATTAGTTCCATTAATTCGGTTCGCACATAAGATGCAGTTGGCATAGATGTTTCAGTGTTAATGATGCTGCCTGTCAAAATATTTTTGGTTTCCAACTCAGATCTCCTTCCCATCATTGTGGGATGTTTAAATCTGATTGAACTCAGATATTTATACTCCCTCTATCCCAAAATGATTATCCAATTTGGATTTTCATTATTAAAACAGTTGGAAGTAATCATTTTTGAACAGAAGACGTCTAATTGTAGAGGGAGGCTTATGAGTTCTGCATTATAATTAAGAAGGTTATAAGTTCATATATCTGGTGCTTTTTTCCTAGTAAATCAATAGTGTCGTTTCATACATCTCACGCCAGGTAAGAGTCCCTCTGATAAAGAGCTTTTATTAATAAGCATTCATTTGGTTTGTAAGGAAGTGTTCAATCTAAGATTCTGGTTTCTTGACAATGTCATCAGCTCTACCCTTCCAACATCTTGTCTTTGATAAGCCTTCTCATTATCTTTCCCGAATGCGATTTTGGAATGGCGTCAACGAATTGAACCCTTCTCAGTTTTTTGTAGTGAGCCACATTGGATGCAACGTAGCTTATGATATCCTCCTCATTTTCTTTTGAACCTGGGTTCATCACAACCCATGCAGCTGGTATCTCCCCTGCTTCTTCATCAGGCAACCTGTTTATAAAATTCTTAATCTCTTCAATCGCATGAAATTCCCTGTTAAGAAGACAAAGGAGGACTAAGGAAACAGAAATTTTTACGTACCCAACAACAGCTGCATCTTGAACAGATGGATGAGTTAGTAGGACTCCCTCCAGTTCAGCTGGAGCAACCTGCAATTTCATGTTCTGTTAGTTTACCTAAATGTCAACTTTAAGCAGGAACTTCTAAAGTTTGATCAATAGATACTACTTTTGTACTACTTGATTGTGAGTTGATTATAATTTCATACCTGAAAACCTTTAAACTTGATCAATTCCTTGATCCGATCCACCACAAACACATCTCCATCATCATCAATGTATCCCACATCTCCTGTGTGAAGCCACCCGTCTTTGTCGATGGTCAGCGCTGTTTCATACTCGTTTTTGTAGTAACCTGACAAAATCAGTGTCAATATACCATTCTGTTTCCTAATGCCTGTTTTGCTAGTCAGTGCTGTCTTACCTTTCATTACACATTCACTACGGACACAAATCTCGCCAGGGGTGTTCTTTGGTAAAGATTTCCCTGTGTCAGGATCAACAAACTTCACTTCCAGATTAGGAAGGATGAACCCAACCGAGTTTCTCTTGGCAATCCCATGTCCCTTTCTTGGATCTCCATGGCTGATTGTTATGCAGCTGTGCTCCGTCATCCCATATGCCTACATCAAGTTGCACAGGCAAAATGATGGGAAACCAACTCGAAAAACCTTCTGTAACACAATTATATAAAAAGCATACGTATATACCTCTTGGACAACAATACCAGGGAATTTCCTTTCGAATTCGTTGAGAATTTCTGGAGCAAGAGGAGCTGCAGCGGTCATAACGGATGTGAGCTTGAGTTTTGTGAGATCAAATTCATCAACAATAGGGTTCTTAACCAACCCAAGAATGATAGGTGGAACAATTGGTGCAAAATTTATCTCATGAGTGATCAGGGCATCCATGAATGCTCGAAGTTCATACTTAGGCATCACCACCACTTTTCCCTTGTTTCTCATTGTAGCACAGCAGATACCAGTGAGACCGTAAATATGGAAAAATGGTATAAGACCAAGTATGGTAACTTGGCCTATCAACTCTGGCCCTACACTGAACAATGATGAACTGAGGTTAGCCACAATATTCCGGTGGGTAAGCATCACGCCTTTCGACAAACCCGTGGTGCCTGATGAAAACGGAAGCGCGCATAAGTCGGTTTGTTGCACCACATCATCGATGTCATTCGTGTTGGCGCGATCTGCAGCTTCAAGCAGTTGATCCCAGTGGATGGTTCCCTCCACCTGCTCTTCACCTACCACTATAACTGGAAGTCCCAAATCTTTCACCTGTTTTTGAGGATCAAAACGAAGGGTTTCATCAGAATGAATCATAATAGTTCAGCTTGCCATAAGAAATGTACAATCAACCAATTACCTTCTTGTAAGTTGATGCATCAGTAACAATGAGCTTAGCTTCAGCAGTGTCGATTTGCTTCTTGATCTCTGAGGTATGAGAAGCTGGATTTGCTCCAGAAAATACACCACCAGCAGCCATAATACCAAGAGCAACAATGCCATATTCAGTGACATTGGGTAATACTACTACCACCACTCTTCCTCTCCTTAAACCAATAGACCTCAAAGCCTTGGAAAACCTCCTCACATCTCTAGTAACTTCGCCGTAGGTTTTACCCTTTCCGGATGCAGCATCGACGAATGCCACCTTGTCTGCGTAGAGCTCCGCATTTTGAAGCACAAATTCAGGTAATGTCAAGTCGTTGGGAACTTGAACCCTTGGATATCGACTCCGGAATATGTGCTCATCTTGCTGCAAGCTTTGATCATCAGCCCCCATTGTTGATTGCATTTTGTAAAACAAACTTGATCGCTGTCTTTATAGGACTTCGATAACCAAAGTTTCTACAGCCTCATCATGAATTTTGCGTGGATCAGAAATTAGCAACTGTGTAGGAATCGAATGCCCAAGATTACCAGCATTTTGACAAGTGAGAATTAGTTTGAAGAGCTATTGTTTACTTTTTTTTCTTTTCTTTTTTCGGGGTCGTATCGTACATATTCAAACATACAAATGTATGGTTACATCAGAACCAGTGGTGACCAATCACTGACCTAAAACTTGATCGTTGACAGCCCTAGTCGTTCTTTTTCTCCAATTGTTATTCTTTTAAAATTTATTTATGTTGGGCGAGGGCCATGATTTCTCCACCCCTGAATTGCTTAGTTCTGACTTCTAACAACGTCCTGTATCAAATCTCTTAGGCTTTCGATTTTAACTCAATAAATTCAAGAAAGCGTTTCCTCACCAATATCAATTTGTTTTGTAATTTTCTTAATCTAATTCTTTTGAAATTACACTGGATGATCACAAACCATTGGAAACACAGTTGTAATGAGATTATAACTACGTGACAAGCTTTATCTATGATCATGAGACTTACTCCAATCCCAGAAAGATGGTATCAAAATTTTGCAGCTAAACTTCATATTGACAAAATTTAAAAGCTTCTGTTCCTCCGTGAATATCCCAAGAACAGATTTCTCCAGTAATGAACCGGCCACCATCTCACACACATCAGAACCGCAAAACTGTTTCACATCTCCAGCAGTAATGCAATAATACACTGAATCGCCCATTTCAAAATTGTTCATGGGTCGCAGATCGATTATTTCCATTGGCTAAGTGTTACAAGATAATGCAATGGACAAAATCATTAAGATCCATCTCCATTTCTTTTCCTCGTGAAATAAGATGTCGACTGAAGTGAAAAATGAAATCAGCAAAAATACATGAAGCGTTTCTGTAACTTCTTAAATAAGAACAGCCTAATAACGGAGCCAATAGGTCCTGCGTCTAAACCAGTTGTAGTCGGGCAAACCTTGAATTGGTCCAAGAGCAGCTATAGCAACATCCTGCAATATGAAGTCCACACAAAATTAACAAAAAGCTTACAGAAAGTCTACTAGATCCACAACTTTATGCAACTCAAACGTCCCCCACCAGAAAGTATATTGTTTCAAAACTCACCTTGTCATATATAAATCGATTAGCCACACGTTTGACAGTATTGACATCTACGGCATCAATCCTAGCAAATAACTCAGGATAAGGAATCCTTCTGCCATATGTAAGCAACTGCAACCACGCACCATTTACAACAGATAAATGTTAGCAAAGACAGTTGCAAGGAACCAAAGCTCAAGGTTTCATTCAGTTTACAAAATTCAACTTCAAGCTCTCAAAAAAAAAGATCTTCATAGCTTCGTTCAATCCATCGTTGTAAATGCTTTTTTGAGGGTCATTGTCCTAAATGTCAAAATCACAACACATAAGCAGAAACTGAATCCGATTGGAAATCAAAATATGACGTGGTCAGCCAATTTATAGACTAATCCACAAAATCATCTTAGATAAAAGGTTGTTGAGATTTTGGAAAAACAGACATGCATGCAATTTCAGTACAGAAATTGTCTTAAACTCTTCCCATCTTTCTAAAAATTACAACCTCCATCAAAAGTTAACCATACCTGGCGACCTATATCTTCAGCCACCGGACTTGACCCATCTAAGTGAAGCACTAGAGAAGATTTTATCTGCAACACATGACAAAGAGGATTTTACAAGGCATAAGCAAGCAATCTTTTGAGAGCATAGCTGTTTTATCTACCCAATTTTTCCACCGAAGGTGTAAGCACTCGACAAATGGGGGATCATCATTATGCCTATCCCAAGATATTGGCACCTACCTGGTTCTGAGCACGGATCACATCCTCCTCTGTAACTTTATAACATAGCTTGCATACTTCATACATGATTGAATACGCCAAATCATCCAAACAGTCAGGCTGTGAAAATTTCAGCAACAAAAAAAAAAAAAAAGAAAGAAAAGAAGAAGAGTTAACGACGAACAGCAGATGATGTGCAACCCGAATGCTTTCGAGAAAGTACTTCAAACTTTAACAATGGAAAATTTTAGTTCAAATAAAATAGTGCGACCATGTAGAACTGCAAAAAGGACATTTTTCACAAACCAATAAACAAGTACTTGTAAAAAATAAAGCTGCACCTTAGCGATAGCATAAACACCAAATAGGCCAGTATCTTTGTAGTTGCTGTTGAAGGCCATCATGCTTTCTGCTATCCCATTGATGCTACATCTCTGGGCAAGGGCAGAGCTGTAGAAATCCATCAAATAAAAGAAATGAGAGATCAAACTCTAGATTAACAATTGAATAACAGTGAGACAGATAGATACTGACCCCATATGCTTTCCGCCACCTGAACTTTTAGTCCAAGATCCCAACATTGATTGAATGACCATCAATGCAATTGAATCAGGATCCTTCCAAGATGCACCTTCAAAAGCAACTGCAAATTGGGCAAGCGGAATATCGTCATCAATCATCCTGACCTGGTCACAGACCAACAAAATGTCATAAGGATATCTATAAATTAATAAATAAATAATAAAAAAAAGACGTGATTTTGAATCAACATAACTTGCAAGCAAAAAAAAGTATACCTCAGAACCAGTAAAAAAGGATGGGTCTTTGGCAACCAAATCTGCAGTGGTAACTGAACTAGAAGACAGCTTAGTAAAACATTTCTTTACTTGCTCCACAACATCTTCATGTTTCACATTCCCGGAAGCAGCAATCACCTGAGAACCCACAAAAAAAAAAAGAAAAAAAAAGATATGAGCATATGCGAGTGTTAGGCCACAACCAGAAACAAGAGGGCTAACAGAAAGCAAGCTAACTCAAAATATTATGTGATTTACCATTCTGGAAGGTGAGTAATGAGTGGAAATGTAGTTCTTGAGGTGATCTCTGGTGATGGATCGGATGTTGGATGCAGGTCCAAGGATTGTCCTAGCCAGGGGTGAATGTTGGTATGCAGTTGAATGCAAATGATCAAACACAACTTCCTCTGTTTGACCTTCTACCTGCAATAAGATGAGAAAAGATAAAGCATTTCAGAATGGCTACAATGATGAAATAGGACAAAAGATCACTAAAGTGGACATCCTTGCATAACCTAAAAGCATTAGCTACCATATCTTTCACCAGAACTTCAAGTTTACTGGACAGAAACAGAGACAAGTTTCCCATAAGAAAAAGAAATCAATCTTGTATTTCAGCTCGCCGATCGCAGAAGAACAGCTTAAAAATAGTCACTTGTATAAAAGAATAACCCTTTACCAGCTAAAAGCACATTATTACTCTCCATAAATCAACCACCAAACAAACAAAACAAGAAAAGAAAGAAAAGAGCCTCAAGCCACCCCCTAAATACAGCAACTATTGAAATCATAATAAAGCCAAACACATCCACAACTGTTTTCAGATCCCAACACTAGCAAATTGGCCAAAAGAACCAGGAAAAAATATTTAAAAAAAAAAAAAAAAAAAACCTCAACCATTTGCTCGACCAAATTTCATCTCATCCTTCATCCACTAATTAATGAAAAGAAGCAGACGGAATTAAGTAAAATCAGCTCAGGTCATTATTATTAAACAAAAAAATAAATAAATAACCCGAGTAAAATTGGCAGCAGCATACCTCCTCCATCTCTCTGAGTATGACATCTCTTTCCCGTTCGATATTTCTCTTATCGAAAGTAGAATTCTGAAGAATATCAGCTAAAATCGATATTGCGGTCGACACATCCTTGTCCTCGACCTTGGCATAATATGCGGTTTGTTCCCTGGAGGTATAAGCATTCAAATGCCCGCCCATATTCTCAATCTCCTGTTCTAAACCCCTGGCATCCCGAGTCTCGGTCCCCTTGAAGATCATATGCTCCAGGAAATGAGCCGTGCCATTAGTCTCATCCGATTCGAATCTCGAGCCGGCATCGATCCAGACACCGACGGTGGCAGTATTGGAGGAAAGGTTGGACTCGGTGGCAACACGGAGACCGTTGGGCAGGGTAGTGACCCGGGTAACCGGAGCAGCGAGGATATCAGTGTGGTCAAGCCGTACCGGAAGAGGTGAAGAGTATTGAAGGAATCGGGGATCCGGCTCCTCGAGGCGCCTGAGCTTCTGCTTCACCGACTCGGCGAGGCGATCGTAGATCATAGCGGTAGGGGGAGGCGGAGCGAGAGGCTGCGACGCCGCGGATGGCTGGACGGCGGAGGCGGAGGAGAAAACCCTCCGAATTTGATTGGTGGTGGTGCGCTGGGAGCGGCGGGCGGCGTTCAGGAGGTGGCGGATCGCCATGGTTGCAGCGGACCTGGGTGTCCCAAATCGGGGCTAGGGTTCGTATAAATTATTTTTATTTTATGTTTTATCAGCGGAAAAACAAAATCTATTTTTCGCTGATGTTTAAGGGATTCCCAAGCGAGAGAGAGAAAACAGGAAGAAGTTGCTCTCAGCTGACTGACTCTATCCCTCTCCCCGAGTCTACGCTCGAAACGACGTCGGCAAGTTGTACCTGTCTTTTCCAATGAAAGTGGGCCTGCATAACAAAGTCCAGTAATATTTTACAAGTCTCACAAAGTTGGGCCTCTTAACACAAGCCTTAGGTGCTTGTCCTATTTTTTTTTTTTTCTTTTCCGGAGGAGTATAAATTCGTCATTAAAAAAAAATGATAGATAGGCTCATTAGTATTTTTTTTTATGACAGTTAAATAATACTACTAAGTAATTTAAATAGTTTTCAAACTTCTCATATATGGTTGGGCGATCCTCTTCTTTTTGTTATTTTTTTCTTTTTTGATACCCTTCTAAATTCTCTTCCTTTACATAATATGAGAATCGGGTCTGGGTCTCTACCCAGAAAAATCCAACCACAAATTACTAGGTCATTATCGATTCTCATGAATAGCGAGTTAATTCATAAACACAAGTGAGGACAACAAAATTAAAGCTAAGTGAGAATAGACAATAAATATTGAAAATATGCTACGCACTACATGTTTCTTTCGTCTCAAAAAAATACACAGTTTTATTGAATTGAAATAACAATAAGAATTCGTAATGGAATTCTATCACCTACAGATAAGGCCTTTATTCTGAGAGAGGGGGAGTATGATGCACCACAAATTTTTAAGAGTAGTAAGTATTGATAATAGACCTCAAAATGAATTTCATAGTAACATTGTTCAAGAAAATAATTTAGGGGAGCAATTGTAAGCATTTCATGGTATAAACATTATGTAGAACCAAGCAAGTGAGGCCCAATACTATTAACAATATTAAAAAAATTATGGCTTTCCAACTCTACGGCCCATATCCTTTGAAAAATGAAAGGCCCGGATTCGATGTTTTAGAACACCTATATAAACCTCTAATCCAGTGCGAGTGAAACCCTAGCGCAGCATCCACCCCGGAGAGATTTATCAAAGGCAGAGAAGCCAGAGAGACAAAGGGTCGATCGTGCTGCAGGGGAATTCAAGTGGATCAATCATGGCGACTGCGAGAACTGTGAAAGATGTATCTCCTCACGACTTCGTCAAGGCTTACGCTGCTCATCTCAAGCGATCCGGCAAGGTGAAACTCCACTTCACAACTTCTTCTCCAACACTGTAATTGTGAAAATGCACTTCTTCTGTTTGCTTGTTAAATCTTGTTCGTTGCTGTTAGAAATGTTTGTGTTTTCTTCAATGTAAAGACTTGTCAACGCATTAAAATTTAAGAGGATTTAAACGATACTGTAGTTTAATGGCTTTCAGTTTGAATTTGGTGGAAGTTTATGCGTTGTTTGAGAGTCTAATTTAGCTTATTTGACTAACTTAAGGAGGTAGCTTTTGAGATTTGGATGCTCGTCGAGATTAGATAATGGATACTTGTAGAAGTTGATGATTTTTGAACTGTAGTAGAAATTATATTACTTTGGGGAAATGTATCATTTAGAGCTCTCCCAGATTACTGCTGGAAGGTTCCTAAGAATAGTTTGTTTTCTTTTGTAGTTTCATCATAGAACTCCTTGGTAGTACTGATATCCTTTGATGGGTACTTAGCTTCATGGTTACTCTGCACTTCTAATAGCTCTATTATTATGGAAAGTTTAAAGTGCTTTAGATGTAATTGTTTGATTGTGCTACTCAAAACTAATATGCATGGCTTTGATGTTTTATAGATTGAACTCCCACCCTGGGTTGATATTGTGAAAACTGGAACTCTGAAAGAACTTGCTCCTTATGATCCCGATTGGTACTACATCAGAGCTGGTATAGAATTCTTTTCCACTCACATTTTTGTACTAGCATATGATCTGTTGTGCGCAATTTTGATTGTAACTTTTAGTTTGTCCTGCCTTATTTATAAGTTTTCTTCTGTTGCAGCTTCTATTGCTAGGAAAATTTATTTGAGACAAGGCCTTGGAGTTGGTTCATTCAGGAGGATTTATGGTGGAAGCAAGAGGAATGGAAGCCGCCCACCACATTTTGGTAAAGCCAGTGGAGGAATTGCTCGTCACATCCTTCAGCAGCTGGCTAAATTGAACATTATCGACATGGACCCTAAAGGGTAAGATAATTTATATTAGGTTTCACCTTTGTACCTGTGTTAACTCCGTACTTGGTCCAATTCTTGTAGAAAAAATTCTTGTTAGAGCTCAAACTATCTATAATAAATGAACTCTTTTAGGAGATAATTATGTAGTGCCTCAGTATGTTTGATACTAGAAAGCACAATTCACAGGCCAGTCACCTTTTTTAATCTGTTGCCTTTGTTTTGGATTTGTATCATGTAATATTCCTATCTAATAATAGACAGTAATTCCCGAGTATGCGTTAACATGCACCTTGGCATTCGTGTTAGAATCACATACAGGGAAACAACATAGTTACTTGGTTGCACTTTGTTTTACTTTCTTTTTCTCCTTGTCTCACATTTTTTGTGTTCTGTTGCTGATCGAACTCGTTACTTGTCTTGCAGAGGAAGAAGAATTACATCCAGTGGCCAAAGAGATCTTGACCAAGTTGCTGGCCGCATTGTTGTCGTCACTCCTTGAACTTATGAATTTTTGAGCTTCAGTGCATTATCTGTCAATTTTGATAAAATGTAGGTTCTTTTATGTGGTGTTTCTGTCCTTTGTGACTAAATCTTGTGAAACAGATGTCCTTTGATATTTAATTAACAATTTTTGGTCTTAAGAGTATTTTGGGTTGTTGATGGTTAAACATTGTTTGAGTGCTAGTCCTGTCTTGAAGACGGTTGTTCTAACTTTGAAGTGAATAGTTTCAAGCTCTTTTTACAGGTTGAAACTGTGATGTTTGCTAACTTCGTATCAATCATCTATAATAGGCCGTACAACCTGCACTTATTCTTGTTATGCACTTTTATAGCCTGCTAGTGCTAGTTTCTAAAGATTAAGAAATGATAACATCCCGAATTTCAATGCAATTTTATTAGAGTTCATTTTTCTGAAACTTCTCAAGAAATCAGATGGGAACTCTCCTCAGTTTAATAGTTAATATTTGATCATTCTCTGGTATCAAAATGTAATATGTTTCATGATTTAGGAGCCCTTTCCGTTTTAGAATAAGCCTCCAAAACTGTTAATAGTTAATACTTGATCATTCTCTGGTATCCAAAGGTAACGTGAACAAATTCTGATATTTACAATTTTTTGTGCTCCAAATCATTTCTGAGGAGAGTATCATGACCCCTTTCCGTTCTAGAATAAGCTTCCAAAACTGTTTCAGAATGGGCTTTTACAGATTGGAAAAAACAAGTATTTTTTGCACCAAAAAAAAAAAGAAAAAAGAAAAAACAAGTATTTCAACTAATCACGGCCGACCTGAACTCCAGTATAGACAAAAGTATAAAGTGAGATGTGAATTTTCACTGCAAGTCCACAATTCATTTGGAAACAAGCAGGTATACACTGATAACCGAAGCAGGTTGAAAAGCTAAACTGCTCAAGTAGCTTATGATAGGCATTACAACCTCTCTCAGGCTGGCACACCATTGTGCCAGAAAATGTTCATAACGTAAAAAATGATAACCAAACTTATTTGATATTTCTATCATGTACAAACTAATAAAAGAATGATAGAATCAATGAGTAAATGAGTAGTGTTTTCCATTTCCTCCAAGGGAAACTCCAGCTGAAACTTCAAACTTGTTCTTCCAAATTCTCTATGATGCCTTTTCCTTCATTGCTGACTTGGGCAAAATTCGTTCCACGACATGCAACATTTGATCTTCTTTTGTTGATGTGCATGAAACTTGGGTTCTCTTGGTATAGTCGGATGTTTCGTTGACCTGCACTAACTGAAATCAGCTTCGAATATCTAAAGAGAAACTTTCATTTTGCACTGGTAAAACTAAACAGGATGTACCTTCTTGGGATAAATGGCCGGTCGAAGTAAGGCATTGGTTGAGCTTTAGGAACGAGCTCCTTTCTCAGCCTTCGGATTTCTTCTTCCTCTGCTAACTGCATAATGCCAATTAGCGAGAGTGAGTTAGCTAACATGCGAACAAACTAATCACTTGGCTTTCAGAAACTACTTATTTGTATAACTTTTTACCTTCTGCTGCCTTTCCCTTTCCATTTTATATTCTTCAATGAGGCTTAATTTTTCTGCCACCTGGAAAATACAAAGGAAAAGGAAAATTAAGGCCAACTTAATCAATTATCAGATCAGTTCTTCTAAAATTTGAAAAAGCGTATGGTGGCCTAAAGAACGATACAAATCTTGAAGAGAAAAAAAGGCAACGATCAAAATCAAAGCAGATCCCTCAAAAACTCAAAGCTTCTAGTGCTTTTCAGTACATTGAAAGTTCTTTATGATCAAGCTAGATAAAACATTCACCATCGATTATAACAGTAACAGCAGTTCTGAGAATGATCAAAACAGCTGCAACAATTTTGTAATTGACACAAATATCTGACCTGGTGATCAAATTCAGCTCTTTCCACGGCCCTGATGTCACTGTGCAGCATTAGATCTACCGGTACTGTAGTCTCTTTCACAGGAGGCTTCACCAAACACTGTGTAACAGGCATAGAATCAACACAGCGATGAGGAAAGCAATTGTAGTATACATCTCCTATTCCATTTTAGTGGCAGTTATGCTTTCATATCAATGCCATTACTCTCTAAGTTACTGGCGGTTATGCTTTCATATCAATGCCATTACTCTCTAAATTAACTTTCACAGTATCACAATCTTAATGTAAGAAAAAACAAGCAAATTCTATCAATTCCAATTCGTATGCATTTCAGATGGAAAAGCCAAAAAGTGGTTGAATAATGTTACTAATAGATATTGCATACCTCTGGTTCATCAGTTGTCCAAGGAAGACCTTGTGCAATTGGAATCCGCATCTTCTCTTCTTCCTCCATCTTTTGTTTCAACTTTTTGAAGAATTCTTCCTGTTTACAGCTTCCTCGTTGCTGCATAATAAATCAATCATCAAGTGATTATCACGGACAGAAAGAACATTATATGTAAGTGCAGTCAATTGTGAGAAAGTGAAATCAGCATCAAACTGCACAAAAGCTTCAATGGGATAATAATGATAGCTAGAAAATTTCAAAGCAAGATAACATCATGCCCCAATCCATCAAACTCTGGCAACTACATAACCAATAGGCATAGAGAGTTATTCTTGGACAATTACTTAGTTCCAAGTTTGGTGATAACAACATTGCCTAACACATATTGCCAGTACATTTAAACAATGATAGCTACCAGAAGTCTACACGATGATAACATCATGCAAAAAAATCATCAAACACTGTCAGCTACTCAGCTATATAACCTTAGAGCATTGCTAGGAAAATGATTGTAACTTGTAAAAACAAACCTCTGTTCTGAGTCTGAATGGTTTCTGAGACGTTGTTCTGAGCTGCTGCTTTCTCTTCCATTGTCTTCTAGAAAATGTGCCAGATGATTCCGCACTCTAAATCAGTGAAATCCATATTTAGTTCATTTCAAAAACCACACAAAAAATGGCTACCAAGTACCAAGTGTGTTCACAAGATAGAATAAACTACTTACATTTCTCCGGCTTCTTCGACTACCATCAGACATCCTGCTAGAAAAGCTAAAGCTGCAAAATTTAAGAATCACTGTTTGATTATAATAATTAACAAAAAAAAGCTACAGAATTTTAACAAAAATGAGTATAATCGTTAATCAAGGTTATGAAAAGATCAACAACAAATGAGAACAATCACTAATTAACCACTTAGGAAACATTCAATAACTGGTAAATCACTAACCTTCCTTGGCTGCTGTCTAGGGAAGAATTAACACGTGAATCCAACCCCAAGCTCTCTGAGGTCAGTAAGAAATCAGACGGACAGAATGAAGACGAAGAGACTTGTGTCTCTGGAACTGATGGGCTTTGTAACCCTGGAAGCGCCCATTTCGTTCCTTTCTTACTGTCCTTCTTCTCCTTCTCATCGTTTTCCTCAGAATCCGTAGATTTTGGAATTGTTAAAAGCTGTTCAAAGGCCTTCACCAAGTGCAACACTCTTCCGGACCCAGCCTCGGGCACACTCTGTCTTGCAGCTTCCATTAGTTTGTCCCTTCTTCTCTTAACAGTGTTGGCAACAGCAATTTCACTGGAACTTTCATCCCCATCTTGTTCATCCTTTGGATCAGACCCATCATCAAACACTTTATCACCAAATCCTCTTACATTTCCTTGTCGATTTTGAGTATCACTCTGCCTTTCTTCAGTTCCGTCGCTTTTCTCCAGTCCATTCCCATCATCATCATCTTCAACACTGGCACCACGATTCTTAAAAAACTCTTCCTGTGAAGCCCTGAGACTCTCATAAGCCACGCAAACACACTTTACCCCTTTATTTCCACACTTACAAACCACCGCTGCCGAAGAATTCACTTTTCCGCTCTTCGAGTTCTTCTTCGCCACAACGAACCTCCTCTCCCGGATCTTATTCTTGTTCGGCGGAGAAGCCATCAAATTAGGGCTGTTGTGGCATTTCTTAGCGGATGACTTCTGACCTTTCGTGGCAGACTTTACTGATGGAGAATTCGTAGCCTTCATTCCAGGGCTCGACAAATTCGGATCGCGATTCTCCATACTTCTGATCGATTCGTCGGTCTTCGATCGGACTAACTTCGAATCTTTCCCAGGGGTGACTGATCCGGTTGACTTAACCTTCAAATCCATGGTTGAATTTGCCGGCAAGTGAGAGGTTAATTGCTTTTGTTGAAGTTAGGGCTTTCAGTGACGGCAAATTGAAGTGGAGAAATCTTCGAGGAAATTAAGCGATGGTGAGGTAGAAGAAGAAGAAGATTATGCGGGATGTTTTGTGGAATTTCATTGATGATGAAAGAGAAACGGAATACTGGGAGGCAAAATAGATGAGAACGTTAAGCATTTGGTCGCTCCTGTAACGGCTAGTTTCAATGGGCGTGATTTCTGCAGCGTCGGATTAAGTGTTTAAACCCATCGGTGAACATTAACCGTTAGATTTTGTCCATTAGCAAGATGATGATGAAGGGGCTCCGACTGTGATTACCGTTAAAAGACCACCGCACTAATTAATTCTGGGCTGATACCTTCGTTGGGCCTATGAGCTTTAAACCATTTCTTTGGTTCCAATGGGCCAGAAAGACTGGTATGTTTTTGTAGTCTACTTTGACATTGAGAATTGCTGGCAATATTCCACGACTGAAAGTGATCTTTTGGTTTTTTCTTTATTTTTTTTATTTTTTATTTTATATTCTAGGATCGTTAAACTGAACTGGCCATCATTTTGGAGAGCAATGATTGAACTTTACTTATAAATCACTGAAGCATTATTGAGCCAACAAGCATATTGAATTCTTAAACTTTAAGGCACCAAAATTTGATGAAAACTACAACAAATCCGTAATTAATGGTCAAATCTAGAAGTTTGGAAAAGTATTTTTGCCTGAAAGTTAAACTAGAGAGTGGGGATAATTGAGATCCTTCATCCTTGTATTTCAAGGGTCCTCTTTTTCTTTGTTTAAATTCTTAAATAAATCAGCAACAACAACTATATTTTCTTAAGTCGGACATATGAATTATAAACCGTCATCGTACTCGATTAATGCATGGTTCTGTTTTTAAATCTTCAAATGTTGATGGGTATTCACAATATTGGCAACATTCATTTCGCTCTACACTAGTGATATGTCTATGTCAATTTGTTTTGGCCAAGTAATTTGCTGAACTACTATCTGCTTAAAACTTTGGAAAAATCTATAGCACTAATATCATTGGCGCTCTTCATAAAGTGAAATGAGATATTTTGGTAAATTATTCTAATGTTTGTTTGGTTAAATATGGTAATTATATGCTGGTTTAATTGATTTAGTGAAATGAGATATTTTACTATAATTTCTATATATATCACCACTAAATTGTGAAAATAGTAATAAATACATAAGGGAATATTGGCGGATACATCCCAACATTTACTCTCTGTTAGCCAATTCATCCCAAACTTTTAAAATTAAATGATTATATCCCGAGGTTTTTTTAAAATTGAGCACAACCATCCCATTGACCTGAAACAACATAAAATTGACCTGGTACTAAAGGTGAAAATCGGTATTTTCTCTCTCTGTCTCTCTCTTAATTTTTAATATTTTTTCCAAACCTGGTTATGACCTTATTATGAAGAAAAAATTAGTTTTTTATTTCTTATTTTTAAATTTTTAATATTTAAATAATGCATGGTGGATTTTGATTCCACCTGTTTCAAATACAAATTGAAATCCTTACCTATGTTTGGATCTTTTTTCAGTCAGTGTGTATTTTTAGATTTTTGTTTTTTTGTATTGAGATTGTAAAAAGGTATGGTAGAAATGTAAAATATATGCTGAAATTGAACATTTATTAATAAACTATTATGAAAAAATCATTAAAAAGTTGCAAACAAATTGAAAACTGAGTGTTTTGTTCAGTAACGGTAACAATATTGGGAGAGATGAGACCATGGAATGATATAATTAACCAGACTAAAAAAAATTAAAAAGGAATAATTGGCAAAAGAAATAAATATCGAACAAAGTAAAATTATGAAATTAAGTAAAATTTACTTGTTACTTCATGTTAACAATAGGTCATGGGATGGTTGCGCTTAAAAACCTTGAGGCTCTGTCTGGTTGCATTGAATTGGGACCAAGAATTGGAATTGGAGCTTTCTAATTCCAATTCTTGTGTTTGGTTGCTAAAAATAGAGATCCAAGAATTAGAATTATAATTCAAGATAGGGTTCAATTCTTTATTTTCAATTCTTTTGTGGGAGTAAATAATTGGAATCCAAATTCAAGGGACTTAAAAAAGGGACACGGGTCACAACCTGGTCGTTTCCGGGTTATAATCTAAACGGGTCGCCTTCTCAATTTTTGCCTTTTGCCTTTTTTTTTTTAATTTTTTTTTTATTTTAAATTTTTTTTCGGGGCTTTCATCGCTTCGCCGCTTCCTTCTTTTCTTTGGTTTTCTTTTTTTTTTTGGTCTCTTTCTCTCATTATTATTATTATTATTATTATTATTATTATTATTATTATTATTATTTCATATATATCAATTAATAATTATGAACGAAATTAAACTAAAATTAACATTGTATTCTTTTACAAAAAATCAAAAGTATAGCTGCACCCAAAAAAAATTTATTAACCAAATATTTTAGTTTTTGGTTAAAATTTTTATTATATTATGACATAGTAAACAATATAACATTTTCAATTTTTTTTTATAGAAATTTGTTCCATATATACACCTATAGTATAATATATAGATATATACATATATATATATATATTTTAAACTATTCATGGTATCTTTTCTCCAAAAATTATGTAAGTTGAGTTTTAAGTATGTATTATTTTATATATAATTATACTAAAAATAAAAAAAATTAAGCATATATTATATACTAATTTTAATCTATGTATAAATAAACCTTAATATTCATAAACTAAATTTACAATATTAGATAATAAATTTTTTTAAAATTTTTTATATAAATCAAAACATCAAAAATTAAAAATTTTGAAAAATAATAAGAGATGAAACCAAGAATGTTTCACATTTTACTTATTTGTGTATTAAGCGAGAATTATAAGTCACAATATTTCTTTTGTTTCTAACAAAAATGTGTACATAATAAATTACAAAACTGATATAGCAAATTAATTAAAAATAATAATTTGTTTTAACAAAAAAAGTAAAAATTGTATTAGTTAAAAAACCACAAAGTAGTCAAATGTACATGTACACAATGAATTTTTTTTTTTGTGTTATACATATCCATAATAAATTAAGGCTTTTTTTTTTAATTTTAGTTTTTGACAAAAAGTATAAATTGTACTATTATTAGTTATACAATAATAAAATAATTTCAATTCTAAAGTATCTAATTTTTTATGCATCCAAACGCAAGAATTGGAATTAAAACCTTAATTCTAGTAAATTTTCAAGATCTCCCAATCAAAGAAATTGAAATTGAATTACAATATTAATATCTCATTTTCAATTCAATAGTATTGTAATTCCAATTCAATTGCAATTCAATCTAACCAAACGGAGCCTGAGATATATTCACTCAATTTTAAAAGTTTAAGTAATTGACTAGCAGAAAATAAACGTTAAAATGTATCCGCCATTATTCCCAATACGTAAATATCTTCCGTGGTGTTAGGATTTTACTTTTGTTCTTAGTTGGTTATGTTGTGCATTTGTAAAACAATTGTCGGTGTTGACAAAATATAAAATCCGTGGAGGAAAATAAATGCACACATGTATAACGTAGGCCTTCAATTATGCCATTTGGTGAAGAACATGAATCTGCTTGAATCTCTCATTTTTCGTGATGAAAGCGACTTCTTTATAAATAGACTATATATAGTTACTTATTTAACCGGAAATAGACACTACATTTGGAGACTTGATTTTATTATTCTGCTTGTTAAAGGTGGAAAATAAACAAGTTGTAATATATTCGATTTCAATTTTCAGACTAATAAAATCTCCTCGCGATCTAACTAATTATGGTAGTAGTTGTAATATATACTTTGATTCAATTTAATCATTTCCTTAAAATAATTTACACCACATGACATTATTGATGTTTATACTAGATGATTCTAATTAGCTGTATTAAAAAAAGGATTTTGATTAACAAAATAATTTGTATTAAAATAAGAATAATAAAAACTTTATATACTCTCTATATTTATTGAATTAAAATAATATAACAAACATGAATTTTATTATTCTGGAAAAAACAAAAAAATAAAAATCTTAAATAATCTCATTTGTGTACACGAAGTCAAAGTGTCAAAACCGTTGGAGTAAGGTTCGGAATGTGATCACATTCCAAGAGAAAGTGAATTGGAAATGTGGAATAGTACAGCGCAATGCCACCGCCAAAAAGTCGTGCTCGACAGTGATGAAAAATGGCGTAAAAACGCGTCGTCCGCGATGGAAAATGATATTTCCTCCCGGTTTCACTTTTTACCACCAGTAAAGGCGTAAAACGCTTCACGGCCAGATTTAGAAAGTAAACTCGATTATTTTAGTAATTCCCAGTTGTTATTAGTTATTACGCCTACTCAGCGGTAATGATTAAGTAAGAAAGGAAGGAAAAAAAAACAAAAGCATTTAAAAAAGATTAATAGTATAATTCTAATTTTGCCCTCGGTTTCGGTCTCGCTAAACGTGCGTAAAACAACCGCCCACCAAGTCAGTGAGCTGTCCAGTTCAGAGGGGTAAAAGATGGAATTTAAAATGACCCAAGAAGCGAGTAGATCTTGGATGCCCAAACAACTATAAAACCAGACGCCCGCTTTATTTGTTTTTTCATAAGGACACGCATTAGTCACTACTCTTCTTCCTCCTCCTCGCAGATCCCTCTCTCTCTCTTGCTCAAAACGCCTAAGGTGTGATCCCAACAGGTAATTCGAATTCCTCATTTCCTCTGTATTTCTGCTGTTTTAATCTTCGTAGATTTGGTTGTTTGCATTTGCATGACTAGCTCATCGGTTTTACTCTTGCTGAATGTTGTTTTGATTCGCATTTTTTTGACGTATGAATCGTCTTTGAGTTTCGTGGATCCGAGCTGCGAAATTTCTTTTACTTTACGTTTGTGTTGAGCTTAATCCTTTGAATTCGTTGTCATTTTCCAATGTTGTATTGATGTGCTGCATCGCGATTGCACGAGCTGCTTGTTATGTGGCTGCTCGTGTTCGATTTGGTGTTAATTGCTGTGGAAATTCGCTAGATCTATTAGCATTTTGTAATGTTTTGGAGAAGATCTGAGGTTTTTTGATGTCGGTTGGTGATTCTTTCTTATTGCATAAACAAGGTCGATTCGTTTGCGTGTAGATTCTCTGTATACAAATCACTCTCGATCTATTGTGAGTTGTTGTGATTAATTTCGGTGCGATGTGCCGAATGTTCTGCGTTTTTAAGATCTTTAAGTCTTCCTTAATGTTTTTTGACAGCTGATGTATGTCTAAGCTGAAATTTTCAGTCACTTGCAACTTTTGATTTTTGGATCAATTTGATTGCACTTATTCTTCCATTGTCCAGTCCGTAGTATGTCAAATTATAAAAAAGAATTTGCTCCTCAACTGATGCTACAAATATTCTTTTGATTTTTTCCTCGCTCTGCTCTGATCCAGTCTTGTTTTAGTGTGAATTGAATGACTTACACGTTGTTCCACATATGAGTTATTGTGTCTGGTTGTTGTTGAATCTAGATTTTATTGGAGAATTTTATTCATTCCTCATTTTTATTAAAGTTAAAATGTTGAATGCAGTTTGTTGAATGTTTGAGCGCCGTCATGTATTTCTAAATTTTGAAGTGAATGTGTTCCATCAATGGAGCATACACCTGAAATTGAAACCTCGTTTCCTTGGCATGTTACAAAATAAATCGTAAATAACTTTGTCACAATTCCGTGAATCTGTTTCTTCTATCTAGACTCTCTTGACACTCTTTTATAATTTCAAGAATGTTATATGATTTGGTATGCATGTCTATGAGTGTATGAATCATGAGATAATGTGGTGCTTTCAAAGCGATATAAGATGAACACTAAAGCAATGACATTCTTCTAGCTTCTTTTGGCCTGGTTTTCGTGAGTTGATATTACATCTACCTCTCTAATTTGGATGTCTGTTTATGGCCATGAACTCATATATGAAATGTTTTAACTCCAGATTGCTCGTAGCCATGGTGAAGATTTGCTGTATTGGAGCTGGATATGTTGGAGGGCCTACTATGGCTGTCATAGCCCTCAAGTGCCCATCTATTGAAGTGGCAGTTGTTGATATATCTGTTCCTCGTATCAATGCCTGGAACAGTGACCAGCTGCCCATTTATGAGCCAGGTCTTGATGAAGTGGTGAAGCAGTGCCGTGGTAGGAACCTCTTCTTTAGCACTGATGTGGAGAAACATGTTTGTGAGGCTGATATTGTCTTTGTTTCTGTCAACACTCCCACCAAGACAAGAGGTCTTGGAGCGGGAAAAGCTGCTGATCTTACATATTGGGAGAGTGCAGCTCGTATGATTGCTGATGTCTCAAAATCTGACAAAATTGTGGTGGAGAAGTCAACTGTTCCAGTTAAGACTGCTGAGGCCATTGAGAAAATTTTGATGCATAACAGTAAAGGAATTAACTTCCAGATCCTCTCAAACCCTGAATTTCTTGCAGAGGGAACTGCAATTGAGGATCTCTTCAAGCCTGACAGAGTTCTGATCGGAGGCCGGGAAACTCCTGGAGGCCAGAAGGCTATCCAAGCTCTGAAAGATGTCTATGCCCACTGGGTCCCTGAAGACCGCATCCTCACCACCAATTTGTGGTCTGCTGAGCTTTCTAAGCTTGCCGCCAATGCCTTCCTGGCGCAAAGAATCTCATCTGTAAATGCCATGTCTGCTCTCTGTGAGGCCACTGGTGCTGATGTTACCCAGGTCTCATATGCCGTTGGCAAAGACTCCAGGATTGGTCCCAAGTTCTTAAATGCTAGTGTTGGTTTTGGTGGATCTTGCTTCCAGAAGGATATTTTGAACTTGGTTTACATCTGTGAATGCAATGGCCTTCCTGAGGTAGCTGAATACTGGAAGCAGGTTATCAAGATCAATGATTATCAAAAGAGCCGATTTGTTAACCGTTTGGTTTCCTCCATGTTCAATACTGTTGCAAACAAAAAGATTGCTGTCCTTGGATTCGCTTTCAAGAAAGATACTGGTGATACCAGAGAGACCCCAGCTATTGACGTCTGCAAGGGTCTTCTGGGTGACAAAGCAAGGTTGAGCATCTATGATCCACAAGTTACAGAGGATCAAATCCAACGTGACCTCACCATGAACAAGTTTGACTGGGATCATCCCCTTCATCTCCAGCCAATGAGTCCCACCACTGTGAAGCAAGTCAGTGTTGTCTGGTCTGCATATGAGGCCACCAAAGATGCCCATGGTATCTGCATTCTCACCGAGTGGGATGAGTTTAAGACTCTTGATTATCAGAAGATATACGACAACATGCAGAAACCTGCATTCATTTTTGATGGTAGAAACATTGTTGATGCTGAGAAGCTGAGGGAGATTGGCTTCATTGTGTACTCAATTGGAAAACCATTGGATGCCTGGCTCAAGGACATGCCTGCTGTTGCTTAAACATGTCATGCTTTCATCAGGACAAGATAATATAGGCAAGAAGAAGTTCAGCTGGATTCATTACCATTTTTTTCCCCGTATACTTTCTGATCTTTAAGATTCCTTTTGTAGTCAGACCGTTGGTATTGCACCTTGGTTCGAAGTGAGAAACCCTATGGTTACCCTTTACATTGTATTGATGATATTACCTCTCTGATGTTACCTGTCATTTGGTTTTATAAGATCATTACAAGTACTAGAAAACCAATTTTCTTAATGTTTCGTTAATAGATATGATTTTTCACTACGTTTTCGGTCTTAGTGGAAATGAGCATTTCTGCATGAACTTTCTTTTTTCCCTTGCTTTGTACTGATCAGGTGCACTTGAAATTCGAAGAGAAATAATTGCTCTGCAGGGAGCCTCAAGGATGTTCGTATGTACTGTAAACTCAGAAATTCAGTTTTATGGCTCAGAATTCAGATGGTTAGCTGCACAAGTATTTACAGCTTTCTTTCTTATGAAGTTGTTCCATGCTTCCTATATGAAGAATCATTCCCTGAACAGGTAGGAATATACAGTCCAGCGTCTGCCAAAATTAGATCCACAGAGCTATTTTGGGTATCAGAGTCTGCCTTTTCTTGTTGAGGCGTTGTTCCAACACTACCTTGGACACACGTTTTTTCTCTTAATAGGATGAGCATTACTCCTCTTCTTTTTTTGTTTCTTTTTTTTCTTTCGTTACTACGGGATGGCCCCTGTGAAATGCTTGAAAATGTGGTAATTTCAGGTAAGAAATGATGTATGGTACCTACTACCTCGACTTCATTATTGACCATTGGAGCATATGGAGTTTTACTGCAGCTGTTTGGTTCTGGCAATTGGCACTTGGCAGTAAAACTTGTGAAGCTATGTCGCATATAGTTATCTGCAAGATGCCACGTCTTTCACCGCTAAGACTCTTCCACATGAAAAATCTGCTAAAATCAAACCATTTAAAAGCGTCAATGTGCAACCAAAAAAAAAAAAACTCACTTCTTTCGTCCCAAAAAGATTGATTATTTCGTAACAAGACAATCATTTTAAGAGAAGTGTACCCGAGACGAGTAAAAAACCGACACTAAAATGTTCCACTCAAAAGGGAGGTTGAAAAATGAGAACCCCGATGGCACCATTACTCTTTTTGCTGCATTTTTCACCTTTAAAACAGAGGAGATGAAGAGTGAAAATGAAAAGAAGAGAGGAACCCAAAATGAACTTCGAGAGAGTACAACTGTACAAATTAGTCCAGCGTGGCACATATTTTTGCTTTCCACGCAAGGCAGGCTTTTCTCACACTGGATAAATAGTGAGTCTCTGAGGCCTAATAAACTGAAGGCAATCAAACAGCAAGGAGCATTCAGTGAGGTTCAAAAATTGCTAGTGAGTGAGAGAGAAGAGGAGTAACAAGTCATTCAAGTCTCTGCCTTTTCTCTTTGATTTTCACCATTTTCATGGCTTAATCCGGAGATCATATCTCGACTAGTAGTAGTTCTTTAGGTTTTTCTTACACGCCAGATCTTGTGCTCTGTTCTTGAATGATCACCTTTTCTTGATGTGGGTTTCCTTTTGCTGATTGCTTCCAAAGATTTATTCTTTCTGATCCAAAGATCATCTTCTTGTGGGTTTTATGATCTGGGATTCTTCTGATTCTTCTGCATTTCGCGAAATTCTTGAGCTTTCTTTGGATTCCTGTTGCCGGAATTGAGCAAGATTTTGAATTTCCGTAACTTCTTTGATTTTGGGGTTCTTTTTCTTGGATCAGTTTTATTCGATTTCTTTTGCCAGATTAAAGAATGGAACAAGTTCGAGAACAGAAATTCCGTTGCAAGTATTGTAGCAAGTGCTGTATCAGTGGGAAGTCGTTGGGCGGTCACATGAAGGGGCATCTGTCTTTGATTTCTGCTGCCAAAAGGGGGAAAATGGAAAGTGAATCCCAATTGGGCTTTGAAGACGACGATCTTGATGAGATTGATCATGGGTTCAAAGAGAATTTCAAGATTTCTTGCAGGGCTTCAGCAAAGCAATCAAACAGTAGAGTAAAATCAGAAAAGATTGGGAATCGGAGAATTTTGGGTCTTCTAAGTGATGATGATCAAGATCATGAACAGGTTCAGGAAGGATACAGTCTGAGAGGAAACCCCAAGAAATCTATGAAGGCTTCTGGTTTAAGAAATCTCTGGGCTCCAAAAAGAGGAAAAATGTGCAAGGAATGCGGCAAAAGATTTCCCTCTCCAAGAGCTCTGGCTGGTCACATGCGTTCTCATTCCATGAAACAAAGGGATCAGCATCTTTGTCAGAAGTGCGGAAAAGGTTTTGATTCAGTGAGAGCTATGTATGGGCATTTGAGATCGCATTCCAAAAGATCCAGAGAAGACTGCTCTGAATCCGCAGAAGATGGCTTCTTTGATTTTTACGTTGTCTGTCCGAGGAAGAAACGATCGATCATGAGGTACAAATATGGTCAAAGCTTCTCTCTTTCCTCTTTTCCATGTGCCCTTTTTTCTGAAGAAGTAGAACATGCTGCTATGGCCTTGATGATGCTGTCAATGGGTGTCAGAAGCTTGGATGGATTTAGTAGCCCTGTAGAGGATGCTGCTGGTTTTGCTCACTCTGTTGATTGGGAAGAGTTGAGGAATAAAGAGGAAATGATTGAAGTTTCTGCTGATGGTGTTGATTGTGATGATCTTAGCAAAGTTGATCAGACAGAGAAGGAAATGGAGGAGCTGGAAATTTGCTATTCTGGGTCAAGCGATTCTTGCTCAAAACAGGAAGAGTCTGATAATGACGTGGGTTCTGAATCTGTTGATGACTTGAAAACAGAAGCTGAATCTGAAGGATCAATTGAGGATTCTCACTGCAGTAATAAATACATGAAGAACAGCATTGGTGCTTCTTCTGAACTGGAACTGGATGAAATGCTGGATGTTGGAATTGATCAAAAAGATGTCCAATTAGCAAATTCTGATCAATCCAGGCAAGCCAAGTCTGATGCTGATGAGCAAGAATTGGAAGGGAACTCATCTGATGTGAGGAAATGGGATGAAACTGCTTCTGAAATCTTGACGAATACTGAAAAGAAGCGCGTGCATAAATGTAGCTCCTGTAATAAGATCTTTGGCTCACATCAAGCACTAGGTGGTCACAGAAACAGGTCAAAATGGCTTGGTACTTGTTCTTCTACTTCAAACACAGAGACTGGCCAATTGTCTGAAAAGAAGTGCAATGGTACTTTTGCTGATGGAGGAAGTGGTGGTGATCATGCGGGCATGGAAATGTCAGTTTCAGAGGCATATAAGATCAAAGAACATGAATGTGGCATATGCTTCAAGGTTTTTGCAACAGGGCAAGCATTAGGTGGTCATAAGAGGGCTCATTATGCTAGTTCCTCTGCGGAAATCGTAATGAAAAAGATCACAGTTGGAAACCAGGAGCTTCATTCTGTGCAAAATGTATGTGGTGTGAACAATGTTCCACTGATTGGCCATAGAAAGCCCAGAGATAATGTCGGCTTCAAGCCATGGTTGATTGTAAATGGTCATCGTGGGACTAGTTCCTTACTGATTTCGAATTGAGAGACTGACAGCCACATTGCACTTTGAAGTTGACAAGCTTTGTGGACTGATTTTCATCATACTTTGGAATCAGTTTTGTTTAGAACACAAGGTCTTAGTAGCTGATTCTTTACAGATTGAGAAACTGATGTAGCTTTTGTTCAATATTCATTCTATTTGACTATTTCTGGTGTACTTAGGACAATGGGAGTGTTCTTTTGTATTGAGAATCTGAGATTGTACATCTGGTGAAGTTTCCTTTGCCATTCAGCCTGAAATTTGAATTCTTTCATTTGCTCTTCCCTTGTATCCATCAATCCTTAATGATTTTTCTCTTAACCTTCAGCTCTTTTTTGTGCCCCATTCTCCATAAGCATCAAATTTGGTTGAGAAAAATTTTGCTGATTTGTGCAAACATTTTGCAAGATTGATATCCTGAAAGTTTCGCAGGTGATTGAAAGCATGCTGCTGGCGTTTCTTCATTTATAATTGACAATTGAAGGGGAGGGGGGAACTATGAAAGTTGAATTATTATATTAAACGATGGGTAAGGACTAAGGAGTCGTTAGTTAATACTTCGAGTTAGTTGGAATAAGAACACGCTTTGATGTCCCTCCAAGCAATATTAAAATGATCACAAGATGATCTGAGTTTTGAGGTAGTTGTTTAGTCACCGGCCATACGCACGACACAAACAAACACATCAACTAAGTGCCACGTCTTTTTCTTTGTGGTTGGAGATGTACGAACAAAATACTCTGTTATAATTGTGTCTTATCAGTGAAACGATATCATTTTATACACGTAAAATGTCACGTTGTAACGTAGACAATAGTATTTGTACATTTTCCTCTTATTGATGTGCATTTTCATCTTATTTTTTTAGTGTAGCAAAAGTTGGGGAAAAGAAAAAATGGAAAAAAAAAAGGTCCCATAAGTTTTTGAGTATTCTGTACTTTTTCCATAAACTTAGCTGAGCTGAGAAGATACTTGGATGAATGCAGCAGCATCTGGCCATCTCCTCATATACATATTTCGCCTTTCAAGCACACTGCCTTTGGCTTTTGTTGTATCCTTGGCAAAACAACAAAAATAACAAATGTCCCATCAATCCACAATATTCATGTCGTATTGATTTGTTTTAGGAAGTTTGCAACTGCAAGTGGTGGATAGGACATTGTGTTTGGCTCAGTTTTGCACTGTGGTAAGTGCAGCCAAAACTAATTGCACTGTGGTAAGTAGAGCCAAAACTAAAGTTTGCATAGTACCAATTCAATCTCATTGAGGCCAATTGCAGAAGCAAATTGATACCACCATTTTTACCAAAAGGAACAAGATGGCAGACATAGTTTGACATCAGAAAATGTACTCCATACTACTTTCAAGTTCATCAGGTTCACCAAATGGTACTAAATTTCTTTCCCAAATGCCACAACTGTTTTTGTTTAGAGAGAAAAGACGAAAATCCAAAGGCCTAAAGACCATACAATGGTAAACATACTTAGAGGTCGACTGCTGTAGGTTTGTAATCAACCACAAGGACCTTCTCCAGCTGAGGAAGTAACTGATTGGCATATTCCACATGAGCTGGGTGAGCAACGTACTCAGCAACGCCTTGGGTACTCTCAAAGGTGGATTCGAAGACGTGAGTGAATCCTTGGTTCAGACACTCAGAGCTCACATCCTTGCCCCTGTCAGTTGTCGACAAATTATGCAAATGGTACAATGGTGAAACCTCAGACATTAAACAAGCAAATCCTAGAACAGGACATAGCTGGAAGGTTTACAACCAGGGCTCAAATGCTCCATAAAAAGAGCCACATAAAAGCAACAAAGTCCCAAAAAGAAAGATTGTGAACTATGAATTATATGAGTTCTTGCCGAACTGAGCACACTCGATAAAGCTCAGGCGTAATAATAAGAACGATGGAAATTCATAACTCATCAGTGAAATTATCACAAAATTGAAACTGTTTAAAATTCTGTCGCACTTATTAATTGCACACCAAAGAATAAGTAAGATCAAAATTCTGGAGTTTCTCTGCAAATAAACAGTGGTTAAGGATTACATGCTCTAGCTGTCTAATCTCATAAGAGTTTTGACCTTCCATCCATAACAGATATACACATTTTGCCTTCTGTACATTAAAATGCAAAATGAAGGAAGAGCCTATGATCCCGAAAGGCCTAAACTACATTTTAATTTCCTTTACTATTCATTCACAAACTTTTGTTGTTTTGGAGGAAATCCTAGAGTGACCCGTGAATCATTATATACTGATCGGAAATACATCAAAAGCCAATAAAATGACAGATATCCTAATGAAGATTGTTCCACATTCTAAATCAGCACAAGTCAAACACAATACAAGAACATAAAAAAGGGAAAACAAAGTTTGAATCTTTATACGAGAAAGTACTGATTCATATGATCTATAAAGAATCTGCGACCCAATTAAATAAGATCAAAGAAAGAGATCAGCGAAAGAGAGGGGAGAATTTGCAGGAGTACCATTTGAAGGCTTTCATGGGTTCAATGAGATTGACAAGCTTGGCATAGCCCTTGATGAGTTCCTCAATTTGTTGCTCGGAAAGCCCATCTTTGAACTTAGCCAGCAGAATATGCTTCACTTCTCCTCCTCCTCCTGGTTTTCCAGTAGCCTCCATCTCCGCCTCTATCGCTGCTGACGACTGGTTTTCCTCCTGCCTTTCAGATTCTTTGGTTAGCAATCTCCAGAGCCCAGAACCGACACAAAAAATCCGAGGGTTTTGACTTTCGAGTCAACCTCTTTTTTATTTAGATATCCAAACTACAACGTGGCTCAAGTGTTAGAAATCTTTAATATTGATTGTGACCATCTTTCTTTTTTCACCTCATATAAAATTTTTGATTGATATAAATATTATTTTCATCTGAAAACCAAAATAAATGTAATCATTTGTAGGTTATTGCTCCAAACTAAGAGCAAGTCCAACGGATGTAAGTGGTCTTAAACCTTGTGTTACTTATTTGCACAGTCAACTCTCTGCCATGCCCTGGGGTCTTTGTAGCATTTTAGTAAACTATAGGACTGAATAGTTTATTTTATGATTGATGTTTGTGTTGGGATTATAAATAGAAGTTTAGGGGCTGAATTGTACTTATGTAAAATCAGATATTTGATAATAGAGAATTGTGTTCTCTTTCTTCGCATTTCCGTTTATCGGATCTGTTTGCGTCTCTTTCATTTTCCACCATTTCCGGTCAATCCGAAACCGCTCCGGCGACGGATTCCGACATTCCATGTCCACCATTAAGTCCGGACCTAACAATTGGTATCAAAGCTTTACGGTTCTTGGCTAGGGTTTGATGGCGCCTAATCGAGTAATTTCAATTGCAGCGGAGGAGCAAGTTGCGTAAATTCGTGTGGAGCTCGGAGTTTCTTCAACTGCACATGTGAACCGATTGGCTCGATTGGAGGATAGCTTGGTTAAGTTCAGTTCAGATTTACAGGAAAGCATTGAGAGATCGAGAGCAGAACTATCGCTGAAGTTGATGGGGGATGTTCGAGGATAAATTCGCGTATTTAGAGGCAAGGATTTCTAGAATGGAGCGTTCACAAGAAGAAGCTATGGAGGTGAATGATTTGCGTGAAGTCTTGTCGGGAAATGAAGTTCTTGCATTCGAATTGGAAGAAGAAGTGAGTTCAGCGACAAATTCATCACAAGAAAGAGGTAACACTGTTTAGCGCCATTGTCCTTGATCCTAGAAGACTGAATTGTTCTAAGGAAGATAATATGTCTGATCATGTGCATGGATTTGGAAATTTCGGGTTGTGTGTGAATTCTGAACAAGGCAGCTTCTTGTTTGAGAATGGTGTTCCCCAAATCTCGAAGTGGTTCTCAGTGTGGGAGGAGTCTGTTAGCAATTTTAAAGGGGGGACAGAAAGCTATATGGCTATAAGGGATAAGCGCAATTGCTCTTTGAATACGTGTGAAGTCTGGAATGAGATATTTACTTGTTTTAAGGGCGAAACTAAGATTTCAAGGATGAAACAAACGATAGTGGATGGCAGTGAGCAGTTTTTGATTTCACATGAGGGAAGAATAATTGGAAAAGAAGTGCTTGAGGTCTAGGATATTAATGTTGCAGCAATAGGAATTTTGCAGCTTCCCTTGCAAAATAAGCATTCGTGCTCATGTTAACTTTTGAGGAATGATGGAGCCACACCAGTGAATGGACTAACACATCATACAGCTAAGTACCGGCAGTCACAAATTTCTTGCATGTATTTCCTGGAGGGTGAACAAAATTATGTGGAGCTGGCCATGATGTTATACAATCATATTGCACTCTGGTCACTCAAGGGAGCAAATTAATGATCCATGTGGTAGGTAACTGTATGGTATCTCTTAGTGGGAAACCAATGATAACAATTTGTAGGGAAGAAACTCGGCTTAGAGCGGCAAAATAGGGGTTGTCAAGACATGTTGGAAAGTATTATCTGAAGCTTTCTACGATTCAAAGTTGCGCAGCTAGGTGGATGTCAACCGATGAAATGACGGCTTTATTTTGCTCGCATACAGCCTTTAGGTATTACTTCATTGATGATAGCAAAGAGAAAGTTTCTGCTTAGGTTGCTTGCACAACGGCCACTGGTGGGTTTTCATTCATTAATGGGAACAAAGGAGAAATATACCAGGAAGTCTTCACCATGTCGCCAAGGAGCATTCGAAGGGTTTGAACTACACTTAGGGATTTCCATTTGACATATTGGCCAGGGAGTTCCTTCTATAGCTGTGATACATTGGTGATAAATTTCAAAGGCGGAACAAGTTGGAGATATCAGCAAAACAAACAGTAGAAATGCTGGTTTGAAGAACCTGAATCAACAAACAGGTCTTGGGGTCAAGACTTAGTTTAACGGGGAGGGAATGTCAAGCCCTGGGGTCTTTGTAGCATTTTAGTAAACTATAGGACTGAATAGTTTATTTTACGATTGATGTTTGAGTTGGGATTATAAATAGAAGTTTAGGGGCTGAATTGTACTTATGAAAAATCAGATATTTGATAATAGAGACAATTGTTCTTTTTCTTCGCATTTCCGTTTATCAGATATGTTTGCCTCTTTTCTATTTTCCACCATTTCCGGTCAATCCGAAACTGCTTCGGCGACGGATTCCGGCCTTCCATTTCCACCATTAAGTCTCGGACCTAACACTCTCTCCCATTGGGAAGAGTTGATTAATTGTTCTCTGTGTTATTTCCTTTTACTTAAACAGCTCTTGCGGGCCAGTTTTGGACTCCTGCTGAGAAATTGCTGAGAAAAAAGGGGGACAAAGTGCTGAGAAATTAACCCACATCTTTTACTATATTTAGGTAAATTCATCGAAGGTGATGCAGAGTAAATAGACGTGGGCCAACCTATGCTGAGTTGGAGAAGTAAGCCCACAATTTACCCTCTTCCGTTGTACTTGCTCTAAAAAGAAAGAAAGATACGGATAATGATACACGATTCCTTTCATTGGTTGACTCAACATTAATAGAGTATTCACTATTTTTATTATTACTGGGGTCTTTTTTTCTAGATTACTTTTAGTCGTTATGTGTTTTAACACTTTTTTCTTTCTACAAATTTTGGCTCACACGGGCTTTAACAACAAAGGGGAGTTAAAATCTATAATAAAGTGATTTATGATCGCTTTCTGAATTGAAGATTAATCATTTGCGACACTGGAAATAAAAAGAAAAACAAAATGCGAATATTTAAAAATTAAATATTTTAAGTAAAAATGCAGTCCAAGCAACTAAATAGTTGTGATGGCTAATCTCATGGATCCATAAAAGAGAAGAGGAAAATAAATAAATCCAACAAAATGAGGCCCTTTTAGACGAAAGAAAGATCAAAACCCACCAAGCAAGAAGCAACCTGCCAAAATAAGCCCCAAGATTATTTATTTATATTTATCCTAATCTCTCTACCTAGTACTTACAATAAAATCTAGAGTTTAGAATATCAATTCTGATTGGTGAAGAGCTATTTCAATTTAAATTAACTGATTTGATTCGTCAATAGGCGTATGTGACATCGACTTTCTTCAATTGAGTAATTTGATTAGTCAATATATTAATCAACTATTTAAAACAGGGTTAGAAGCGTCAATTCAGAAATCAGTTTCCTAGTTTCTTTTTGCTCCAGCCAGGCAATCGAAATGACGCCGTTTTGTCAAGAGTTTTTTTTTTTTTTTTGAAATGGAATGTCAAGAGTAAATACTCTTCCAGTTTTATTCCTATTCCATTTTTTGTCCGATTAAATAGAACCCCAAATTCTATGCTCCCTGCTCTTTGGCTGTGTCTGTCAATGGTGCCGCATCAACCCTTGTCCTTGTTTCTATAAAAAGGACGGAAACCTCGTGCAACACCTGGAAGATTTGATATCATTTTATCAGTCTCTATCGGAGTGTGAGCTTGTAAATATACGGGATCTCTTGAAGTTCTATTTTTATTTTTATTTTTTTTGGTGCAAGAAGTTTTTGATTTCATTTGATTTCAGTAAACGAAAGAAGAAGAGCTTGCTTCCCGAATTGCAAAGTCGGCCATCGAATTTTCGGCTTGTGGATGAATTAAAGGGGGCGGAAAGCTCATCCGATGTGGCGGCGGCAGCGAGATGTTGTTGCTCACTGCTTCTATTGCTCTGTTGCTGCTAAATTTATGCTCTCTTTGAAGGTGCCTGTTTGCGCCTACATCTTTGCCTGAGCATTCTTACACTGTTAAGCCCCTTTAGGATGTTAATTCTCGAACACTACTAACACTCCGTTTAGGAGGATAATTATCATTACTAATGATTATTATTATTTAAAAGGGCTCGTCAACATTTGATTTTGTTGAATTTATCTCTGTTCCATTTGTATGTGGTTCGGTTTCAATGAATGCAGAGACGTAATTCTAGATATATTTTTCCGGCGAGTGATCAAAGATTGTACCATTTCTTTATGAATGCAGCAACATATATCTAGCTTTCTCCTCATCTGCGTATTTCGCCTTTCAAGCACACTGCCTTTGGCTTTTAATAATTTGTTTCCCTTTCTTTTCTTTTGTTGTATCATTGACAAAACAACAAAAAACAACAAATGTCCCATCAATCCACACTATTCATGTCGTATTGATTTGTTTTAGGAAGTTTGCAACTGTAAGTGGGGGATAGGGCATTGTGTTTGGCTCAGTTTTGCACTGTGGTAAGTGCGGCCAAAACTAATATTTTGCATAGTACCAATTCAATCTCATTGAGGACAATTGCAGAAAGAAATTGATAACCACCATTTTTACCACAAAGAACAAGATGGCAGACATAGTTTGACATCAGAAAATGTAGTCCATACTACTTTCGAGTTCAACAGGTTCACCAAATACCACAAACTGTTTTGGTTTTGAGAGCAAAGAAGCAAAAAACAGAGGCCTAAAGACCAGCTGTAGGTTTGAAATCAACTACAAGGACCTTCTCCAGCTTAGGAACTAACTGCTTAGCATATTCCACATGAGCTGGGTGAGCAATGAACTCCGCAACACCTTGGGTACTCTCAAAGGTGGACTCAAAGACGTGAGTGAATCCTTGGTTCAGATTCTCAGCGCTCACATCTTTGCCCCTGTCAGTCAGTCAAACAATTATGCAAATGCATCAATTTTACGAATGGTGAAACATCAGACATTAAACATGCAAAATTCGAGAACAGGACATAGCTGGAAGGTTTATAACCAGGGCTCAAATGCTCTATAAAAAGAACCACATAATAAAAGCAACAAAGTCCCAAAAAGGAAAAATTGTAAGCTATGAATTATATCAGTTGTTGTCGAACTGAACAAACTTGATAAAGCTCAGGCGTAATCACTGACAATCAATAAGAACGACTGGAAATTCATAATTCATCGGTAAAAAAATTCACATGACTGAAGCTGTTAATATTGTGTCTCACTCAATTGCACAACAAAAGAATAAGTAGTATGAAAGTTATGGAGTTCCTCTGCAAATAAATAGTCGTTAAGGATCACATGCTATATTTGCCTAATCCCATAACAGAGTTTTGACCTTCCAACCATTACAGCCATACACATTTTGCCTTCTGTACATTAAAATGCAAAATGAACGAAGAGCCTCTAACCCCGAAAGGCATAGACTACATTTTAAGTACCTTTACTATTCATTCACAAACTTTGGTTTGTTCTTCTTGGAGGAATAAATAGAGTGACTCGTGAATCATGATATTAAAAACCCCAAAAATAAAAGTGACGGATATCCTAATAAAGATTACTCCACATGCTAAATCAGCACAAGTCAAAACCACAATACAAGAACATAAAAAGGGGCGCGGGAACACAAAAGTTTGAATCTTTTATACGAGAAAGTACTGATTCATATGATCTACATTAATAAAGGGACCCAAAAAAAAAGAGATCAATAATGAGAGGAGATTTGACGGAGTACCATTTGAGGTCTTTCATGGGTTCAATGAGATCGACAAGCTTGAAATAGCCCTTGATGAGTTCCTCAATTTGTTGCTCGGAAACCCCATCTTTGAACTTAGCCAGCAGAATATGCTTCACTATTCCTCCTCCTCCTGAGTTTCCAGTAGCCCCCATCTCCGCCTAGCTTTCTGATTCTTTGGTTTGGAATATCCAAAGTCCAGAAGACCAGAACCGACGCTGCGAATGCGAGGCTTTGAATTTGAAGTCCACCTCTATTTATAAGTATCCAAACTACAGCGTGGCTAAGGGCCAGCAGCATCTGTAATTTTACTTTTACTTTTACTTTTATCATCAATATAGTCATTTTCTCAGAAATGAAAATTTGCAGAAAGAGGAAGGAAAGCAGAAGAAGACAAAGAGGGAGAAAAGGATAGGATTTCCTTCATCAGGACATGATCAGCCAAGGATTCCTACAGCAATATTTTATGCTAATTTCCCTACTTTTCTTAATCTAGATAAGTATAACAAAAGAGGAAATTCTAGCCCAGCACATGCTAAGATTCTTCCAGCTTAGCTCTTGAAGCTTCCAGGTTGCATGCATAATCATGTGCAGAGCGTCATTTGATTTAATTCCCAGAAGAGGTCGGAAAACGACGTAGTTCGCCCCCAAATTGCCAACCTGATTGAACCTGGACAATGTAACCTAACCCGAATAAATATGAACCAACCCGAATTGCATGACACTACGTGAGTAAGTGTTAGAAATCTTGAATGGTGCTGTCAAATTGTGACAATCTTTGTTTTTTTTCACGTCATAATATTAACGACTGAAAAAAATAAAATAAAAAATAAATGTACTATTCCATGGCTATTGCACCAAAGAAACAGAAAAAAAAAAAAAACCCAGAAGAAAAAATATGAAGATAATGATGCACGATTTTGTTCATTGGCTAACTCAACATTTTTAGAGTTTTCATATTATTATTAGAGGAGTCTTTTCTTGTTGAATGAATTAATAGAAAAATCTGTGATAAAATGATTTGTGATCGCTTTCTAAATTGAAATTCTCGATCATTTACGACACAGGAAACTAATAAGAAAAGAAAAATGCAAATATTTGATCATTCGAGTATTAAGAAATTTAATATTTTAAATAAAAATACAGTCCAAACGACTAAATAATTCGGTATATCAATTGCTAATCTCATGGATCCATAGAGAGGAAATAAACTTATAAACCCAACAAAATGAAGCCCTTTTAGACGAAAAGAAAGATGAAACCCCAACAAAGCAACCTGCCAAAATAAGACCCAAAATTATTTATTCATATTTATTAAGAAAAAGAAATTTCAAATGCCAGTTGAAAAAAACCATTCCTTTCTCTTTTTTCTCCTGTATAAATCCTCCATGGAGAATAGCGGGACTGGAATTCAACTCAACCCGCCATTGCAGCCAGCGGCGACCACTGCCAGTAGTGTTGCCCATCAAACTGATTCGTATTCTGCTGCTAATCATCATCATCTTTATAGCTATGGCGATCCCAATTATCAATTCTATTACTCCCAATCCCAAAACCCTAACCCTTTCTCTGATCCTCATTACTATGCGAATTCTGCACAGATTCAGCCACCGCCGCCTGGGATTGATGTTCGACCTCTGGCAATGATCCCACCTCCCAATTATTATGTTTCGTCTTCTGGGTATGAAGCAGCTACCCAGTTGGGCACGGATTATTCTTCTGCCCAGACGACTGCCGGCGTGCATCCTGCTGTTGATCCCACCTTTTATCAGGACGCTAATCAAACTGTTTCGGCGTCCTCCGGGGTTAATCTTCCTGCATTTGTAAGTTTTTTCAAGGATTCTGCTGTTTCAATTGGACAACGGCTGTTGCTTTCTTATGATTAGTATGGGGCCTTGCTTTCTTGATTATTTTATGAAGCATATGTCGAACTTGTTTTGGTGGCTGCTGAATGGAATGATCTTGAATTATTATGATAATGTAGCATCTGAAGTTGTTGTGGTATAATTAGCTGTTTCGGTGGCTGTTTTTTTTTTAATATCTATAGGGTCCACTTCTTGTGTTTCTTGTGTGTGTGGAGTAGTGGTTATGCATGAAATTTTGAAGTTCATTAGGTGGTTTCTGGAAGGAATGATCTCGAATCCATATGATAATATAGTTCATATGGTTTAATTAGCTGCCTTCAATTCAAATAGACAAGCTAGTGGTGAAGGAAGAGTCTATCAGTTTGTTGTTCTCTTTTCTGAACCTAGGTAACTTTTTTGATGTTAGCGACGTGAAAAATGCGATCTGGGCAGTGTGTGTGGAAGACAATTGAGAAATGTTCTGTGCTTTTTCAAACAAACAGCATATTGCATTGGTTGTCCTGCAGTCTCCAGTTTTTATAGCTTGCTTTGATTTATTAAGTTTTTCGGGGATGGGAGTATTTGAGCTCTTGGAGTGTACCTCAGCTCTTTGCGCATGCTATTTGTGTCTAAATACTTTCCCACCGTTTCAGGGTGTTATGGGACTACAGAACGCAACTATTAGTAAAAGGACCAAAACTTTGAAAAAGCCCCCCAAGAAAATTAAGATAGTGCAATCTGTTTGGTGTGAAGTTTGTAAGGTGGACTGTAATACCAAAAATGTTCTTGACCAACATAAGCTTGGAAAGAAACACAAGAAGAACCTGCAGAAATTAATCCAACTTGCAAACCCACAAGTGGTGTCTCCCTCTCCTGTGTCCGGTCCTTTACATCCTCCTGCTTCAACAGTTGCCGATAAACCAGTGATTGGACCTGCAGAAAACCCTCTGAAGGGTAATTCTTCAAGCAGCCAAACAGCAACAAATGAAGCAGCTGCTGCGGGTGATCTCGAGATTAAGAGGAAGAAAATGTTGGAAGGAGGGGCGGCTGCCGATTCTGTCCGAATGTGTGCCATATGCAATGTGGTTTGCAATAGTGAAACAGTTTTTGCAACTCATCTTGCTGGTCAAAAGCATGCTGCCAAGTTAAAGAAGCACGCAAATGCAACAAAAGCGGCTGTTCATACATAATTAGAAGTGAAACTGATTGATTAGATTCTGTAGCAGACTTGTAAATCCATTCATATCTTTGGGGGATTAGTAGTCTGGAGTTACCTTTCTGACATAACTCTTCAAATATGAGAGTTTGTCAAGTCTTCATTTAGAGTTCACAAAGGACAGTTAAAACAATAGGTTTTTAAAATATAACATTACCACACTGTTGAAAAACTTGGCCCCGTTTTGGTTAATAACATTTGGCGATCCAGATAAGCTCGACTAAAATTCATGAATTTATACCAATTCCTGACCAGATTACATAAGTTCACGATGCTGAATTTCACAAATCAAAACGTAAAAATCACTAGAATATGGTTTTTGTGTAGGGCGTTCTTTGATAACCAAGAGTCCAAGACGGAATTTCCACGAACTAAGTATCAATAATTGATTATTCTGCTCGTCAACCTGATCAGGAATTCGTTTTATCTAGTGCTTGAAAAATCTCATCCCATTGTGATTTTGTGAACGTGTGAACTGCGTAGTTAAAGATTCCATTCAGCATACTTTCTTAAAGAGTACTTTTCGTCATTTCAAGAAGGCTAAAGAGAACTGAGTAGGCAGCAATAGCATAATATTTGTTACACTGAGGCAGCTCTATACATGAGGTCAATTAGTCATGACAATCTTCCAGAACCTGCTCCTCGGCTTCAGTATTGAAGTCCAGGTCAACAATTTTCATCCGGCCGATGTTAACTGCAGAATCAAACAACTTATCAGGATTTCAAAGCTACTGCAAGAAATTATGAGACTGCTACCACAACATCATCCTCTTAGATACAAGACTAACATGAAACATTCACAGGTCAAACACAAACATGTTCTTCCAAACATCAAGCATGAATAGGAAGTCATACTACATAGTTCAATCAAAATTCAGACCAAAGTAAAGCGACATTAACAAACTAACATCCACTGTCTTTTTATTTGAACAATTTGGCAGTCACGTTCTACGTCGACTTATTCAAATAAAGAGAGATATTACGGGGTTCCCGTGTTTCGCTTCAGGGTCACACTTAGTCATTTTGTCAATACAACCTCTGTTCCATTCGTTTATATTGATAGCATAGGATGTCATTGAAGTAATACAATCAAAGAACAACGCAAAAGGACAGTGAATAGCTTTCTAATTGCTCACCGATGGCATCCATCCCAACTAATTTGGGCATGAACTTCTTAATGTGGTCCTCAGCTGCTTCGTCAGCTTTCAGCGTCTCACACTCGAAAGAAACTGAAGTTTTGTTTTTCCCATCCCTTGGTTCAACCATGTCAACGACATCCTTTTCCCATCTGTTGACACATGAATGCACTAATCAAAGAACAATCATATGTGGAGGCAAACTCCAGTAATCCAGTTTAAGTATGAGATAAAGACAGAAGATTAAGACAAGAAAACAGACAAATTATCAACATTATACTAGGACATCGTAAAATGCTTGGTGGTTGAAAGAAGATGAATTGGGAGCTGAGAGATACATGAGAAGAAATAATTTGACAGCTAATGCTTTTAGTGCTACAAAGAACCGTGTATGAGTTGATCAAAGTTTCAGCAAGAGGTACAGAATCACAACCTATAATTGCCATAATCCAAATCCGACGGGAAAAAGAAATTGACATGATATAACTTACCCATGAACATGATCTACGTTGCAGATTCTAGCAGCATCATGCCCTCTGCATTCCACAATCACATCCTTCTCCTTTGTGCTCTGCCAAATTATGTTATACAAAGAAGACATAACTACAAAGGTTCACATTTCATTTTACATGTTGCAAAATTGCAGCTGCAGCTGAAAATACTCGTAAAGGTTGGCACATCAAACACCAACTGCAGTGTTATATAGGTTTCTTAGTGTTTCTTACTGTGTAGTCTGTAATAGTGAGCTTGATCAAACGGTAGTCTTCCCCCCTGCTGCACTCTCTTTCACATGCTATTTCTGTTTACCAGAGAATAAAGGGATTTAAATTTTTTTCCAGTATCACAGTGATTACCAACAACTGGACACCCTTTTTACAATCTTCAGCTAGAACTGAAACTTTGTTGGCATTGAATACAAAACCAATCTCATTGTACACTTTTTTCTTTGTATAATAACCAATTCAATGAACAAAAAAACCCAGTGCAACTGAAGATACCTGTGCCATAAAGGCCATAGCAGACAGAATCGGGAAGCTGAATGAAGTGGCCAGAGATGGACCCACTTGGCAACAATGCAATAGATGCCACCCCTTCCTTCACTGTCCCTCTATTTGCTTCCATTTCTCCTCCATTTTCTGTTCCACTCAAATCAAGAGAATGGTAGTGTCATATACTCATTCGACTGAATTGTGTTAGAGCGAAACCTTACAAGATATTACAAAAGAACAAAGAAAACTGTAAATTTTCAAAGCACAACATACCCATTTAGCAGAGCACAAATTGTGAGATTCTGGCCCTCAGCCCTTCTGAATTTGTAGGGTTTTTAGACTCCAACCTCCAAAGCGAAACTTTAAAGGGGCACTCTTCGGTACTATTACTTCGAAAAAATTTAGGGAAATCAACAAAGACTGGAGCTTTCAGATTTCTGTTGTACTCACAAAGACACAGTAAAGGCGGTAAAGTTCGAGCTTTCCCTATTCTTATTTTAGTTATTTCTGAGATAAATGTTACTTTCTGCGCCTTATAAACGACAACGTATTGGGGCAGATAACACCAATATTTGTCTGCCTCTGTCACAGTCCTATCCAGTATACACCAAGGGGGAATGGCATATATCATACTAATATTTAGCCTCTCAGTGATTGTTTTGAGCTTTTGGGTTTGAAAATATCTTGGTTGGGACTTCTTAATCTGTGTTTTTAACTTCTTATAAAGTTTATGATTCTTCTGTAGCTCGTGTACCTTTTATTAGCTCATTGAGTTGATTCTTGCTGATATTTGCTAGAACTGTTTGAAGAATCTCCTCAGTGAAGCACTTTTTGTTTTTGGTTTGATGGATTCATAGTTCGACTGTTGAAAGTATGGATTTTGAGTCCTTCATGTGTTTTTGTCCCTTTAGTTTTGACTTTTGAGTGAGATTGAAGAAAAGAACTGTCTTCCTTGTCCCATATAATGCTTTCTGGGCGCAATATGATTGAGCTGCGGATGCATCCACTTCCTAGTGGAATTTCTTGTACTGGGTTCACTCAACGGCGATATATGTGTTGTTCAAAGAAAGCAGTGGACTTGAGGTACCGCGTTCAATATCTCGCTACCCGTACACATGTGGTCTTTTTGTCTTGTGGATGCTTCTCTTGCTCTAGTGTTGATCAACCGAGTCAGCGGAAAATTTATCCGATTCCACACAATTTAACTTGCAAGATTGCTGGTGTTGATTATGAGTTGCCAAATGAAGGACAGGGCGTTTCAACTCCTGAAGAAAGGGATGGATTTGATGAATCATGTTCGGAACAGAATGTTAATTGGGTCCAGCAGGATGTTGCTGGCAATGCTTCTTCAAGAGTTCCCATGGAACATGAGAAGAGGGTTGAGAACAGATTAGTTTACTTGGAGGAAAGGAATGAAGAGACGCTTTCAGTAAGGATGTTGAATCTTAGTAGATCAAATAAAGCTAGAAGCGCTTTGGAATTGTACAAGTCCATGGAAATTTTGGGTCTTCGTCCTGATTCTCATGCATGTAATTCTTTTATCTCGTGCCTGTTGAGAAATAAAATGCTCGATGATGCCTTGAGAACTTTCGACTCCATGAAGGCAAGGGGAATGGCTACTGGACACACTTGTAGCTTAATTCTGAAAGCTGTTGCTGATGCACGAGGATGTGATGCAGCGCTTGGCATGTTTGAGGAAATTGACTGCAAATGTTTTGATGCTGTTGTTTACAACACCATGATAGCAGTGTTTAGCAAAGTTAACAACTGGGTTCAGACTGAGAACCTCTGGAGAAAATTAAGGGAAAGTAGCCATTTGGGAACTGTGGTCACCTATCGCCTTTTAGTTTGCACATTTGTGCGCTGTGGACAGAGTGAACTAGCTTTAGATGCATATCATGAGATGATTCAAAATGGATTCACCCCAGGAAAGGATGAAATGCAAGCTATCATTGGAGCATGTATGAAAGAGGGAAAGTGGGACTTGGCTATCACTGTCTTCCAGAATATGTTGAATGATGGATTGAAGCCAAATGCAATTGCCTGTAATGCATTAATCAATTCCCTTGGTAAAGCTGGCAAAGTGAAACTTGCTTTCAGGGTATATGAGATGATGAAATCTTTGGGTCATGCTCCGGATGCATACACATGGAATGCTCTGCTTGGTGCATTAAACAAAGTAAATAGACATGCCGATGCTGTTCAGCTCTTTGAAAGCATTCGCAGGGGGCGGAAGTCTGATTTGAGTATAAAAGTATACCTCTCTGTTCTGACATCTTACCAGAAGCTGGGATTGTGGGAGACAGCTTTACAGCTGCTTTGGGAGATGGAAGCTTCAGGGATGCCGCTTACTAGTGCACCATATAATCTTGCCATTGGAGCTTGCGAGGCTGCAAGGCAGCCAAAGGTAGCACTGCAAATATATGATCACATGATTCATCAGAATTGCCTTCCCGATATATTCACTTTACAATCCCTCATCAGAAGTTGCATTTGGGGTTCTCTTTGGGATGAAGTAGAGGACATACTAAATGTAAGTTTCAACATAATTCCAACTTTATATTCTTGTTCTATTCCTGCTGTTCTTTGCTATCGTTTACAAGCAAGACACTCAACAGGTTGCTTGCGAAATCTTGATTGTGTACTTGATATGATTATAATGTAGTAAACAAATCATTCTTACAAATATGATTATTTACAACTTGAGGGCCCCAGCAGCAGTCAGACCCAATTGAGCAAAAATGTGCAGTTGGAACTTAACATCAGCCGCTCTCTATTGAGATTTTACCCTCAAGTTTCCTTGTTGCACTTCCGAATGAATTCCTAATTTTTTCTCCTTTTAACCTTTGCTCTTTTTCTCGTTAATGTTGAGCTGTGTAGCATTAAATTTACACTTTCCCTTCATCTGATCTATATTGTGAAGACTAATCCCTTGCTATGTTATACTTTTTGTGCAGCGGAATCTGACAAATGCGCCGTTATTCAATGCTGCTGTTCAAGGATTATTTTTAAGTGGAAATAATTATTTGGCCTTCAAAATGTATGAGAAAATGAAAGAGTTGGATCACAATGCTGATAACAAAACAAGAGCATTGGTGCTGCAAAACCTTTCGAAAAATTCTAGAAGGAGATAGGTGGTGTTCATCTACTGAGAAAAATCACAAGGCGATCTTCCTTGTTTTACCTACAGATAATGTTGAAGTTCAAAAACTTGTAATGACATTTTGCTGACATGCAGGTCTTGAAGAATACTCTTGTATATCCAAGTCACCCTTAAATCTGGGCTTGCCAGTAAGTAGCTTATCTTCATTGTAAGTTACTTCCTCTCGAAATCCTTGTTACTGTTATCATTCTAGTTTTTGGATATGCAGGTTTGTCAGCACTCAGCATCATTGAACGGGTACGTTACAGAATTGGTCATCTTCAAGTTCTTCATCCAAAACTTTTCAGAGAAGAAATTTACTTAAGAGAGGACAGGAGCCACGAAGTGCACTAGATCAAACTATACTCACACGTTTCAAAATAAAACTTCATAGAGGGTAGAAACCACACTAATTTGACCAAATCCGTTATTGAATTTATTTGCTCTCTCTGTAGTTTCTTTGTGAAGGGAGCATTCTTGTCAGTGACTTAAAGCTATGCGTGAGAATGTATTTATAGAGCATTAGATATAATAGCCGCAGTTGTACATACCACCTTTATCAAGTTCCACACTGATAAAATGGGCACTTAATGTGGGCGTAATGTAAAGTTTATTTCTTTCCCCAAGTAATATCGTACTATCATGTTTATTGAACTCTTTATAAATCTTTACACCGATGACTTTTAAATGGAATGACTACAAATGCACTTGCATGTGCACAGGGGATTTGCATTTATCAAACAAACTATACTAAAGTTGCCCTCAAGGAAGCTCTAGAGGTTTGATATCCCATATCTCCTTGGCATATTGATGTATCGTTCTGTCGCTGCTGAACTTGGCAGAACCGGCAGTATTCAAGATTGACATTCTTGTCCATTTCTGCAGACACCCAATACATACATTAGCAAAACTATTTTAATTAAAACCACATAACTGGTACGTTGCAACTGAGTCGAGAGACAGCACAAACATAATGTTTTCTTTCCCTTGTTTCCAGAACTTGCGGAAACAAAAGTACATGAAGATAGCAATGCTCAATAACAAAAGACACACACGAGGATTGAAAGCAGGCAAAAGTTTATGCAAATAAGTCTATCTGGGGCTAAGTAGAACAAGCAAATCAAATGGCGGAGTAAAAAGAAGCCAAAGTTCCCATGATTCTGCATCTTATGTGAAGTGGCCATGTTTGAAACTCGAAACCAAAGGAAGAAGAACCAATAAAGAACAGGTAAACGATCAAAGCCAATTAATGTGACTATATGCTTAACTAGACTTAAATTGGATCACTAGAAATTGGAGATTCATCAAAAGTAAAGTAAGCAAAGTTGAATAGTAGAAGAGGTCACAAGTCAATCACCTTTTGATCTCGATAAGCTTCATCAACCTTCTCTTGACATTCAATGTAACTTGGAAAATCTTTACCCACAAGGAAATAGTCTGCCCGGCCAAAACCTTCATTTCCTTCCAAAGATCCTATTAGCTCATCATAGTTGTACGAACCAAAAGCACCACTTCTAACAAAATTCTTGACTTCTACAAAACGTTCATCTGGTACAAACTGCAATAGGAGAGGAAACGGGATCAACTCTACAGTGCTGTTTGCAGACTATCAACTACTAATGTGCTACTAGTGCCAGTAATCTTCAATAAATTCATGTATATTCATAAAACAAAGAGAGCCTGAGAGAGAGGGAGCAGAGGATACCTTTCCCTCAGCTCTTTCCTTCCTCAGTCCAGCGATTTCATGAGCTTTAGCACCAAAGAGAAAGAAGTTTTCCTCTCCAACCTCCTCCCTTATCTCAACATTAGCTCCATCCAGCGTCCCAATCAAGATACAGCCATTCATTGCAAATTTCATGTTGCTGGTTCCACTGGCTTCCATCCCAGCAGTACTACATAGAGAGGAGAGGAAGTGTTAGTAGGATAACTTTGACCAGAACTACGACTTATTACTAATCAGTCCATATTTTATCTTAGATTCATTATAGGCCAGTTAAGTTTGAGGCATATATAGAAAGCCTAATCTGATCTCAGTAAATCAATCTTAGTTCTTCATCTTTGTCTTGATACCAGCTTATATCATGAATTTATGAGCATTTCAAGGTGAAATCAAACCCGTCCAGAGAAGAGTTAAACTTGTACCATCATATAAATTAGATTTAGTAGAGCATGTCATTTTCTAAGGCGCGGTAAAGTATAATTACATATTTGATGCATCCAATATGGTGCCGACATCTGTGCATATATTGAGGAACCTCATGCAAGGAAAGACTTAACAATGTTCCACAACCCAGACTGTAACCTCCATTGACAACATCATTGTTATTGCGGAGTGCTCACACCACAACTTACTCGCAAAACATTAGCATTTCATTGTTCTTATTACTAGAAAATAACAAAAGATCTGGAGATGAAGAACTTAGCACTTTGTTAACCCAAAAGTACACACACACACACAAGAAGAGAGAGAGAGAGAGAGAGAGAGAGAGAGAGAGAGAGAGAGAGAGAGAGAGAGAGAGAGAGAGAGAGAGAGAGGTACTTCCATATACCTGATATGCTGAGAGAGTTCACTAGCAGGGATCAGCAGTTCAGCAACACTGACATTGTAATCTGGGACAAACACAACCTAAAGCAAATATCAAAAAATGTGAAGCTTAACATTAGAGGCATGGTAGAGCTTGTCAAATTTAGGAATGAAATCAACAAATTCAACAGCTGCAAAACAATGAACTATTAGTTCTGAACTCTAGTAGTATCAATCAAAGTAAATATTAACCTTCAATAGATCACCAATTTCTGGGTCATGATTTATCGTCGCCCCAACATCCGTGATAAATTTGACGATTCTCTTGGCTTGCACATATGTTGCAAATGCTTTGCCTCCAAAGATGCATACTCGAGGAACATACTTCGCTTTTCTTTCCTCAGCACTCATTTCCTTCATCTTCTTGTAACGATAAACAATTCCCAGTATGTTCAACAGCTGTCGCTTGTACTCGTGGATACGCTTTATCTGAAATTCATCAAATAACATAGTAGTGCATCAGAGGGAAAACCAAAACTAATTAAATGAAGAGCAACTTGATAATAAAGGGGGAATGAGTAAAGTAATTGGAAAGCCAGAGAGTGACAACAGTGTAATTTTGATAGCAAATGTGCCAAGCTCCAGGCTCGGGTTCTTAGAGATGATCTCTCACCTGAATGACAAATCAAGTTCTGATTTTTTAAATCATCAATTGAGATTGAAAATGAATACTTATTAAAATGTCCAAAGTGATTACTCCAAAACTACATTGAACAGAAGTACCCTAGGAACCAAAATGAAAACAAGGAAATCACCTGGACATCAAACATTGCATCAGCATTAACAGAATATCCAGTTTTCTGTTTGATGAGTGAAGCAACCTTCTCCTTGTTGCTTCGTTTGGCTCTTCTCCATTCAATTTGAAGGTCTTCATTGTCAGCAAACTGCAAAAAATTCCAGCTCAAGTTAAAGAACATGCATCATGTCAGAAAAAAAGGGGGAAGATTCTGCATGTAAAAGAAGATAGAGAACAAAGTCATCCATGACAAGGAATTCTAGCAATGCTATACAGTATACAGTATTCATGACAAACAAAATGGCTAAATGCAAGTAAAGAATGAGTAAGGCTCATTGTTTAAATTTTCCAATCAGCACAAACAATCATTCAGTTACTGAATAATCTGTCAACACCAGAAATCAATTCTCTATATCATCACGAATAAGATTTCTTTATTTAAGATCCAAATCCCTCTTCCATCCATAAAATGGCACCAGTTACTATTGAATTTGAGAACCCCTAATTAGTTCAATATTTTTAAGGATTTTTATCCAGGTAAACTAAACAAAATCTCTCTTTTTCTTCAAATCCTTTCTCTTTGTCCTGAACATTCGCCTATTCTTCATTTAGTCTTACAATCAAGTGGCTCATATCTTTGGGGAAAAGTTGCAAATGCTATTTAAGTCACAACAGAGAGGATTCTAAATGCACCTTGAATAACATTTCCTAGATGAATCAAGGTTGAATTTGTGGCTGTGGTTCCAATTCACATGATGAAAAGCCAGGGATCATCATATCATGTGTGATCCTAAAAACATATTTGGGATTAACAAGCTGATTTTAAAAGTTAGATCAACTCAACCTTTTCAGATTAAATGATTCGCCTTTGATGATAGTAAAAGCAGGAAAATGACACTTGGTCAAAATATAACAAACCTTCCGCAATTCTGCTAATTTCTCGGTTTTTAGGACCCAGTCTTCCGCGCCAATCCACTTGGTCAAAATATCACTTAAATTTGGGTTGCAGAAGCGGATCCATCTTCTAGGTGTCACCCCATTTGTTTTGTTTTGAAACTTCTCAGGCCAGAGCTGAAAATTTTCACCACAAGATATAAGCAAATTTAAATCCTCCTTCATTTAGAGGAGTTAGAGGAACAAGAACACAAGAGATCAAATGAATCCATCATGATAATATCCTTCATGCAACACAAAATGGGACAAGAATAAGTGAAATCTAACAAATTTACCTCATAGAAGTCATTGAAGACCTCGTTCTTCACTATTTCGCTATGAATCTCAGCAACTCCATTGACAGCGTGACCACCAACCACGCAAAGGTTAGCCATCCGGACTAACTTTGGAAGTACAGGAGCTGGTTCAGGACTCACAGTTTTCTTCTTCTGAGGCTTTTCTTCTTCTTCATGCTTAATTTTGTCGTCACTCTCTGATGTTTCATCGACAATTTCAAGTGTCTCAGGTGGTTCATTCGCCTTGCTCTCGTTTAGTTCTACTAATAAATCTGCCACAGAAGCTGGCAAATCAAAGTTTTCGAGAATTCTTAATGCATTCAGTTTCTTCACCAAGAGCTCAGGATCTGATGTGCCATACTTTGATACAATTTCATCAACCAGCTGCAGTAGTTCAAATTGAAGTTTTAGGGAAAGAAAACAAAGACATTCAAGGAAATGCAAATGCGGTTTACAAATATTTCTCTGTTACCTGCTTATCAATCATCTCTATAATCTCAACATGTCGAGGAAGCAGTTTCTGCATTAGTTCAAAGCTCCATTTCTCTAAAGCTTCAGGCAAAACAGTGTGGTTTGTGTACGCCACAGTTCTGTAACGTATCGCAGCAATGAGTCAGTTAAGTTTACTAAAACAAGTCATTGAAATTAGTAATGAAAGTCAACCTCTAACAAAAGTCCAATCTTTCCACACTTTTATGTTAATCAATTAACAAAAGTCCAATCTTTCCACACTTCTATGTTAATCAAAGTGAAAAAAAGAAATATCAAGCAGGCAAATCATAGCAATATCTACTGCAAATTTATAAATTGTTAATCATTGGTATACAGTTCAGAATGGTTAACATGTATGCCTTGGAGAAGAAAATTTGGCAAGATAGACTTAAAAGAGCTGGTAATTGAACAACAAGTTAGCAGTGGGAAGTGACATTAAATTTTGCATTAAAAAAAAATTAAAATAGAAGCACAGTTCTCAGTAACATACTAAATCTTACAAAAAGACAAAATGATAAAAGAGATGTTCAATAGATAATAAGACACCATAATTGTATAAATTAAAAAAGCGAGAGAGAGAGAGAGAGAGAGAGAGAGAGAGAGAGAGAGAGACACCGGTATTGTATTCATACCTACTTTTGGTTAAATCCCATCAATTCATCGAAGATGAGCAAAGAAGACATTTCCCATACAAATAGACCAATGACAGATACTACCCGGTGGAACAGAGTTCATTCAACCCAAATCATTGCACTAAAAATCATTTTAGAAAATAAAATTAGAGTTGTAAGTGCAATGTACGTCACCTCTGGGTAATGTTCCAGGCTTCTTCCCAGCTCAGGCCCTTTAAGTCTATTAATATCCTCATCAACTCTGGGATACAAAGTGTTGGGTGGGTATCATTCATCTGCACTGCAACTTTTCAGGAAACTCATCCCATTTCACATGCTCTCCGGATCTCCTCTCGAATCTTGCTACTATATCTTGAAGAGAAGCTGAGCATAAGGTATATTGTTGCTTTAATCGAAGGATCTTTCCTTCGGTTGATTCATCCCCGGGGTAGAGAATATAGCAAATCTGATGCCGGCAGAAGCAGCAAATAAGTATAAGATGGCTTTACAAAGTTACACATAAAAGAAAAAAGGTAAAAAAAAAAAAAAGTTCCACATAAAATATTTGTTTGAAAAATAAAAGTGCACCTTTTCAGCATTTGCTTGGGCTAAACAAGCTTTGGCATGATCTCCAGAATTAAAAGCAAGTAAATCTAGATCTTCCGACGGAACCTTTGTAGACCATAATCGTAGATTAATTGTAGTTTTGGTCTTGTATCCAGGTATTGGTACATCATAGGCAACAGCTTTTATATCTTCTCCGCCAATCCAGTGCTGCTTTCCATCTGAACCGGTAACAACTTTACCATAAAATTTCACTGGGTATGTGACATCATTTCTCACAATTTCCCATGGATTGCCCATCTACAATAAGAAAAACAAAAATAACGTATTGCCTAACTGAAGAACTAAGAAATAACTGCAATGGTGAATGATATACACAGAAGTAATGGACACACAAGAGGTAATGGCAGTAAAGATAATGGTCCGATGCCTGCATCTACTCCAGTCTATTGATGTCCTTTTTGCTAATAATAAACCACACATAGAAAAGGCACACAGCCATCAACAATATGCATGCAAAAGAGAAGGAAAATAACAATGATAAGAAAACATACTTCAAGCCAATTCTCAGCAACCTCCTCCTGACCATCTTTGGTTATGAGTTGTTTAAACAAGCCATACTTGTATCTAAGTCCATAGCCCCACGCTGGATAATCTAGTGTTGCCAGGGAATCTAAAAAGCAGGAAGCAAGGCGACCCAAGCCTCCATTTCCAAGAGCTGCATCAGGTTCCTGACATCAACCCGAAGAGTAGGTAAATCTCTTTTGGGGCATAAATGCCAAAAAATTACCAAAAAGAAGTTTCACAATCTACTACCAAAAACCATTGACTCAAACTTCAACTTGAGACTGTTAGGCATTCATCAAAACATAAAAAATTCCACAGCATTTTTGATATACTAAATATCAACAGCAGATTATTGGTTTAGCAAATGTGTTTTTGAAAAAATTAACATCGTAATTCAGAAAAGGATCATTCATTTGCTTGATTAATGCAGAAAATACACCTCAAATTTAAAGACACGAGCACTCTCCATAGCAGAGGAATTTCTACAAGATTCCTATATATGGCATTTTGCCAACTAATAGACATCCTCACTCAGTAAATCACTGTGAGCAAAATTATACACATTATATTGGAGTGACAAAGGAAATCATATGAAACCAACAGTAAGCACTCGTTGAACGAAAACAACCAGACAAATAATTACAAGGTAAATCGAACCTGTGAAGCCACAGTTTCTAGAGAGTGACCAAGCTTATTCAAGGCTTCTGCATATGCACCAGTGAGCTCCAAATTTCCAACTGCATTGAGCAGGGCTCTACCCTTCAAAGGATAAAATTAAAAGTATGAATTATTGTGCATGCATCAGCAAAGATACACTTAGTAGCTTGACGCAGAGTTTGCTACATAAGACAATATTGAAGAATACAACATGTGATGCATTATACATTTATAAGGTTATCCCATCAGAGTAACAACAAGAGTTGAGATCGTGGGAAATTTAAGTGTGTACATATAAAAGTAATAACAATCAGCAAGATGAAGAACATGCCTGTAGAAATTCCATTGACAGGTAGTAAGCCTGCTTTGAATTCATTTTCTCATGGAATTCATAAGTTGCATTCCAATTGATAATTAGTGCATCACGAACACTTTGTGCTGTTGCAAAAAATGCCTTGGGGAGCTCAAATTTCTCCGGAGAGAACAATGGTGTAAACTCAGCATGATATTTGATGCTTGAGGCAATAGAATCAGCATCAGGAGTGAAACTCAAATCACTTGGAATGCCTATCAGTCAACAGAAAATGCAAACATTCAGAACATCATGACCGAGTGAAACACTTTTGGAACTAACAAAACATAGCCAGAACTAGAATCTCACGTGAATCGTATCATAAATAATCATCCAATTTTCATGGTGTAACTATTTGTGCTATCCTAGCTCAGAGGAAAACGATGATAACTAACAACTGTATAAATTCTAAACTACCTCTCACTTTTGTTTGTCAACAAAAACCTGTAATAAACATAACTATATGCCCAAGACTCATCACTAATTACCTCTCAATTTTAATAAAGCAAAATAATATAAATCTTTCATAACTGTATTAGAGTCACCACACGATCTACATTAGCCTTTGATTTATTTCATTTTCCACTCACATATACGTATACGTGTGTCACGTGAATCATGCAATGTGGTGCCTTTTTGAAGCGGTGATCGACATTAATAATTATGAAAAACGGTAAACACTAGCATAAATAGGGTAATACTTTTTTGCAGAAGCAAAATGTAAAGCGCAGAGTATCAAAAACCAAAAAAAATAATAATAAAATAAAAATAATTCACTGGCAGTATTAGGAAATGCGAGCTTTGATAACTGAAATGTAAACTCAAATTCTAAGACCTTCGTCAACGTCAGTGGTGGAATCCTGCTGAACTTTCTGCTCAGGCACGCTGAAAACGTTCCGGACGCAGAAACACCGTTTGGCTCGCCGGAAATCCGAACTCCTGGCGAAGAACAGTTTGTTAATCCCGTTCCTGGAACTGAAATCGACGAATGCCGGGGGAGTCAATCTTGTTGAACTCGAACGACAATGCGCGACATGCGAAGGAGCCGCCATTGTTTCTTTCTTTCTCCGATTACTTCCACGGCAGAGTTTCCAGAAAGTGATCAGAAGGAAATTGTGTGATTCAGAAACCAAAATAATTTTAAAAAATGGAAAAAGGTATGTTTGGTTTTAGGAGAATCAGAGAGTCAGAATTGAGGAGTGAGAGGAGAGGAGCAGACAAAGGGAGTGAGGTTTGAGATCATTTTTAATTGATTTCGTTTGTCTGGTTTTGATCGGTGAATCTGTCACGTTGCATTTTCAACAAATCCCCATAATAATTTGTATCACATGTGGGCCAGGGGCCTAAGCCATATGGACGGATATGACTTTATACATCTGGGATTTTTTTGTGAAAACTATAGCGCCTGTCAATTCGGCCCAAAGATATTTTCTTGCCTTTCCAATATAGCCATGGAAACTTATTGCCCTTTTTGTGTATTCTTTTTTGGTCAGATACTCTGGCTAGTTGTAGCTGACAAGACACAAATTGCAATTAAGGCTATGTTTGTTTCGTATGTTTAGTGTGTGTTTTTAGATGTTTTTTGTATTGAGAATGTAAAAAATATATTGAAAATATAAAAAAGTATGTTGGGAGAGGACAATTATTATTTTATTAATCTTAAAAAACTATCAAAAAAACTAAACAAAGCCAGCCTAAATTTTGTTCAGAACTTGAGTGTATATTTATAGTAAAATGTTCTTCCTTCGTCTCAAAAAAAATAAATAAATAAAACAAAAAACTCATATTATGATTTGAGATTTGTGAATATGAGTAATTTATTCGAACAGACTGAATAATACATCTGGTGTTTTTTGAATGGAATATAAGAAGAATTGAGAGGAATAAATGTATTTGTCTATGTTGTCTACATAGATTGGTTTAGTTACACTTTCTTTTGATTTGCGCAAAGAAAACATGAAGAGTAAAATAGATAATTTACTATTTTTTGGTTGGTGAATGGTAAAACTTTCACCTGGATAATGTAGATATACAACTTATGCATATTTACTAGCTAGTTCTACATTTCAATTCCTGATATCATTGGAAAGTTGGATTTGTATATTTCGATTTTTTAATGTGTATTTTTAGATGTTTTTTCTATCTCTTTGGTCCAGCTGAATAAACTGTTGCACACGTTGGTTTTTTCTTGACTTTTTCCTTCGAATAGTATCCTAATGATCTTCTTTCCATTCAAATGTGGCACGCACAAAAAGAGAAGTTCATTAATACTATGGCTTTTCTTCACTAGCTTCAACATCCGGATCCGAAGCATTTATCAACAAGAACCACAGAGAACTAAAAAGGAAAGAAAGAAAAACGCATTGTGTTAATTTCTTTACATTTATATGAAAATGCGACATGTTATATTTTTAATTTACACTTAATCTCGTCATTTTTTCATCCGTCAACAATCCCTCTGGTCCTTAATAAGTTATTTTGATTTTGTATTAGGTTTAACTTAGGATGTCCTTTTAATTGAAAAAAAAATTTAAAAATATATGTTCACATTCGTTGTGTTATCCTAATTATTATGAAATGTTTTTAAAGTTTTTATTCTAATTAAAAAGACATCTCAAGTGAAACATAAGACGAAATCAAAATGCCTCAAAATGTCTTATAATAAGGACTGGAGGGAGTACGTGTTATAACACATTATATGCACGTAGGTCATTACACTAATGGTAACGTTAACTAATTGTAAATGTTCAATGAGCTTGTGTCTTTATTTCCCCCTTCATGTTTGAGGTAACCCCTTAATGCTTGAGATAATTTACATGTTATACGGCGTGACCATAGTTTGCAAAATCACGATCCAGGATCGTAGAATCGAATTCGATTCTACTATCCTGGATCATAAAATCGATCATGAATCGTAAAAGATGGTTCTTTGTAGCAGAATCGGGACGGGATCAGTAGAATCGTTTAAAATCGTATAGGATCGTTTGATTATTCGATTTTACCGATCCTATCACAAGTTTTGAAATTCTAAAAAAACGAGAGAGATTTGATGGTAAAGAGAATTAATTCGAGTTTGACAGAGTACAACCCAACCATAAAAGTTCGAAATATGACATCCAGATCAATGTCCCATGGTTTCCTTCCCCTACTCTATTTTTTCTTTTTCTTTTTCCGGTGATAATGGTGCTTGCGTCTTGCGGGACAAAGAAGATGACCGGTTTTGAAGGATGATTGGAATAAATCACTTCCTACCTCTTTTAATTTTTGGACTAGATTTTAACACGTGCCGTTGGATTAGGTTTCTCTTGATCATCCAAATAAAATTCATTAAGATAAGTAAATTTAATTATTCAAAAGAAGAGTTAAAACATTTAAAATTCAAGATAGGGATTAACAAAATTTTAGCCTCCAAACTCTGGTCTGATTTCACGAGTTTACCAAATTAATTACTCCCTCCGTCCTATAATTATTGTCCAGTTTGAGTTTTCATTTTTAGTTCAAAATTGTACTAAAAGTAAAATCTCGAACTGGACAATAATTTTGGGACGGAGGGAGTATTTCTTTCGGTTTTCTCGCAATGGCCACATTAGATGTTCAATACTTCAATTCATTTTGAATTTAACTGAAACCTAATTTATTAAACCAATATAGTTGCAATATAAGTACATTTGGGCATGTTCTTAAGTGAGTGTGTGTAGTCGTGTTGAAACATGTCAACAAGAGATTAACTTCACAATTAATGGTGTAGTATATGTAATTGATTTTAAAATATTTTATGATTCTACTTTTCTGATCCTACCGATCATATTTATGATATGATCTCGTGACTCCATTTCAATCTTACGGAGGACTATGATCCTGCAAACATTGAACGTGACCGCGCGAGCTCCATAGTTTACTATCATATCAAGCATTGGATATTTTGATTAAAAAGCGAGTTTAATTATGAAAAACGAGAGATTTTGTAAGAATCACCATCTTCAAATATAATAATTTTTTGTGAAGATAATAATTTTTTGTGCCTAAAACGGTAAATACTCCTCACAATAAATAAAAGTTAGCAAAAATCACATTCCAAATGAAGAAAAGTAAACCAAAAGAAGAACAGTAGTACTCCCTCCCTCCGTCCCATAATTATTGTTCAGTTTTACTAAAATGAAAGATTTTATTTTTAGTCAAACTTAATTATATTTTACCTTAAATAACCAGATATACCCCTACATAAGTAATTGTTTAACCACTAAGATTTTATGGATAATGTTTTTTACTAAGGATAAATGTGTAACTTGATCTATAAAAAGTCAAATTGGACAATAATTTTGGGATAAAATTTTTTAGGCAAAATGGACAATAATTATGGAACGGAGGGAGTATTTAACAACGGAATCCTTTTTAATCTCTGGCGGTTCGTGTCAGCGCTCACGTGGGCACACTGCATCCGACTAGATGCCCACAGTGCCCAATTTCCCAACGTAAAATTAAAATCACCACTTTCATTTTAGCTAGGCCCAAAACCCTTGTTGCCGATGAGACCGAAATCCGACAACATCCAAGCCCACCACTAACAAAAAGATTCCTCCTCCGATGGCTTCGCATTTCCACCACCACCCGCACCACCACCACTGCCACCCGACGACCACCACCACATCCTCCACCGTTTGCCACTGTTGCTACCCTCCTCCTCCTCCTCCTCATTCAGTTCCTGACCCTTACCTCCCTCACCATTACCACCACCCTAGTCCCCAAACGCACTTCTACAATCCTTACCCAAATCCGCCAATCTTTAATCCAAATCCAAATCCACCATGTACCAATCAAAGCCTCCACCAGGTCCATCGCCAGCAAACGGAGTTCCGCCCACCTTCGACTGGCCTGGAACAAGAGCGCTATTTCCGGGACCAGCAGACGCCGGGATTAGCCCACGACCATCCCGCTGTTTCCTCTCTTCTCCTCCGCATCGCCGCCCTTGAATCCTCCCTCAGGACCCACTCCACCAAACGGTCTTCTCAACCCTTGCGGGACGCCGCCGCTCGGACCATTCAGACCCACTTCAGAGCTTTTCTCGTTCGCAGATCGAGGACTCTTCGGCAGCTCAAGGACCTGGCTTCCATTAAGTCAACCCTCAATGCCCTTAAATCGTCTGTTTCCGGGAATAACCTCTTTGATCCGCAAGCTCTGCATCAAAGAGCCTCGAGGTTGCTGTTCAGACTCCACGTTATTCAGGTGGCCCTTTTTTGTTTGCCGGATTACTTTTGTGTTTCCTAAATTGCTTCTTTTTTTTTTTTTTGCTTTTATCAATATCTGGTGCATTTTAGAATTTATAAATGGTATTGGAATTGGATTAAACATTTCAGGGTGGTGATCCTATGATTAGGGATGGGAAAAGATCTATTAGCAGAGAATTAAACCGGTTCTTGGATTTGATTGACGAGTTTACAGATGAAAGATGTGAAATTTCGTCTAGACTAATTAAAAAGAACGTCGTTCATAAAAGAGATGTGGGTAAATGTGGTGATCATAAACGAGAAGTGGCCGGTTGCCACGATTCTGCTAGTAACAAGACGTTGGAAGATTTAGTTAGCAGGGTTGACGCATTGTACGGTAAAATTCCTGAAGAAGACGACGAGGAAGACGAGATTGTTGAATGCCATGAGATTCCAATGATTAAAAGGGTCTCAAATCCGGGAAATGAGGCTCAAGCCAAAGTGAAGAAGAGTGTAAGATTTGTTGAGAATGGAAAAGTTTATCAGGTTTCTAGGAATGGGGACTTTGATAATGGCGATGGAAACGATTTGCTCACTAGAAAAGCTGAAGTTGGGGGGATTTCATTGAAGATAACAGAGGATGATGAAGAAGAAGAGAGCAGCGATGACGAGGAAGGTCTTGTCGATGAAGTCAGAACGGAAGATGGGAATTTCATCTTCTCTGCACCTGTACCCGTTACCACGGATTCAAGAACTGACTCAGTGAGCCGAAGGAAGATTCTAAAATAGTTGGAGTAACAACTAACAACGGAGCTATAAATTTGGCTTTGTCACTATCTCGTTTGCATAATTTTTTGTAACAGCTTGGTGATTGGTCTGATTTCTTAATCCCCAGATTATTGTTTCTTTGGTTGGTTAGTGTTGATCTGTAGCAGCTAGAGAATAACTGAAAAATGTTAAAGATTGCCGGAGAGTTGGGAACTCCTCAGTGTGTTAGCTTTGTTACCCAATTTGTTCGTCAGTTTGATCTAATGGCATTGTGTTTTGACAAAAACTGGTGCTTTCATTGATTCATCTTGTCTCTTTTTTTATGAAAAAAATTCCATTTCATAGCATTGATGAAGATTTTAGAACTGTTATTATGGCATACAGCTTTTGCTTATCTAAAGAGGTGCCCTTTACAAAATTTGGAAGTGACTTCGTGAAAAATGCAGCAGATTTGTTGTACTACAAATTGTTACTTCTTCCGTCGCACTTGAATAGTCTACATTGTAGTAACTTTTTTAATAAAGTGAAGTATTAAAGTGGTACAGAGGGATTATAAATTGACAGTTATCGATGTGATGAAGGAAGAAGAAAAAATTGTAGTCTAGGGCCTCTACAGAGCATCCAGCACAAAACCTAGACTCAGAAAGTTTTATTTTTTTATTTTATTTTATGTTTTATTTTTTTTGAATGAATAGACTTAGAAGTTAAAACCTGAACCAATTCATAAGAAATTGGCGCGGAGGAATTACAACCAAAAAAAAAAAAAGGCGTTGGGAAAGGCTCATCCCCCGAGTCTTTGTCGATGAGTTAGGCATCAAGCTTACTTCATGAATGGTCGATCTCAGCCTCTGTCCAAAACCTTAAAGGGTCTTCTCTCATCTTCAGTCGCCGCCTCCACCGTATCACCACCGGGAAATTCCTCCGTCAAAACTCTCAGTTTTGCGCAATGGCAGGCAATCTTGTACACGTGCGCCAACTCCAAATGTGTACGGCTCACCAAGCAGCTCCACGCTTACACAGTCACCTCTGGCCTTCTTTCGTCGCGTAATTCTTCATACCTTCTCTCGCTTCTAGCTTCGGCGTATGCCCACGGTGGCCAGATTTCCCTTGCTCGGGACATGTTCGATGTATTGCCCAAACGAGCATTCTTTGCATATAAAACCATGATCAGAATCTACACGGAGGTTGGGCATCCGCTTAAGGCTGTTAAACTCTTTCCTGAAATGCTTGGATCTGGGAACTTTGAACCCGACAAGTACATTTATCCGTTTGTGATCAGGGCTTGTGGTGATTTGTCGATGCTTAAATTGGGCACTGCGGTTTATTGTCTAGCTTTTAAAAGTGGGTTTGGTGAAGACGAGTTTATTGGCAATTCTCTCTTGGCCATGTACATGAAATGTGGTGATGAAGTGGGAGCTAAGCAGGCTTTCGACAACATGGAGGAGCCTACTATTGTATCATGGAACACCATGATAAGTGGTTATTTCCGAAATGAGAACGCTAAAGGATCTCTTATGATGTTTCGGAAGCTAGTGGAAGATGGTGTTGAGGCTGATACCGCGACAGTTGTTTCTGTTTTGCCTTCTTGTGGGCTCTTGAAGGACTTGGAGTTGGGAAGAGAGGTGCACTTGCTGGTTGAAGAAAAGGGTTTTGGGAAGAGGTTGGCTGTCAGGAACGCGCTGATGGATATGTATGTCAAATGTGGCAAAATGGACGAGGCACGAACTGTTTTTGATGCGACAGTTGAGAAGGATGTGGTGACTTGGACAACTATGATTAATGGGTACATTTTGAATGGCGATGTTACAAGTGCTTTTCACTTGTGTCGAATGATGCAGTTCGAAGGTATAAAGCCTAATGCGGTAACTATGGTTTCTCTTCTAGCATCCTGTTCCAGTTTGCCTAATTTGAAATTAGGGAAATGTTTGCATGGTTGGGCTGTGAGGCACAGAATTGATTCTGATGTAAACACTGTAACTGCACTGATTGACCTGTATGCAAAATGCAACAAGATGAAACATAGCCTTAAGGTCTTCTCCATGACTTCCAAGAAGGAAACTGTTCCTTGGAATTCTATTCTTTCGGGGTGCATTCATAACGAATTAGCAAGAGAAGCAATAGAGCTTTTCAAACAAATGCTAATGAAATGTGTGAGACCTAATGATGCTACCTTCAAGTGTGTCCTTCCAGCATTTGCGGTTGAAGCTGATATGCAGCAAGCAAAGAGTATACACGGTTTCCTAATAAGGTCAGGGTTTATCTCGTGGACTGAAATCGCGACTGGCTTGGTTGATGTATACTGCAAGAGTGGGAGCTTGGAGTCTGGCCACGCTATCTTTGACGGAATACACTTGAATAATAAGGACATAGTACTGTGGAGTGCGCTTATCGATGGTTATGGAACACATGGGCACGGCGAGGTTGCAGTTTCTCTCTTTTATGAGATGGTGCAGTCCGGGGTTAAACCCAACGAAGTCACTTTCACTTCCGTTTTGCGAGCCTGTAGTCACACAGGGTTGGTTGATGATGGATTGGCCTTATTTAAATTTATACATGGAAATTACCCTAATTGTCTTCGCACTGATCATTACACCTGCATGGTTGATCTTCTTGGGCGTGCGGGTCGACTTGGTGAAGCTCATGAACTCATAAGGACCATGCCTTTTCAACAAAGTCATGCTGTCTGGGGAGCATTGCTTGGTGCTTGTGTAATACACCAAAATGTGGAACTAGGAGAAGAGGCTGCAAAATGGCTTTTCGAACTAGAACCAGAGAATACAGGGAACTATGTACTTATGGGGAACATTTATGCTGCTGCTGGAAGGTGGAAAGATGTTGAGGATGTAAGGAGCAAGATGGGCAAGGCAGGCTTGTTGAAATCCCCTGCACAGAGTGTAATTTATTGAGATTTTAACATTTATATTTAGATTTTTAGACAAATTCAAGCATCACAAGTCTCAACTCACAAGCCTGAGATATCCTGTAAATCAGTAGCAAGTGCAGTGACCTCTTAGAAGGATTCTTCAAGATAAATTTTGATGGATTCATGGTCTAAAAATTTGTTTTTGCAGATCTGAAATTTGAACTTGTCCATAAGGTTTGAATTAGAGTTTGAAATTTAACAGTCCTTTAAATTATACTACACTATAACTTATAATTTTTTTTGTACGAATAAACTAAGATCATAATTTCACTTGATGAATATAACATAATTGTTAAGGTTGTCGTGAAGTATTGTCGTTCATGTTAGTATCAAAACAAATTTTATCTTTCGAAAAATAAAAAATCAAGATAAATTTATGCATACAGCTACAAATAATAATGGTAAATTTTTACCATAATTTCAAGCTTCCAAATACATAGATCAGAGGAATATGTGATGATGGTGTTTCTTTGTGCGAAATGTTTCTGGTATTCTTCCACCAAGCACCATTATATTTTCCAATATCTCATGCTTAAAAATATTTCTATGTTTTTATTATTGATTAAAACTAAAAGATACTTAAATACTAATATTTTATACTCTTTAGCCCTAATTATGAGAAATAAATTAAACTAAATTTAATTTTGTATGGCGTCATTACACCCTTGGTCAACATAAACTCCCGTACAAAATTAGGGTCACCTTATCCTTGTTGATTAATCCTTTGATTTGGATTTTTGGACGACTTTCTTTTCAAACTTCCTTTTCATAACGTCATTCTTCACTTTGATCACATCATTTTTTGAGATTAGAAACGTTTGATTTTACAATTTATACCTTGTAGTTTTACTTGGCGCACCATTTTTAACCCACAATAAATCAAATGGATGTATTCTAAACGAAATGATCTAATTTGATGATGTGATAAATTGTACTCCCTTTGTCCCATAATTATTGTTTAGTTTGAGATTTCACTTTTGGTATAATTTGAACTAGAAATGAAAATCTAAACTGGACAATAATTATGGGACGGAGGGAGTATATAAATATATATTTTTTAAAAGGTGCTTGTGAAAAACGTAAAAATTCATTTACTGCAGCCTCTAATCATTTTTTTTTCTCCCTTTTAGCCATTTTCTTTCTTAATATCATCTGAATTCTACACAAATTATTTAAATTAGTCGGATGCGGTGACTCACAAAGCAACAACAACATTAGTAACGGTATATTTACTTATCAAATACTCTACCAATTCAAAACTGAAAATTCAATATGGATAATTTTTTTTTATAACATAAGTAGTAGTAGCAAAGTATGATATTTTACACACAAAAATAACAAAAAGCATGAATAATATTTAATTACAACGAGAGAATTATATTGTAATCACAAATTTGGTAGGATATCACTCAAGTAGTACTCCCTCTGTCCTAAAATTATTGTCCAGTTTCAAATTTCACTTTTAGTATAATTTTAACTAAAAATGAAATCTCAAACTGGACAATAATTATGGGACGGAGGGAGTATATGATATGATATTATTAGACTAAATCAAAACTATCTCGTGTGGTATGGTAGTTGCTTCAACCAACATTTCGTCATTTGTCAACTAAATAACGGTAGTTAAAGACTAAGTACCATAATTTTCCCAAAGGCTCAAAATAAATACCAAATTCTTTGTAGATTTATTTTTATTTGGCAATTGCCGACACTAATAATTGGATAGTTTGGTGTTTGCCACCTCTCCCCTCATGAATAAATTTCTCTCCCGATTCAAAGGTTAGACTTTTCTCCGTTGTTTCATTCGATCACTACTAAATCAAACTGAAATGGACATCTTCAGGTTTGATGAAAATAATTATGCTGTCCTTGTCTAGTTTAATTCACATCTTCTGTAATTTTGCCCTCACCTCAAACTTCAAAGGGTATCTTAAAAAAAATAAGGGGAAAATATGAAGTACGGAAAACCATCATATTCATTTACTTTTGACGAGTATTTTTTTCTGAGACGAGTGAATGTGGCTTAATAAAAACGTTCAATTTATATCATTAGAATATTAATTTTCTTAAATTTTTATTTGAAAAATAGTTAATAACCTTATTAAGTAGCAACAGCCAACATGTACTAGTATTTGCTCATAATTACAAAGAAAATAAATAAGTGATCAAAGTTATTTCCAATTTTCCATGAATAATTTAATAAATTGGCATTATTAAATTGACAATGAAGGGGAAATTGACAATTATCTCCCTGGTGAAGCTTTGTCAAAGTCAAATTCCCGCACAAACTTTCCCTCTCAATCTCAATTTATCTCGCATGACGCGGTTTTGACTATTTTTAAATGTTTAATGATCACTGTAATTATGATTTTTAATTTTTTTTAAATTTAACCCTATAGTATTTCTGTTGTTTTCGTCCCGCTTTAATTTATTACTATTATTATGTACTAGGTGTTAGACCCATCTGATGGACGGGGAAGGCATACACATTTAAACATAAATTTTGTATTTTTATAAAATATGCAATGAATTCAGTTTTAAACATGATTTATAGGAATTTGTTTTTTTTACATGACATTTTAAATTCACTGGTGATAAGGTTTATGCAGATCTCTCTAAAATTTGTTAAAATTTGGTACTCCTCCAATCAATCTCTGTGTTAGGATTTGGTTCATGAAAATAATGGTTCGGTTTTTATTATTTTATTTTTTAAAGAATTATTTTAGTTGATTTTTTTTTTGTTTTATTTTTTTTTGTTTTGTGCATTTTTAAGTCTAAGAAATTTTGAAAATGTCACATATGTGCTCCATGCCTTTAGTTTTATTTCTCTGGTTTTTGTCTTAGTATAGTATATAGAAGATTTTCTTTAAAATAAATAGTAATAGGGAAAAATATACAGATCGAAGATCAGCCAATTAGAGTAAAGAAAGAATTTTAAGAAAAGGGAAAAAGAGAAAAGAAAAAAAAAGAAAAAAAGAAAGGGGAGCAAATACTACCATCTCTAATTTCTCTTTCTACATTCACTCTTCCGATCCAGGGGAAGAGAAAAGGCCATTTTCGCCCAAATTTCTAGCTATTCAATTTTGCAGAGAAATTTTTTTGAAATTTGTTTCTGTTCTTGCAGATATTTATTGATTCTTTCAATTCCGAATCTATCATAATTCCATTGATTCGTTTGATTTGGTTAGTGAATATCCTGAGACATAAATTTTTTCGGAGCTAATTTAGAGGTGTATTTATTAGATTAGAGGAGAAAGATACGGCAATATAGCCCTAGCTGGAAATTTATATTTAGGGTTTTCTGAGGCGGAGGGAGAGTTTTGGAACCCAATGCATTGGGTCAGACTGATTCAGGATAATCAGGCCGATATTTGATTGGAATGTGGAGGGCCTATGATTTTGTATATTGTGATAAATTATTGAGGAATCAGGAGAAGGTGAATCGATATAGAGATAGAGCTGCCGCCGGTGGTGGTGGTGTTCCTCCGTATTTGGTTCATTTGGAAGTAGAGGTTGGGGTAAAGAAAAACCGGTCGGTGGAGGGAGAGGAGGAGCCGGAGGCGGCGGTGGCACCGGGGGTCGCTGAGGAGGTGGAGGAGGGGCAGGGAGGAAGATGCAGCTGCACTTCTCACCTAGCATGAGAAGTATAACGATATCGAGCAGCGGCAACGGCACTAGCAATGGCGGATTTGGTGGTGGTGGCGCTGATTTGATGAAGATCAAGGTCGCACCTCGCCACATCTCCTACCGGACTCTCTTCCACACCATCCTCATCTTAGCTTTCTTGTTGCCTTTCGTATTCATTTTAACTGCTCTTGTTACCCTCGAAGGTGTCAACAAGTGCTCCTCAATCGGTACTCTTTTTTCTTTATCCTTCTTCTATTTGTGTTCATCACATGTGTTTTTGTTCTATATTTGTTTTGTTGATTGGGATTTCCTTCATGACCGCAAGGATCTGCGATTTAATTCTATCATCTGCCTTAAATTATTTAGCATATATCTCAATATCAGATGCATTTGATTTCTATTGATTAGGAAATATTTTTGGCTTTATTATGGATCCTAGAATTTGATTTGGAGATATAATTCAAAATCAGGTTGCACAAGTGCAGGAAGTTGTTTTAATCTATTGTTAGTTTTACTGTATTTGGCTACAATTATTAACATTTTCCAGATTGAGAAAGTTGTATTTATGTGGTTTCAGAATTTTTCTCCTTGCCAACATTTGAGTTTTAGAAACAATGTATACATAGTTGTGCCATTTTTTGGAACTCTGTAAAAGCTGTTCTTATGACCTACCTTTCGGTTAACTATTTGTCACTCTAGAATGTGCTTGATGCATCCCAAGATCTTTCTTAATGATGTATGTTTATTTTCTCCACACATTTAGCCTCTAGAAGCATCTGTTCCCTTGTTAGACAACATATATGTATTGATTTATCAGAGATGTCGTGACCAATTGGTGTTGTTTATGTGAGCTGAGTTATTGGAAAGGATGGTATGTACTAAGTACTTGTGGGACTGGTTGGAAGTAAAAGTAAATCATCTAAACTTGGTTTTTCCTTGTTGGATTTGGTGCATTTAATTTTTCTTCTAGTGACTTCATTTATAAATATTGTTTTGCTGAAATGATTTAAAAGCATTTTAATTTGTTTTATAGCTGCCAATTTGGTATTAATTGAGGCACATCGTGACATTTACATTCAATGTCTTTGTCAGATTGTCTAGGACGACGGTTGGGGCCAAAGCTTCTTGGAAGAGATGATTCTGGGGTAAATTATTAGCTTTCTCGTCATCAAAGTGAAATGATATCGTGGCTTTAGATTTGCCAATGACTGTCTTCATATTTGTTTTCTACATGTCTGTATTTCTAACTTTGTGTTGTGGTTGCTGCAGCAGAGGCTGGTGAAGGACTTTGTTAAAATCCTTAATCAAGTGAATGCCGAAGAAGTCCCTGACCGACTGAAACTTCCAGACTCCTTTCATCAACTTGTGTCTGAAATGAAAAATAACAAATATAACGCGAAAGAGTTTGCTTTTATCTTGAAGGGAATGGTATGCATCCTTTGTTTTATTTAGGATTCTTTATTTCTCTCGGTTATATGTAGCTATTTGTCTGTTTATCTTCGAATTTGATATTTAGGATTACATTTCAATTATTCTATTGTATAATACCAAATTTCGTAACGGTTAATTAAATACACAATATGCATGTGTTACTGTATGAGCTTCATAGTGAAAGAAACTTTGCAGTCTGATTTATGTGTGGTTGCCCATTTTCTTGATACTTGTGTAAAAGAGGGTAGTTTTGGTTTTAGCGAGGATCTAGTTTTTATTGAGCTTCCCTTTGCGCATGTTTGCTTGAGAATCTCTTAGAATTGTTACTTCTGTAAAGTTACTGTTGTCCGGATAGTTTCTCGTCGGGAAAACTCGCCCTTTACTTTCTGGAATTCGGTGTGAATGTTATTGCTTTATATGTTGCATGTATCATCAATCTTATTATTCTTCATGTCTAATGTATGTGAGCTAAATAGATCTTGATTTTTTGTTCCCAGATGGAGAAACTGGAAAAGGATATTAAGGCGTCGAAGTTTGCTGAGCTGACAAACAAACATTTTGCTGCTAGTTCCATTCCAAAAGGCATTCATTGCTTTGCTTTGAGGTTGACTGATGAATACTCCTCAAATGCTTTAGCTCGCAGACAGTTGCCATCCCCTGAATTACTTCCGTTGCTTTCGGATAACTCGTACCATCATTTTGTAGTGTCAACGGATAACATTCTAGCTGCTGCAGTTGTGGTTAATTCTACTATCCAGTCTTCTTCAAAGCCAGAGAAAATTGTTTTCCATGTCATAACAGACAAGAAAACATATGCAGGCATGCACTCCTGGTTTGCATTGCATTCAGTGTCTCCTGCTATTATTGAAGTGAAAGGTGTTCATCAATTTGACTGGTTAACGAGAGAGAATGTTCCAGTGCTTGAAGCAGTGGAGAACCATAATGTGATTCGTAAATATTATCATGGAAACCATGTTGCCGGGGCTAATTATACTGATACCACTCCTAGAACTTTTGCATCAAAATTACAGGCCAGGAGTCCAAAGTATATCTCCTTACTCAACCATATTCGAATATATTTACCAGAGGTATATTTTCCATGATGGTATACATTCTGAATTATAGAGTAGAATTCCATTAAAATGCTTGTCTCTGTTGTCTGGTAATATGCAATGCCACTCTTTTGTGTATCCTGCTCAGCGGATTTGCTTGCAATTTCCTATTTTTGAGGAAACTTGGATCTTAACTTGGGTTCTTGGGCATTATAAATTTGTCTTAGCGCCCCCACAAACACCTTTTTGTACTAGAATGTAATCAAGAAAACACATTGGTTGCTGTAATTGGGTTTGTTGACGAATATTTATCCTGCATAAGATGTCTGCAAAAGTAAATACGTCAAGAGCAGAAACTTCCATCTCATGTCCATGTAGCAGAATAGTAATAATTGGGCTTATCATATCTTTCCTTTATCCTTCAATCCTTTCTGAACATATGTATGTTTCTGCAGCTTTTCCCAAACCTGAACAAGGTCGTGTTCTTAGATGATGATGTTGTCATTCAGCGTGATTTGTCACCCCTCTGGGATATTGACCTGGATGGAAAAGTGAATGGAGCTGTAGAAACCTGTAAAGGTGAAGACGAGTGGGTGATGTCTAAGCGGTTCAAGAATTACTTCAATTTTTCTCATCCTCTTATAGCAAAGAATTTGAACCCTGACGATTGTGCCTGGGCTTATGGGATGAACATTTTTGACTTACATGCATGGAGACAGACGCATATAAGAGACACATATCATGCATGGCTTAAAGAGGTATTTGCTCATTTTCTTTGACTCTGAATTCTTTACATTTATTCTATGTGTCTTCTTTTTGGGTTGGGGACTTTAGTAGCTTTAAGGTGTCAAGGTTAAAATTTTTAAATTAGGTAAAGATGACATTTTTACATTTCAAACAATTTTAGTGCATGGGTGAGTTCAGAAGTTTATTTAGTTCTTCGTGTTTGTCGTTTTTGTTGCCAGTTCTCTCACTGTCTTCATTTCATCTTATTGTGTTGTCATGAATACTTTTTGTTTGATTAGTTTAATTAGGCTTTAAACTCTGTCGATTACTTGTGTCCAAGAACGCCATGGTTATTATCTAACCACATGATATCTATCTTTTGATTATGTATATTTGTTAATGGAGGTCTGTGCTTTTGCGAATGAGTTTATGCTTCTTTGCACTTGGGATTCTGTTGCTGTTTCAGTTGAAAAAGCTATGGCCATTTAGTTAGTTGTATTTCGCTATCTAATAACATGATATCCCTCTCTTGATTATGCTAATTTGTTAATGAAGGCCTGTGCTTCCGCAAATGAGTTTATAACTCTCTGTCCGCATAGAATTCTGTTGTTCTTTTTCGGTTAAAAGCTATGGTAATTTAATTAGTTGCATTTTACTAAGTGCCTGAGATGTTCTTACTATTGTCTTCCATTTAAGGTAGACCTGCGTGCAGAAATCATGTTTGTAAAATGTCTTTTTGAATCATGTTATGACAAAGAAGATTCCTCTATCAACTTGCTTGATTGTAGTGAGTGATTTGGTGCTTGAACTTTTTTTCATGGGCTATTTGGTTATCCTCAGAATCTGAAGTCCAACCTGACTCTGTGGAAGCTTGGTACATTACCTCCTGCTTTAATTGCATTCAAGGGTCACGTCCACCCGATTGACCCCTTTTGGCACATGCTTGGTTTGGGCTATCAGAACAAGACCAACATTGAAAACGTGAAAAATGCTGCCGTGATTCACTACAATGGCCAAGCAAAGCCTTGGCTGGAAATAGGCTTTGAGCATCTTCGACCATTTTGGACTAAATATTTGAATTACTCCAATGAATTTATTAGGAATTGCCATATACTGGAGTAGAGATTTGTTGACACAATATGCGCAATGCAAATCACGGGACAGAAGATGGGAGCAAAATAGATTTTCTAATGATCACTGCCCAACTTATCGAAATTTGAGGTTTGATTTTGAGAGAGAAAAATTGAGTTGGCCAATTTGATCATACCACCAAAACCTGGATTAAGATGCTGTCCTGCCTCTTCCCAACAAAGATAAGCGCCAATAGCATGGGTTTGAGATTCATTCTTTCAATCTGTATAATACGTCTTCTATTATTTTTGGTTGCACAAAGGATATTATTTTTGACCTCCTTGATAGATCTTACCTGTGTCTAATTACTACAACGGAAATAATGGGGTGATGAAAGGGCATGGATGGAACTGTGGGCTATATTGGCCATTGCCTTGGTTGTACAAATTGACGGAAATGGAGCAAGGGATGCGAGCTTTTATATGGTTCCAGTTTCGCCCATTAGGCTTAGACATTATTTTTCTTTTCCTACTTTTCATTTAGTTGTTCAATTTTTTTTCTATTCAGAACTTTGTTGCCATTCACTTATTCTTTCCCCTTATTATGATTGTTTATCATCGTGATAACTATAGATGTTAGATTATTTTGAGCATCGCTGAGACAGAGAGTTTCCCTTGAGTTAGGGATGATCGTAGGCGATATGTTGGTCCTTTCTTTGTATGATTGATGAGGAATGGTTGAAATATGCAGATATTTCGTTTCACACTTGACGTCTGGTCTTTTTTATTCTGGCATTTGAATTTAGTGTGTTCGCGACATTGCATTTAGTACTCTCCTGCAGATTTGATTTGATTCTTTGCCGTTTGAGAGTGACCAAATCTTAGGAATTCCATGCTTTCAACTCAAACTCATGCTTGGGCGTTAAGTGATACTTGGGTCAGTAGGATTATTCTTCTGGTTTGAGACAAGAAAGGCCCCTCAAAACAGATGATGAATCTGAATCTTTTACTTCAGAAAGTGAAGAGTCTTGCCTATGTGTGATACGTCACATGTTGGAAGCATCTTGTTAGGCCCTAGTAAAAAAGAAAAGAAAACATGTAGTTGTAAGAAGAATTTAGGGATGATGTCTGGCTTTTGCACTACCTTTTCCATCATTCATGCCACGAATTCATTTTATTTATGACCTTATTCCTTTTTGTTCAATGGTTAACTTCCATCTTTGATTGGTTCACTTCTCCAACCACCTGAAACTGAAAGTGTGTCTCTCTTTTGATTGACCTAAATGGTTTTTCTTTTTCCAATTTGCAAATTAAGGGTAGTAGTAGGGTTGGAGTGGTTCAATCTGCCTATTCTTACTAGCTTTGGCGTATACTATATTTTTCTTCCATTTTTCATTCCTATTATTATATTGGATGACCAGCAAAGGAACTTGTAATTATAATTTCCAATATATTCCACGACAATCACGTCTCACCAGGACTCCTTCGACTCCTCCATCGCAACAATAAAAGAATCTTTATATATATTAAAGGAAAGAAAAATAATCGACACGTGTCGTTAATTGAAACCATCAAGTTTCACTTTTAACTTATTATCATTTTAGCCCTTAAAGTTCTATTTATGTGCTCTTTAATCTTCAAATTTACCGATTTTACATTTTTAAGGACGATTAATTGTGTCGAATCCCAAAGTCCACTTGCCTATAAATAAGCCATAAGCATCTAGACATAATTTACGCATTTTTTAAATATATGTTTTAATCCAAACATAACATTAGTTAATGATGATAATTTTTATTATACAGTTTTTCAAAATTTTTGTTGTAATATTTTTGGCCAGATCTTACAAATATACATCTCATAAATAATATCAATAACTCTCATTTTGATCTAAAATTGATTAATCAAAAAAATATTACGATTTTAAGAAATATTAATAATTATATTATCTAATTAATTCTTTTAAAAGATAAATTTTCAAAATTGATAAACACCCACAAAGCGCAGGACACATATTAGTATAGAGAAAAAGGGTGAAAAAGCCAAATCAAATTCCGAGGTTGTGGCAGCAAAAGCTTACAAGGGACAGTGGGTGTTTAATATTCTAATGATTAGTCCAACACATAGATTAAGCAAAAGAATGATATGTGGATTGACAACTTCTTTAATAACGAAATCATGTAACACAACTGAAATGATACAGTGGATCATTTGTTTTACAATTGAAATAAGATTGTGAATAATTGATAATATACTCATTATTAAAATGAGATAATATTGAACCCAAAATAAATAGTACTAGTACTTTAAAATGTGACGATGAGTTAAAGGAATTTTGACGTATGATTATCTTTTCCTTTTCCATGAACGTCAGCTAAATGAATTCATCATTTTTTTTTACAATGAATGAAGAAGGCTATTGCCTAAAAAATGAAACTACTATTAAATAAATGAACTAAGACAAAAAAAAAAAATAAAAATGAATAAGATCTTATTTGACAGTGCTTTGATCGCTTTAAAACTTCTTTCATAAATGTTTGAGACTTTTTCATTATCTTGTGATATCCGTAATCTAAATATAGATAATATGCATGCTTAATATATGTAAAGACTTATCGAACCAATCCCTAGAAACTTGTCCTTAATATAAGCTTAATTTCTCATGTCACCACTATTAGAATGAAGAAAGAAAAAAAAAAGATGATAATAACGTCCCAAAAAAAAAATGGAAATAAAAAAATATGTCGATTTTTCCATAGACTTAGGAGAGGATTAGGAGGAGATGGGAAAGGGGGAAACAAGATGGTGGATCCATTTGACCATACATTGATAACTCCGAAACAGCCTCGTCTTTTGCAATTTTTCTTCAATTTTCTTTTTCGATTTTGATTTTTTTCGCATCTCCCCTTGATTCTATTCATCTTCTGCTCCCCCGGACGTAAATACTTTCTCTAATTACTTTCTATCCATTTTTTACTACTACTATTTTTTACTTATTTTGCGTAATTGGTTTTATCATTGGCTGCTTCTTCCTCTTCCTACTCCATTGGCTTGGGTGCCTGCCTGGACTGAAAAAAGTTTTGTAGGTGGAAAAAAAGAAGCGGACCCAGATCAGTCAGTGACCCAAGTAAGAATCTTTTGTATTCAATTCAATCCAATTTGCCAGTAAATGATTAGTTCTTGATTGATCTGGCGATCATCCCACTTGAAAACTTGACGTTTTTTGATTGGTAAATTTCTGATATTGGAGGTGATTTTAGTTAAAGATGTTTGAGTGGAGGGTGCTGCTGGAGAGATAGAATTTGCACAGCCACTTTGGAGTATTTTCTTGGTTTATATATTTGTTGGCCAGACCTGTCTGCCGCACTAAATTTTTTTTTTTTTTTTTTGCCTTTTTATTTCCATCTTCTTTCCCTAATTGACTTTGTTGTTATGATCTTCCCTGTCATAAGGCTGGCGTATTCGATTTAGATTTATTATAATAGGACTTTTTTGCTGGATTTTTACCGGTTTTAGGATAATTAATTGAAAGATTTGCCTACCCTCCATAAAGTTTGTGTTTTTTCTTCCCCTTTTGTAATTTGTTAACATGGTTGGCGGTTTCGTTTTCATCATTTTAGGGGCGTTTAATCAGTTTTAGATTTCTAGCTTCCGAATTCTGATGGGTTTTACTGTTTCTGCTGGAAGATTTGGTCTTGTAGAATTCTGAATTGTGTGCCCTTTGTTCTGCCCAGAAACTGGGATTTGGATGAATTCTTTAAACCGTTTCGGAGATCCAAGTTTAATCACTGAGTGGGAGATTTTGCCTGAAAGACTATTTGTGTATTGGGAGATTGTACAGAGAGCTTGTGAAGATTCTGGGTTTTGATGTCTAAAGTCTCCGAGATGGTGGAAACAACGTCTGCGTCCCAAGATCAGCTGGAGATCAAGTTTAGGTTAATTGATGGATCAGATATAGGACCCAAAAGTTACCCTGCCGCTGCTAGTGTGGCCACTCTGAAAGAAAGCATCCTTGCTCAATGGCCAAAAGGTAGGAATAAATTTATCATTCAATTAATGTGGTTTAGAGTTGATATTTCTTTCTCTCTTGAGATTCTTTGCATAAATGACTGATTGAATCAAAGTTTGCCTTTTAAAATTTGCTATCCTCATTGTTTCTTGGAGCAAGGATGGCCTTTTCCATTTGAGAGATTAGGCCTATGTGGTTGAAATATTATATTGTATTTATAAAGTCAACCAGTTGAAACTTGCATTGTGAATTAGGTAACATGATCAACTTGGTGTAATCCCAGAACTCAGTTGTCCGCTGGACCTAGGTCTGACAAACTCTTTACTAGTGAATGATAGATTGCTCATTAACTATTAGTTAGCTTTACCTTTACTAAATTCAAAGGAAGAATCATCTAGTTTGCAGAGAAAAATGTAACGTTGTTACTTCCTGCCTCTCTTTGAAATTTGATTTCCCAAAATTTTTGCTTCAAGTATAATTGCTGGTGCTTAAAAGGATCTCCTTTCCTTTTTTGATGTCAGTTGATATTTTTTATGCTTGTATTCTTCTATGGAGCCCAAGAATCTGGTTAATCTCACTCCATAAAAGTCTTAACCAAAAGTATGATAAGCACTGTCGCCTCCATGAATGCACAATGGGTATGTCAGTTTGAGATGAAATTATGTGAACAGGCATTGACTGAGAAGAAGAATGAGGTTCTATTTGTTATGTTTGACACATTTGCTGTCTTTCGCACCCCATGCATCATCACAAGAGTTGCCTGCCATACATTGATTTGCTTTAGCTGGGATATGCACAGGAAATTCTTATTTGCGGTTTAAGTAGGCACAGGTTATCTTAAGTTCATGATCAAATTTCTTTGTTCCTGCCCTCTGTTCACTTCCTAATGTTGCACTTGACGATGCATAAAACTTGGGCGATAAATTGTATTATCTTGAGAAATATCATGGTGGATTTCCAGGGAAGTTTGCTCATATAACAGGCTTTATTGATGTCACACTGATAATTGCTTGGATCGGAATTCACGTTGAGATGAAAAATTAGATGATGGGTAGATACATACTCAGTTGAACTCAATTTTGCATAAGTAACTTATATCGATGACTGACATTTCTCTTATGTACTGGGCTCCCCTTTTCTGCGACATGACTCTTCCTTTGAATTCTTCTTTTTCTTCTTAAAGCTTTTTTTTCCTTTAATTTTTCACTATGGTATCCGTCATAGATTGTGCTGTTTGCTTTGTTTCTTGAACAGATAAAGAAAATGGTCCCCGGACGGTTAAAGATGTCAAGTTAATAAATGCTGGAAGAATATTGGAGAATAGTAGAACTGTGGCGGAGTGTATGAGCCCATTGTGTGATGCTCCAGGTGGAGTCACAACCATGCATGTCGTTGTTCAACCACCTCCTCCAGAAAAAGGTTAGGGGTCTCAGCATTCTATCATTCTACTTACTGTGAGATAACCTAGTTTGAGATTACACATTTATTTTTTGAAGTTCATATGCGGCCGTGGAGGAAGTTGTTAACCTTTCTGATTCGCTTGATGTTTTCCTATTGCTTAAGAATCTGGATTTTGCCCGGTAACTGTAGTTAAACTGATGTGAATTTCCCGTTTACAGAAAAGAAGGTGCCAAATGACCTGAAGCAGAACAGATGTGGCTGTGTGATATTATGAATCAAGCTCTTGAAGCAGCATGGCTTCACTTCTATAAGGTTCTCTTGGTTACTGTTTTGGCATGTTTTCGGCTGAAGTTAATAGTAATTCTTCTTTTTGGCTTTCCATACGTTAGAAGAATATGGGGTTAGTAAATCGAAAAACTCTGCTTAAGCGGATGGCTGACTGAAGATGCAAGCAGTCGCTAGATTGAATCATAAAAATTTCAGTTCCAATGTTTGTTGCTGTACTTTCCATTCACCTATTGTGCAGCCTTCCCATTGTCCAGTTCATGTGTTCATGGCCATTGCTATATACCTTTTGGGTTCCTGTTAATTGTTTTTCCCACAATGTTGCAGCTTAAATTCCATTGGAAATTGCTTCAGTTTTTATTTCTTTTTTGCTTCTTAGCTGAAACTTATGGCTTGTGGCTAACAGTCAGTTAAAGCTTTGTCAGTTACATCCTTTTCTATATGATTTGTTCTTTTGCCACTTCCACTGTCAATCCCTGGTCTAATAGAAATGTTGACGACGAGGAGTCGAAGTCGAACTGAAAAGAAGGCCAAGATAAAGATAGAAAACAATACCATCAAACTACTAATCTCTTTTCAAAAGAACAACCGTCGGTGTTATATCAGCGTCAAATTGAAATCGGCTTTGAGAAAGTTCTGGGACCGAGGAGGAGGAGGAGAACAGAACACTAAAGATTTTGTTTGTTTAGTTTTTCTGATGGTTTTTTTAGATTAATGAAATAATAACTGTTCTATCCCAGTATATCTTTTTATATTTTTAATACATTTTTTTACATTCCCCAATACAAAAAATACCTAAGGGAATGTACAATATTAATAATAAGAAAGAAAGACAAAGAACTTGAAACAGCATTGAAACCAAGTAAAAAAGTAGCAACAGTTTAAAGTAGAACGTCATACAAATTGGACAGGGATTGCTCCTAAGCAAAGTAAATTAATACTAATAAAGAGTAACATCCACAACAATCACCCCAAATAAGTGAAAAGCAAAAGAATTTAACTTGAACTATGTTGTCTAAATCGCGAAGGATGCTTGACAATTTGGACAGAAATGAGCCCGACGCAGCCAGCCATAGAGACACCTGCGGTGGAACACATGGGAACAAGAGGTCTCAGCTAAAATAACTTCACCTTCAGAGAGCTCGCCCAAACAAATCGAACACAACTGTAATTGATCAACATTAGCTTCTTCAAACCCTTTAAGCTCTGTTGCTGGTCTGATTTCATCGAATCTCACGTCCATTTGGCTGCCTCCATAGCCTCTGGAGCTCTCGATTTCCGAGAGGAGTGGGCAAAGAATGTCCTGTTCGTCCATGGGACAGGTGAACTGAGAACCATCAACATCATAATCAGTTCTCTCGATATCCAGATCCACCCAAATAAGAAGTTTTTCTTCTTCCCTCCTTAAGAATTCGGGAGTAAAATGATAATTATACATCACATCTTCGGCGAATTTTTGGACCATTTTGTCGAAATAACGGTATGAACGAAGAAAACCTATTTGTGTAAATGTCGCAGCCAGCAATTCTTTTGTGCGGTCAGGATCTAGAAAGCCTTGTCGTTGAGACAAGGAAAGAGGCACTATAGCAAAACGAGTTTTCTCAGTTTGATCACCGGAGCGGAGGTGGGCACTGATGAAAAATTCGCCGCCCGAACCGGACGGTTGTGCCGGCTGGTGCGGTACCCATCGGAAAACATTCATGGAGCCTGAATACCAGCGACTATATTTCGTCATTAATTTCTGACTATAAATTTCCTTAACTCAGGAGAAATAAACAGTGGCCAGAAAAACAGTTCCGGAGAATCAGAGATATAAGGAGGTAGAAGAGTCGTCGACGAGAATAAGGATCTTGTCGTGACGATGTATATTTATACTGAGGTTTTTACTCTTTTTTAAGGAGACTCCTTTTCTTCCCTTTATTTGGTTCATAGTTTTCCAAAATTGATTTTTTTTTTCGATTAAAGATTAAAAAAAAAAAGAAAAAAAAAGTCTCCCAATTCTGATTTGGTTACGGGTTCTAGAAATTTCCTTTTCTATTTTTCCCAAATTTGATTTTGCCAAGGCAAGGCTCGCCCTCAATTCTCAAGTTGTACAAATTCATTTACATAATTACTTATTAGTAGTATAAAAATTATACTATATAACTATACTACATAATATTAGTATTATCTCGTGGTATAATACATTAATTTAGTAATAAATACTTAATACTCCTAGTTACTACAATTATGAGCATCCACATTGATTTACACTATTGTGAGTATAATGTTGGTTCACACCGTAAATGTATAATAAAATGGAATATTTTTAGTATCATCATAAACTCACATTAATTATATTTTAATACCAAAAAATGTATATTACACAATGTAAAATTCCACCAAGATTTGTAAGAGGGTTTTAACCACATTTAAGTCGGGTTCACTTGGGTTGATTTTTTTTTTTTAAAAAAAAAAACACAGTGTAAGAATTCTTACGCCGTATAATATTATCACACTCAACACAATGACAAATAGTATACTGAAATAGTTATTAACTTATTATTTACCACAATTATGGATGCTCTTAATGCCAAAAAATCTATATTATATTCTAATAGAGAAACCGAAGAGAGGATTTCACATTGGTTCTTAGGGTATCATGTCAGCAAAAATCTTATGTGGCATTTCCATAAAGCTCCTCAAAAAAAAAAAAAAGTCACTGAAATTAACTATAAGTCCCTCACATCGGGCTTGGAGAATAGTATTATTTATTTTGTAAACCTAAATCCACGAAAGAAAAAAAACCCAACTACTATTTCACACCTAGGTTCCACTCTATATTTTAAAATAATATAGATTTAGTCAACAGCCATTTACGAAGATTCAGGAATTTTGCAACTTCATGAACTTTTCAAAGAGGCATAATCATGTGGCTTTAAAGAAAGAAAAAAAATGTAGGCAGAATAGTGCCAATCGTGGGGCTTTTAATAAAAAAAAAAAAGAAAAAGACAAAAAGGATGCAGAAGACGGGATGACACATAGAAACTACTCCATATATTATTTTGATACCACCGGCGCGACCAAACACCAAAATTGTTTGTCTCCGGCAATGGGAATGATTGTTCCATTGACCGGCATTATGGACAGAAGACGGATTAATTCTATTATATGGTATTCCGCATACTATCAGCATCGAATCACGTTGTTAATATCAGGGCAACAAATTCCGGGTAAGTAGACCAGGTGGTTAATTTCGATGAATCAAATCTGTAATCTATTTGTTTTGATTCGGAATAAATCCTCTACGTCCGGCAATATAGTATTCATCAGTTTGTTTTGATTCGAATCACATTTGATTCGATCTACATCTGTACATCTGTTAAAATATTTTCGTAATTTAGATAAAATTTTTAGATCACCACTACATGCCAGACCGGTATAAATTCCAGTCCTCTCACCACTTCCAAGCATCACCACTTAAAACACATTAGAGCACACCACGAATATTTGAGTTTCTATTAAATTCAGGCTATGGCAATCACAAACGGCAATGGAATTGTCGACTTCATCGGCGACCTCACACCCATGATTGCCAAATCTGATTGGAGGGTCCAAGTTCGTATCCTTAATGTCTGGACTCCTACTTATGGAAATTATTCTGATGCTGCATCTATTGAAGCTTTGCTGATCGATGAGGAGGTTAGAATTGTCATTTTTTATTTTGCTACTGAATTTTTAAATGATTGTTCAAGAAAAATAATCCGAGGTTGTTTCAATTAATGTCGATATTTTACAATTCGCAAGGATACAAAATCCAGCATCTCGTGCCCAAGAAACTTATATGGAAATTTCAAAGCCTAATGGAAGAAGGCGCTACAAAGATCATATCCAACTTCGACTTGGCCCAAAGTAAGGGGAATTACAGGTCGAACAAGCATGCCTACAAGATAATCTTCATGCGCAACACTACCGTGAAAAATAATGAAATCCAATCTATACCTAGATATTCATTTAACTTTATTCCTTTCAATGACATATTGACTACTCCAATCAGCAATGAATATCTCATATGGATGTATATGAATGTATGTCATTGAGTCGATAAGAATCCAAAGTAAAGTCAGTCATCCATTTTCTTATGTGTTGTTTGTTTGGACTGATAGGTGAGATAGTTGGAGTAGGCGTCATCGAAGAAGGGCCGATAGAAAGATATTAAACATTGAATTGGAGGATTTGGAGTGAGATGGATTACAATGCATTCTTATTGATTATGATTTTGTTTTTTTGATCAATTTTTTCCTTTATTTATAAAAAACACATTCTATAATTTATCGACAGGAAGAACAGATCGATGGTTACTCTGTAGAATCACCATGCGGATACTATTAGGGTCTATATTACATATGGGTTCACTAATGATCTGCTACCCTTTTAAAACGAAATGGAATTATTATTAAATATCTTAATTACATAACGTATGCCCAATAACAAATACACACAATTGTATTTCAACAAAATCATAAAATACTATACTATAAATAATTATGAAGACTTGTGGTTTTGTTGGTGACCTCTTAACATATTATAATAAAAATTATCTTTCAATGATTAGGTTTTCCATGTTTTATATGATGTTATTATGATTATCTATAATTCCATTTGATTAGTAAATCTTTTCTCAATCTCATTTTATAGTAGGTTATTTGAATTTGTAATTATAAACTTCTTTATTAGTAAAAAATAATTTACTTTGAGTTATTGGACTAAAGTAATAGTGAAACCCAATATATATTATTAAGTTTGTACAAACTATCATTGTAATTTAAAACTTTGATTTAGTTAATTTTACATTTGCGCTTTTAATTACTTTCATTCATATACTACTTAAAATTGCTTCTTTTTCCTTTTTCTTCTTTGCCTTAAGGTACATCAAATTCTTTCGTTTCATGTGACAGGAAATAATTTATATTTATGATTACGGGCTTAATTTATTACACAACTTAAATTATATTAAAAGCCAAAAACATAACCACTATAAATATAACCATTACAAAATTTCCCACAAATCTCTCTTAGAAAAAAAATATTGATTTTTCTCTTTTATTTATCTAAAGACATTATTCATGCTAAAGGCGGGTTATTTTTTATTTTTTCCTTCAATTTCGGATCTTTAGTTGGAATGGGTGAAAGGATGTAAGAAAAATGTGGGATGATAAAGAAAATTATTGAAAGTGAAATAACTATGTTCGGGTGGGACAGATGCCCGGGCGTCCCCTCTAAATTACTATTTTATTAAAATCTAAATTGAATTACTATTTTTTGAGAAATTAATTTGGTGTATATATCATTTATGCTATGGTTTGGGGCTTAAAAAAATATACCTATAAATGTGAGTTTATAAGGAATAATAAATAATTAGTTTATAAGGCATTATTCTTAATTGCTGGATTTAGGTATTTTTATTTTTTGTTTATATTAAGCCTGCAAAACTATACGATTGGACATTTGAATTTGAATTACTATATCCATTTGTTTGAAATGTAACTGATCCTTATTTGTAGTAAAACATGTGTTTTTTTTTAAAAAAAATTATATAGCTTCTAATTAAAAGAGACTTACACGTGGCAAAAAGACTTCTGAAATCGAAATATGGTGCATTGGAGTCAAAACAGATGCATACGTAGTTGCCACATAAACTTCATGTCTTGTTTTAATGGGGTAAAAGGGATAATTTTAGATTTGAAATTGATTTGATCTTTCAAATCTTTAAAACTTAATCCCCTTAAGCTAAATAGCAGCCAAAATTCTTTTAAACTCTAAGTATCCCAATAATAGGCTGTCACGAATCAGATATTTAATTTACACAGTCAAATTTGATTTTTTTTCCTGATTTTTTTTTTATTTTGTAAATCGCAGACAAAGATATTGATAAACACGGTATGAATTTATACAGGTGGCATGAGTTTACTTCATAATATTTAAAATTTTAGGATGATTAGTGATGGTGTTTGACGGGTTTAAATCAAGGGTATAATTTTATTTTATTTTTTTGGATATGGTGATGAAAACAAATGAGATTTAGAAATTACTATCTAAACGCCCGTCGTGCAATGTCGCCATTTCTAAGGCCTGAAAATATCTTTGGACAAGTAATTAGATAACATTTTGAAGGATTTCTTTTTGGATAAGTAAATAGTGCTTGGTTCTTCTTTTTTTTTTTTTTGTTTTTATTTTTTGGTTCAATAGGTTGTTCAAAATAAAGATGAAAATAGAAGATGGAATGAGATCTATCATTTTTTTGTGTGTGTCGTGTGTTATTCAACGGGTCATAAA